CCCCCCCCCCCCCCCCCCTTTTTTTTTTTTACTTCACACAATAACCATACTTATTTATTTACTTTAACTTGTATAGTATTCACGTTACTTGGCCCAAAGGGGTGGCGAAGATACGGTAGATGACGACGATGAAGAAGACGATGATGATGAAGAGCATGAAAACTGGATAACGTAGGTTCTAACCAACAAAGTTATCCACGGTGACTTTGGAGCCAACTAATTGACTCAATCTTTAAACACACATATATATAATAAAGTGGTAGGGATGATTATGACCGTGATTATGGTTATGGCGGCGGGTTCGGCATAACCAACGAAAACGAACCACCTACACATACGCGTACTTTGCACGGAGAAGAGGAAGAGTACGGAAGTGATGATGAAGAGGATGTTGGTAGAGGTGCGGACTGGTCTGGAGGACTTTCCGAGTTTCCACAAATCAATATGCTTCATCGTACTCAGAGCCATGCAAGAGAAGATGAATTTCCAACTGAAGAAACTGTGGCAGCCACAGCCACAGCCACAGCTGCTGCCGCTTCCGCTTCCGCTGCTGCTTCCGCCGCGGCCACATCTACAACAGAAATCCCAATAAAAGCAGACACACTAGTAACAGATACGACTGCAACCTCCACTCCAACCCAAACCTCAAATCCTAACCCTAACCCTAACCCTAACCCTAATTCCACTCCCACGCCTACACCTGCAAAAGAAACTGAAGCCGATGTGCAGCCAACCAAAGTAGCCCAGGCAACCAGTGTGGTACCCTCGCCAACCTCTGCTGTACAATCCACCGCAACAAAAACAGATACTAAAAATACTACAAACACAACCAATACAACAAACACAGCACCGTCACCACCGTCACCATCATCAAACTGTACAACCACTACCACGACTCCCTTTGATACTCCTCCTACTGCCAATGTTGCCAATCCTACAAATGCTACAAATGCTACAAATGCTGCTGTTAATGATGAGGCTGAAGATGATCCATTTGGAGATTTTACTAGTAGTGACACCAAGGAAAGTGATCTTCAGTGGACTTCATTCTCGGATGAGTTTGAAAGTATGGAGATCACTGCATCTGAAACACCAGTTCCTAGTGCAAAGAAGGATCAATCAAAGACAAATGAATCTTTAAAAGAAACGAAATAAGTAGGGGGAAAATAATGATAATGAGAATGATAATTATAATTATAAGAGTAATAATGGTAGTAGTAAGTATTAGTAGTAATAGTATTAGTAATCACTATAATAATTATGTTCTGTACAGAGAAATTTGAAACAACTTTATTATTGTTATTTTTATTACTATTACTATTATTATTATCATTATTATTTGGTGTATGTGATATGATGTGATGTGTGATGTGTGCGTATTTTTCTTAAATATATACTTTGAAATAAACTTTTTGTTTTGTTTCAATTTATGATTTTTCAGTTCTGTAATTCTGTAATTCTGTAATTCTGTAATTCTGTAATTCTATAGCTGTATGCATTTCAAATGAGAAATAGAAATAGAAATAGAAATTATATTTATTTATTTATACTTTCTTTAATTTTTCTATAAATACCTTCAAGTAACAATGATAGTAATAGTAGTAGTAAGAGTAAACCAAATACATATACAATTCTTTTTGATTTGTTTTAGATCAAGTCGAAATAGAAATGGACAATCTTGATGAAATGTATAAATTTATCAGCAGACAAAGTGTATATATAAAAATATAAATATAAATAAAATAAGAACACGCGGGTGTACAAACGGTAATACGTTTATACATTTTGCTGCTTGGATCCTATCTGCTTTTTTCTTTTCTTTATATAAATAAACAGTATAAGCCTACTAAAGCAGCTGGAACTTATATAACCAAGAAACATATTGGCTCTTATATATATATGTATACAGGCAAGAGATTAATTAGTATGTAGATAATTGTTTTGTGCGAATATATGATTTCTCCAATAGTTATATACATATATACATATCAATTAAGGGCGGAAATGAGTGAGTCTAGATGGTCGAGATGGTAATAAATAGTAACAATTATGGAAATTATAGAAATTAATTATAGAAAGCTATATCAAGGCTACCAATGATTTTCATTTATTCCATACACTGAATAAATCCCAAAGATTCCATCATTTTTGGAAGAACATAAAAGACAAACCATAATGGAAATAATAGTAATGAAAGTTGAGTAGTAAGCATTGGTGATTGGTATTATTATTATTATTTTACGTTCTTTATTTCCTGTAATTGGACCATCATCTTGTGTAATTGACAAATAGAAACATAACTTAAAGAAGATGTTTTATAGAATTAAATCGAATTAAATAGAATAGAATCGGATTCGGTTGCATTGATCAAGAAAGAGAGAATAATATATGTTGACATGGCAACCATAATTATGCAACACTAATAAGTATCTATCTACACATATTGATGGTAACCAACCAAGGGTTCTGATTCATGTGATAATAGCTTTAAATTATTCCACTTTGATTGACCTTTTTTTTTGTACCATTTTGTCTCCCTTTTTATTTTGGTACATATGTTTCTTGTGCACGCTTCAATATCCTTAAGCTTGTTCTTTGGTGAATGGGCCCTATCAAAGGTCAAAATCCGAAAGACAGGGAGCCAAATTGGACAAAAGCAGCCACGTGGCTGATCCAAATGGGTAAAAGACAGGCTACTTTTGGAGTGATGATGTAATGATTCGCTCTGAAAACAATTTTTACTACGTAATTGATTTTAATCTCCCCACACATTTTTTTTGTCTTCTTCTTCTTTGGTTTGCTTCTTTCTCTTTCTTTTCACCCTTTTTCCTATATTCACAGTCCACCGCTTGTTGCTTTTGTCAAAAAAAAAAAAGAAGAAACTCGAAGAAGCTTGGAAAAAAAATAAAAATAAAATAAAATACAAAGCCAGAATACCTCTTGAAAGCAGTTGTCCATATCCGACCTTTCCTTCTTTTATATATATAATTCTCAAGGTATAAACCCATTTGCCTTGTCTTGTCTTGCCTTGCTTTGTCCTTTATCACCAACCATTATAAAAGAGATATATATATACTATTGAAATATATGAACATGCTACAGATACATTATATAATACCTTTTATCTCTTCAAGGCCATGAACATTCAACATACATATTTGCTTGAATATTCTTTTCATAACTATTGTTAATAGAAACTCAAATAAAACCATCCTACTGTCTTTACAATCCTTTATATATAAAAGGAAATAAAAAACTGGTAAGCAGTATATACACTTCTTTAAATAAATAAATAAAAAATTAAAACAAATGATTTATATTTAAACTAAAAAAAAGAAAAAAGAAAACTTGTTTAAATTTGTTTCTCGGCCTGACATATTTACTTTCTATTATATTTATATATATATAATATTATTACCTCGACACACAGACATAGACCACACAGACCCATACATACATATACATATACATATATTTATATTTATATTTATATTTATACATACAGTCTGTGCCTTGTTATTATTTTTATAATTTCATATTTTTTTGATGACCGACACTGATCCCTTTAATGGCCAGAGGGTATCCAATAGCCCTAGTCCAGGCAGTATCGACAAAAGTAAAATATTATTATGTTTATGTTTATTTATTTCGAAAGTAATACACAATTAATACCAATAATATAATTGACTCAAAAATATACCTCTTTGATTTTTATTGGATTTTCATTAGTTCCTCTTCACGGCAGAATATCAAATAGTCCTCCAATGGCTGTCCTTCCGCTCAACTCAAGCTCAAAGCTAGATCAGGAACCAAATCCTTTCGAAAAGAGTTTCTCAGGGGCAGCCGTAGTCGAAAAGAAAGACAAGGAACCAAAGCCAACCTTACCGCCCGTAGCCTCGATCACAAGTCCAGCAATATCTCTCATAGGAAGCGGTGTCCTACCCAAGGAAGTCACCAATCAATTTGGATGGGAAAGCCTTCGCACAGGTCCCTTGTCTCCCTCTATGCTCCAAGGACCGACAAAGCCAGACGAATTCGGTGATTACCGCTCTATTATGCATCAAAAATCTGTAGGCAGTAATCTTGGCATTCAGACTTCCAATAGTCAACCTACCTATTCCCGGTCATATGGTAAGACCAAACATAAATATATATATATATATATATATATATATATATATTACTAATACTAATATTCTTATAATTAAATTCAGACCCTTCAAATTCACAGACACATCAAATATCATCACCAACATCATCAACATCCCCACCAACATCATCATCACACCAACAAGGCCATCGAAACTATGGCATCCCAGAATATGCCCGACCTGTAAAGGTCAAACAAGAATATCCAGATGAACGTGATTACCAGCACATCCATCGAGAAACACAAAAACACCACCAACTGCCCGAAAAGACCCCGAGCAGGAAGAGCATGCGACGAAAGACAGCCCAGCAAGAAGAGCCAAAAGAATCACTCTCACAGAAGCGCCAAAGAACCAAAGAAAAGACCCCTGAGGATGAAGAAAAGCGAAAGAATTTCCTAGAGCGCAACAGAATTGGTAGGTCAACTTTTTATTGCCATAGTTACAAAAATTAAACCCTCTGCTTTCTTCTAGCCGCTCTCAAATGTCGCCAGCGTAAAAAGCAGTGGCTGAGTAACCTCCAAGGCAAGGTTGAGTATCTATCCGGAGACAACGACCGATTACAAATGGAAGCCGAGGCATTGAGAGAAGAGATCGTTAACCTCAAGACCCTTCTATTGGCCCATAAAGACTGTCCGATTGCACAGGCCAATGGCTTTCATCCCTCAATCGTCCAGAAACCAATGCAGTCTATGATGCAGCCCATGATGCAGCCCATGATGCGGTCTACTAACCAAGGCGCATCAATGTATTCTTCCCCCGCAAACAACAATAACAATAACAACAACACATCCTCCTCTTCTTATCAAGGAATGAATAATTCCAGTACAAGCCCCACAAGACCCAATACTTCCTCTCCTCTTTCTTCTGTCTCTGTCCCTCACCCCTCCGGATCTGCAGCAGCAGCAGAAGCAGCGCCAATCTCCCGCTCATCACCGTTCTACCACAATAATAATATTAACGTTCGCCAGCAACACAGTATGGTAGCTGGTGGTAGTGGCGTTGGTGCTTCAGCAGGTGGTTCATCAGGTGTCCTACGCTTCTAACTACATATATACATATATATATATATACTTCTTGCAACAACCACAAAAAAAGACAACGAAAATATCCCCTTTCTTTTCCTCTATCCAACTTAGCTACCTACCTTCCTCCTCTCTTTTTTTCTTCCTTTTTTTTTTACTCTTTATTCCTCCGTCAAATTCCTTCACCATAGTTACTTATTTCTTTCTATTCTACACCGTCCTATTCTTCTTCTTTCTCTTATCTTGTACGTAATTTGCCTTTTTTTTTTCTTCTTCTTCTCTCCTATTCCTTTCTATTTTTCTTTAAAAAACTTGTAACCTGCCTACCTTTCTTTGATTCCAACAAAAAAAAACCCCCAAAAAAAAAGACACGCAAAAGAAAGAAAGAAAGAAAGAACGGGCTTCAATCCTTAGTTAATCAACCATGCTTTTATAAATATACATTTATATATATATATATATTTATATATATATCTTGCTCTTTCAATTATCATCATCATCATCATCATACTATTATTTCTTCTTTGTACATTCCAATTTAATTCTATGAATTGTTGTTGTTCTAGCGTTTCTTGAATCCAAACTTCTTTCGTTCGTAGAACAGATCTTTAATAGCAAAAATAATAATAATAAATAGTAATAATAAATATAATAGAAAGTTACCCCCAAAAATAAAATAAAAGAATTTGTTAATAAAAAAAATCCCTTATTTTATACATATATATATATTTGACTTGTTCTTACCTGTCTTTGAAGATCCCAAGTTGATAATCTTTGGACAGCCCTCGCGATCCTTTTCAAGTCGCGTACAGCCCACACAGTAATAAGCATCAGACACACCAGGTGAACCACAGATCACACATCGTCCCTGGAATGAACCTTTTGTTTTTTTATATTGATTCTAATCAGTCCATTATCCTCTTTCAAATCTCTCTCTATCTCTCTCTCTTTCTTCTTTTTATAATAATAATAATGATAGTAGTAGCAGTAGATTCAACTCACCAAAATTGCATTCATCGCAAATTCGTACAAGTGTTGCTGGTCGTACATAACTGCAAGTACACAAATGGTTTAAATTCTTGATCAAATTCATATATATATATATATATATATATATACATATATATATACATATTTAAACAATTTACCTGTCGCAAATGACGCATTTACCATCGCACTTTTCACACAAACGTCCAATAGCAATTCCAGGTTGCTTACGGCAAAAGATCAAATCGGGGTGATGCTTTGCCATAATGTATGTATGTGTTTGTACCAAAGAAGGGAAACAAAAAATAAAAAACTATTTGTTTAATCCCGCTGTTGAATTCATTTATATATATATATATATTATTTATTTTATTTTATTTTATTTTATTTTATATCTTTTTCTGTTTCTGCCTCTTTCTCATTTCCATTTAAAATTATATTATATATAATATAATTTTATATACACTCTCCGCACTAGATTCTGTTCACTTACGTATGTATGTGCGTGTGTGCGTGTGTGTGTGTGCTTGACACAAAATCAGAAGCTGTTGACTGGCGTGACTTGTAAACAAGTGATTCCACACAATATATATATATATAGCTTGTGTAGGGTGTAGGGTGAAGGGTGGATGTCTTTTATACATATAATTTTTTAACACTCCGCACAAAAAAAAATCCAAGCATCAACACTAGTACTTCATAACTTGGGTTTACTTTTTTTTTCTTCCTTCTTTTATAAATATATATAAATATATAGTCTATCCTATTTAAAATGCAAGATTCAAAAGAACCTGAAATTGCCCGATCACCTTCGTTTCCTTCAATCACCTCCAGTCCATTAACAGCGCCGATGGATGAAACCATGTCGACTACAGGCCTTTCTCCGCTCCTTGCCATGGATACACAGCCGATAGAAACATTAAAACAAGAAGAAGTAGAACAAAACATGCAAGACATTCCAGAAGTTGCGATCAAACAGGAATACAATCCAACAGATTCATTGATAATTGATACCGTCATGACTTCAGCAACTGTATCTACTCCAATCACCAACACCATCAGTACAAGTACAACTACAGCCGATTCTAGCTTAGGGGCCCCAATGACTCTACTTCCAATTTCAGCTTCATTCCCTTCTTCAGCAACAACATTACCGGCAGCAGCAGCAGCAGCAGCAGCACCAACTACAATATCTTCAAACGTGATTACACCCATGGATTCTACTCCAACCCCAATCCCAATCACCAATACAAATACAAATACAAATGCAAATGCAAATGCAAATGAAATGACAGCTACAACTACAGTCGCGCCAACACCCACAATAACAGCTGCAACAACCGCAACAGCTGCGACTGCAGTAATTCCCAATACAGCCACAACTACAACTACAACCACAACCACAACCACAACCACAACCACAACGAATTTTGAAGAAATTCAAAAACAATTGAAAAAAACTTTGGACCATGTCGAGCAGCGTAATATGGTTAGTGGATTTCACACATTGAGTAAAGCTACGGGAGCAGTAGTCGATCATTGTGAGCAACTTGGTAAGTACCAAAGTGTGTGTGTGTGTGTGTGTTGCTTTTATTTTTATTTTTATTTTTTATTTTACTGGAACCCTGATGACTTTGTCCGAACCAATAAAACAATCCACAACTCCTTCCTATCTACCTATCTCTCTATCTTTATTTCTCTACACGTATACGTGCACGTACGCATAAATCTATCTATCTATGTGCGATTACATTTAGGTCTCACATCGGACGACCATCCTTATAATGCAATCGATCGTGAACAATTCTGGGCCGGCCTCAACAATTGTTGGTTGTATGCACTTGCACAACGCCATGAACCAAGTTGTGAAACCGAGCGTTTGACGGATCAGCACTTGTATGGCTTGCGAGAAATGGTAGTTGGATGGGCCGATGCTCTGGAGCGCTTTGGCTTGGTGGACTATGAGATGGGATGGTGGGAGGCCGACATTTTGTCAGCAATTGATGCAATTTTGGCTATGAACTATGCGGCAGCCCAAGCAGCGGCCCAAGCTGTAGTAGCTCAGGCCGCTGCTGCATTATTTGGAGAAGAGGTATTGAATGCAGCCAATGACAGTAACAACAATAGAAATAATACCAACATCAACAATAACAACAGTAATAATAATAGCAGTAGTACTGGTACTGGTACCCGTACTGGTACTGGCAGTCATATTAATAGCAATAGCAATAACAATATTAATAATGCCAGCACAAACACAAACACAAACACAAATAACCACAACAATTCCTCCAATAATTAGTTCATTAATTCATATAATTTGTTTCCCTCAATCCGCCTTGAAGAATATAGACCTCTTTTTTCCCTTTTCTCTCTTTCCCTTTATAATAATGCAAGTGTGATGTGAACAAGCGTATGGTGTACAAAATGTTGTAATTGACCCCCTCCACCCCTGAACAACACTCGTTTTTTTTTCGGGGATATTTGACAGCCAGGGCTTTACATATATAGAGGCTTTCCAAAAGAGATTTTTGGATTTGACATCCGACCATTCTTCTTTACGCATCACCTCATTTCGTTTTTTTCTTCTTAATCTTTTTAATCTTATAAACATTTTCACCTTAAAATCAGACAATAAAGAGAGAGAGAGAGAAGATCCTAGAAAAGATGGATTATGGTCGGAATGCATAAGGCTAGAATGTCCATTTCTCAGATTGCTTGACAATATAATGCAGATGAGATAACCATTCGCTATATTATGGAAAGATATAGAAAAACCGGTTCTGCAGAAGGCAGAGCTCGCTCATGGAGACCAAAGCTACTCACATCCAAAGACAAGCAAACACTTTCACAAGGTCATGAAATGAATTAGACACAAGAATCTGATGGGCATTTACGAGAGAAATTGCTGAGATGTCCAATACACCAATCTCCAAAAGTACTTTTCGAAGAATTTTACGCATTTTTAGATCCAAGCAGATGTATTGTATTTCCCGAAGCTCTCTTAGCAGAGACTTATATTGATGCACGAAAGAAACGGGATGAAGAATGGAAGACTTGTGATCTAGAGTGCCGAACCTCGTTTGGTCTTTTTAAGACCGATAGGCCAACACATTTGTGGAGAAGCCCGGATGATAGGTATGATACTGGCTGTATTTAAGCCAAGGATCTAGGGAGATGGAGAATAAGTCATGGTTTAGAGTTGTCTCTGGGCAAGAGGTATTAGTTCCCTCTTTATCCTGGATGGACATATAAATCCAATAATGTATATAAAAGTCCGTAAGACAAATTTATGCCATTATGTCACACGCTGCCATACAAGGACCCTATACACTTCTATTTCCAAGAAGTCAATCCCATGCCACATAAGGCAGCTGCGCCAATAAAGTGTCAAGAAGACCTTGGCATAGATTTTCTAGAGTAGCCTGCCAAGAGTCCCGATCTTAACCCAACCGAAAACATATAGAATCTTTTTGAAGGATTGTGTGCGAGAAGCATTTTCTTGGCCTGTCTAAGAGAGTGAAAACAGTTATAAAAAAAAAGCAAAGGTAGTCATATTTTATTTTAAATAAACTCTTGTAGTTTTTTCAGACAAAATAAATGACCTAGACCTCATTATTACTGAAGCATCCAAGTATCAGTTGCTTACATGAATAGTGAGAGAAATGTAAAGATGGCGTATAGACTTTCATATCTTTTGGAGAGTGTTCAGTTTCAGAAATCTCTTTTGGTACATCTTTGTATATGGTCCCTAAGGATACAAAATATTCGTATCAAGATTTTCTTTTGTGCTTTCAAACTCTAGCAACTTTCTTTCTATCTTTTTAAAAACAAGTTTATGAATTGCTCTCGCACAGGTAACTTACAATTTAATTGTGTTCCCAATTGAAATGAACAATAAGGACAAGTAAAGTGGCAAGAATCTTCTTTAAATTGTTTTGATATTTAAAATAGATTATTTATTGACTTTTTGGAAGGTGTAAAGAAAGTAGTTTACTGACCAGAATATATATTTTTTTTTTCATTTGAGAAGAATCCAATGACATTGTCTTAACAACATGGGAATTTAAAGATTTTCTAATTTAATTATATCAAAAACATTCTTGTTATTATCATATATATATATATTATTATGCACATACTATATACGATGGTAATTGTGCACCCCATTGAAATAAATGGTATAGAAGTAGCTAAACCTAGGGATAAAATGACACACCATATAGCAATTGAATTTATAAAAGAGAACTTTTGGCTACCAAGACAGTTATAGGAATTCGAAAAGCTTTTATGATTAGACAAACGGATAGTGCGAATTGGTAGTAAATACTTAAAATTGATAGCAGCACAAAAGCATATAAAATACTTTAGAAAGAAGTATTATCATAAATGCTAAAAGGTGAGTATAAATTATATGACATAAAGAAAAAAAGAAACTAAACAATGCAATACAAGTCCAATTATTGCTATTTTATTTGAACCAAAAGCTTCAATTTTTGTATGAGTTATGTTTGTTTTTGTCTTTGTATCAAGTATTTAAATATTTGATAAAAACAGCCTTTTCTTTCTTAGAATAGTATGGTTATTGCTGCTTAAACTGCCCCAATGGGGACAGCGGCTTTACCTCGTATATATGTGAAAGAAAGAGAAAGACATGATTTGCGTAAGAAGGCCAATGAATAGTAAAATATCCAACAAGATTGTGTCACAATTTAATGAGAACAGCTCCTTATAATCTTTTTTCTTAGCTCATTATTGATATATTGTATTTTTTCATAGCCAGGTCTAGATGTAGGGTTATTAATCGAATATATTGTATGAATTTCAAAGCACATCATTTTGCCCTGAAGAATTAGAAAAAAATACATGGGGCCCCGAGTATAGTCCGGCTAGACAGAAACATCGTCTCCGTGAGATTACTGATGTTATTGTTAAAGTTGGTCTGTTATGAACGTTTGTCAAAATACCAAGTAATATTTATCTCTATTGATAATAGCAAAAATAAGAATGATTAAAAAAAAAGGTAAATTATTGTGTATATTTATCTACAAGCGATTCTCTTGATAAAAATTCTTCTGTTTCTATCAAGGAAGTGTCTTCAGTGCTTTAAATTATTGCTGTTTTTAAATGGTATACAATATGTAGCAAAGTAAATAAAGAACTAAAATAATCAGTCCACGTATTTAATAACATCTAATATTAACTATTAAGTTTAGAAGGAAAAAGGAGTATGGAGAGGGAGAGAAAGATAATTAGATCAGCGATTATGTTTCTGAAGCTAATCGTTCTTCTTCTTCTTCTTCGTCTTCAATATCTGGTAATGGGAAATTCAAGATTGCAGCTACACCTGAGAGTTGATTCAATTCTGCAAAATAAATAGCCAATTAACCATCTCTTTCCTTTCAAGTATATCCAAAAACTGCCAACCCTATTCTATGACTTACGTTCACCAGAAACATGCAAACTAGAGAATACATAAACAGAGCCACCCATTGCACGCACTTGCTCCACCAAATCAATGTATTTACGACGCGTCTCAACATCCGCAGATCTAAATATCACCATACCACATTATTTAATACTCCAAGTCTTTTTTTTTAAAAAAAAAGAAAAGAAAAGAATAACCGGCCACATACACACACACACAAAGGTGGTGATTATGGCCATGACTATGATGTAAAATACCTGAATAGTTCATCTGTTACAAGCAAAGTACCAATTGCGCCTCTTTCATTGGCTTTGAGTACATGCGAAAATCCATAAAACGCACGGTCGGGGTCGTTGTTAAGCATTTGATAAAACTTATCCAATGCCTGGACTTCACGAGCAGCCTTTGTATCGGCGAGTCGTGCTTGTATAGATGGATCCTGCATGACCTCATTCAGCGCATGTTTGTGCCCGGAAGAACAATGGATCAAGATGAATTTGGATTTGTTTTCCATGATGGTCTTGTTATCTGTTTTCTACGAGCATTTATTAATATCTGCAAACAGTCTATATATCATTTAATTTATATCTATATCTATATCTACATACCACGGCCTGATCCATCATGTACGTGTAGAATTGGTCCTAGAATGAATTGACCAAAGTTAGCATCATTCCTTTTTACACAGCGTTCCCTAGTCTTTTTTTTTGTTTGATTTACTTTTACAAATCCAGGGCTGGCGATGATAATTGCTTTGACAATATCAAAATGAACATGTCTCAGAATAGCTTGATAAATCTGATCATAAAACTTTTGCAATCCCTACTTTTTTTTGTTCAAATGTTATCCCTCAAATAAGACACGCATATATTTATATAAGAAACTTCTTGTCTTATTGCACACCAAATTTACCTTTTCATAATTTGCCACAGATCCCTTTCTCTTTCTTGGAATTGGTGCTTCTATCCGCTGTCTAACAATAGTCATGTGTTGTGTCAGGAAGCATACATTCGCCAGACCTATATATATATATGATAAGGATAAAGTAAAGGACATAAAAGTTAACTTGTTAAATGTTATATATATAATGTGAATAACATTCGAATATACCTTCTTGACACACAACTGCAGCTACATCAGCCTGTTTTGTTACATCACAGGCATCTTCTACTCGCTCCAGAGAAATAGTGTCCCATTCTGGCTTAAACAATGTAAAGTTGCGATTGAGCTCTAGGTCAATAGTGTGATAGCTGCCCATCTATAATAAGAATATCAATTTCATGTTAATGTTCCGCAGTTATCAAACCATTTAAATACAAATATATAAAGCATGCGTACTTTGACATGGGGACTTTCGCTAGCCACCCGACCATTAATTCTCAATAGACCAGCTTGTGGATCGAAATCGACTGTTTCAACAGTGATAGTAAGGACGAGTCTGATACGCTGGCTTGATGTAGATCCAGTACTTGTTTCTGCCTGGAGCCGGCTGTAACAGCAAATAAAATAAAATAAAAATAAGTGTTAGTTTTATCCAAGTAAATCAGATTTATTTATTTTTCTTATTTTTTACCGAATTGTGGTGGCCTTGATCATGTCTCCTTTTGAAATTAGGTTGTAAACATGCCACATGTCTTCAAGCTCTTCGGGATACAGGGTTACTTGACCAGAAGCATCTTTCTCGAGAACTTTTCCAATTAGCTAAAAATATGTATATATATATAAAGAAGCAACAGGTTCAAATGTCTTGCTTCAATGGGATCAACAATCGTGTATTTTTCTAACCTTCATGGTGATAATGTAAGAAAGAAAGCTAAAATAGCATATATATTTTTTTTTCGTCTCGTTTCATTTTATACAGCGCTGTCACATTTATATATTAGCGCACTTTTTTTTTAAAAAAAAAAATGTTGGTGATTATAGGCATTGCCGACAGAGTCTCACAACTCAACCGTAATTTTCAGATCATATCATATCATCATTTTTTCTTTAGGTACTCTCACAGTCACTCAAGTTTCCTTTTTTATAGTAATAATGTATTTGAAGTCGATATATACTGGTTAACATCAATAGGTCGTTTCATCAAAAGATATTTAAAAGAAGTTAAATTTTACTGAGATATCTACTGTACTGCATATATATGTATATATATTAAATAATAATAATAATAACCGTAAAGGTATGGGACTGTTGTAATTTTCCTTACTGCTTTATTTAATTATTTTTGCGGGTTTGTTTCAGTTTTGTTCAAAAAGTTTAATATTTCAAGCACACGTATTTTTTCTTCTTCTTCCTGTAGTCCAAAATGCTTCAATAAGCCTTGTAAATCTGTATTACCTTGATTGGGTGGTTTAAAAATTTGATATGAAAGTTCTACAAGTCTATACCTATATCTTTGTCTCTGATATATTATACATATTATATATTGAAAAATGAAGAATGAAAAAGTATATATATATTTTTTTTAAAATTCAATTACCAGTGTTGAATAAGTTATGCACGTGTTTTAAATAACCGCTACTTTTTATACATTTTGCTTTCGTTCAATGTACTTTCAACCAACACAGCTTTCGACCTCTCGTCGCCCTGACCTAAAAGCAGGGGAATCATTAATAGTTCAACAAGCAAGTGTTGGTCTGTACGAAGGGTAAATCTTTATATTGCATTCTTTTCTTTTCTTTTCTCTTATTTTATTTTTATTTTTATGTTATTTCGAAAGAAATAAGAAGTGGTTCTAAATGCATACGTATACGCATTAGCAAAAATAAAGTCGAATCTGCCCAAGATGGTGTATGTTACCTGACATCTCATCGCATAATCTATGTCGACAGCAAGGATTCAGGACAGAATTCTTGTGAGATTCCACTCAATTCAATCAGAGAAATCGAGAGTTATGCAAGTTATCAATCATATTAAAGTTGTATATCTATATGTATACATGTGTGTGTTGGAAAGGATAGTTTAATTACTTTTATTGATTTACAAATGTACATATGTATATGTATATATGTATATATGTATATACATCCAGGGAGGATTCTTAATGTCATCACCTAAATTGATTCTACATTTGGATGTAAAAGCACTCTCTGACCATTCACGACCTCCTGCTCCAGTAATCTCTACATCTGTAGCCGGAGTGTGGGCTTGTCCGATTTGTTTTTTTACCAATCAAGCAACTGTAGACAAGTGTCAATTGTGTGGTGTTCGGCATGTAACCACCAATGATAATAACAGCTCACCTTCTCAACCACAAAAACAAACGCAATCAGTTCAGCAACAACACCGACAACAACAACAGCAGCAGCAGCAGCAACAAAACCAATTACCAGCAAATGACGACGGAAATGGTTCTCATTGTCGTGTGTGTACATTTATCAACCATCCAAGCCTAAATCAGTGTGAAATGTGTGGTGCAGATTTGATTACAGAACCCTTGTTTACCGAGAATGCTATCGAATCTTTGGTCATTGAAGACGATCCGCATGTTCGTATTGCTTTTAGACACGGAGGTCAACCAAGATTCTTGCAGAATCTCAAAAATGCAATTCAGGTCAAGGCATGGGAAGCTCCAGTGATAGAAGAGAGTGTGCCTGTGATCAAGTCAAAGGGAGTTGGTATCAGTGAGTGTATTAAAATCACACGCTTGTATAAATAACCAAATAATCAATTCTAACATTTCTTTGTATGTGTGTGTGTGTGTGTATATATATATATTATTTATTTAGGTGCTATTCGAGAAAGAGTTGAACAATCTACTCAAAAGGCCAATGATACCATGTCAGATGCTTTTCAGGATCTCAATAGATTGATGACCAAGGCTACTGAAATGGTAACTAAAGAGTTGTATTACAATAAACAAAAAAAAAATAGGTTATTAATTATTGATGGATATTACATATGTATGAATTAAATAGGTTAAATTGGCAGAATCTATTTCTTTGAAAATGAGCAGAGATATAACGACTGACAATGACAAGGATATGGCAACACTCAAAGGATATCTTTTAAATCTTGGAATAGCAAGCCCAGTAACTCGGTGAGTTATTTATCTAGAAGAAATTTTAGTGGTTTGCAAGCTACTTAACTAATTACAATATATATATATATTGTATGTAGTGATTCGGCTGGATCGATATATCACCAGGAACTTGCACGAGAACTAGCAGATTTTCTTACAAAATTCCTTGATTCGAGTGACAGTATCAAGTCTCTTGCGGATGTGTATTGTATTTTCAACCGTGCACGAGGTGTAGGCAAGTCATCTTATATGTTTAATACATTTATTACTATTATGTATACACAAGTCTAATGACATTTTAAATAACTCTACATTGCACTATTATTTTTAAAACTAAACAAAATTTATATATCTATATAGCTCTGGTATCTCCTGAGGATTTGTATAAAGCAAGCACTCAATTTGAATCACTCCAATTGCCTTTTCGCTTAAAGAAATTCCCAAGCGGACTGCTTGTTGTTCAATCGGTGGCTATGGATGATGATCAGGCAGCTTCTCGGATATTGTCACACGTCAAAAACCATGGTCATCTTACAGCCTTACAGTTGGCTGAAATAGAACATTGGGCTTTGGCAGTAGCTAGCGAACAGCTTCTGGTAAGTTTTATTATTATTTTGTCTACGCGATTTGTTAATCTGTTCCTCTGACACTCTGTGTTTTGTGTTTTCACAAAGATGACTGAACAAAAAGGATTGTTATGTCGCGACGAAGGACCTGTTGGGTTAACCTTTTATGAAAATCTGTTTTGTTCTGTAAACTAAATACAAGAAAGAATAAAAACATTCTCCCACTTTTATATCAAGTATATATATATATATATATATATGAGAGTGTGTTTTTGAAATTCAAATGGCTTTGTCTTCTTCCTCTAATGTAAAGATTGTTGACGCATGTAGTAAAATGGAAGGATTTACTTTTTTTTTTCATTTTCATTTTCATTTTTATTTTTTTTTGGAATATAAGATATATTTATATGATATCTTGGCTACTTTTTGACTTCCCGAAACATGTTGTGATTTTTCGAAAAGCTTCGAAAGAGCCTTAAAAAAAAAATTATTGATTGAGATTCTGTCGCTTTTTATGCTTTTTCCTTTTTTTTTGGTGAAGTAATATTCAACAGTCATACAAGGCTTGTCACTGTGACTTCTTTCTCTTTATTTCTCTCTCTCTCTTGCTATATTTTTTGCTTTCTTATTTCTTATTGGCTATTAAAAATGATCCGCCATCTGAATTGTAAATCAGACAAACACTGTACCAAAGCTTTGGGGAGAAGACTGTAGTATTTAATTGCCCTGGAATCTGTTGCTTGACTTGGCTGTTTCCTTCCTAATACTTGGTCAAACAAAACGATCTGAAATCTCTACCTCAAAATGCGAAAAAATAAATTATTGCGGTTTTTTTTTCTAGGTCTTGCGTAATGTGGCATGTAGATGACCAAATGAGAACTGAAGAATAATTGAAACGAAATAAAATAAAGTAACACCCTAAATATAAGGGGATGAGCAAAGGACTCTTCCTCTACAAACTTTTGATCAATAACAAGCAGTAGATGAAGAAGTCAAGGCAGCCTGTTAAAGCCTCTCATATTTAGTGATTTGTCGATTAGTAACAACTACAATTTTGTAGTGGATAGAAAGGAAAGAAGGCGAAAAAGGAACTTTGCTAGACGTTGATGTCAGATTCATGGAATATGTTTATAAAGCTACTGAATTGATCAACAAGAGCACTTTCTTTCATATTCCACAGAAACCTATGCTACAAGCAAATATCAAAAATAGGATCATCAGTAGCCACTAGTGCTCCTCAAACTAATGTGGTTACTGCTGGCGTGCTGAAAGACCTTGAAAGCAATGGACGCTATTGATTCCATAAAAGAGACTCTTTTATGTGTGTATTTTAATTCCAAAAAAAAAAAAGATTGATGTATTACTTGTACGATAAGTCACCATATATGGACACAATTATTATTTTTTTGTGATATACGAATATAATTTATCTTTGAGGCTTTAATTTTTTTTTATTCCGAATAGAAGGCACCTGTTTAACGGGTTCCAAACCACAGCACCTTTCCACGTTAAACATGCTGTCTTTGTCTTGTATTGCTTTGTTTTGCCCTGTTCTTTAACGTACCTATAGCTGTATAATAAGGATAAGGGTAAGGATAAGGGTAAGGGTAGCTCTTATATGATATACATACTGTTATGCTTTGGTATTGATGGAAAGTCTTACGAATAGGGTATTTACTGGTAACAAATGAATTAATTTTAGAGAGTGCTCGGAATGACCCGGCACCATTCTCAAAACAAAAGCAAAAATGAAACACACATATGTATGTACCTATTTGTTTGCCCTATTTTATTTTATTTTATTTTTGAGTTAAATGACCAGTGAATGAACCAACTCTATAATTATACTTCTTCATTTCAATTTCCATTGTCTTGATGAACTTTTAAGAAAGTTTCATTATTGCGGAACTAATTGGGTTGTTTAGAGTTTATTTTTAAGCACGATGAATATAGGACTTTGTTATCAATTTACTGGCTGTAAAGTAGTAGGTTGAGTAGGTATAATTGCGATTATTTTCTCCTCGTTTTGCTGCTGGTTAATCAGTTAATTGGCTGGTAAATGTTCAGAATATTTTATTACATATTTATATTTTTAGATTTTTATTTTATATATGTGAGTATGTAATAAATGTAATAATAATATATATACTCCCCTTCTCTCTCCTTGGCTTTGGTTTTATCACTTTTATATTTTATTTCTTAAAGATAATATATATAAATAAAATACTAATAATTATGAGCCTAATTGGCATTAATACTGACATATTAGTCAGGCAAAATTTAGTCTCAAGTTCAAGGCAATAATATTCATATTCACCAAAAATCATAAGATCCTTTTCCTTCCCCTTCCTTTGACGATGATGAAGATGAAAGATTGGCAGACCATCTCAACCATAATATTTGAATGTCCGCCATGTCTCTACTATTACTCTATCTCTGTAGCTTGACACGCTTTGTCCGAACCGACTATTTTTTTTATATATATATATTTTTTTTGTATTTTATATTTCATTTCATTTCATTTCCCTACAAGCCAGTTTTCCCACTTTAACTCCATTCTTGTACTCCAAAGACGTCTCTCTTTCTCTCTTTCTCTCTTTCTAGCTTTTAAATACAGCAAAAAAAAACAAAACTTCTCTTGTGCACTCAAACATCGTCTCTTCTCTATTTATTTTTTTACAACCAGCGACCAAAACAAGCCTTAACTAAAGAAACACTAATACATTGCTTTCCAGACCTTTCTATCTACACATCACCGACATTCCAACCAGCAAAAACTAAAGCCAATGAGTAAGTTGATCTATGCTGCCTTTCACTTTGTGTCAGAGTAAAGAAAGAACCTGTCCAGCAAAACTCCATCAGACACATTCCTCTCTCTCTCTTGGTCTTTGTCCATATATCTATTTCTATTGCCTTTAAATACATAAACACACACACACAAATATATATATATATATATATGTATATATGTATATAAACGACAATCTGTTACAGTCAGTCATTGCTTCACACACCACAATGTCTACCATTATATCATGTTTCTTGGGTTGAAATCAGTCAGTCGCTCATGCCAGTTCCCTCATCCTCTTTTCTAGCTTCCCCTGCACGTAGAAGCCGGAAGCAGACAACCAAACCAAAGCCGGTCTCATCCGATGTGGAGAGCTCGGACGGTGGCTCTGTGACACGCTGTGTGTGTGGAGAGCAACGTAAGTAAAAGCAAATATATTTAGTAAATTAATTAGTTAAGGTGCTACTTGATAGTATGCTATATATCTAAAGAACAATAAGCCAAAAAAGAAAAGAAAAGAAAAAAGAAAAGAGGAGGAAAGGGGAGGAGGAGGGGGTTTCTTCTTGCTCCTGGTGGCGGCGGTGTATCAAGCTTCAAAAGCATGCCCTTGAATTTTCTCTCTCTCTCTCTTTCTCTTTATTTCTCGATTCAAATGGTGCATCTGCAAAAATAAAATATACTATAAAATAAAATAAAATAAAATAAAATAAAATAAAATTTATACACATACCTACCTACCTACCTACCTACCTACCTACCATATATATATATATATATATATATAACTGTCCCATTCATATAGCATAAAATAATGAAAGACTCTTATTCATCTATATACTTCTTTATTACCTTTCTTGTTTTCTACCCTCATTTTAAATTTTGCTCTAACCTATTGTATCTTTAGACAATGTCGGTCTTATGGTCCAGTGTGAAAGCTGTGAAGTGTGGCAGCATTGTGACTGTATTGGTATGGGTGAAAATGATCTTCCGGATCATTACTACTGCGATCAATGCCAACCAACGCAGCACAGTGCCCCGAAACCGCATGGGCGGTAAGTAATAAGTAACATTTATCATTACCGTTTAACTTATTCCTTATGTATATGTATATATATATATATGTCTGCTTATTTATACAGGTCAAAGCGATCTTATAGCCTAAGTAGTACCAATGATCCCGACACTCCCAAACCCGAATCTCCAGCAGAAAGCCGTCCCAAACGGCAAAAACGAGTCAACACTCCTCCCACGCCAACCCTTATTTCAAATTCAAATTCCACAGCCACATCAACTTCATCAACCTCAATAATATCAACACCAAATGCATCCACAAACTCAACTAGCCGAAAGTCGTCCAGAAGAGCCTCCACACTCTCTGACCACCCCTTGACAGAATCACCAACCAGCCAAAGCATGTCTGAAATGATCCAAGATAGTATTACTGCAACTACAGACACAGCTATGCCTATGGCTATGACTATAGCTATGGGTACGGGTACAGTCCAGCCCCTCTTATTTGCACAAATTCCTATCACAATCCCAACGGCCACCTCTCCCACAACCTTATCTGCATCTGCATCTGCAACTGCTAGTAGTGCTACTGCTATTGATAGCGCTAGTGCTTCTACTGCTGATATTACTACTATTGCTACATCTTCATCTAAAATTACTGCTACAAGTGCTTCAACTGCTACAGTAGCAGCACCATGTCCACCACCAGCACCATCTTCCAATGAAAGCGAACGTCAAACACGGTCACGTAAAAGTGCACGAGCAGAAGAAGGTGGCCCAGAGGAAAAGCTGATGGATCCTCTTCCACCAACCTCTCGAAAACGGAAAAATGCCCAAGATTCGGCTGCTGCAGTAAGAAAACGATCCTCGGTATCAAGTGCAACATCAACTAATAATAACAATGACACTAATGGCTCGGCATGTGATGAAAAACCACCAACAAAACAGACCACCGCCACAGGCCGTCAACGTAAAGCCCGCAAACTCAGCCAGACCGAGATTGCTGTAGAAGTTGCTGCCTATTGGGATGCAAACGGAAGACCCATCAGAGCCACATCGCCACCTGCAAAGTCTAAGAAACCGAGTCCAAAGATGACGTTTGTGGACATGAATAAACGTGTCAGCTCTATTCTTGCTTACATTACCAAAAAAGAACAAGAAGCCAAAATACCGGTGGCTTCTCAAGATACCAACAAGGAATGTCGTACAAAACCTAAAAAGACAAAGGCCACAAAGCAGCAATCAGCAAAATCAACAAAGGCAGCAAAACAAACCTCAAATTATGTTTCCCACAAAGACAAGGAACCATTAGGATTGGCTGTTCTCACAAACACATTCAATTCTGTGCACTCTGTGGCCTTTGACCAGGTGCGTCCGACATCTCCATCAAGTCCACCAGAGTTGTCTGCGTCTTCTACTTGCTCCGATCCGAGTAGTGTTGGTTCTGGGCAGTCTGTTGGGCCCATGATGTCTCCTAGAGATGTGATGGGATTACTGAGCAGAGAAAATGACTCTATTGAATACCATGATTCCCGGCGACATTCCACCTCATCTACGTCTACTCTCAGTAGTGAGTCAACTATTCCGTTTATAAATGACGCATCGCTATCACTATTATCATCAGAAGAAGAAGAGGCTAGTAATAATAACTGTTATTTGGATGTCCATGCCAAAGATAATCTCCTCGAGTGTTCATGTCTTATTCATCCAGCCATGTACTCGACCCATATCTGCCCTTCCAATAGCAATAACCTGACTAGTACTGCTACTGCTACTGCTACTGCTAATAGTACAACTACTCCTGTTGAACACATGTCACAAATTCATCTTGATAGGTTAAGTTTTGATATTTCCAGGAGCGTTCGTGTTGAGAGTTCATGCGATATTATGCGGAAGGTGCGAGGCCTCATTGACAAATTCCAGCGCACTTATACCGGCTTCGTATAATTTAGCCGAAGAAACGAAAAGAAAAAGAAAATATACTACTCCTATTTTATTCTTCTTGTCTCTTTTGTCCGTCGCTCGTATATCTATTATTCATTTCTTCTGATATATGGATACTTGTTCAAAGGTTACGTTTGACCCAGATAACCAAATGAATATACACTTCTTTTATTCTATTTTATTATATTTATTAACTATTAATTCTTAATTAGTTCGTAGCCGCTTATTTCCCTTAGATCGACTGTATTGCATCCTCTGTATTTCTCTTTCATTCATTCAGTCTCTTATTTATTACATTCATTCGCTTACTCACTTACTTACTGCACACACTACATACACATACACACATACACATAAAAGCAATACCTAAAGAGACAGTACATAACCTTGATCTTGTCCTTGTTATATAAATAATAAATAAATAAAAAACAATTCTTTACATATTTGAGATCATTTTCTTATGTATATAGCATAGCTGGTCATTGAAAAATATTGTTTCGGCTAATATTATGAAAATAAGTGATCATTAAGGATATGAGAGACCTTGACTGCATACTTTAATAGAAGCATCTATCCTTTTCGATCATAATAATAATAAACAAATAGACTTTCATCCCTAAGCACAGTCAGGAATCCCTCCCCCTTTTTTTTTAGTATTTTGTTTTATCCATAGTCATTAATATCTTTAGAAAATTATAAATAATCGTCAACACCTGGGATTATAATTATAGCTGCAGAAAGTGTTTGGTGATCGTTATATTTTCTGCGGTTTCTTATTCATAAGCATTAACTTACATGACATAAAAAGAAACGATTCTAAAAGCTTCCTAAGGTTGTTTCAAGAATAGGTCTTTTGTTACTCTGAGCTGCAGGGAAAATATTCTTATTAGACTGTTTTTTAAAGCAGAAATAATATGAAGAAAGGCAACCAGATCAAATATTAAATATCAAATTTTAGATTTACATTTCAACCATGACAGCTGTCACTGTTTCGACTCTCTGTGTTTGATTCTTTCATCAGGCATTTTGTTACACAAAGTTAGACAAATAAATGACAATAATTTATATACAATTTGTTTGTTTTTTGATAATAAATAAATAAATAAATAAATAAATAAATAAATAAAATAAAATAAAGAAGGCTTGATATCTGAAAATTATCTAAATTATTCATATAGCATAGAAAGGCATAGAATAACATATTGTTATCATTCGTTATTACTATTGGTGCAATTTAAAGCTATATATGTATATATGGTTATATCCCCTTTAAACAACATAAAATACAAGAAATTTCTTGTCATGTCTAAAATTAGTAAATCTAATCAAAAACTGTACTGAGTGCCTGGTTATTTTATATTCAATAATTTTTTATTATTGATCTGTAAAAAACAAACAAAAAAATAACTTATGCAATTTTAACAAGATGCAGATGTTGTGACTCGCATATCTATCTATCTATCTATCTAACTATTCAAATATCTAATAAAATAAAATAAAATAAAATAAAAAAATATATAAAAAAAAGGTTAAAAGAAAAGGTAGATAAGTTCTTTTCATTGAAAGCTTATTTAAAGGTGCGCCAAATAGCTTTAATTATCTCCATTTTTATTTCATTATTTTATTTTCAAGTCCAAAAAGAAAAAAAAGACTCATTCTCAACCTAATAACCACAAATGAATGACCAAAATGCCCTAAAGACCCTTATCATTGACAACTACGATTCCTATACATTCAATTTACTCCAGCTCTGCAAAAACGAAACTAATGTCGTTGTCATTCGCAATGACCAATTTACTTGGTAAATGAATAAGAAGAAGAATCCCGGCAAAAATATTCATATTCATATGCCTTCTTCATATTACGCAGGGAGGAATTCAAGACGAGAATTCTACCTTGCTTTGACAATATCATCATTTCTCCCGGACCAGGAAGACCGGAAAGAACCACAGTAAATATATTGCATACATTTTTTTTTTAAAAAAAAAAGAGATGATAATAAAGAGATAGAAGTTTGGTGTTGTGATCTGACAGGAAACCTAGAAAAAATAAAATACAAACCATAATTGTCTTGTCCATTTTAGGACTTTGGCATAGGAGGTCCTCTTTTACAAGCACAATCAGATCCAGCTCAAAAGTCACTTCATCGTCCAATTTTTGGAATCTGTCTTGGCCACCAAGGGATTGCCCATTATCTAGGCGGAAAGGTATAAATAACCAGGCATCAATTTGTTGTACTGATTTAGTTTGATTGCGTATTTAATAAAGGTTGATTATGCACCAAGAATCATGCATGGTCGTATGTCCCAGATACACACCATCAGGCACCCATCAACTACTTACAAAGATATCATGTATCATTGTCCTTCTCCATTTTGGGCAGTAAGATATCACTCACTTGTTGCTGATGAACAAGGTAAGTCGGTTATAAAACAGCAATACTCTCGATCAATCGATCGACCGACCGACCGACTTATTCACACCACATACATATACATATACATATACATATACACACACACACATATATATATATATATATATATATCCGGAAATTCAAAGCTCTACCTGAATGTCTTGTGGTTACAGCCTATTGCTATGAAAATGATGCCGATGTGGATACCTTGAAAACAGCAGCTTATTTGGCAGACAGTGATACAAGTGCTTCCTCTACTGATCTCCACAAAAATCATTTCTTGCCTCACCCACCTACCAATACTAGTAGTGGCACCGAGCAAAAAGGAAAAAGGACTATTATGGGTTTCCAACACAAGACCTTGCCACTCTGGGGCGTTCAATTCCATCCCGAGTCAGTGTCAACAGAATGCGGGGAGCTAATGATGCAAAACTTTGCTATCCAAACTCTTGAATGGTTGAATAAGGTGAGGCAATTTTACCATTACCTTTTTCTTTTTTCGAGTCAGTACACCAAGTCCTAAATAGAAATCCTCATAATACGTGTATATATACGCTTACATATGACTCATGTTTACCAAATGATATAAAATAATTACTTTGCAGCAGCAATCTGACCGATCATTGTGTTACAAACCCCTTGACCTTGATGTGCTAAATATCTCAGTGGCACACCCAAAACTACCATTGTTACACCACATTGATGAAGCCACCAAGTCCACATTCGAAGTTTATTCTTCAAAGACAAAATGCCCCATTTGGATTGACCCTGAACTTCTGGTAGAAGAAATGTTGAGGAACCAAACTGGGCACAATGACATCCAGACGAAGGCAATGAGCTGGTTGGATAGTAGTCGGGTAAGATATACATTTACATTCATTTTGATTTTGGTTGTGATTCTGTAAAACAAAATTCTTATAATATATATCTATATTATCTAGAAATCATCACCCTATGCAAAAATGTCAATCTTGTCTGTTGACCCTGCATTCTCACTCACATACTCCACCCTCCATCGCCAAGTCAACAGACAAGATAGAAACGGCAAATTATCTTTTGAAAATCTGGTCGGTCAAGAGAGCTTCTTTGATTATATTTCAAAGATCCTTGGAAAACCAGACACCACTGTCAAGTCGCATCCATTGAATCACACCGACAAACTTTCGTTTGAGGGAGGGCTAATAGGCTACTTTGGTTATGAAATGAAGCGAGAAAGTCTGGATGGCTACAAGACTCCTAACGAACAGATGTGTGCGTGTGCTTCTAGTCAGAGTCAGAAACACCAGCAGCATCCAAGCAGACCAGAAGAATGCTGTGCTTCTTGTTGTCTCTATGAACCAGATGCTGCCTTTCATTTTATCGATAAATTCTGGATATTCGATCACACCAGCCATTCTATATACATCTGCTCTCTTGTTCGTCCAGAAACTTCCTCTCAAAACCCTGGACCTGGAATGGATCCAATATCTGCCTCAAGGTGGCTAGAACAGGCCCAAGACTTGCTCAAACAAACCCAAATTGCCCATCAAAAGAAGATGATGGCCGAAGAATATACCAAGCTGACCCCAGTGTCGTCAACCTGCACCAGTCCATTACCGGGAATACCAACTTCTGTTGATATTAATAATATGGCCGGATCTGACTTGTTTACTGCAAATGTACAACACGATACATACCTAGACTCGATCCAAAACTGTGTCAATGAGATCAAGGAAGGAGAGTCATATGAGATCTGTCTCACCACTCGATTCCGATGCGCTTTACCGAAAGAACTGCGGCCGAGAATGGAAGACCCGGCACTCTGGAGGTTGTATACTGACTATCTACGCAAAAATAACCCTGCGCCGTTCTCGGCCCTGATATCTTTCCCGATGGCAAACATGACTCTCATGAGCTCAAGCCCGGAACGTTTCCTGAGTGTGACGGACGGAGTGGCCGAAATGAAGCCGATCAAAGGAACAGTCGGTCGTGCACTCCAGTGTGTCTGCAAAGAAGACACCTGTGACCGATCATTAAACTGTGAAGAAGAAAGGTTACGGGAAGACGATAAACGAAAACAGAGATTATGGCAAGATGTCAAAGAAAGAGCAGAAAACCTAATGGTAAAGTTAAAAAAAAACCAAATTCAAAAACTAGCTACATATATATATGGTATTTAGGGCTTTATACTAATTTAACCCTAAATTATTGCTGTTTAATTCAAGATTGTGGATTTGATTCGTAATGATCTTGCCCAAGTATGCAAGCCTAGTAGTGTGCAGGTTCCCAAGTTAATGCATGTCGAGACCTATGAAAAGGTGCATCATTTGGTATCAACTGTCCGTGGCACATTACGGCCGCATGTAACCACTGTTGAAGCTGTACGAAAATGTTTTCCTCCAGGTAATTACTCGTTTTCTATTTATTTATTTATTTATTTTAAAATCCCTCTTCTCCTCTTTACTATTTTGCGTGTGCGAGAGAGAGAGATAGAGACAATAAAGGTTCTCATTTATAATTTTTTGATTTTTTTTGTTATCCTTAGGTTCTATGACGGGTGCACCAAAATTGCGGTCTGTTCAGCTTTTGGATCAATTTGAACACAACAAACCTAGGGGGGTTTATTCTGGCTGCCTTGGGTACTTTTCTTTGAACGGTAACGCGGATTTTAATGTTGTTATTCGAACAGCAGTAATAACATCCCAGAACGACAATGGTAAAGAATATTGCTACTGTTACTATCATCTTAGTACGTCACTAATTGTCTTTTTTACTCTTAGTTGAAGTGTCAGTCGGAGGAGGTGGAGCAATTACCTTCTTGTCAGAGCCTGAACAGGAATGGATCGAGACCCTTTTAAAAACAAAGAGTGTGGCACCAAGGTAATATTATAATTATGCATAAAACATATCTTGTCGAAATCGATTAACGAACTGGAAATATTTAATAGTGTAAAGGAGTTCCTTGACGATCTCTAAGTTATTGGCATATATCTATCTATCTATTCATCGATAAATTATTATTACTATGTATATAAAGTCATCTCTCGATAATTTCAAAACCAAAAGGGGGACTGAGTGCCTTGAAATTAAAAAAAAGAATAAAAAAATAACGAGTGGGGATTATAGATTTTCTGATAAAGATAGAGGGTGTCAAAACACGCTTTGTTAGAAGCACTCCTATATACAATATAAGAAAAAAAATTGGCAGCCAAGTATTATCATAGCCTGATTGACTTGAAATCATTCCCCGTTAAGAGCATCCCACAGCGGTTTGTGTAAACTCGCCAATATGTAAATTTAAATAGAAAATTTAGATTTTTTTTCATCCACATTGGTTTATCTAAATAACTGCTTTAGCCATTTTTTTAAAGACAATTATTTAACAGATATATAAATTTGGCGCTTCAGTAAAACATTCGAGCAATAAAAAAAAAAGATGCGATTTCAGAATTAGATAAACCGCTGTGGATGCTCTAAGGATTCAAGGCCAAGAAATTATTGTGAAAGTGAAATTAAAGGGGGGATTGAAATTATCGAGGGACCACTGTAACCTTGGCTAGTCCGGATGGTCATTGTGGAGACACTGATTTTAGGGGCCCGACATTTTTATTCTACTGGACCGTAAATCGTGTCCTTTTTGCCGGCACCAAATAACTCTATCTGGTCGCTAAGGCTCCATTCTTATTATAATAATTAATACAAAGCCAGGATACAAAATATTCATAAATATTTTTCTTTTGTACTTTGCAAAGAATGTTAGGTAAGGATCACTCACCAGTTTGTGCTCTAATCTGGGAATACAAGCAGAGGAAAGAAAGAAAAAGTCATTCTACGCGTAAGAAGGTTAAATAAAAAGTAAAATATTCAACAAGAGGGTCTTATATAACATCATCGACAGTATATTTATTGACGATTTTGTCTTGGATAAATATAAGAAGAAATTTTTATGTTCTCCCAATATGCTGATTTCGTACCTTGTTCTTTTAGCTGGACTGTTGGTTTTTGATAATGACTTTTTTTGGAAAAAATATATATACAAGGCTTAACCTTACTCTTTGCCATTGTCCAGAACTATTCTATTGGATTAAGCTCAGGAGAGAGAGTGGAAAGATAGATATAATCCTGTAAGAAGTTCATATCTGTAATTTCCCATTTACAAAACCCAGTTTGTGCCATTCTTTAATCACCGTAGCAAAGCGGTTTTCGTTAATGAATTTTAGGAAAGTCGCTTTATGGATTTTTAATCAGGATACTCTGTTACAACTGTCAACGTTGTTGCCAGGAAACAAAATATTCTTCCAAGAAAACTATTTGGTTTCTAAGGATACGACTTTTATTTCCGAATAAATATGAAAATGATTTTTGATTGGTCACAAAATCGGTTGTTGGAAGCACTATGCAATCAGCTTAATATGGAAAGCACTCCCACCCCTCTGTTAAATTACATTATATTACATATAAGGGTTATGCTTATAATGGTATAAGTTTAAGAATATGCACCCTTGAATTCGATATTAATAGGCTAAGAGAAGAAGAAGAAGAAAAAAAGGATAATTACTATTGTTCACCCCCTTACCCTGACAACGCACCCAGAAAAATAAAATAAAGAAGTATATTTATGCTTCTCCTTGTCATAAAAATAAATTCTATATATGTACTGTCTTTTATGCATTATGTAATATTTTTCAATGCTACAGTTTGATCAAATAAACATTTTTTTGGGGGTGCAACAAATTAAGATTGGATATCTCACTTGTTAATACATATATAAAATAGTACAGGGATGGGGTGGTGGGAGGTGAAGAGATGAGGATTATATAAAGTGTCTATTATGTATTGTTGAGATAAGGGAGATTTGGCTTAACAAGAGCGTTAATAGCCGTAAGGAACATGTCAGATATTATATTCCTAGTTGTACTGCTTGAAGGTTAAAGGAATATGATAGACAAAAAAGAGATTACAAAGAAGAAGAAAAAGGGTCTATCTCAAAATAGGAATGAAGATGACCACCCCCAATTCTTATTAATTTTGTTTCTTAGAAAACAAGGGACAATATTAAGATAACATTACGCATTTTATTTTTTATTATCATTCATGACATTGTCTATCGATCATATAATTAAAAAGGGGTGGCGATCTCAACTTAAATTCACGATTAAATCCGAAGAAGAAATTTGTCATATCAATTCTTAAAAGGCCAAGCTTTTTTTTTTTTCATAGCTCTCACAAAACGGAGAAAACACCTGCTTTAATTTTATTGTTCTTATTAAGAGCGTTCGAATCATAATGGTCATAGAGAATATCAAGAACCTCTTCTTTTTCTTGAAAATCCTTGTACCTTGACCCTAATTTTTTTTTCATTCCAAATTACATCTGACGTTTAATAGCGGCGATTATGGGGAAGAGGGTTTTGGAGATTTTGGGTAAACATCTTTCTTGTCTTTTCAAGAGATAACCAAAATAAATCACAGATACCAAATACATTTGTTGCATAGCAACAATATAATATTGGTCATGACAGATAGGAGGATATCAGAGGAGGAAAGAAGGACTAATGTGATATTTTCTCTCTGTCTTGTTCTTCTTTTTATTTTTCTTTCCCGTAGAGTTAGTAAAGTTCTAACCGGTTTATATGTAGAGTTATTTGGGAGCTTTATGTTTATACAAAGGGAGAATAAACCAAACCTACATATTGAATAATGCTTTTATTAGTTTAAAGAAAAGGAAGGGGTGGGGAAAAGAACTCTGGCTCGGTGTTGAAAACCTCAGTAGTGTTGTCTTGTTAATCGCTCACAGGTGTTGTAAAGCATAAAAGAAAATTGTATATCAGAACAGACAAAACTCTATTAAAAGTGGAGTGCATTCTTCGTAAAACATATAAAGAAAAAAAAGGATACTTATTCACATAGCACTTCTTTCTTTTCTTATTTTAATACATTTGCTTAATTTTTCTTCTGTGTTCATATATACACAAATCTATTAATACAGCACAATTATCAGGGTAAAAAGAAGGGTTAAATTAGAAAGATAGAGAAAGCGAAATAGACTTCTTTACCAGTTAAAGGGCTTGTGCTCAATATAATTATAATGACCCATAAAGAATTCTTTTTTGGTTTTTGCCCTGTGTTCTGACCCTTTACAAAGCTCATACTCGTCAACACACCTTACCTTTATCCTCTTTTCCGTACCCCCAACTTTTTTTGTTTGCTCTTTACATAAACTCTATTACAAAACTCTACAAATTAAGCTGCACCCCTCAATCTTTTTTATTTTATTTTTATTGGTCCAGGTTGGGGGGGGGGGGGACTTGCAACAAAACTAATGCATACACACACACACACACACACAGATCTAGATGTTCTTTCTTTCTTGGTTTTGGTTTGCTGTACTCATATTAATTAATGTACTCATTTCCATAAGTCTTATTTAAGGGGTGGCAACCCTTCCTCTTTTATATTGTCTTTCAATTGATACTATAAACTCTTTTATCATAAGAATCTGTGCTCAATACGTACTATTTTACCAATAAAAAAAAAGTGTAATTAAAAAGGATCACTTTTTTTTATCAAAATTGCAAATTAAATACAGAAAAATTTAGTGATATATATCTAAATCCGTACTGTGCAATAGGCAGACTCTGTAATCACCTGTCAAACCAAACCAAACTGTTTACTTGTCCAACGCGGATAAAATCACAGGCTAAAACTTTGCTAAATTTATTAGCAAAATAGATAATAATCTGACTGCTCTTAGTTGTCGGTTTTGTATTTTTACTGAATTGTGGCAGAAATACCACACATACAAATAGACTTGTACTCTCTTGAATAAAGACTGCTACTCTGCTACCTATAGCTCTGTCTATTAAAATATTTCTTATAATATCTGGTACGTCAATAATACTCTTCAGTTATTGTCTCTGATTCTTATAATTATCCAATCGTAAATATTACATTATGAACTAAAAAAAAAGATTTTGCTCTTATTCTTTCTTCCACTATTTACGGTACATCATGACAGTAGTACTTGAAGCATAATATATTTCTTTAATTTATTTGCGGTAGCCTGGCATTTGAAGAATTGTACTCGAGTACTTGATACATTTGTCAGTTTAATGTTTTTCTGATTAAAAGCCAGGAAGTATTTACTTGAGTGCGCGCTCGTGCGTGTGTACGCTCGTGCGTGCGTGCGTGCGTGCGTGCGTACATGTATATGTGTATGTGTATATGTATGTGCATATCTGTGGCTGTTAGTATGTATCAAAGGAGACACTCCGAGATTATTGTTTTGTTAGAAATCAGAGCAAAATACAAACATCAATCTTAATTGATTTTGGTTTTGGTTTTTGTCAACAAATGCAGGTTATCCCCTAGAAAACAATAACAATGACAGTAAGAAACAAAATCAAGTCATATATATAGGCAACTAGCACAGAGAGTGTAAAATCTTATCAGAAATACAAAATATTTCTGTTTACATACATATACACATATACACCACTTAGGCCGTGCAACATAGAACTTATTCTATGCCGGTCTAGATAGAAAGATTTGTTGTTACTTTTATTTACAAATGACAATTTAAGCTTAAGCTTACAGGGACTGTTTACCCTCCTGTCCTCTCACCCCCCCTCCTTTTGATAGTACATCTAGTCAAGAAAATTTGGTGGCACAGGACATGAAAGTAAGACGTTTCTTCTTGACTGGAAAAGAAAATTCCGCCCTCAGTGCTTTTGGATAGAAGGCTTACCAATGATCTCCCAGTAATTTTATATTTGTGTAATTTGGGCGCTGATGGTATCCACCTGTAAACAATCAAACTAAACACCAAAGAGACAAACAGACTTTTTAAACGAATAGGATAAGCACCATTTTATTCGTCATATCAAGGTTTTCATTAATCATACAAAGTATATATAGAGCTTCTCAAAGATAATTTTGTGAAATTTTGCTACATCATTTCTAACATTGATGAGAATAGCAATATATATAGATAATGTTTATAAACCATTGGTCAACCATATATTTTTATTTGCGATTAGGTACTTTCAAAGGACTGTTGTGCTAAAATGATCAAATATTGAGCATACCAATTAGCAAATTGATTCCAGATAGTCTGATAGCTGGTCAGAACAGAGCTATAAACAATTTGCTGCTTATGTATTATAATTAGTTTACTTGCAACAGTCTCCTTACATCCCCCGATCAGCAAGATCAATAATAAAACAGTGGGACGTGCTAGAGTCCTAAAATAAGCAAAGTTTTTTTTTTTTTGGTTTGTGCCACTTTAACCTACTACTGATTTTGTAACAAAAGTACAAATCCAAAGATACCATCTTCTGTGGCTTTTCTTTACTTGAAAATCTCTCTCTATTTTCTGTTTTTTTTTATCGTTGTTCACATCTGCATGTATTACACGAAACCCATCAAGAAACTCAGACTGAAGGGGTACTATCCTGCTGCAGATAATGTTACTGCTGCTACCCTTTCCAGTAGCTCAAACTTGTTGAGAACGCTTTATCAGGGGTGTTAAACTCCCAGTCACTCTCTGGTAAGCTAGTGAAGAGTGTACAAATGGTTGCTTGCTGATATCTTCTTAATTACTTCTTTCACACGCTTCTATAAAGAAATAAGGATCATCCACTAACCTCCCCAAAAATAAAATAAATCAATATTTGGGCTGATCAAAAGCCGCCATTTGCTTATTTGAGATTGAGGTATTTAGATAATAAGATACGAATTTCTTCCTACATCACAAAGTCTGGATGGTGACAAGTTCCAGTTGCTTCTTTTTATGGTGTAATTGAAACCTTGTGTGTTTTGACAGAATAGGCTAGATTGAAACAACTATTTGTTTGCAGATAGAACGCAGATATTAGAGGGCTATAGAATATAAATACAACTTGTTTTGAACAGATTCAAACAAATCTTTAAATCCATAAGAAATCCTTTGGGGGGCACAGACATAATATGTAAGAACTATCTATGTATAGGTAGTGCTTTATAAATTATCTTATATGCGCCGTAAAAAAACACAGTCGTACTTGATTTATCCATCATAATATTGCTTTGTTGTAATTTGATAAAAAAAATACGTCTCCTTCAAAATCAAGCAGCAAAGAGGAAGCATATCATAAGACAAAATTAAAGCAGCAAACTGTTAAAACAAAGACAGCTTAATTAAAATTCACAGACTCATAAAATAGCAATGAAAAACCAATGTAATTTCTATTAGAAAAAAATGAAAATAAAGCCTTTTCACTCTTAGAGAGTCATGTTATTTTTGTATTTTTTTTTTGCAAAATAAAGTTTTAGGTGGTCTTTGATATATATATTACAAGATTTGTGAAGGAGCAGATCTGCACTACAGTGTTAAAGATTAATACATTCTAAACAAAGACTGACACATTACATTGCCCAAGCCTTTATAAATAGGAGGATTTGAACACAGTCACAGCTAAGTTTATGAGATAATGGGCATAAGAAGAAGAAGAAAAGACGTTCTAGAGCGATGAGTTTCGATTTACACTGTTTAATTTATTTATCAGATTTGTATATATAAATTAGTGCGTCTGTGCGCAAAGAAAGGATTAGACAAAGTATACCATCCAAAACCTACTTTAACCAATATTTCATATCCAAGTAGCTCCAGTGATAATACAGGGACATAGTTGACCCGAATACATTATACCCCTTGTATTACACAAAGATTGTACGATTATAAAATATATTGAAGTTTTTGGAAGAACACTTCAAGCCATGCTATAGCTATAGACTAACATAAGAGAAGGACTGTATAAATGATTACTCCAAGACAGACAAATAAACTACAGCATAAGCTAGTCTTTTAACCAATATATATATATATATATTAGTCAAAGATTCGAGCCCAAGAGACCTTTATCTTGAACTTTGGGATCAAAAGCACTGACTTCAATCCGTAAACCCATCTGTGTAATAGAAATATAGTTAAAAAAAACGTATTCTGAAAACTTTGGATTTCCTACAACACCCGGATCTTATTGTGGGAAATAAAATCTTTTGGAAATTGTGTTCCAATATAGTACTTTTGTCCACCACATACATATACCATTTATCCGTCTCCCCTCTGTCTTTCTCTCTATCTTCCTCGGCGTCACTTGTGCCTTGTGCTAGGCAGATAATGAAAGCCATGGGTGCTTTCTGTTTACTCTGCATATCAAGCTGTTTTCCTCGGAAACATATCTTATCAGGTTCTTTCCGACCTTTTCCACGTCTAATGGGCGCTCACTCCTACAAGTACGCACCTTAATGGGTTATCTTATTCCCCATCATTTGCAAGCTGCGATTATAGCCATCATTGTCAACTTCACTTTGGAAATCATTACAGGTATGTATGTATTAATAATAAGCCTTTATCAGCTAGCATGGTAGCGGATAAACCAACCTGTGCCATTTGCATAGACTTTCCCCTGTTTGTTATTTTCTCCTTTCCACTCCCAACTACCTCGTAAATCCTCTTAGACCCCACGATTCATGTGACGGCGGGTATCAGTGAGATAAAAGAAGAAAAAAAAGAAACTTTAAATTTTAGAAAGCAAAAAAAAAAGTGTATAAAGAGTATTGTCAGGCACGACCTCGTGAGGTTTAACGTTTATATTTCTTATTCACCCTTCTCTTTCACTTACTAATGGCCTCTCAAGATTCGAACAAGTTTATCATTGTGAGTATTATGTATGACCCGTATATACTGCTTACTCACGACATCCATCTCATCTCATTATTGAACGAATAAGGACTTCCTTATGGGTGGTGTTTCTGCTGCTGTCTCCAAGACTGCCGCCGCTCCCATTGAACGTATCAAACTTCTTATCCAGAACCAAGACGAGATGATCAAGCAAGGACGTCTTGCATCACCCTACAAAGGCATTGGCGACTGCTTCTCCCGCACCGTCAAAGACGAGGGTATGGCCGCCATGTGGCGTGGAAACACCGCCAACGTAATCCGTTACTTCCCTACTCAGGCCCTCAACTTTGCCTTCAAGGATAAGTTCAAGCGCATGTTCAACAAGGACAAGAAGAAGGACGGCTACTGGCCTTGGTTTGCAGGCAACCTTGCCTCGGGTGGTGCCGCTGGTGCCTGTTCCCTGTTCTTTGTCTACTCTCTCGATTACGCCCGTACTCGTCTAGCCAATGACGCCAAGTCCTCCAAGAAGGGTGGTGAGCGTCAATTCAAGGGCCTTGTGGATGTCTACCGCAAAACAATTGCTTCTGACGGTATTGCTGGTCTTTACCGTGGTTTCAATATCTCTTGCGTTGGTATCATTGTTTACCGTGGTCTCTACTTTGGTATGTACGACTCTATCAAGCCCATCATGCCCGAGCATCTTCAGAGCAGCTTCTTGGCCACTTTCTTACTCGGCTGGGCTGTTACCACTGGTGCTGGTCTTGGTAAGTTTTCTATATACATGTGTGTGTGTTTTAGAAAAAGAAGAGAGAGAGAAAAAAAAAGTGATTCAATATAAAGTACATGGGTTTTTATTGATTTGATTTGATTTGATTTGATTTGATACAGCTTCCTACCCCATTGACACTGTCCGTCGTAGAATGATGATGACTTCTGGTGCTGCCGTCAAGTACGACTCGTCTCTCCACGCCCTAAGGGAAATTGTCGCCAAGGAAGGTACCAAATCTCTGTTCAAGGGTGCCGGTGCCAACATTCTCCGTGCAATTGCTGGTGCCGGTGTCCTCTCTGGTTACGATCAGCTCCAATTGATCATGTTTGGCAAGAAGTTTGCCTAGGCGTTTCAAACCAAAACACCAATCAACTATACTTCATTTCTCCCCCCCCCCCCCCTTTTTTTTAATATATATATATCTCCAAAAAAGACATAAGAAAAACAGAAAAGAATCTCACTACTGTTCTTTGTCTACGATACCAATAAAGATAAATACATATCGATCATTTCAACCCATTCACCAAGCAGTGTAAAGATATATGTAAATCCAAAGAGAAGGCAGAGGGGGTGAAATAATGAATGATATAGGCTTTCGCTGTCACGCATTGTTTTTTTGTTTGTTTGCATCGTCTTTGCTCTTTTTGCTTTACTCACAAGCACAGAAACAATAATATATATATATATTTGGCTGTACAAACAAATAGAAGAACGCCAATTCCGATTGTTGTTGTTTGTTTTATATATATATATTATTTTTAAATAATAATAATGCTTCGACACTGCAGGCGTCTTTATCTTTGTCACATTCGCCCCCTTGTTTCATTCCGTTCATTAAGCAGTGCATCACCTCTTTACAAACGCATTACTCAAGCTAATGCAGAAGTTCTTTTTGCTGAATTACCTCCATCTCTACCACCTTTGGAATCAAGGCAGGCAGCTTCTGGGTCAATGGTACTAGATACTGTCCGAGAATATACAAAAAAATACCCACTCTGTGTACTGCTGATTCAAGTAGGAGACTTTTACGAGGTAAACTTTTACAGTTCATCTCTATTATCATCTTGACAATTTGAGGTCATTCAATGATAAACTCTTCCCCTCATATATATATATGTTTGTACCCATTTTATTATTATTATTATTATTATTATTATTATTATTATTATTATTATTATTTGTGTGGTCATATTCCTAAGTCGTGGTTATTACTGTTATACATAAGCTCTATGAATCTCATGCTACTCATTACGCAGCCCAACTGGATCTCAAGTTGACAAAGAAGGACATGGCAACAGGTGTAACCGTTGATTTTGCGGGATTCCCGTTACGGTCTTTAGATCGCTATTTAGACATGCTAGTCAACCGACTGGGGTGCAGGGTGGCATTGTGCGAGCAACATGGCACGGCCACTCGGGATGATGGATCCGTTATGGGAAAACGGCGACGAGTCACGCGGATCATCACTCCAGGTACGGTGATCGAAGAGCGGTTTTTGGATGCAATTTCTAGCAATTATCTCCTCGCTGTCTTGCCTTCGACGACCTTTGGAAAGAAAAATGACGATGACGACAATGATGATGATTATGAGGTGGGACTGGCGTGGATTGACTTATCTGTGGGTGAGTTTGTTCTTCAACAAAGTCGATTACAGGCATTCAAAGACGACGTGGCACGAATTCGGCCACGCGAAGTAATCCTTCCCACATGGATGAAACCTCGTACAGGAGGAGGAGGAGGAGGAGGAGGTGACAGTCATCCTATCATGCAAAGCTTGGGTCAGGACCCATCTATAGCCATTACATATCAGGGCGATGCTACGTTTGACTCGCAAAAAGGACATGAACTCTTGGAAAGCATCATCTCTACACCGGATGCAACAAAACAAGATGATGTCGATCATTCGTTTGAAAAGGAAGAGGAAGCAGTGCTGTCCGACGGGTTAGATGTGGCAGCAGCTGTGGCACTATTGCATTACATTGACAGTACTCACATGGGAGAACGGCCGAGACTACAACGCCCAGTACGTTTCAGCCCGGAAGCAATGTTGCGGATCGACAGTGCAGCAATGGGATCACTAGAACTTGTGCGGAGTTTAAAGGATGGCCGAAGAGCAGATAGTCTATTGGGAACCATAGATTGTACGATCACAAGTGCCGGATCACGCCTACTAACGACCTGGTTGACATCACCGCTAACATCAATGGGAAGAATCAACACACGATTGGATATTGTGGATTTCTTTGCATCGGAACCTAACATTCTGGGTAGCATCCGACGCACGCTCCACCTCAGCACAGACGCACAGCGGGCCCTCCAACGGCTAGCGGTTCGGCGCGGACAAAGATCTGATTTGGTTGAGATCAGTAGCACATTTGAGGCTATACGCTCCCTTCAGCACCAGATGGCGTCTGTATTCTCTGCTCAGCCGCTTGGCAGATACACATCAGCAGTCAAGAAACTATTCAAAACTCTTGATCCACACCAGGATCTTGTTGACTTTATCCAGAGTGCTGTAAATCCAGATTGGATACCAGACAAAGAGAGGGAAAGGGCATATGGGTATGTTAACCGTAACTTCAATCCAGAGCTGAAGAAACTCCACAGACGTCTCGACCAGCTTGAAAGTGAGCGGGACAGGATCACAAGTGAACTCAAGGCAATGTGCGGCAATTCTGTCAATCTCGTGAGCCAAGGACCTTACAAACACATTGTTGAGCTAAATGCATCACAGGCTGCTAAACTAACGAGTGTATATTCATGTACGCTTGTTAACAAAACCAAATCCAAACACCGTTACCAAACCGACTTTTGGACGCCACTCTCGGTTCAAATAGAAACCCACCAGAATCTGCTGGTTGAGATGGAAAGGCAGGTGTTTGAGCAAGTGGTCCAGAGAGTGCTCGATCACTCTTCAACTGTCCTGGACAGCTGCAAGTCAATGGCCCAACTCGATGTTCTTACTTCGTTTGCCTGGCTCTCTCGTGAACGGCGGTATGTGAGGCCGACTCTGAGTCTGGCGAATCAGACGACCATTGTTGGAGGCCGGCACCCTGTAGTAGAGGCACACCTGGCGCGCAAAGGGCGTGAGTTTGTAAAGAACGATCTTAATCTTGGCCAGGATCAGAGTGTATGGTTGCTCACGGGTCCTAATATGGGAGGAAAGAGCACATTTTTGCGCCAGAATGCAGTAATTGTGCTCCTGGCACACATTGGGTGTTTTGTACCCGCAAAATATGCGGATATCGGGATCACTGACAGGATATTCAGCCGAGTGGGCGCTTCGGATAACCTTGCCCAGGACCAGTCGACATTTATGGTCGAGATGGTCGAGACGGCCACGATCTTACAGCAAGCGACTGCCCGTTCGATGGTGATTATGGATGAAGTTGGCCGAGGAACATCTACAACCGACGGGTTCTCGCTTGCATATGCAATTCTCTATGACCTCTGTAGTCGGATCGGGTGCAGGACCTTATTTGCAACTCATTACCATGAGCTAGCGCGCGAACTTGACAACAAAGAACACTCTGCCTTTGACAAGATAAAGTGTTTCATGACCAGTCTACATGAGAGCGAGGACGGAAGCTTTATATTCTTACATCATGTTCAACCAGGTGTCTGCACCCAATCTCATGGACTCAAGGTGGCTCAACTAGCAGGTAAACCCCATTTTTTTAAAAAAAAATTTATTAGTTTATTCATTTAATATATATATACATAAAAAAAAGAAGAAGTAATATTGTAGGCTTAATTAGTAAACTTTATGTGTATGTATACTAAACTATGTATTTTTAGGCCTACCACCTTCTGTAGTCCATATGGCACAGGGAATGTGGGCTCATTTAAATCAAACAGGTTCCATGAGCCCTAAGCCCTACTCGATCTATTCAAAACAGAAAGATGATCATGAAAAGGACGTTTTTATTTAGACAATTTTTTCTTCTTCTTCATATTGATAATAAATATATATATATATATATATTTGCTATCAAAAATATATTGTTTTATCTAATTGGAACAGGAATTAGATCGACAAAGCACAAGTTTCTTTAACCTCCCCTTTTTTTTGGTTTGGGGTTTTTAAAACAAATTCTGAAGTAAATCTTGGTTAGAGCTCTGTGCATGATTGTGCACTTGATGGCAGTAGAGAAGAAGTACTATTTTTTGTCTTCTCCCGTTTTTTTTATTAAGAAAAAAAGGCAATCGAGATATCTATTTTGATATCTTATCCCGAAAACCAGAACCAGAACCAGAACCAGAACCAGAATCAAAACCAACAAAAGAAAATCAGAAAGAAGAAAGAACGCCTTACATATATATCACTCAATATCTCCTATACAAACGTCTGAAATCCATTTCCAAGGGAACTTGCTTTTGCTTTTGCTTTTGCTTTAAGCGACCACTTGAAAAGTTCACAGCATACACATACACATACACATGTATACATAAATTAAAAAAAAACCAAGTTAATGTACTTGAGATTGTCTAGAAACATGTAAGTTTAAAATTGAAATGTAAGAAAAAGAATAATGCATTGAAAATGTATAGAAAATCGAAACTTGTTAATTGTACAAAGAAATATTCACGCGTAAAAAAATATATGTGTCCGTGTGCCTATATACCTGTGTACATATATATATATATGCGTGTGTGTGTATGTGTGCTTATGTAGATTTCTCCTTTCTAAAATATCAAGCGCCCCGCTCTTTATTCTTCTTCTTGTTCTTCTTGTTCTTTAGACTAAAGTAAATTTATAAAAGAATAGTCTGTAAACCCACTCCCCTTGGTTATATAGCCCCTCCTCCCCCAATTTTCTCTTGTAATAATCAGAAGCCTTGGACTGTGTGGTGTCGTGATAAACAGGTATCCTATTTTAAGAAGATTATAGACTATTGGAATTTTTACAATTTTATTTTGGTGAATTGCAAACATAAAAAAAAAATTATATTTATATTTAATTATACACAAGAGCTTCAAGGGCGTTTTATAAGAACAAGTAATATACACACAAAGTGCACCTTGATTTCTGACACTAGAGTTTTCTCGACTAGTTTCTGGCTGTACACAAGAGCAGTAAACGTTTTCCTATTTGTGCCCTTTCTGTCATACATTAAATGCATCCTGTAGTCAAATAAAATAATAATAATAACAAAATAAAGTGTTGTCATGGCGATCGTATACTTATTTTTGGATAATAAGAAGTATACTTTAACAGCCAGCAAAAGAGAAATACAATTTTATTTTAATTGGCGGATCTCGCTCCACAGTCTCATTAATATATCTATATATTTAATATCGCCACTTGTACAAAATACTATTGAATATCAGCCTTGAAATCAAAACCGACGTTTAAATGATTAAATATGTATTATAAAGATATATATATATTTAAAGATAATTTAATTATTTGTGTACATATATAATTAAAATAAAGTCTCAAGTAACCCAAGAGGCAGGAATAAGGAACCAAACCGAGGGCTGATAACCATTATCTCAAAGCTGTATAAATATTAATAATATTATTATTATTTTTATCTATCAGGTGGATAAATAGAAAACAAAGCAAAATAAAAAAATATGGAATGACCAGAATAGTATTAAACCCAAGAGCATGTGAATAATATACCAATAATATATATATATATAAAAGAGAGCTGCATAGCATTAATTGTTACAAGACAGGTAAAGTAAGGGGGGGTGAAGTGGGGGAGAAGGAGGGAAGGAAGAGAGAGTGTGAGTGAGTGAAGGGGGGGGGGGGGGTGGTAAACTTCAAATTGACATGTCAAGGTGTAATACAAGCTCGATCATGGTTTCTCAAATATATAGCCTTTCCAAAAAAGCAATGTCGTACTTGCTTCAATTCAATTCTGTTGCGTCTAGTCAACAACCCTGAAAATAATAATAATAATAATAATATATATACATATATCATTTATGTGGGACTAACACAATTTTACATGAAAAGGGTAAATCGCGTCCTGGTGCGGTTTTAAGTAAAAAAAAAAAACAAAAAAAAAAAACAAAAAAAGGCTGTAATTGAACTTTAGAAGCAGAGCTGACTATAGTAAAGCTAAAGATCAACCAAGATAATAAAAGCAAGACAACACTGTAAAATAACCATGCCTTCCTTGTTTAGTAGAGTTTGACAATAAATAAGAATATGAAGTTACTGGCTTTGGTGACTTGAAAGTTACTGATGATTTTTAGATCAATCGTAAAATGGAAAACAGACAGACAGGTAGATAGATAGATAGATAGATATGTAGATAATCGGTTTCTATTCATTTACACCTTAAAATTCAAAACTAGTTCTAATTGGACCTTTGCAAAACGAATGAAAAGGGAAACCCATACATTCTATAAAAAGCTCTTATCTAAACTTCAAAGTTTTATTGTTTTTACTGCAGTTGATTATTTCATCTGGGCAGCTATAATGATTATAACAATAATCTGCCCATTTTTTTTATAGCAAACATAAAGATAAAAATTACTAATTCTGAAATATAATATAAAGTAATGTAAAGTAATATGGTAAGCATATAATTAGTATTTGAGATTCCCAAAACCGACATGTTTCTTATATGTGTGTGCCTTTTAACAAATCTTTTGTACGCCAATCTTTTTCTGTGGATATGACATTCGATTTCTCATCAAATGGCAAAGAATTTGGACACATACGACTTCTCTTTTTGTCACTCTGCGCTTTCACAATTGACGGTGTCACGATATTGGTTCTGGGAAAGAAGTTATGTAATATAAAGTCTTATACTCAGCTGCACCAAGAGCCTGGAAAATATTTGACCGAGCCCAAGGAGAATAAAGAAGATATAGTCTAATGAATATTGTGAAGGAGGCTTGGAAGTCTATAATGACCTTACTTTTTTTTTCTTTCTTTCTTTACATCATAACCTTGGTTGAAGCATAATAAGGGCGGATATACTATTAATATTAATATTAATGCAATTCTCCCTGTTATTTTTTTTTTTTTTTTTTTATATTTTTATAATTGTAGTACATTGAAGAGGGTTTGTGATTAAGAGCGAGAGTCGGTCATTGTGGGGAGATTGAGGAAGAATTGAAGAAGAATCGGACAGAAATGCAGGTCTGTAGAATATTCAAAGGGACCTTTTTAATTATTAATTATTATTCCAATTATTATTTTGTGCTGACTTGGTTTATCAAATTGGGATCATAAGAATGTTCCGAGACTATTATATTCTACTACAGTCACCAGATGTTCCTTTTTGTGATCATTGATAAAGTAACATAATTATCACTATTATTTTTAAAGCTGAGCATGACTCTCGTGTACGGCTCGATCTAGCCAACGATCAATACATGATGATAATTAGCTATCTTGATCGATCACTCTGCAAAGAAACCATAATCATAATGATACTAATCATGCTGTCCAACCTAACCTTGGCGTTTAACATGTCTCACATGTTATTAATATTTAACAAAAAAAGCAATTCCTATTTTGGAGATCAAGCAAATAATTTCTCTAAAATAAAAAGGTACCTGAATTGCATTTGTTGCCACTAGTGATAAATAATAATAATAATAATAATAATAATAATAATAATAATAATAATCATTAAGAAATAGTCTATAAGAATTTACTTTTTTATTTATTTATTTATTTACAAAAATTATATACATTATTGTTATTTTGGAACCATTTTGCTTCTAATTTATGTACAAAGAAGTCTCAAGATAAAGTTTTACGCTTAAATAAATAAAAAATAAAAATAAAAACTAAAATCAAAACATTTGCGCTATTTAAATAGCTATATATATATTTTTTTTTCGTACCTTTTACACACACACTGAAGGTTTTTTTTTTTAAATCTCAACGACGAAGAAAAAAAAAAAAAAAAGAAGAGGTTGCGATAGTAGCTGCCTAATTAAGAAAGCATGACAATTTTAGAGAGATGATTTCCTATAACAGAATTTAGTGACAGGTTGCGTTAACAGCATCCTTTTGTAGAGAGATGGGGGGGGGGAGCAAACATTGGAAAAATGATTTAGGTTTTTTAAAATATATATTTTTATTTGTTCCAAAAAAAAATTACTACGAATACGCATCTGGTTTACTAGGGTGCTTTTCTATAATAGCACCCTCTTGAGAATAATATATTTTACGGGTAGAGGGTAAGCAACCAAGTCATAAAAGATTACTTGACAAGAATTGCTTTTTAATGATTTCATAGTTTGACTTTCTTTTTTATACTTGAAGTGACGAGTTTATCCCTTTAGATTAAATTACCTAAAGAAATACTTTTTGTTTTATTGTAACTAGCATACATACCTTGTACAGACTTACAAAGTATTTTGTAGTCTTGGCTTTTGGCCATCTCATTGACGCATGCTATAAAATAATGTACCTTAAACAAAACACCATAGGACCCAATTACACCACAAGAAAAAACGACCTGTCAAAAAAAAAAGGGCATTTTCATCAAAAGCGAAAAACTTTGACCAGTAAGATCATCTCTTTTAGCTAATTTATCTTTCTTCACACCCCCCCCCTCTTCATCATTTCAAAGTTCTTTTTTTGTTCTGCCTGATATTCGATCAAGTAGATCAAAAAAAATACTATTAAAATTTTTCTGGGATATATCTGAGTGTAAAAGCGTACAACTCCGATTATGCTGCTAGCCAATAGAAATTTTGGTTTTGACATAAAATTTTCATAAATAGGAAAACTCTTGGGGTGTGTGTAAATGTTGAAGACCAAGTCAAGTATGGTACTAAGCTAACAATATTTTATTGAATGAAGAAAAGTGAAGTAATAAACAATACGATGATCAAATTGAACCTTGCTTTTTTGTTATCTTTTGATTTATAGTCCCAAATAAACTACATTTACTCTAAAGAACTCAATTGAATAAGATAAAACTTTACCTTTTTGGAGATAACAGTATATATATGGTGTGGTAGTCATGCTAGAAGATAAGCACTTCTTGATAGAAAGTAATTTTGAAAACTTGGCTCGAACATCAATGGCTTATTGAAAGTTTGAATGAAGATGAATATGTTGTAGTAGGCTTGTGAGTAAAGCTGTCAGTGTTTTTTGCAATTCTTTTTTTTTGGGGGGGGGTGGAGCCACATTATGAGCCATAAAAGGCAATGATTTTGATTCAATACTTACAAAATAGGCAAGTAGAGTTCAAGGCCAGCTATTTCTTGAGATAATGCTTATTAGCAATGGATGAATTTCAAAAAGACTACAAGTAAGATTGTACTAGATGATTTGTATAATTTGCAGGATGTGGATGAGATAGGAAGAGCGTTGGGTGGGGGTGACTTTTTTAGTATTATCTTGATAGTTGTTTATTATTATTTTTTGTGGGTTACATAAATAGAAGATTTCTTCGCAATCCAATTCTGACATTTTTGCTATAATTACATTTTGTTCTAAAATGCATTTGCGATTATTCTTCTGATACAACAGATAAATAGCGATAATTTGGTTCAAGAAATTGCCACAAGATTGAATAATGTATTTACTCACAGCTCATCCAGTCTTGTTTTGTATCTCGATTAACCTTAAAATAATATAATTTGTCTTTAGTTGCACCCACGCGCGCCTGTGTATTTTATTTTATTTTATTTTATTTTAAGATCTTTTTCTTTTTCCCTGTCCAACGCCAAAGAACTACACACATTCTTCCCGAACGCAAAATTATATATATATATACTTTTTTTTTTGTGGTTCACAGATTACAAGCACACAAGCACACATTCTGTAATTGAACCCAAATCTTATATTCTTCTAAGAAATACAGGCTAAATATTAAAGGTTAACGATTAAGGTTATATTTAAGAGCTGTTTAGATTGTTAGCTCTAGTAGTAGTGGTAGTATTGGTCATAGTCACCAAATACTTGTGGTTACTATGTGTGAGTGTGATAATCTATAGATGTAAATTCAAGGGATGCAATACTGCTCAGGAGTACAACTACAAATACTATTTCTTTTTATTTTATTTTATCTTTGTACGAAATTATATAAAGACCATACCATTATAATACGTAGGTAATATTCAAGAAAACCAAAAGAATAATAAAAATAAAATAAAATAAAATAAAATGAAAATCTCTGACATGACTGCAGTCTAATGTATTAGAGTGCATTAAATTGTTATTACTGTAATTTGTACAAATCACACTCTTGATCCATATTGTATCAACAGATGCAAATATATATATATATATATATAATGTATATTATGTATATGATTAATTTGTAGTGAGCATGTCAATATCAATGTCATAAGAGATATTGCACCCACAGCTATGTTTTGCATTTGGATTGTCAACCACCTGAAAGGTAGAGCCGATCAATTCTTCTACAAAATCAACGTTCGAGCCTCGGATGAACTGGAGTGACACCCCGTCTACGACAACCCGGACACCTTGCTTTTCAAAAATACTAGAACAAATAAACGAATACATACAAATTTGTATTTTTTGTTTCATGTTTTATATATTTTTGAAGATAATAGTGATAATAATTGACTTACATGTCATCCTCATCAACAGTCTTTGTAAGTTCCATTTTATTTTGGTATCCATGGCAACCACCTGATTCTACCATGACTCGTAAAAAGTGATCATGGTCATTGTCCCGGTCGGCAATCATTGTTAATTGCTATAGAGTTGAATGTTAATATATGATGTAATATATTAATTTTATTACTTTGATAGCACGGTCAGTGATATTCAATTCACCGTCGTTGGCCTGTTTAAGAGTCGCTCCACAAAGTGGATCCGCAACCTCGGTAGAGAATTGGCGTATCCATGAGGGATTTGGTTGGTGAGAATAGATGGGGATGCGGATAAAGGATCGAATAAGACTCTGCATTGGTACACAATTGACGCCCACTCACAACAGGCAAAATAACAAATGTGTTTTTTTTTTGTTTTTGTTTTTGTTTTTGTTTTTTTTTGCCACTGTTATTTGGGACCTGGTAAAGAGAGATTGTATGTAATATATGTAATCTCTCTCTCTGTGTGTGTGTGTGTGTCACGTGCTTTGATAGATACAAGGTTTGATTTTTTGTTGTTATTTGTTAGACGCATTTCTTTGCTGGCTCACAGGCTTCCGAATGTTTATTTGGATTTCAATAACAACAGAACCTTCTTTTGTGTGTTACATAACCTATTGAGAAGAAGAGACATCTTGGATCGATTAATAGAAAGAAAGAAACACGAAGGAGGGGGAGGAGACAGTGGGGCAGTGGTGGGGGGCTATTTTGTTTTTTTTTGGGGGGGGAGGGGGGAGTCATTTTTGCTTTTTATCATTCAAGATTAAAGTTGTACAAAAAAGCAATAAGTTCAATAATTGAATTCAATTGAATTCAATATCCTGTACTGGAAATATATCACAGTGGTTCTTTTTTGGTTTTTTTACCAAAAATGTTCTGATTCTCATTGTTCCCCTCTTTAAATTTTTTTTTGTTTCCTCCCTCTCTCTCTATTAAACCCCCCCACCCCCCTCTATCTTACTCCCCCCCCCCTCACTCTCCTTCTTTGGATTATTTTGTTACTTATTCCCATTAAACATCTCCCCCCAATGCACCGCACCTTTTTCTTTTTGTTTTTTTTTGTTTTTTTTTGAAGCTCCTTGTTTGGAATAATTTGGAATTCAGAATTCAAGATCTCTTTAATTCGAATCGACTCAGCCTTTCTGTCCTTTTCGCTCTTTCTCTTTCTCTCTATTAAAACAAGAAGTAGCTCTTTGTATTCGCTATTATTTTTTGCCTGCAAAAGATATAGAAATACTTCTTTAGTATTCCCAAATTACTTTGGAGACAGAGCCAAAAAGATATATATACACACACACACACAAACACACACAATATATATATATATATTTCACTCAAATTAAAAAAAGAAAATTAAAAGAATCTGATGGCCGATACGACCAATAAACGTCCAAAGACATCGGACTCTGATTCAAGCGATATTGAAAGCGACTCGGATTATTCTCTCGACTATGAGTTTCTTGGTCCACGCGATCCAAACTACCGAGATTCTGATGATGCAGACAGTGATTGCTCGGAATTGTCAGAAGAACTACCCTCACGCCCACTCGGGTTCGACATGTGGGATGAGGATCTTCACAGCACGAATGACTATACGTGGCAATCCAACGACATTCGTCTAACTCATTTTGTCAGGCACCACCACGCGGCCACAAATCAAACCGGGCCGAGTTTCTGGCGCAAGGATCGTGGGTGGCCACGCCAGCTGCCTGCCAGCCGTTCCACAACAAACCATGATCAAAGTGCAAACGCAATGTGTCTTGTAGTCTCAAACTACGGTGTGGATGAACAACTCTATGCTGTCTACCGAGACCGCATTCTCGAGTCCGGTAGTCCTTCCCGCACAACTCGCTCAACCAAAAATAAAAAAATCGCCAGTCCACGCCAAACAACCTGGCTTGAAACACCCTCTAATCACTCTCTTGTCCTACCACCACCACCACCAATATCATCATCATTAGCTCCAATATCAGCCAAATCGCAATCGCAATCGCAATCACAATTGTCCCAAAGCGAAAAATTCAATGAAACCCATGCGTCTTCTGTACATCCAACCACACAACCAAAACGGCATATTTCCCAGCCAAAACTCACGACTGATCCGTGCTTGGCAAAGTTTAAACGGTTTACAAAGTATGTTCGCCGACAGGACTATCCCGCCGTGCCACTCGGAGAGGCGTATCTACCACTCGGTTTCGAACCACTCTGTCTGGCCCAGAAATACGGTTACATGGCGATCGGTGGAATCGAGGGTGAGTTTGAACTCTATTGCTGCATGGACCGCAAACAGCCCATCAAGATCTGGGGAACCAAGTTCAAGGGCAAAAACAACATCATGCTCATGACCAACTCAGTCCAGATCGTTCGCTGGGAAATCAGCCCCGGAAAATACGAGCATCTCTTGATCGTCTGTGTGAACGAAGCCGGTGTATTGATCTACACCCTTCCGCCCCACCACCATTGCGCACAGTCCAGTCATTCAACCCAATCAAGTTTGGCCCCAGCCGCCGCAAAACAGCACACCCATCTTCGCCATTTTGACCGAGTACCGATCAACGACGCTCAGGTCAGTCCAAACGGGAAACACATGGCCTGTGTCGGGGATGACTATGCCGTCTTCTTACTCGACATCCAACTCGCCCGCAACTCGGTCCTTTTCGGTTCTCCCACAAAACTCCCTATCTGCCCAAACTCATTAAGCTCATTCAGCGCCACAAAACCAGCTCCTGCCTACTCATCCCAATACGTCGCCTGGAACACTTCATCAACCCAATTCGCTCACACCTCAGACTCACACCACTGTGTCCTCGTCTGGGATGTCGCCCAGCAACACATCATCCGCACCATCGACAGCGCAGGGTACACCTATGCCATCCAGTTCCACCCCCATCTCGAAAACATGCTTGTCTTCACAAATCGCTATGGATACTTCCACACCGTACAGTGGCAAGACAACCATTCGCCTGCCCGTCACGAAATCTCATTGGTCTCTTTTCGCGGCGAAAAGGATCGTCGTCTACGCATCCTGGCTAAAATCAATGGCATTCAGTGGTCCCACCATGGCAAATGTCTGTATGTCTCAACAAAACGGCGCATCCTTGCCTACGAACTCCAGATGTTTGCACACAAGGTCCCTTCCCTCGCCAGCATTGCCTCGCACCAAGCAAAAGAACATTTGGCCACTAAATTTTCGCTTAAACGAAAACGATCCTGGCAATCTCCTGATCATCCTCACTGGAAATCCATACCATTATCCGTCAAAGAAGAATTGTTTCGCGAGGCATCCCTTTCCAGTCATTAATCTTTTTATATATATATATATATATATATTTTATAATCTTATCTTTACATTCACATAGTACACAAACTCACACACAAACTCACAGATACTCAAACCCACACTTACGCATTCACACACTTCACACTCATGCTCACTTACCATGCTCATTACATAAATAGTTTTATTTCATGATAAAAAAATGTACAAACTAAAAAAATGTCAAACCAAATATATATTTCTCATTTCCTCACTCAAAGTCATGTCAACTTTACTTTGCACACACGCATATAATATAATATATATATACTTCTTTTAACAATCGTTAGAGACTCTTTTTTGGTTTTTTGTCTTTTACATTTTATTATGATTGTTGGATACAAATGATATATAAAAATAAAAGGATATAGAGAGGTGTTCATATCAAGTTTATTTTTGCATGTGCATTTTATTTTATTTTATTTTCTTTTGAAAAAAAAAAGAGGTATCAGAACATACACACACACACACACACATATTACAAATCAAAAACAAACAAACAAACAACCTCGTACAGAAGAATGGCTTTATATATATCTTGTTATTTTTTTTTAAAATAAAAGGAATTGTTTAGAGCTTGTCGTAGTACTTGTCGAGACCGGGGATATCCTCGGTAAGACCCTTTCTCTTACGGACAGCACGGATGATGTCGTAGACCTTGTTACCAGCCTCGAGAGGGTTACCGGTCATGTTCTGCCAGTGATCGAAGACAGCCTGGGGGAAGGCCTGACCAGCAGTGGCAGCACGGAGATCGGCGGTGAAACCGAAGGACTCGTTAATGGGCAAGTAAGCCTTGACGGTCATGATGGGGGTACCGGGGCGCTGCTCCTCAGAGAAGACCATACCACGGCGTCTGTTGAGGCAAGAGTAGATACCACCAATTACAGAGTCGGGGCACTGGATCTCGACGAGGTAGACGGGCTCCTGGATACCGGGGGTGGCGGTAAGGACGGAGGCGTAGATGACACGGCGACAGGTGGGGATGATCTGTCCACCACCTCTGTGGATAGCATCAGCGTGGAGAACAACATCGAGGATGTTGAAGCGGATACCACGCATGTTCTCCTCGGCAACGGGTCCTTCCTTGGTGGCCCACTGGAAAGCGGCAACGCAGGAATCCTTGATTTCGTTAAGGTACTGGACGGCCTTGGTGACATCAATCAACAAGTTGGGGCCAGTGCCATCGGGACCGAAACACCAGATCTTACGGGCCTCAGTAACATCCCACTCGTACTTGTCAGCCAAGGTACGGGCACGGATCTTAAAATCATCCTTGGGACCAATCTTACCAGCATCGATATCGTTGGCAAGCTCATCGTTAAGGGGAAGAGCGCGCATGAAGATACGGTTGTGCTTGTTGGGCGACTTGGAAAGACAGTCAATTGTGGACTCGGCAGTGACAGTCTCACGGTACTGGACAACTGGGTCACCGAACTTGAGGGGAACCTGGGCGTGGTCCTCCTCAAGATCCTTCAAACAGATCTCCAAATGGAGCTCACCAGCACCGGCAACAATGTGCTCACCAGAGTCGGAGGTGAAGGTCAAGACACAGGGATCGGACTTGGCCAAACGCTTGAGACCTTCGACGAGCTTGGGCAAATCGTTGGCGTTCTTGACATCGACGGCAACCTGGACGACAGGAGAGACAGAGAACTTCATGACCTTCATGTTGTGGGCAACCTCGGAGGTGGTGATGGTACCAGACTTGACCAAGAACTGATCAACACCGACAAGACCGATAATGTTACCGGCGGGGCAGTCATCGATAGCCTCGACGTTACGTCCCATCATGAGGACGGTACGCTGAATGGACTTGACGGAAAGGTCGGACTTGGAGCCAGGGAGGTAGTTAGGACCCTGGATTCTGACCTTGAGACCGGCACGGACGGTTCCGGAGAAGACACGACCGAAAGCGTAGAAACGACCCTTATCGGAAGTGGGAACCATCTTGGAGACGTAAAGCATCAAAGGACCGGCGGGGTTGCAGTCTCTGATACCGATGGCGCACTCATCGTCCATGGGACCTTCGTAGAGGGAGGTGACACGGTACTTCTGGGCAGTGACGGGGGAAGGAAGATGGATACAGATCATCTCCAAGAGAGCATCACCAGCAGGCAAGAACTTGCGCATGACGACCTTGAGGAGCTGCTTGCCCTCGAGATCTCTCTCCTCGGCCTTGAGGTTGATCTCAAGCTTGGTAAGAAGAGTATCGACCTGGTCCTTCTTGAAGTTCATGACAGAGTCAAAGATCTTGTAGATAGGGTCCAAGATGAACATGTTGAAGGCACGCTCGAGGGGTTGGCCGGCGGCATCAGTAGACTTGGAAGTCCACTTCTTGGTCTTGGGGTTGAAGTAGTTCTCGCCCCAGAGCTTCTGCATCATCTTCTCCTTGTCGACACCGAACTTCTTGGAGTAACGGACGGCGAACTGACGGAGGGTGAAACCCCAGCCGTGGAGACCGGAAGCGAAGGCAACGGTACCGCGCTCGGGGTAGACCTGGACATCACCGAGAGCCTCATCAGGGTAGGTAGAGATGATGACGTTGACAGACTCGATGGTGCTGCGGAGGGTCTAAAGAATAAAGAAAAAAATTGGGTTTGTTAGGTATATGTAAAAAAAAAAGAATGATAATTCTTGACCTCCAGAAAAAAAAAGTAAAAGTAAAACTTACGGTGTACAACTCCTCCTTGGCCAACTGCAACTCAAGAAGAGCACGATCAACCTTGTTGATGACAATGACGGGCTTGATACGCTCGGTCAAAGCCTGACGGAGGACAGTCTCGGTCTGGACACAGACACCATCGATACAATCGACGACGACGAGGGCACCATCAGTGACACGGAGGGCAGCAGTAACTTCAGAAGAGAAATCAACGTGACCGGGGGAATCGATCAAGTTAATCAAGAAAGAGGAACCATCGGTCTTCTGGCCCTTGATCTCCTTGATGTCTTCGGGGTTCTCCATTTGGAAGTACATGGAAATAGCAGTGGACTTGATAGTAATACCACGCTCCTGTTCATCCTTACGGGTGTCCATGAAACGGGTCTCACCAGCACGACCAGCAGAGATAATACCGGCCTTGGAGACAAGGGAATCGGTCAAAGTAGACTTTCCGTGATCGACGTGAGCAATGACGGACATGTTACGGACATTGGTAACCTTGTCCATAAGTTCACGGATCTCCTCAATAGTAAAGTTCTATAGATTGCATAACAAAAATATTAATAATACTGTTGTTATACTATCTATGTTATGTTGTTGTTTGTTATTGTTGTCGTCGTTATTACTAATACAAGGTATTGTTGATATTGTTGATATTGTTGCTGTTCTTGCCGTTATTGCTATAGCCGCCACTACTATTACTATTACTATTACTAATACTAATACAAGTAGTCACCGCTACTGTTGTTGTTGTGGTTGTTGTTTACAGACACGACTATTTATTCTTTACATACCACTAAAGCATAAAGTTAGTATAGTGTCTTATGAAGTTTGTACATCAAAATAATAGATTGTTGATGGTCTATCCAGGTCCAGCTCGACTTACCCATAGTGCCGTTCTTGGAATGGATGGAAAAGAGGGTAGGGATGGATGGAAAGGCCGAACTGAAACTAAAAAAAAAAAAATCGAGTCCGTTGTCTGTGACGTCAGCTATATAATGGGTAGGGAAAAAGGAAGTTTTTTTTTTTTTTTTTTTTTTTACAAAAAATACATATACAGTGCTCACAGTTCCAATTTGGGCTTTATATTTTTTTGTGGTTTTTCAAACTCCCAATTCACGGTTTTTTTTAATTCTCAATTTACGGGTTTACCAAACCATTTACGTTTTTTTTTCTTTCAATTTGCGTTTTCAACCTAACCCTATAATTAAGAAACATGTTTTCAATTGCTGGTAAGGTCATGTTTGAAGATGGTCAAGGAAATCTCTATAATGAGGCTGGACAAGAAGCGATGGACTGGGAGGAAGTTACAGATTCTTACAACCTCCAAAATTTAACCAACTTAACCAAGTATAAGGAAAAGCGGCCAGTCGAGCTTGGTCAAAACGATCCTGAGCTGGACAGCCAAATGGAGGAGATTCAATATAAGCTCTCACAAGGGAACACTTTAAGACACTAGAGGAGATGTTATCTAGTGGAAAATTAGGAAATTCATAATTTTCCACTCACATTTTCCACTAAATATTTCTTCAAAATCAAGTTTATTCTCTCGCTCTCAAATCAATGGATAGGGTAGCCAGGAGTGTCTATTGTATATGTAACTGATTTATTTGATCTTTAAAGGTCAATTTTAGTTTTTTTATATTTGACATAGTATGATGTTCTCATCAATCGATAAGTTTCTACAACTGCTGTCAGAGTGCTTTGTTTCTTACTGGGCTTGTCCACTCTTTATTTTGTAGCAGCCACACCTTTTCCATTAGATAACGCCTCCTCTAGTAACACAATAAAAATATCCAACGCTATCTTCAAATGCTTAAATATTTTCGTAGTTTATTACTTAATGTATCTGCTCGAATCAATGACATCCGCAACAACATCGCCTTTCAGTTTATTAACCCTTCTTTCTCATCAAGGGCCTCGATGAGTGCTAGTAATAATAGGGACCTTGGACACATCATATAAAATTTATTTAGACGGAGATTGTGTTCTTAAAAAAGAATAGTGTGTTTCAAAATCGCGTTTTTTATATGATATAAAAATGATATAAAATATCTTACATCATATAAAAAGATGATATAAAATGTGTTGACCAATAATCTTCTGGTATTTTATGTTGTTAAACTAACGATGATATAAAACTTGGAATAAAAACCAATTATGTTTTCAAGTAAGCATATAAAAAAGTCCATATAGCCCCAGCGTTAGTTTCTTTCCCCTTTATCTGCACAAGAATTCTACGTATACAAATATTAATTAGCATCTATCAGTTTTAGTGTCTAAAAAAATTAAACAGCTATTACAATTTTAGGAAAAAGTAACAAACTTTGGTTCGCACTAATTACATGATTTTATGTTCGTGAGCTTAGTAAATTAACATGGCCAATAAATGAAATATCACACATTTTCATTGTATATGGAAGCCTTGGACGTGAAACATGAGACCGTATAAAATTACATATATGGTTAAATAGAGAGAGTGTCGAGTTGTGATAATCTCAAGACGGCTTATATAAAAGCCAAAAACAAGTCGTGATTTTCCTCTTTTGCCTTGCAGCATAGAGGCTCACTAATAAACTAGAGCCTTCGGCTCCCTACAAAAAAAAAAAAAAAGACGGCTAAAAAATAACTATTTGTAAAACCCAATCAAAAATAAGAATAAAACTCAGACACAGTTGTGAAGATTTATAAGTTGAAAATATTCATACTAAGAAATTTAGAGCAAATAGGCCTAAATAAACTTGGCTTTCCAAGGCCTATTCTGTTAAGTAGGTGTAAAGAAGAGACTACTTGCTATCACATATTTTGTTATGAGGGGAGAAAAATAAGCCCAATTTTTACTAGAAATTTAGTGAGAATTTGAAGCCAAAAGTTAGGGATATCCTAATTTTTGGCTTCAAATGCTCACTAAATAGCTTCCACCATGAAATTTGCTAAGCAAATATTGGAATTTAATTCGCCGCGTTAAATATAAATTTGCAAATGTTTGCAATCCAGGCTCGAAGACACCCTCTCTAATGTTTCAAAATTTCTTTATATGATGTGTCCAAGGTCCCTATTATGTGCTGACAAGATGATAACTACGAAGCTATCCCAATATGAATATGGTCTTATATGTGATAAATCCAACAGCAGAGTGTCTGGATCACCACACATAAAACTGGGTATCATGGCGTTGGGATAGACTCAATAAGAGTGGGAGAGGGCTGATCTTCTACTGTATTGATGTTGAAGGTTGGATGTGTAATTAATTTTACACAATTCTCAACACGAAACTATGATCAAAGATAAAAATCAATACATCTTATGTACTCATGGCGACTTTAGTTTGCTATCATCACCTTCATCATCAACGACATCGCTAATACTTCTAAAGTTTTTGGAAAGGTATTAACATTATAGCCAATTTCGTAGTTTTTGGAGCGACTTAAACGGCATATATATCCATTTGGATGGTTCATTGAAAGAAACTCAATGACCAAGGCTGGCATCAAAAATTATTAATGAAACAGGCTTATAATTTTTTTGGATGCTTACCACTTTGTATGTAGCCTACTACTTCGATATGCCTAATTTTCTCCACATCCCAATCACTATACTCGCACAAGTCAAACAACATATCTTTCAGCATTTTAGGAAGCTTAATCCTCGATTCATGGCGGTACTTTTTATCAGTAGGTCCGTCATAGAACGAAGATGCCTCGCAAGCACCAAACTCTAGCGGTTTTCCTCCGCCAGAGACGATACGAATTGACATATCTGGCTTTGATCCGGTTTGTTTTTTCTCAAATTCACCTTGCATTGCACGTTTCCTTTTTCGACTAGAGTGACTTGCCGGACCATTTCTATAAAATTGATCAATAAAGCAGCAAAATATATTTAAGCCAGTGATTTAATTTAATGTTGGATTGGACATACCTAACGCAATTAATGCCATCAATATTGTCATAGAAGCTATCAATGAATGGGACCCATATATGGCTATTATACCATGCTTCATCCTGTTGTACCAGAAGAGGATTGGGATTTCTCTGATACTTGTGGATTCTTACATTTTTTTTAATTAGTAAAAAGAATACTTTTTTAAATGTATACATATTTACTCACAGTGTCTCAATAGCATAGCATATTTTATCTATATGGAAACTCTTGTCTTCTGAATAATTATTGTATCGAATATCGGCATACTTGAAAATTTCCTTTCTTATTTCATTTACTGTAGGCTAAAGAAAATGTTACCCTGATTTACAAAGATAAAAGTGCCGATGTTTTGTTCTTACCTTGTTAATGTTTTTCAGCAGTGAGAGTATTTCTTCTGATAAAGTAGTATATTTTTTATTGTTATCACTTGTAATTTCGGCCCATTCGTCATCAGTAAAAAGGTTTTTTACATGTGAGTCAGATACATCAATAATGAACGAATGTACAGCACTGCTCAAGTAAAAGACATTAATGAGCAAAAAGAAATTGTGCTAAGTTTGATGAACTACTTTACTTCTCTCGTTCTAAATCGGTTCCATAAGAATAAAGGATATCTTCAACTACTCTTTTTGAGCGTAATTTCCATTTTTTTTCTTCTTTCATTTTTTTAAAACACATATCGAAGGCATCATAGAAGCTATTCGTTAACAGTTTAATCTTTTCCGAAGTACCAGTAGAAAAACTAATTGTATCAAACGGGCTATCAGAATTTTTTAAGTCCTGAAAATAGACAAAAGAAAAGTTACTGAATCGAAGATTAACATCATCATCCATCAGGTTTATACCTTTACTTGGCTTAATGATGTCTCATTTATGTTCGTTAAATTATCCGTATCCTCTGAATCTCTATGAATGATCGCTAGTACATTATTTGTGTCTTGGCAATTATATTTTCGATAATGACGATGGAAACCATTAATTGTTTCAAATTGTTTTTTACAAAAGCATAAAAATTTTGAATTGCTTTGTCTATAAACGGTTGTCATTTCACCTGTAATAAAAAAAATAGTTTTCAATTATTAGATTCGGTCTCATTAAGGCCTAAAGATTGATATACCATTAGGAAGAGGAATTCTCAATGATGAAGAATGCTGATCTCTGTTATGACTTTTGAGAGTTTTTTGATTGTCAAAAGATGTACTGCATATATTACAGTAAAACATATTAAGAAGAGTAGGAAGGATTGACCGGATTGACCGGATTGACCGGATTGACCAGATTGACCAGATTGGGTTGACCAGATTGACCAGATTGACCAGATTGACCAGATTGACCAGATTGACCAGATTGACCAGATTGGATTGACCAGATTGACCAGATTGACCAGATTGACCAGATTGGATTGACCAGATTGACCAGATTGACCAGATTGGATTGACCAGATTGACCAGATTGACCAGATTGACCAGATTGACCAGATTGACCAGATTGACCAGATTGACCAGATTGACCAGATTGACCAGATTGACCAGATTGACCAGATTGACCAGATTGACCAGATTGACCAGATTGACCAGATTGACCAGATTGACTGGATACACTTTCACCGTGAGCTTTGACCACTTACTAGCAAAAATTATTCGCTACTCCTGAGCCAAGTATTTCTCACTTCTAAAGAATCTAAGCCTTGATATCTGGTGAATTGTCTATATATGCTTTTCTATTTTGAGCTTTGGCTCTTTGTGCATGCTAATTGTATTCGATTGAGTTCAGAGCTGGACTTTGAGATGGACACTAGTTAAAGCATTTGGGTTCTCAATAAGGCTTCTAACATGTCGTGTAGGAAATCAGTATTTCAGCTAGTACTATTTTGGAATATAAACATGTAAGTTCATAATCTTTTTTTCTTCTTTTTCTCATGTTCTGAAAAGAAAGGTGATTAGGTTGTAAGAAAAGGTATTACAAAAAAAAGATAACAAAACAAGGTTGTGGTAAAAAAGAGAGGTGTATTTATTGGAGAAGTGACTCAGTCTTATGTTGTCAATGTGTAAGACTTCAAAGAAACAAGAATGATGAAACAATAAAGATATAAGACCTTCCCCACCTACAATAAATCAAGAACGATACAGGTCCTGCAACTATCAATCACAATGAGAATATTCTTTACATTACGTTCATCCAAAATGTCCATCACCAAATCTATAAGCTTAACAATATGATAAATTATAGTACCTTTTGGAAGATTGATAGGCTTAGCCTTATTTTGAATGCCAGCTTTTTATTTTATTGGAAGTAGACGGCTTGGGAAACTCTTTCTTAATCTTGACTACATTGTTTTTCCTCAATGGGATAATTTTCGAGAAACAGACCGTTACAAAAGAAGAGATAAAAATGTAGCCAGGAATACTGATTTTTATAGCCTTCCGGATATGCAATTTTATCGCCGCAAGAAGCTTTATCCCCAGAGAATTGCTGGTGTATGTAACAGTGTACATATTGGTGTTCTTTGTAGATTTTGTACCCACCCTAAACGTCATACCAGTAGTTGTCAAGATAAAGTGAAGTTTCAATGAGCTATTTTAAATTTCAAATAAGTTAATAAAAAAAATGACCAATACTTTTCTTTAGTAAGCCCCAAATTATTGCTATTTTAATAAACATTTAGATTTATAAATTGGCCAATATTTTCCAGCTTCACTGTATATGGTAATTGATTTATGCTTGTGTAGACCCCAATAAATATGAAAAAGGCAAATTGTACAATGGCTTAATGTGAGTTTCAAGGTCGGTATAACACAAATTTATACAAACAATTTTGTAGTGAACACAAAAATGGGAAAAGGATTTACTTTTTTTTGTATGTTTAATTGAATACAAATGAATAAGATTTGCATTCTATTCTATATTATTATTATTACTATTATTATTATTTTTTGTATTGGTTGTTAATATGAATTAGTGTAGGTTATAACTCGTCTTTTATCTTTTTTCTCTTCCTTTTTGTGGGTTGGGATACACCATTTTACTTTTTTGGCTTTTGTCGTAGTTACTGTTGTTGTCGAGGTTGTTGGAAATATGAAAGAGAAAGAGAGATAAGAGAAGAATAAGAATAAGAAGAAGAATAAGAAGAAGAAGAAGAAGAAGAAGAAGATAAAAGGCTGTATGCTATGTTACATAATGTACACGATTAGTGGGGTTTAATGGCTGTCTTGAAATCGATGCCGTAGAGATAGGATGACACCATAACGGTTGTTGCACCAAGAACAAACGGGATAGTTGGTTGAAAGTCGAACAGATAAAAGCTGATGATACCCGAGACAATAATCGACAGACTGGTGGCAAATCCTTTGAGGATATTGTCAGCGTACTTCACCACAATAGCCACAAGTAATCCACCGAGAGCTTGGTTCATAACCACAACCCAGGTCAGCCAGTCATAGCCCTGAAGCATACCACCTGCCCATATAACCTCTCGATCGTAGGCGATCATCCCCACCAGTGAAAAGAACGCCCCGGACAAGCCCAGTTGAATATTGCGCACCCACATCGATGTATCCGAAGTCTTCAAGATCTTCTCAAAGTAGCAACCAGCAAAACCAGAAGATACGCAGCTCGTCAGTACAGCAAGTAAACCAACGATAGGACTTTGCTCGTCAGATTGGCTAGGTTCACTTTGAATACTCTGAGACTGTACCAATGTAACGCCAACCATCAATAATACTAAGGCAAACCAGCGCTCACGGGGTAGCGATCTCCCCAACAATAAGACCGAAAATAATGCTGTTGACAGGATCTTCATTTGATAGGTTACTTGAAAAGTGGCAGCCTCGAGATTACTGAGTGCGACATATAGTAAGTTGTTTTGGAGTGCATACAGTCCCGAGGGAATCAACATTGTAAGTGTGTCTCGAGGCTTGGCCAGGATGTCTTCTTGAACCATTCGCCGGAAGTCTCTCCAGCTACCTTGTTGATGGTACATGACTGCCAGACATGCGATTATCTTCAGAACCTCGGCGAGAAAAACAGCAGTGGATGCCACATACATTGACTGATCAGGACGCTGTATGATGCGAGAGTACCGCATCATCAATACCAATGTACTGTTTTGGACCACCAGGACAATCAGTGATAATTGCTTCCGGCTTAGATGGAAGATTGTGTCCTCTACAACATTACGTTAACATCATCATCTCATTCCTCCCTTTTATGTTCAACTCTACTTACCCTTTTCTGGTCCATTACTGTGCGTCGGTAAGAGATCACGTTTAGCAAATGTCCGTCGTGTATGGTAAGCGGACATGGCGTGAACATTCAAAAAACTACAAAAATTTTGGTTACGCCAATGATATAAGGCGGGGACTTGAGAAAGGGGCACAAAGTCACTCTCTTTTTTGGCTGTCCTTTTTGTTTTTTTTCTTACTTTTTTTGGCTTGTGAAATAGCGATAGGATGAGTTGTATTGGTTCATTCAATTGATTTTCATGGCCAGAAATTGTAGGTAAATATTTTCACAATATCATATTCGTGGAACCACAGAAACTTCCATGTATACATTAATATATATATATATATATATATGTGTGTGTTTGAATAGTTTTCTGATCTATCTAAATGTTGATCTGCGGATAATAGTGGTAAAAAGGTATATATATTTATTCAACGAGTGCAAGTTGTATTTTTTTTTATATAATTTTAAAGTTTCAAAAAAAAAATTAAATGTGTAAATGTAAATGTAAATGTAAATGTAAATGTAAATGTAAATGTAAGTGTAAATGTGTAAATGTGTGTGTAAGTGTGTGTGTAAGTGTGTGTGTAAATGTGTGTGTAAATGTGTGTATAAATGTATTATTGTGTAAATATCTAATGTATAAACGGGCGTAAATACATGTTTCAAAGTTACAAATCTTTAGATTTCAGAATTTCAAAATTCCAAAATTCCAAAATTCCAAAATCACAGGGTCACATTATTTATAGAGTTACAGAATTACAGAATTATGGGATTACGGAATTTATTTCTGTTTTTAATTTCCCGCAACAAGTGCATGAATCAGACATTTATACACCCATCTCCTCTTTCTTGCAGAAAACTAAAGACAAAGACACGCCTCCTTTATCCATTGTTTTTGCTCATTATTTCTTTGCATTATTATAGTTATTTACTGTGCTCCCTCCAATTTCTCAAAGTGCTTCTTTGCTGCAGCAATATTCAGTAATGTAGCTGCCGATTCTACAAAATATCAAAATGCTCAGTGTCTTTGTCTTTGCCTTTTTTGGTTCCATAAGTCGAAATTAACTTACGAATGGTAGGATCCGACATCACAATCATTGCATAGGTATTGTTGGTTAAGACATCGATGAATGCAGTAAACGAACTTCCTCGAATTTCCATACTCTTGAATCGTGTCTGGGACTGACTACAGCCGAGATTAAACTGTTTGATAATGTTACTAATCTTTTCAAACCGATGTAAATCTTGGTGCTTAATTGTTGCTGCGTTAGCGATGACCAGAAATGTAGTACGCTCAAACAGCACCACTTCATCCGCATCGCATGTTCGACAAAAGTGGTCAAGGTGGGACTCCAACACTCGGATATTTGGTATCAGACAATGCACAATCTGTGACCAAGCCTGTAATAAACCCAATCCACAAATAAGAGATATAAAATGTAAAAATGAGCCTTGCTACTTGCTTTAAATCACTCATGACTTCTCCTTTTTTCTTTTGTATAAAATTGAAATACTTGCTGCATAAAGAGTTTCGTCCCATATAGATGTCCTAAAGCCACGGATGTTCAGTGGTTCTGATCTTGTGCTTAACTCTCGAATCCGCTCATCATAAATCTAAAAGGATCCACCAATAATTTTCTTTTTGGTCAGTTCTCAGAAAAAAAGAAAACAAACAAACAAATAACAAATAACAAATAACAAATAACTATTTCTCTTTCTCTTCTTCTTTTGGTGTATTTCTCATATATATATACATAAATAAATATTTACTTGTTCTCGCTGGTGTTCAGGAACCAAGTCCATCTTGTGAATCAAGCAAAATATACGAGCATCTTTGGAATTCGCCAGAATTGCGTCCAGGCACGATTGGTAGTAATGAAGATCCTTCTCCCAATCACGACTCTCGACATCAAATACATATATCAGGACCTCTACATTCTTAAAAATTCGGTCACGTTGGGATGCAAAGTAGTTTTCCATAAATGCTTCTTGTCTAAATGCCCATTTCTTTTTTTTTAGCTTTCGTATATTCCACAGCCTGTACACACGACATTTGGTCGTCTGTATTTATTAGATTCTATTGGCTTACCCTCCACAATCCCACAGATTGAGTACTAGATTGCCCAGAAACTTGACATTTGAATGTTCGACGTCAACTATCATCTCTCTTGTCAGTCTAAAGTGCCTTTGAATGCTCGTCATTAAAGAGGACGAGGGGAGGAAGAATTCTTACTTGTAGCACCAAGGCGCCGAGTGTCTCGAGCAATATAGTTGCTAAAGATAATCGACCTCATGGAAGTCTTTCCCGATCCACTTTTGCCCATCAAGAGCACCTATTCACCACAACCCCATCCCTTTTCCTCTTAGTAAGTGTTTCACCTCGGTTTCTTTCGTATTCTTTTTTTTGGGGGGTTTTTTTTTGATTATTTTTTTTAATAAATAAAAAAGGGGTGGGCAAAAATGAAAAATGCTTTGCAAAGTTGTACCTTCTTCTTCTTCATAGTGTAAATATGAGGCTCTATTAGATTCTTATTCTTTAACTATTGACTTTCTTCTTCTTCCAAGCTATTTCTTATATATTATTTTATATATGTATATATGTATATATATATAGAGAGAGAGAGGTATTTATATAGAGAGGTATGTATGTGTATATATATATATACTTATATGTAAATGTGTATATATGTATATTTTTTTAAAATATATAATATGTATGTATGTATTCAAAAATAGAATAAGAAATAAATAAATATTTAAAAAAATGAAACCCTTTTAGCAACCTGAATTCCAACCTTGATGTCAACTCACTTTTACTCTAAAAACTGTTCGTGACTCGTTTCATGGACGTCATGGCTCTTTTTCCCTTCAAAGATCAACGCACCACAATGCTCACGATCCCAACTAAACAGGGTTTCTTTTCTTTTGTCACAAAAATTTGGATCTCAATTCGTTCCTTTCTCCCTCTCCTCGAACCCTTCACCCTTTACCCTTCTCCTCGAACTCTCCCCCTTTACCCTCTTCTTTTCTTCTATATTAAATAAGTATATACTTTCACAGCCAAATCTTACCAATCAATCACTAAAGACATTACATTAGAATCATCAGAAATGACGCCATTTGTTCTCTTTTCTTCTTATTCCCCCTCCTCCTAATTGCTTGCAGTAAACTTGAAATACTTGTAAAGATAATTGATTTTGGGGCTGTCAAATCTCATGATGCCCTGCAAAAAAAAAAACGATTCGTACCAATATCTCGGAGATTTGATTTTAGGATGGTGCCTGCCCAGGTTTTTAACAATTGCTTTTGGACAGGTACTCCATGTCATTGACCATTACGCTTAAAATCAAGGCGACTAATTACAATGCTGATGCTATAAAATTTATTAATTTAATTCCTTTCCTCCAATTAACAAACAAGTCTAATGGTTTACTTATTTTGTACCTAAAGTAGATATATTCCTCTAAAAGGCTATATTGCCAAGCAGAACATTAATGTTATACATTTAGTATATAAGGTAGCACCAAACTGATGTGTATACAGAGGTGTAAATACGATTCCATAATGATTTCACTTAGTCCGCATTTCTATGCGCTAATAAACTTTTTTTTGTATCGTTCTTCTGACTTACCTTTGACTTGCTACTTCTTTGAAAAACAAAAATAAAAAAGATGAAATAACATCACTATGTTTAATATGCTCTAAGCAAATTTTAGTGTCCTGAGATTGATATTGAAATTAAAGGTTTGTAAGTTATCTAGCGGTATTTGAATAAAAACAAAGGTACAGTTTGGAGCAACGATACTTTGAAAAAGAAAATAAAAGACACTAGCTTTTTGAATGATAAGGATTTACTGAGAATTATCGAAAGGATTTTTGTATGTGAAAAAGTCATGAAATAAAAAAAACTTCAAATAAAACGAAATATATATATAAGAGCATCTTCAGCAGTGAGTTAACTTTTGATTTATCTAAAGCCAAACACCGCCACTTTAGCTAAATATTTAAATTTAAAGTAAAAAGTGGAGTTAAAGTGGACTACTGAAGCTGCTCTAAGGGGACAATTTGTTCGGCTCGGACGACATAATTTATTGGATCAACTGTATAGAACACAAAATATATGAGATATTTTGACTTGAAAGTACACTTAATTATTGGACCATAATGTAACACAATAATGAGCTACTGGAAAGGAAGACTAAATTTAATAAAACTAAAAATCCTTGAGAACTGCCATGGCTTTACTAAACAGTATTCCAATAGAAAACAAGTGAAATCTCTTTGATAATATATGTACATATATGCATATGCGCCCAAGATATTAGGTCTGCGGAAAGAAAGGAGTCATGATACACTACACACATATCTATAGGAAATTCTGCAAACAAAACTCTGCCTCTCAAGAGGAATCAAGAGGAATTTCCCCAAGTCAATATTGGCCTTTGGCTACAATACTTTATAATCATATTTTATCTTCAAGAAAGTCTATAATATATCTACAAATCTCGTGTCTCTGATGAATATTTGTTTTATAAAACATATAATAAAAGATTGTACACAAGAGAGCAGCATGTGACCGTGACAAAAAAAAGTAGTGAGATAAAATCTCTGGACAGCTTAACCTTTTTTTTTTCGTTACTCATCTGAAATCAAGAGATCCCCAATGAAGACAAGAAACATGACAGCCAATGCAAGTAGTGCAGCTACTCAGACTAAATTGCGTCCTCGCTCAAGACGCCTCAAAGAGGGTACTTTGTCCTTTTTGTCTTTCTTTATTTCATACCAATAAAGAATTCCCGGCCCTGAATCTTTACCTTTTTTCCCCCCTACTTTTACTTATTAACGTCACACTTAATATATATATATATATATATATATATGCAATTTAGCTGGAAAGAGATCATTCAATGATGATTTTATTGAGGCCAACATTAAACCCAAAGGTTCTGGAAAGAATACAAGTGAAATCGAATTATCCACGAAAGATAAAAGAGAGAAAGATGCTTCACCAGAAATAAGAAATGTCTCGTCATCAGCAAAAGTATCATCATCATCATCAGAACTTCAAACTCACACCAGTAAAAAACGGAAGCTCAACCCTCGACGTACCTTGATAGCCTCTGCTTGGACAGTTTCATCAAGTGTTGAAAACTTATTTGAGGAGACTCAGAGTGAAGCATCTTACCTTTCTGACGCAGATAAGAATCATTCATCAGCATCAAATCAACAACAGCCTGCTGCCGTTGTTTTAGGTGTATCGACTGGTGTCAAGAATAACAAGAAAAAGTTGTCAAAAATTACTGCAAGCAAATCCAGAAAGCTTGGAAGCTCCTTTACGGTGGCCTCAGATTGGAACAGACTGGTAGTTGTTCCGCCACAGTGTCGCAATACATCCAATGATAAGGATCCGAAGATGAAAGAGGAAGAAGAGGAATCAATGGATACCAAGGAGACCACAGACAATGATCCTTACGAACAACAAGACATCATCTGTGATGATATTTTTGAAAAGGCAGAAGTGAAAAATGATACTACCTCAGAGATGGATATTCATCAAGCTATAGAACCTCTTGCTCCGGCTAAAGAAGAAGAGAAGAAAGAGGAAGAGCGCTCAGATACAGAGTTGTTGGCCGTTGCGAAAAACCAAACGTCGGACATTATTCGTGGCTTCAGTACAGTCCAAGAGGAACATATGGAGGTTGACCACACAATCCCTCAAAATATTTCCCAAGCAACTCTAGAAGTCCAACAGCAGCAACAACAAGAAGAAGTATATGCCTATGGTAAAAAAATGATGGAAGTTCCTGTTCTAAAAGTGCTCGAGGAAGAGAACGATACACCTTGCTTTGTACCGAAGGATAATGAGGGGGATGATAACGATGAATTGGAAAATAGTAATCATGTAAAAATGATGGATAGCATTCATCAAAAAATCGGCTCTAAAGAAGTAAACGTGGAAGAAAATGTTGATCATCATTCCACACTAAGCCGAGAGGAGGGTTCGGATTATGAACAAAAGGATATTATTTCGGGCACCACGTATCAAAATATATCATTGGAAACAGAAAATCATAAGACGATACCCTCTTCCATGGAAATAGACGATGAGGTTCTTGATACTACTACTACTACTACTACTACTACTAGTACCACTACTACCACAATTATTACTACTTCTACTGCTACTATTACTGCAACTACTACTACAGACACTAGCTCCCAACAAATTGAGATTGAAAAGGCTGTTGATACCAAAGAAATACCCGATGAGCCAATGGATTACATCTCGACTACAGACGAGACGACAACAGGTTTGGATTTAGAAAGCAAGTCATTTATTTGTGTTGATCATGGAAAATTACCTGCACTCTCGGATATCTGTATCCCAGGAACTGTACCAGACTCAGAAACTCGAGAGTTATCGAGAATAATAGCCACACCTGCTAAAGATACAACAGCATTATCCGAACCCGACGAAAAAATGGATGTCGTGCCTGAGGGGGAGGATGAGAAATTCCAGGAACATGAAGCGTCCAAATCACTAGAAGAACATTCTGCCAGTGAATATGACGAAGCAAAGCATAGTCATGATTCTTCCATTCAAAATCTTGAAGAAATCAGCCAAACTCCTACTGACAAAAGAAACACTCGCGAATCTGAAAGCGAGGCACCTAGAAGCGATATTGATGTTGCACCTCTCCAAATTACCGCCGAGCCTATCGTTCCTCCCGAGGTACACGAAGCAGCCCCTCCCAAGCGTAGTTTCTGGCAAAGACTACTATTTTTCCTATAGGAGGACGCAGATACAAAAAAAATGTTTTCATGTTTTTAGATTGTCTTCATCTACTTCATTTTTTTTAAAGAAAAAAATATTTGGGATTTGTCATTAATATCAATATGTACATAATTCACCTTTCCAAATATCCAATTATTCAAATACCTAAATATCCAAATATTCAAATATACAAATATACAAAAAAAAACACAAACACTTGTCTTTTATGTAGCAAACAAATTCAATAGAATATAGCTTTGGTGTTTGTATGTGTCCGTTAATAGTTTCATTTCATTTCATTTTTTTTAAACCCCTTTGGACTAAGAAACTGAGTACTGTAATCTTATCATGCAAAAAGGATAAGGCGATAAGCGGATTGTGTAACCAAATTTCGTAAGTAGCATATTCCACGCACAAAAAAGGGTTTGTAGTGCTTATATAGCCTGACTCGATATTTATTTATTTCTTTGTTAAGTTCCTTTTTTTTTGTTTCCACTCTTTACTACCCTTTTTTTCTGATTCTATCTATCATAATGGCCACTGTTTCCGTCATTTCACCAGTAAACCAGGAGCCTGCCTTCTCAGTTCGATGCATCACAAACGAAGAATTTGATCAAGCTGTTGACCGTGCCGAGAAAGCGTTTTCAGGTTGGCGCAAGGTACCTGTCTCTGAACGCGTCAAGATTATTCAGAAATTCTGTGATATCTTTGACACAAAGCAAGAAGAAGTAGCCGAGTCATTGGTGCAGCAGATGGGTAGACCCAGACGCTATGGAGGAGGAGAAATCAAGGGTGTGAGAGAGAGATCTAGTTACATGTGCTCAGTCGCGGAAGAGAGCCTCAAAGATGAAGTGGTTGAGGAACAATCGAATGTGAAGCGGTACATTAAGAAGGAGCCATTGGGACCTATCTTTATTATTGCCTCATGGAACTACCCTTATCTTACTGCTGGTAAGTTTTTGTTTTCTTCTTCTTCTTAAAAGTATTTTGAAGTCAAGCTTATATACCTGTATATATATATGCGTGTGCGTTTGTATGTATTAGTCAACAATGTGATCCCCGCTCTTCTTGCCGGAAACCCCGTTCTTTTGAAACAGTCTCTGCAAACCCCAAAGTGTGCAGAACTATTTGTTAAAGTACTTCACGAGGCAGGTGTTCCTGAAGATATCGTTCAATCTGTGGTTTTGACCGATTCTGGATCTGAATATGCTACAAATCATCCTGGAATCAAATTTGTTAGCTTCACAGGAAGTGTTGCTGTTGGTAAAAAGATCCGAAAATCGCTTGGTACAACAAAGCCTTTGATCGGTAAGGACAGCCTTATTATATAAATACGGTTGTACATACACACATACACACACCTATATAAATAAGAGAGAGAGAAAATAGCAAAATTCAGGAGATGAAGAAAAAAAGAGAGGGTTGTCATATCATGTGATGCTGAGAAAAAAAAAGAATCAACCCATTGACTGGCTGATTATTTGATTGATTAAGGTTCTGGAATGGAGCTCGGAGGAAAGGATCCTGCTTATGTACTATCTGACTCTGATATTGCTTATGCTGCTGAAAACATTGTGGATGGAGCCTTCTTCAACTCAGGACAGTGCTGCTGCTCCATCGAACGTTGCTACGTCGACGCAAAAGTTTATGACAAGTTTGTTGAAAAGGCAGTTGCTATTACAAAGGTAAATTAAAGAAAGATAGAATAATTACGAGTCTGGTATTTACATCTTACCTTTCTTTTAATCTTTATTCCCAGGGCTATGTTCTTGGAAACCCTAATGATATGGAGACCACAATTGGACCAATGGCCAATATCCAATTTGCCAACAATGTCAGAGCACAATTGAAGGATGCTGGTAAGGCTGTGTGCTTAGCGTATATATATATATATATATATATAGACATGAATATAGTATCTTATCTATATACTGTAAGATCTATTAAACACTTGTTTTGCTTTATTTTAGAGAGCAAAGGGGCAAAGCTTTTGATCGCCACTGAAAAATATTTCTCTCAAGACAAGGTAGATATATATATTACATCATCCTACGTCTATAATTATACTAATGCTTACAGATTGTGTAGACTGGAAGTACTTATATTGGTCCACAAATTGTGGTAAATGTTAATCACGATATGGTCATTATGAAAGAAGAGGTTTGTACCAACTTTACATGCCTATATATATTTAATTTAGGCTATACTAACAAAACACTATTTACTTAGACCTTTGGCCCTGTTTTGGCCATTATGCCCGTGTCTTCAGAAGAAGAGGCAATTCGATTGATGAATGATTCTGATTATGGATTGACTGCCAGTATCTGGACCACAGATGCAGAAAAGGCAATTCGTATCGGTGACCAAATTGAAACCGGAACCTGGTTTATGAATCGCTGTGATTACATTGATCCTGCACTTCCTTGGGTTGGTGCAAAGGATAGTGGGTCGGGTTTCTCAATGAGCAAACATGGCTTCAATGCCTTTGTGAGGTTATTATTACTTTTTTGTTTTGTTTTTAGGTTTATATACATGAGACAAATTACTAACCATCAGCTTTTAATTTCACTTAGACAAAAATCATACCATCTCAAGTTGAAGCAGCAGTAGATACTTCTTCTCCTTCTTCTTTATATAATAGGAAGTACTCAATAAAAAAGAATCGATACTGTAGCGAGGCAAAGTAATTGGCACCATTCTTTTTATTCAGTAGTTTAGGCTTTTGGTTTCTTTTATACACTTTTTTCATAAAGTATATTCGTTCATGAAGCAAAATTATACACGCTATTCTGAAAAGAATAAAATGACTTTTAAGCTGTTGTTTGAAAAAAAAATGTATAGGAGCGACTGCTACTACAGAGCGACTCTGAGTTCACATCCGTACAGCGCAAAAATGGGCTGAAAAGTACGAGAGGGATCTTGATAATATCTTTGAGAATAGGAGAATTTTTTTTTGTTTGTATGGAGCTGTGACAGGCTCAGATTTATTAAAGTTCTCTGAATGAGTAGGGCAAAAGAGAAAATTACAACATTTGTTTTGAGGGTTTATGGGGGTTATTTGATGTTTTTGGCTTTTTGGTTTTTGACTTGTTTTTGTGTGATTTAAACTTTTTTTTTTGTTAAAATGTTAATGTGGTGTTATGCAAGGGAAGAGTCAGCGGAGTCAAGCTCGAGCTCTGAGCAGATGCGGGAGATTGATTTCCTAGCAGTGGCAAGAACTAAGGAAGGTAAAAAAGGAGCAGAGTTAAAGTGGAGTGCCCAATGGTGGTCCCAGATAGCAAGGATGGTCAGTCCGAAAACCGAGGCGGCTGGAATACTGGGGTTCAGCGTGGGAGGGAAGAGAAAGGATGTGAATGCCGAGGAAAGTGCAGAAGGTGGTGGGACGGTGCCGAAAAATTCTAACCAAATGCCTAACCACACCGCAGATTTCAAAGGACAAGAAAGAAGAAAATGCTCTTGCGTCTCGATTGACATCTGGCAGATATTGCAGAGAGGTGAAGGAACAGTGAAGGGCATAATGTGGTGCAGAAGAGCTCGGCAAGATAGTTTGTTGTGTAAGCCGCGAAACCAAACATTACGGGCCCGGTGAGGAAGTGCGAAAGACCAGAAAGAGTGCAGTTGGCGAGGGCTAAGATGGGGGCTAAGTGGTTGAGCATTAGCATGATGATGAGAACAGGTCAGCCGGTAAGAGCGCGTGGACAAGCGTGACCAAGGTTTGCCGAGGAACAGAGCAGAGATGAAGGGATCAAAGTCAAAGGGGGACCCATCTCGAGGAGGCATATCCAAATGTCGCGATTCTAGGATGAATGTAGGAATAGAGAGAGAAAGAGAGAGAGAATAGGAGAAAGGCCGGTCGTCCACGTATTTTCAATGAGGAGCACAAAAAAGTTATTTTTTGAGTAAATTTATGCGAACCCTTCCGTCGTATTGGATGACCTGATAAGGCACTTAAAACAAGTATTCACAGAATTAAAAGCATCCAAAAGCACCTTGTTTGGTTTTATATAAAAAAAAAGCACTTCAACTTGTCTATCGAAAAGGTTTGTTTTCAACCTGTAGATCGAAACAACGAAAAAAAGATTCAGAAACACCTGGATTGGATTCACAAATGGGGAAAACAGACATGACTTTTACAACCAACAACGGCTTCATTGATGAATCTGCATTTCATATTAATTTGAAACGTAGTATGGTATGATCAAAGAAAGGCTCCTTTGCAGTGCACACAGTTTCTAAAACTACAACTTTTTTATCCTAAATTGGCGAGCCAAAGTTTCAAAAAATAAGATATTTCATACCATGGGTGCTATCCATATCATATCTCTCAGTTCATCTTGTTTTTTATCTTAAATAGTTTCCCTTGTATTTCCCTTCAACTTTGGCAGAAATTTCAGCGACTAGTCCGAATCCGAGTCTACAGTTTGACAATACTATCATTTGACAACCGTATTGAAAACCAATGAACATTTGATTTTTTTTTCTTGAATGACATAGATACACCAAATAACACAATATCTACATGAATAAATTATCTTTGTTCATTGTTGTAGCAAATAATGCTCACCATATTTGAAACATCCTTATCGCACCTGACTTGATTCTCCTAGGTGGTCATGACAATATAATGTTGGATAGAAGAGACACGGTCTGTACAGACAATCAAAAATATATGATAGATTTTGTAAATAGTCAAGGCTCTTTGTGAATAGCTGACAAGGGCGTCACATAAAGGGTTTATTGACGGTGAGTTGAATTTCGATGATTGGAGAGAGCGAGTTTTGGATTAACAACCAAGGGTTATAAAGTATATTGCTTTGCAATTCGCCCTGCCATTCTTTTTCTGCTGACGTGCATATTCCGTTTGTAACATTCAATGATTCGCAGACCACAAGGTTAACCACGCCTTGAGTTTTTTAACACCTGCTTGTTTTAATTGACTTTTGTCTGGCAATTGATCTTTGGATAATCGTAATTTGATAATGTCATCAGACACTATAAATGTGGTATTTCAGGTACGAAACAATAGAAAAATAATAAATTTGATAATAGGAGACGTACATAAATACTTTGGGACCATATATAAGCTGTCTTTTATTCATAAATAAAAAAAGTGTCTCTTTATAAGAAAACACAATCTGCTCTGGCCATTGTGTCGTGGTTTCCTAAAGAGTTTACGGAATTCTTTACCGAAAAAAAATTAAGGACCTTGGACAACAGCGTATATTTTTTTTGAAACATTTAACCAAATATATCATTTTATATGGTCTCATGTTTTGGTTCCAACACCAAATGCAGAAAGAAATCTGCGAGTATTTGAAACAAGCTGTCTATTTTGAAGAAAAGTATCAGATTTTTTTAAGACAACATCGAATACCTGCCAATTTTACAACTATTCGGCGATGTGTAAATTAATAATGATTTTGATAACCCTTTTGCAAATTCTTGTATTCGATAAAGTGGTAAAATTTTGTTCGACTTACTGTATAACATAAAACAATCTTCATGGCTGTAAATAAGGTATACCGGAAACAGAAATATTGATGGGTTTATGTAGGTAAATGTACATATCAAATTAAAACAAACTTTCTTTTTAAAGCTTAAGTATATTATATCAATAGACTTTGCATAGCTCTTTATGGTTGTTGTTGGTATGCTTGCTTTATACTCATAGATAGATATATTCAAGTGTCCGCAGCAGCTTATAAGCATCACAAAATCGTCATCAATCTCATATACTACCACGAATTACCAACAAATAATATATATATACATATATATATTACATATAAATTAAATTGCATCTTAACAGTTCCAAAAATATACTCATCTAACAGTCTACCCCTGCGCCTTAAGACCTCGTTGGCGGCTTTCATCCTATTCTTGCCTTATTGGACTCTTAAAGACATATAGATATAAGAAATAATAGAGCCACAGGATCCTGACTTTTTCTAGTTTTATTTTATATTTGTTTCTATTTATTATTTATTTAAACACACACGTAATACATTTTGTTCAATTTGTAACTACCTAAATCGAATACTCGTACTTTTTCTTTTTCTCCTTTTCCTCATGTTTTCCTTCAATGGCCAAGAGAAAAACGACTTTATAGAACGTACAAGAGCAGAACGCAAGAAACGAGAACAAGAGAAAGTTGAGAATGAAAAGGAGAAGAGACGAACAGCTGCTGCAGTACGAATTCAGCAATGGTGGAGAAATCGACAAAGACAGAAACAAGCGATCGAAGAGTGCTGGCAATGGTGGGATGCAAATCTATCTTCGAATGACCACCCAACCACAATGAACGACATCTTTTCGTTTCTTGGTTTCTATTGTCTGTTTAGCCGAAACAGCACTCTTGAACAGATCAAGAACCGTCTGCCCATCATTTGTAGATTGGCAATGAGCAAAGCTCCGGGAGATCGAGACAATCTAACTCTTGTATCATTCCACACTCTATTGATTGATGCTCGTTACATGGCCCGAGCCCAACGCTATCTCTGTATTATTCTCCATCAATCTCTTGTCCGCACAACTCAAAATAGAACTAATGATGACAATTTTAATACTACCGGAACTACTGAACTCAACACACTTTTACACTTTCTAAACCCGAATACGTTCAAAGTACAGGCACCAATCGATCCAAAATACAAAGTAGACAACCCAGCCAATGTTCTAAAGCAAGTTTCCCTAAGAGTAATCAAAGAAACGATCCTCTCCTATTCGACTACTACCTTACGCGATTCGGCGATTGTAAGAGTTGCACATGTAGTCAAGCTCGAAGAACAGAGCAAGAAACATTCAAGAGGTGTGATCTCTACAGAAAATGCAAAAATTATCCAAACAATTAAGTTGTGGCTCACCACTCTGACACGCTTGATCCTATTTACTGTGGAGCATTCATCTGACACGAACAAGTTGTGGAGTAAAACAGACGCAGTTGTATTCGTGGGCAACACAGTATTACAAGTTCCACTGTTGACGACCATGGTGCACTCCATGATGGTAAGCCATCTTCCTACTTGGTCACTTTATGGAAATATCAAGATAAATGATCTTCATTGGATTGAAACAATAGAAGGAAATGGTGCCCTGTTTTTACTGGCAAATTCGGTGGATGTATGGCAAAAACAGCAGCAAGCCAACCTGAATCATCACAGTGTAACTGATCTGATTCAAGCAACCAATACACTATTCTCCGTTATTCTGCCATTTTATTCCGATAGACAAATGTCCTTCTATTCAACATATCACCCGGTCTTCAAATGGTCTTCGTGCACCTGGGGAAATTCGATCCACTCGAATGTTTATGATCGTGTGATGAAACAACTCGAATTCCTCTGGTCTCGAACATTTATGGACAAGACATTTGAGCCAATTTTATCATTTGAGCCAAAGACGGAGAGCAGTAAAACCAACAGTACCAAGAAAGGTATTAGGTCCAGTGGATCTCCTTTATTCACAACGTTCAACAGTAAGAAGAAACAACAACAGCAGCAAGAACAAAAACAAGAACAAAAACTACATCTTGAACGAAATCCTTTGTGTGGTCAACTGGCAGAGTTTTCTGTGGACGTTGAGAATATTTTCTCAATGTATATAAACCTTGGTACGCTTTTTCCTGACCAAAAGAAGTCTATTTTGGCCCGTATTACTTTTACGCCTGGTCTTGTGCGTCAGCTATGGAAAGTCATGAATACATTTGGTCCACGCGGCCAGATGCTGATTTACCTTGACGCAGCAAACAAAAAGAATGGCAGTGAAATTGAGAAAGAGCCTCTGATAAAAGTCCTCAAAGTATTTTGTGAAGTCAGCTCACTTGTATTTCTGTAAGATTGTTCAATAGTCCAAGAACTTGATTTAGTTTGCTTTCTTGGTTGGTTAGTTCACTGTTTTGGATATCTGATTTGTTACTTTTAATTCCTTTTTCTCTCTCTTCTTCTTTTCTTTGAATAATAGTACCTTGGATGACACTGACATCTTTCAAAAGGAAAATCCTTTTTCTTCAAAGGTCCTGATTGAATTGAGTTCTTTTTTGAACGCATTTTATTTTGCGTTGGTTCAGCAACAAGGCAGTACACCTACATCGCTACCAGACTCGGTTCATTCCTTCCATTCTGCCCGTCGCCTACTTTTACAGTTGTATGACTTGGATCTACGACATCCTTTCTGCCCCCAAAAACACTGGCAACTTGTCACTGACCCAAGTACAAAATCAAACGTTCTTTCATTATTCAACTCTTCTGCATCTTCATCATCAAAGACGTCTGAGTTTCTAACTCATTTTAGACAGGGTGATATGTTGCCTTTACGTATTCTGCAATTGATGCCACACACAGTATCTTTTGACACTCGTCTAAAGATCTTTCGGGACTGGATTCACATGGACAGAGCTACAAGTAATGCAGGACGGTCTAGAGTTATCACCGTGCGACGTAATTTTGTGCTCGAAGATGGATTGCGTGGGTTATCAAATCTGTCGCCTACTGCATGGAAAGGTACCATCCGAGTTTCGTTTGTGAACGAACTAGGTAAATGTTTATTTTTGTATTTTATTTTTATTTAACGAAAAAAAAAAAAAACTTGAAACAACTGTGAATTTACAAGGAAATTAAATATCAATTTTTTTGTACAAGGCATCGAGGAAGCTGGTATAGATCAAGGTGGACCTTTTAAAGGTATGCTTTTATATAATAAAGCCTATTCCTTATTAAACTTGGCTATGTGTGTGTGTGTGGGTGGGTGTATGTTTCTTATATCTGTAGATTTCATTTCTTTGCTGGTTGCCGAGGTATTCAAACCATCGTGTGAACTATTTGCGGCTACACCCAAGACAAACTTATTCTACCCAGCAGCTTCGTCTCATATAATTGGAGCCAGTCATGTTGCCTATTTTGAACTCATTGGCAAAGTAAAGCAGATTTCATTTTACTAAAAGACTTAAAAACAAAGAATAATCAGAATACCTAATTATTACTGTTGTTGTTGCATGGACATAGATTATTGGAAAGGCGGTTTATGAGGGCATTCTAATTGATGCCCAATTTGCCAGTTTTCTGCTTTCAAAACTACTAGGTCGCAATGTATTCCTAGAAGAATTGCGTGAATTGGATGAAGACATATGGCGTAACCTGACTTTTGTAAAGCATCAAGGTGAGAGATCTGTTACCTTGAAATGATAAATAAAGGTTAAATAGGCTTACAATTGACTTTCAATTTTGTGCTTCTTAGACAATATTGAAGATCTTGGTCTTACTTTTGCAACAGATGAACAAATAAATGGCAAAGTAGTTACCCATGAATTAAAGTTTGTAAGTAATGTTCAATAAATCTAGGCATTGGTTTATCTTTAATTTCTTTAATCTCTTGTTGTATTGGTGTCAGTAGCTTGGATCACAAACAGCGGTTACTGACAGCAACAAGGTTGAATATGTGTATCTGATGGCAGATTACAAGCTTAATCAACAAGCCAAAGAACAGACAAAGGCATTTATTAATGGATTTCGTTCAGTTATTTTTGATGGTTGGATCAAAGTCTTTTCTCCTCCAGAGTTGCAGAGGTAAAGTCGTTTTTGAAATATATATGTGCGTAGCATATCATGTGCTGATAAAGAAATGAAAACAACGACAAAATAGAGTCATCTCAGGAGAAGATACAGACTTTGGTAAGTGTATTGATCAAATGTTTTTTTCTGGTCAATTAAAATAATCTTCTATAAACCGAAACCAAAAAATGATATTAGATGTACATGACCTTAGACGCCACACCGACTATCAAAATGGTTACTTTGATCAACACCCTGTTATCAAATTAATGTGGCAGATTGTGGATGGACTTACATCACAAGAAAAACGTGCTTTTCTCAAGTTTGTTACCGGTTGTCCAAAGGTGGGTAAATGTACCATGCTGACAGAGATAAATAGAAACCTATGCTTGAGAATATCTAACAAGATGGGAAATTGTGATTGTTGTTTGGGATACATTATAATGTATTATAATGTATTGTTTTATTATTTAGCCTCCATTGGGTGGATTTGATTATCTACAGCCTCCATTTACTATTAGAATGGTGTCTCCTGATAAAGACCAGCAGTCTATGGAAGGACTTGGGATTGTCAAATCGTTTTTCAAAATCAATGGTCTTCAGAACAAGGGAGGCAGATTACCCACAAGTTCGACATGGTAAGATAATGATCTGTCTTGTCTGGAAGTGCACACACAGGCTAATCAGAATACTAACCAATTAATTACAACCGCATCACCACACGATTATACCTGACATTAGTTTCAACCTATTAAAACTTCCAGGTAAGAAGATAAAACATTTATACCATATTGAACCTTCCAAATAATCTTATCACCCTCTCCCCCTTCTTAAACTGCTATCTTATTTTATTTCTTATAATTTCACAAGCCTATACAAAAAAGTCTCTACTAAGAGAGAAGATACTGTATGGTAAATATAATTTTTTTAAAGAGACTTTTGATTCAATTACCTGTATATATCTTATATACACCAAAGGTTTAAATAACACAAATATTCTTTTTACTTTAAACAGCCTTCCATGCCAACACAGGATTCGAGTTGAGTTGAATTGGGTTGATGATGCGAGATAGAAAGAAACTTTTTTCATATCCCCCCCCCCCCCTCTACCCCCTTTTAATCATTATTATTATTATTATGACAATATTTGATATATATTGATTGATTTTAGTCAGTCATTATACAAGCATCAAGATGTATAAAAGCTCTTTATATATTCATTGTAACTGGTATAATTTAAAGAATTGGTTTTAAAAGTATATATAATTATGATAATGATAACAAGAGCTCAAAAGGTATAAAATATCTCCAAGAACAAAGAATTTATTTATTTTGTTCCATTTCTTATTGTGATGAACTTGGCATGTAGAATTGGTCAAGTACCTGATTCAAACAGCAACTAGATTAGATTTTCAACAAATATAATTCAAATGGGAAAATATTTTGTTTTCATTTTTTTTTCAATTATTTACAAAGGAACAAAAAAGATATATGACATGTAAAACTGTTTTTACATGCAGTGTATGTAGTGCCTGTATATATGTGCGTATATAGTGAAAATTGATTATGTCGATGATGAAGGAGGTGGCAATGATGGTGGTATGTAGGTGAATTTGACCTTCTCTCTCTTGGGTTTCTTAAAAAATACTTGAGCGTAATAATGATTTAGCTGATCTTTGGTCAATTCGATAGGAAATTCGCGTGTCATGGATAAATGGATTGGCGGCCAGGTCTGTATCAAATATAGGCATGGCTTGAAGAGTGGTTAAGAACACCATTGCTAGGAAGGAGTATATGAACCATGGTTTAGAATACAGAGATGATGACTTTAAAGAGAATGTCATGATATACGGGGGGTATAAGTTAAATTATATATTAGAAAAAGAGAGAAAAATAATAAGAGGAAGAGGAAGAGGAAGAGGAGGAAGGAATATAGATGAAAATTATAGATAAATATTTGGTTTTTATTTCTCTTTTTATGTTCCTTTTTTTTTGAAAAAATAAAATAAAAATAAAATAATAATACGACAAGCGTATACTTTGCTCCACTTTTTATTATTTTTTTAATACAAAGAAGAATATTATTTTGAAAGGCTAAAAGAAAAGAAAGCGAAATACACATGCAAAAGCACACAAACACACAAGCACACACACGTATATAAAGGGGGGGAAGCTGTAGCCAAGCAAGATAAAGAAACAAGGGGTGGCGCAGTGCTAACACAATAAGTAAATAAATAAATTTAAAGTGCATAGCATCACTCTGCATCAGCTCACGAAATCCTGCCCTTTCTTCCTTTCTCTTCTTGTTCTTTTTCTTGTCCCTTATCTACATAAGCACAATATCAATGCTAATGAGATGCATATTGAATACAGCTCTGTATAGTACGTGAGTCCAGCATTAAATTATGTTTCATTTGAGAATCAATTGTGAATTCAAGCGTATAGAATCAGTTTACACCTTTAAAGATAGAAAAGTTTTAGTCTAGTATTTTGTTTAATTCAAAATTTCTTAAGTAATCCAAGACAAATAAATACACCATTGGCTTATTAAGAAACCAAGAAACAACAACAAAGCAATGCAAGGCAGGTTTTAATATTGGAGCATAGTTGATTAAAGACAAGAGATGCCAGAATTTTAATAATGCTAATATCAGAGGTGCACAAACAGGATTCAAACAAATCTGCGAGCAATCAAACCAAAGAGCAAAACAGCAAGAATACCGATCAACACGTCTAACCAAATAGGTGACCGTCCCAAATTGGTTGGTGTGTTCTCTGTTGCTAGTAATATGTTATTAGGATTGTGATGAGCAGGCACAGACACAGGAACAGGAACAGGCATAGAATTTGGTGTATTCGTATTTGTCCTTTGGTGTATCTGAGATACTGTTTCAGGATTAATATCTGGAGTTCGGTCTGTTGCACAACTAGACGCTTGTAATTCCATATTGGTTTTTTTCTTATTCACTTGTTCTGCTTCTTGAGATGGTTCGGTGGTAACCAGTAGATCAAGATCATCAAGATTGTCAAGACTATCATTATTATCATTGACATGACCCACTGTAGATAAAGGTTGCCGATCTACTAATTTCTCTTTGATCGAGTCTTCTGTCGGTTGTATGGATAAATTGTGGTCTTTGGATGAATCTTGACTAGACTTTTCTGCCGGTGGTTGTCCTTCGGGTTTAAATGTCAATGAAAAGTTTGGCATATCTTCAGGTGGTCGCTGTGGTCTCTGTAGCCCAGAAGGGATATCTTTCAAGACTTCTTCATTGGATATCTGACACACTGGGCATTTCCATGCCTTGGATCTTTGTGTATCAATTTGTTTTGTTTATTAAACAAGATACAAATCTGTTCTCTGTTCTCCTTCAACTTACGATTTGGCCAAAACGATACGCTCTTCTTTGGTATAGTCCAATCCACCAATTGCTCCTCTGGCTTCAGTAGGAAAGAATCCCATAACAGCAAGTATTACAGTACGAACTTTGGATTTTTATATTTTTTTAAATAGATAATTTTATTATTATTTTATTTTTATTATTTTTATTATTATCATTTTATTATTAATATCAATTCATTGAATTTCATTCTATTTTGGTGTAGAGTATTAGCCATTTTTACTACTTACTACCCCATGCTGGTTGCCAGTATTCTGGATGAAATCCTGTGATACTCAGGCATATCTTTGTGTTGAGTTCAAACCGTCCATTGGGCTGTATCATTGAGATTATGTATGGGCAGGAAAGTATCTTTTTGTTAGTATAACTAAATCAAATCAAATTAAATTAAATTAAAAGGAAAAATAAATCCAATAGGTAATGATCCGTGCACTTTATGTATCCTTTTTGTTTTTGGAAACTTGCCGTTAGAAATAGTAGCTCAGGGGGTTTGAATGGATACTCAGAAGGGAGAAGAATACGACCATGGTACCTGGCACACATATTATTGTACGTATATGTGTAGGTGTGTAGATTTGTAGGTGTTTTTAACGATTGACAATTTGATTAATTACGAAAACCTTTTTGATGTAATCTTTTGTATTATATTATTCTTTTGTTAAAAGATACAGTAATCAAACGACCCAATATTTAAAGAACACCTTTATTTTAGTATTTAAATTTTTTACCTTCCATTTTCAAATTCTGTCTCTGAAGGGCCACGAACAGTAAAGTGCCACTCAAATATATTATCCTATAGAAAAAGTGGTTTTTTTTTGCGTCGTTTGATTTATAGTTTATGTTTGTTGTTTGTTTGAAGAGAAAGATTTAATTATTGTTGCATTTATCACTACGGCTATCATTGTCATTATTATTGATTTATAAAATGCTAACTGATACAATATCAGCATTACCAATACTTTGGTAAATTTAGTTTGATTCCAGAGTTATCAAAACTCACATAATCAATCTGTGCTTATAATTTCTCTATTCATCTCTCTCTCTCTCTTATTATTATTATTATTATTATTATTATTATTATTATTATTATTATTATTATTATTATTATTATTATTATTATTATTATTTGATATCAACTTGCCTCGAGAGGGTGTGCTTCATAATCAAAGCTGCCCTCGACTGCAAGCTCTTTGGCTTCCTGCATAATACGCTTTACCGCTAAAATAGAAAGAAACAAAGATATATATATATATTTGAATAATGCTTCTTTTTTTCGGTTGTTAAGGCTGAGGCTGAGGCTGGGGTTGACGTTGGGGTTGGGGTTGCTTAGAGTGTTCAAACTTGCCTGGATTCTTTAGATTATATTTGGTCTCCATTACGAATCCGAAATTACGTTCTTGTTTTTACTGCTCACCGAGAATATGTATATGTATATAAAAAGAAACAAGTGAAAGAGAATTGCATTGGGGTAAAAAATGAAACGGGGTTTGGTTGCCACGTTGAATCTGTGACTGTGCTATGTAGGATTATGAGTGGTAGACTTGAATGCAGGAATCAAAACGTCATCGTCCAGGGCGAACAAAAAGAAAAAGAAAAAGAAAATGCACATTCAAGTTTATCGAGTACGCACTCGCAATACTTCTCTTTCTCTCCTTCACCTACCAGCATATGCATACGTACATATATCATTCTATCTAATAGTGTTGACACTGTATATATTCGACCACCTTTGCTTATAAAATAAGCTTTGAATTATTATAATTATTGCTATTGCTAATATTATCGAATGCATCCCTTTGTATTTTGCACTCAACTGCAGGGTTATTGGAATTCATAATCATTTGCACGTAAAAGGTTGACCGTTTGAATTTTGGCTTTTCTAATTTCTTACTCTCAAGCATTTTATCAATAGTTTTCTCTTTTTAGAATTTATCACAGTAAAATGGTACTCAGAATGAATTTAAACTTTGAAATATACATAATCCAATGTGTATCAAAACAAAACAATTATCGTAGACCAGGAGTCTAGATCAGTACAGGAATTCTATACTTTCAAGTGGTTTGTGTGGTAATAAAGTATAAAGGAAAGCAGTACTTTAAAAGCTTATACATTTTCATTTATTCCCTGCTTAAACTGTCTACAAAATTTCCTCTTTTTCAGGCTTTTTTTTTTTTTACCTAAACTCCACATATAAAACACAAAAAAGGAAAAGAGAAGAGCTATGGTATAATCGCAGATAACTATCTATGTAAAGGGTATTATTTTTAAAAAGTGGCCAATTTTTGTAAGAGTCTAGCGAATACTTTGATCGAAACAGTTTCTGTCTTCATAGCTTGGGCCTTCCCTAACTAAACTACTCGACATCAACTGAATAGGATAAAATCGTTGTCCTCTTATAGATAATAAAAAGAAATTGCAAAAAACAGAGTCTAATATATGATGCGGCTACTTTGAGATTCTATCACAACTTTGAATCTATCTGGAATATCTACTACAAGATTATGAATAACTTTTTTTTTGATTTCCCAACAGTTTTTCTATAAGGTTATGTGGGGATCCCAAAAAAAATGTTAACGAAATAAGGTGTAGTCAAAAGAAAGGAAGATGGATTTCTGGGGAAATTGACGCTGATACCGTTTTATCTTGTCGCGTATATGCGATCCTTGTACTTTGTAGCTCTGAAAGTGATCCCCAAGTTTTTAGGGTATAGAAATGTCATTGAACATTTGAAACAACCATGTACAATAGTGACAATTTTTTATTAAGTTTGTTATAGCACTTGGGAAGCAGTATAAAAATAAAGTGTTTGTGGTGAAAACGAAATTGTCTTATTCTCGATTTTTTATTGCATTAACTTTGCTGTAAAATGGTAGAGCTGTCAATATGAATACCTGACATCCAATTGCACTCCAATACCATTACCAATACAAATGTTAATTTCCTTTTTATTAAAAGTAGTTCTTCTAGTCTAAAAATATCACACAAAGGTACTTTTTATTCTGATATTCTCAAGACATGGAGAACTAAGCTTGACCTTCATGTTCAATATTAATTAAAATAAAACAGCATACTTTTGGGTCTCATTTTCAACATTTCTAGCTATTAAAAAAAAGATTCAGCAAGATAATGTAAATTTGACATTCATCGAGAGTATTTCCATTGCATATATTACTTGGGTAGCTGTTCCAATATCTAGATTATCTTTAACAAGTCAAAGTAAATAAATGAATAAATATAAAACAAATACAGAGAGACAGAGAAGGACTTTGGATCTGTTCATTAACACATATTGCTTCTTCTTTGGTTCAAAAGGGCCGTCACGATACAAGAATGAAAGCTTGGCTCTTTACTTATCTTTGCTCTCCCTCCTCCCTTCTCCCTCTCCTTTTTCTTATACAATTATATTCATTCATTTACTGGCTCATTTATTTATTTATTCGTTAATTATTTTTCGTAATGGCAATCACATTCTGGGGGACTGTTTGTCTACTCATGGGATTAGGAATCCTATCCGCCATTCGATCTCGCATCGCAATGACCAAAGACGATAAGCGTGAAAGTGTTCTGCGGGAGCTTAATTCTGATCCTTTTCGACAAGTACCTGCAAGTACAATTCTTGGTTTCTTTCATCCTTATTGGTAAATTGACCATGAGCTCTTTAATAATAATAATATTATTATTATATTTCGTTCGATATATATATATATATATAAAAAGTCATAAATATTCGATTGTCTTAATGTTCTTTTTTTTTTAATTTTTCTTTATACTTTATAATATTCTTTTGGCTTCTTCTTTTCCTTCTTCTCGGTCTTTTTATCGCGCGTGTGTGTGTGCATGTATATGTGTGCGTGTTTGTGTGTGTGTGTGTGTGCGATTATAAAGTAATGCAGGAGGAGGCGGAGAACGTGTTTTGTGGACTGCAGTACGTGATGTCCAAAAAGAGTTTCCCCATGTTATTTCAGTCATCTATACTGGTGATTTGGATGCCACCAAAGAACAGATTTTGTACAAAGTCAAGGTAAAGTAATTTGTCTATCACTCTACACACATACAAATACTTGTATAGACATATGCGTGTGTGGATTTATGTGTTCGTTACTTTAATATCACATACATACAGTACTAAAGCAAACTATACAAATAGATGAGCTTCAATATTGATCTTGATCCGCATAAAATCATTTTTGTCTATCTCACTACTCGTTACTTGGTCGATGATTCCAGGTAAGTCAACCTTAATATATACATATAAATGTATGCGTAGGATACCATGTAGATATTAAGCAAGTGATAATTTCTGTGTGGTTCTGTAGATATCCTCGTTTTACTCTTGCCCTCCAAAGTTTGGCATCGCTTGTATTAGGATTTGAAGCTGTTAATAAAGTAGTTCCTGACATATATTTTGGTATGTAAATATATATAAAGAAAAGAATGCATTAGTTTAGATTGTGGTCTAATATTTTAATGTATACGAATATTCTGCTATGTATTAGATACAATGGGATATGCATTTACATATCCGTTCATCTCTTTTATCGCTCAAGTCAAAATCTTTGCCTATGTGCATTATCCAACAATAAGGTAAGATAAAGGGAAGTGTAAAAAGGATAGAAAGAGAGAGAGCGCAATAAATAATGCTTCGAACACAATATTCAAACACAAAGCGACTATTGAAATAGCTCGGATATGCTTCAGCGTGTTTATGAGCAAAGACAGACCCAAGAGGTGCAAGTCTCAAACAAGGGATGGCTGTGGAGCACAGGAAAACTTATGTAAAGTTTCTCTAAAGTTAATTATAGATAGTGTCACTTAATACTAGAACGTTTTATTTTACTTATGAGTAGTTATTACCACCTGTTTGCCAAGGCTTATGGTTTCTGCGGCTCTTACGCTGATGTTGTTATGGTCAATTCTACTTGGACAAAAGGCCACATTGATCAATTATGGAGTACCGATGCTCAGATTGTCTATCCTCCTTGCGACACAGACCGTCTAAATGAATTACCTTTAAAAAACAGACTTCCAATGATTGTGAGCGTTGCTCAGTTTAGGTACATATATGTATATATAAAGAAGAGAACAAGGGAAACACACGTATATGCACACACAATACATTATCAAATTATTTTTCCTTAACCATTTTAAAACAATAGACCCGAGAAAGACCATTCGATGCAATTGAAGGCTGTGGCACAATTATTAGAGAAATATCCTCAATGGAAGACTTGTGAAGGGTTTGAGTTGGTGCTGATCGGAAGTTCGAGAAACCAAGGAGATGAAGATCGAATCCAAAGATTACGACAAGAGGTTGTCAGTTTGGGTATCGATGATTATGTTCGGTTTGAAATCAATGCTTCTTATGATGTGCTGGTGTCAAGTTTGGGCAAGGCAAAAGTTGGACTGCATACAATGTGGAATGAACACTTTGGAATCGGTGTTGTAGAATACATGGTAAATTTAATTATAATGATGACAGTTTTTGAGAACTTGGTCTTTTTCTTCTTCTTCTTCTTCTTTTATTGAACAAAGCATACATGTTTTTCTTTCTATATTTCTTTTATTTTTAGGCAGCAGGATTGATTCCAGTGGCTCACAATTCGGCTGGTCCAAAACTTGATATTGTCACTGATTATGCCGGAAAGCAAACAGGTAAATAAATTATATAAAAAAAAAGATAATTAACAGAGAAAGAGAGAGAGCAAGTAAAATACATTCAAATTTTGAATCTCAAGACCTATGGACGATCGATTTTTTAACCGGCTGACTGATTTTACAAATCGAAACTCGTTTATATTATTTGTTGTATCGTTTAGGTTATTTGGCCGATTCTGTTGACGGTTTTGCTTCCAGTCTTCATGCCGCTCTGTCACTGAGTTTAGAGGAATACGAAGCCATGGCTTCCAACGCTCGTGCTTCTGCTTCCGATCGATTCTCAGAGGTAGCCTTTAGTTCAAAATTCTTACGATCCCTTCGAAGATACTTTACCTGATATCTATATAACGAATAATTCACGACACTCTTTCATTTTTCTAAACTAAAATGCGCAATACAACATAACATAGCACAGCACAATAAAATCAAATAAAACCAAACCAAATATAAGCTATAGCACATCAAATATAACCTCTCCAACAAGACAAATTCTCTGCCTTTTTCTCACTCTTACGGGTTTATCAAATATTCTCCATTCTCTTTCAAGTGTATATGTTGTAATTTTGTAGGTGATTGAGTGTTCCCTCCTGCTCTATTCCCCTTATATATATGTGTGTGTATATCATTCTCACGCATAATCAGTTGTTCGCTTGGCATTTTCTTTTTTCTTTTTTTTTCTTGTTGGTTGGTTGATTGGCTTTATTCGATTTCTTTTATTCGTCTATGCTTCTTCCTCAACCTTGTTGGGCTGGGTGAAGAAAGAGTCGCGGATCTCCTTCTTCTCCTGGAGGGACTTTCCAACAAGAGAACCCTTCAATCCACCAGAATATTCGTAGGCGTACATAGTAGCACCAACACCAGCACAGGCGGCGCACATCTTGGCGATGGATTTGGCTATAAATCAAATCGAAACAAAAGCAAAGCAATGCAAAGAAAATAAATTTCCTTTATTAATTTCCCTTCCTTTTCTCTTTTTGTACTATTTATTTATATATTTATATATATCAGAATATGTACTTACTTCTCAAGACAGAGACCATACCAGCGGCACAGCCACCGATACCAGCGTTCAAGGCATCATCCTCACCGCGAACAGAGTGGGCAACAGATTCACCCAGAGAGAAGATACCACCCATAGCAGCTATTATACAACATTAACATAGATATATATGTATATATAGTGTGAGATTAACTTGTCCAACGAGAAAGAAAAATAAGGAAAAAATAATAATAGGGAAAATCAAAGGCACAATTCAAAATATTCAATATAGACGCGTTTGCTTCTAATGTTAAACAATCGACATGCGTTGTTTATATTTTTGAAACTAATAAGATATGTAATTGCGTGCAACGTTGTCATTGATGTGTGTCGTCTTTTTTTTTGTTTTATTGTCAGTCGTCTGTCGTTTGTCATTTAGAATTTTACGTTTGTCGTTTGTCATTTTGTCGTTTTGCGTTTGACGTTTGTGGTTTGTTACCGTAAATATCGTCTCTTTTTGTTATTTTCAAGTGATTCCGGGGGGGGGGGGTCTTTTTTTTTATATACTCATGTATTCATGTTTTCTAGTCCGCATGTATACAAATGTATATTTCTGTATAAAATAACAATAGCAAGGACAATAATAATAGTAATAATAATTTATTAAAAGGGCCTTACCAAAGATAGCGACGGTGGAGCCAGTGCGGGTAAAGACACCCTTGGCACCCTCGGTGTGCTTTTGAACAGTGTTCTGCATGGCCGAGACGAACAAACCGAGACCACCAGTGATGGCGGCGGTCTTACCGGCTTCAGCAATGGCGTCCTTGTTTGCAGTCATAATGTATGTATGTATATATAGAGAGAGTGGTGGGTGAAAAAAATATATCTAACAAAAAAAAAGCGAACGTAGTTTAAAAAAAATAAACAGTGGGATCCCCCTCTCCCTTCTCCCCTCTCTCTCTGGGACAGTGCTTCATGAAAAAAACAAATTTATGTTTAAAGTCGCAACGTCATCAATTTGGGGGCACATTTTTTTTTCTGTCAGTTAAATTTTTCTTTTTTTTTTGTGCGTTTCAATTTTGATTCTTGGTGATTTAATTTGATACACTCGTACAAAAAAAAAAGTCTTAAAAGAATTATAGTGCTTTAACATCCCAAGAATATATACATCATATTCTTTAGCGAATATATCTTGAACCGCTTATCGTAAATGTCTAGAATTTTGGACGTTTTGCGCTGAACTTTTTCGTACGAGTGTATAATATTTTCTCGGCAATCCATCCTTGTCAGAGCACTTGATCTTGTCTGTCTACAAGCAGATATTAACCTCTAGTCAAGACATATGGTACAAACACTAAACAATTACACGCATAATGCAGAATCATATCAATGATCCGTCCATAGGCTCTATATTATCTTGAGAGCATTCTGTGTTAAATAATTACAAAACCTGCCATTCATAGTGATATTAATTCTTGGATCACATATTTTCCCACCAGATATATATATATATAAACATTATTTAAAGATGGCCATAGTCCAAATTTCAACATTGATAGTTTTTTTTTAGAGTGAAAAAAATTGACATTTTGATCAATATCTGAGCAATCAATGTCAAACAGCGTTTTAATGGTGGATAGTAATGTGCTTAATCAGGTTACTTACACATGTAAGGACACTTTGTTTAACACATTTGGATATATAGGTGATTTTGATCAAAATGCTCTTTCTTAAAACACTTTCATTTCACCAGTAGCCTCAATAATCTTCAATGTGTAATTTTATAATAAGTAAATATTCCTAGAGTTGTAGCAGTTATAATACTGAAACCTCAATGTGAAAGTATATCATAAAATTAATCTAGCCAACCTTCAAACGATCCGGACGCCATCGTAGCCTTCAATTGAGGCACACAATACCACCTAGAATCTCTTAAAAAAGAAATCCGTTTATTCTGACCATCGTATACACAAACCCTTTTTATATTTAGATTGATTTTAAAGTAATTATATTCTTAGATCTGTGAATGATATTACTGCATTATCAGATCCCTTTAGTGTGTGTATGTGTGTTCTCTTGAACTTTTGTACTTTGAAAGACTGCAAATAATTTATGTACTTTAATATAAACCAACGTACCTTCCTGCAAAATATAATAAACCCCGACGTGCAAGCAGCTTGGAGAGATAGAGGCTCAAAAAAGAAAATAACTACCAAGCGTGTAAGGAAGATATCTTGACATAGTGATTTCTTTCTGAAAGTCTTTACTAAATCCTATAGAATAAAATCAAGCTTTTGTAAAAGACCTTTCTTTTATATATTGCTGTATCTTGTATTGTTCAATATTAAAAATCATACATGCTTTTTGATATCATATGTAAAGCTCTAGATATCATTCTTGGGATAGTCAAAACTTTATTATATTTCTAAAAAATCAATCAGGAATCGACTGTATGTATATATACCAAGTGCGTTCAAAATTTTAAGTATTTTTAAACGCGTGGTTAATCTGTTTTTACCCTAAAACTCTTGCTTTCTATCATGAGTGGCTGTTAAAATGATGCGCGATTCAACATCGGGTATTAGTTTGAATGAGAAAAATAGAGAATTGATCTTTGATGCGCAATGTTCTGACAAACTCATTTCTGCAAGAACATGATGAGAGTTATATATAAGCTCATGAGCTATTCTCATGAACATAATTGTAGTTTTTGATGGTAAATAAGGTTTCGCATCGTTGTCGCTCGTCTTTTTCTGTTTTTTGCGTCCTTTTTTGTTTACTTTTTGCTTTTTTTTTATAGTCTTTAGCTCTAGTAGTCACATGCATATGAAAATAGTCACGCATTTTTCCCCTTGGTTTTTTTTTCACAGGTGTACGCATCAGCGATAAAAGGATACAAGATATGTATAAAGTAGATGGAAGACTCCATTTACTTTAGTCTTCTTTACTGTAAAGGAACTCGTGAAACCCAACTCCGTTAAAGTAGTTGAAATGACGATTGACGTTCTTTTAAAATAAAAGTGTGTGTGTGTCAGGTACCACTACACTCGTCCGTAGTATTTTTTTTCTTTGGAATGGGTTTGAGTTTGACCAAAAAGTATAACATGACTGTACTGAAACTCTGATGATGTTTGATAGAGTTAGAAAGTTCAAGAAAAACAAATTTGTAACTATTCATAAAAGAAAGGAGTAAGAATGTAACAGTTTCTATTAGAAAAAATTCTGCCAGCTTTTGCATCGGAAACACAAAAGTATGATAATTGTATAAAGATACATAGACTTGATATACATATATATCTTTTTTAATACGCACTCGAAATAAGTCATTGACTACAAGGGACTGTATTAAGAATAAATAATAACCCGTTCTTTCAGCTTTATGTAATATTTTATATCGTACCAATCTCATTATCATAAAGTAGAGCAGTTTAATGCCAAAAGCAGAAGGGGCTCACTCATGAGACGGTGGACGAGGTGGTTAGCGGCCGCCTTTTCCCGGAGTACAAAATATAGTGAGAGAAAGACAATTAAGTGTAGAGGCGAGGAAGGCGATGAAGAGACAGTGGAAATCACTACCAGAGAAGGTTTAGCAAAAACAAACAAGCAATAAAAGGGTCTTATTTTATAAATTTGACAACTGATTATGATCTCCATACATATAGTCAATTAGATATTGACTCGTCTGAACTATTGGAGCGCATATCTAACTATTGTCTTGAAAAAAGTATCCTCTTGAGGTAGTGTATTGTCCCTGGTTATCACGTCTACATTAAGGATAGAAAAGATGTGCTATAGTAGCCTGGTCTTAGGCACTATTTATCTTGAATGACTTTCCTCAGAATAGTTGTAACAAGTTACATTGATTCTTGCCAGTACCTTGCGTGTTACCTAGTTATGGTCGACCGGATTTCCATTCAGTTACAGACAATATTCTCATTTCTCAAAAGGGTGAAACCTTAAAGAGCAATACCAACACAAGAGGTAGTTCTACAATTAACTGCCGCGTATTATTATAAGCAGTAATTAAAGAAATACATGGCTGGTCGGTTTTTACAAGTCGACCACAACTAGGTTAATGTGTTATGTGCTCGATATGGTGGCTAACATATCTAACTATCTGGATTTTAATAATTTATTTACTTTATAAAATATGATAAGATAAAACAAGTTTCTGATCGATTATCTTGAAGAATTAGCTGGACACTTAAACCTAGTATATTGAAGAGCACCTTTTACATATAGATTCTCTAATCGTAGGGGGGAAGGGTGTTACACACGCACAAAAACATAACATAGATGCCTGCCGGACGAAGAGCAAGTAGTCATAATTAGATATGTGTATGTATGCCGGGCTTTTCACTGCTGTTTTGTGTAACACCCTGTCCCCTAAGATTGACCATATAATTTTTTTTTTCAAAAAATCAAACCAGCTTCAAGACGTGACTAGTTTTTTTATCTGATGATTTAATGGTGTATCATTTGAACCAAGGCCTGGGTCACCCAGATACGTGGAGAATGTGTTGTATTCATATAATTAAATATAATTATTTAATTATTTAATTATTTAATTATTTCAATAATTATATTTAAAGTATGGCTTTGTATATTATGTTTTATACATAAGATTTAATATATATATATACATATTTATCCTTATTATTACTTTGCAGTGTGCAGTGTGCAGTGTGCAGTGTGCAGTGTGCAGTGTGTTAGTTAGTTACAGCAATAGTTCACTTAATCTCTCTATTAGTCCTTTTAGTTTTATTTGATAAGTAATGTTGTCTGTATATTAGATATGTATATATTTATCGATTGCTTTTTCGACGGCACGAAATTCTGTACATTTGTATGGGTATTAGATAGAGATGAATATAAGCTGAATTGCTATATAATGAAGCAAAGAAACTAATTTTGACTATAGACATAGTTAATTAAAGCAGATAATTTATATATATTTGAAAGAGTGTCTTGTTTTAATGTTTCAAAAATATTACTTGAGATGATAATGTTAATGCTAAATAATACATTATTATTATAGTAGTAATGAGAAGAAGAAGAAGGACGATGAATAAGGGAAGATGTCTGGATTCTTCTTTTGGTGGTTGAGGCGGTTTCTTCTTCGACATCGTTACTGCATGAGGCAAAAACCCAAAATAATTGATGGCCGTAACTGTTACACGATGTGGCCGGGACCTTAATGGGGTGCTGGATCTTTTTTCTCATTTGATGGAAGTACGAGCTAAAAATCATAATAAGCAAGAAATAAATAAAAAATTAAAAATTAAAAAAAAATAAAAATAAAGTACCTCTTTGTTAACCTATCGATCTCTTCATTTCCCTCTCTTTCTCTCTTTCTTTCACTTTCTCTCCATTTCCTAACCCTTCCTTTTGCGCCACTTCTTTAACCTTCTACCATCCAATCAAAAATCAAAACCATTCGTAACCATGTCTCCCTCTGCACTCACTTCTGATGGCGTCGGTATCGCCCACCTTCCCAACCAGCGCCACAAGATTGTATCCAAGCGCGGTGCCAACTTTACTGTCATGGTTTGCGGCAAGTATACACAGCCATTGATTATCTAGAAATGAAAATGAAAATGAGGCTGTCTTATTCTTTCGGCTGACACTTTATGTATATAAATCTATAGGTGAATCTGGTGTAGGAAAATCCACCTTTGTCAACACTCTTTTCACTACTGCTATCAAAGAACCCAAGAAGCTCAAGGCTCGTCACTCCAAGCAGATTGAAAAAACTGTCGAAATAGAGATTACCAAAGCTGGTAAGACCTGCCACGAGGATGAGTTGACACTCAGCCCCCACGCCCTTTTCTCTTTTCCTTTTCCTTTCTATCCACTTGCTTTTTTTTTTTTACATATTATATTTCTAAAGGCAATTTCCCACACATACACACGCACAAAACAGCATGATAGTAGCTTATGATGGCTATCTTAAATTTATGAATGTCCCTTTTTTATTTTTTAATTTTTTAATTTATTTTTGTAGAATTGGAAGAGAAGAACTTCAAGGTCAAGCTGACTGTCATCGATACCCCAGGCTTTGGTGACTATGTCAACAACCGTGAGAGTTGGTTGCCTATTATTGAGTTCATCGACGATCAGCACGAGGCATACATGGCTCAGGAACAACAACCTACCCGTGCTGGTATTATCGATCTTCGTGTTCATGCCTGTCTTTACTTTATCCGCCCCACTGGTCACACGTAAGTATATATTATCTATAAATTTTATTTAGATTCTTAATTCTTAATGATTATTATTTTAACAGATTGAAACCATTGGATATTGAGATCATGAAGCACCTTGGTTCCCGTGTAAACTTGATCCCTGTAATTGCCAAGGCTGATACCCTTACACCCAAGGATCTTGCCAAATTCAAGAGAAACGTAAAGATCTTAATTTCATTAATCTCTTATCACTAGTCTCGAACCACACACACAATGATTTATATATAAATATATAAATATATATATATATATAAGTTCGGGTACTAAATACGCTTATATATATATATAGATTCTCGATGTTATCTCGGCTCAGGACATCCGTGTTTACTCTTGCCCAATTGAAAGTGACGATGAGACTGTAACAACTATGAACAAGAGCATCATGCAGTCAATGCCATTCTCTATCATTGGCTCTACTGACGACGTTGTTACTGCAGATGGTCGCACTGTCAAGGGTCGTCAGTACTCTTGGGGTGTTGCAGAAGTAGAGAATGAAGAGCACTGCGACTTTAAGAAACTCAGAAACCTTCTTGTCAGATCGCACATGCATGACCTTATATCCACCTCTGAAGAGATCCATTATGAAAACTATAGACAGACCCAGATGGAAACTCGCAAGTTTGGTGAAGCAAAGTAAGCTGGGATTCTCATTTATGCTTTCATTTATTTACAGATAGATAAGCGAAGTTTTTTTTCCTACATATGAATAACTTTTATTCTTATTTTTAGGTCCAAGAAGTATGAGAACCCCAAGTTCAAGGAACAAGAGGAACAGCTTCGTCAGGCATTTACCGAACAGGTCAAGAAGGAGGAGAACAGATTCCGTCAGTGGGAAGCGCAGGTAAAGAAATAATAAATAAAATATGCATACATACATTTGTTACAAAGAAGGTTACTAACTATTGAAAATTGCATTCTCTTTTATTTTATTTTTTAGTTGGTCGCTGAGCGTGATCGTCTCAACAAGGATCTCGAGGCACAGCATGCCCAGATCAAGACCATGGAGTCTGAATTGGAGAATGTGTACCAGATGCGTGGTACTATCCGTCGTTAGATTACTCTACTCTTATAGATGTGGTTTTCTTTTCTTTTCTTTTTTACTTTTATTTTATATATTTTTGAAAAGCAAAACGAAAATGATACCAGCCACTATTCACTTACCAACTTACCTACAATTATCACTGCCATTACCATCACAATTACAATTACAATTACTATCACCACTTCTACTACCACTCCAACCATAACTACCACTACCCTACCGTTACCGCTAACCACCAATAACGACTATCCCATTTTTCTCTTTGGCTTATTTACTCTTCTTATTTATCTATCCATCAACTTATAATATATATACACTTATATTATATCTTTATAATCATATACAAACATATAAACATTGATTTTTGTTTCCTTCCTATGAATCTTTATTCTAAACAAATTATTAGGGGAGTTCAATACTTGGACTTTTCAGATTTATAGATCCGAGTTTAAATTACAAATATGATTGGTCGAAACTGATATAAAAGCACAAAAGTTTATAAGACGGTTGAACTCCCCTTATTAGGTTTTTTTTTTATAAAATCCAAAAAAAAATGACAGGGCAATTCTTTGTGCAGGAGATACTTTGGACTGCTCAATCTAAAATCCCATATTTTTTTTCTCTACTTTTGTGTGTATATATAATAATATTCCTATTACAAAAAGAAATATATAAATATGTTTTTAGCACGTCGTTTGATAGTAAAGTCTAGCGTACTCTACAGCCAACCCTCTCTTGTCTGTCTGCGCAAATACCAAGCTGCTGCTGGACCTGACGAACCTGTCAATGACTTTGTGTATGGATACACAAGTGTACTCGCAGCTCTGGAAGCCAAAAAACGTCAAAGACTGAAGAAAGTATTTTTGCAACATGACGCATTGAATCCCTACACCAAGAAAAAAGACGAGTAAGAGATACATACACCAAACAACACCAAACCAATATATAATAATCGCAATACTAGTAATAAAATATCATGGTTTGTTCATTATATCTTTTCCATTGCGATTCTCATTAGTTGATTTAGATCATTTCTCCAAAAGATCAGAGATGAATGCATTGCTCGATCCATTCCAACCGAGACTGTTGACAAAGGTACCCTGAATAATTTGACAGGCAACCGACCCCACCAGGTAATAAAACAAAAGTACACACAATTTTTAGGCGAACATAATTATAGATTATTTAACCAACTTATGTATATATATGATTCTCTATAGGGAATTGTTCTCAAGGCTACTCAGCGCTATACAGAGGGAATTACTGGCCTCAATTCGTTGGAGAAAGACGGTAGCTATGAAGCCACCCCGGTTGCAACCAGAAGAAACAAGACACCGATTGCCTTTACTGCACCAAAGGATCGCCAACCATTTTGGATAGCATTGGATGAAGTACAAGATCCACAGGTAATTCAATTGATTATTATATTGTAATGTACACTACACTAACAGCTTTGCTTAAATGCTATGAATATATATATATATATATATATAATATACTCATTTTCTTCTTTGTGATAAAAAAAACTATATATTCACAGAACCTTGGGTCTATTCTTAGGTGAGAATAATATTTTATAACAAGTATAAGAAAATCAAGAGCTTTGTTAGATTATGGATACATAAAATATATATGTATACTTAATTCATATATTTTCTTGTTGTTGTGCTAAATCTTACAGAACTGCTCATTTCTTTGGCGTAGACGGTGTACTGATGTGTAGTAAGAACAGGTAAAAGAAGTACATCCAAGAAACAATTCATGTTACTACTGTTATTGCTGCTGCTCTTGCTCAATCATTTTTTTTAAAACAATCTATGTCTTTTGTTTTTCGTAAAGTGCTCCACTGAGCCCTACTGTTTCAAAAGTGAGTGCAGGTGCCATGGAAGTTATGAACATTTATTCCACAAACAATCTTGGTAAATTTCTAAAGGTAATTATGATAATAACATACATATATACTTTTTTTTGAGTACATTCTGCCTTTCCAAGTAACAATACTGAAATATACAAATAAACTACAATAGGCTTCTTCGGATAACGGATGGCATATTGTTGGTGCTGTAGGAGATCCATCTATCGCAGCGACCAAAAGCACAAATACAACCGCCACCGCAACTACAGACACAACTACAACCACAACTGTTCAAGAACCACGACCACAACAGCAATACAATCAAACATATTATGATATATGTACGCTTAAAAAGACTTTGAACGACCCATCATCTGAGACCGGACAAAAACCAATGGTCTTGGTATTCGGTAATGAAGGAAACGGACTACGAACAATGATCAAAGCCTCCTGTCACTCGTTTGTCACTATTCCTCGCCAAGCCTCTCATCTACCATCCTTCAAAGGAGAAGTCGACAGTTTGAATGTTGGTGTGGCAGTTGGTGTACTCATCTCTAGTCTTTTACTAAATTTTTAAATACAATACAAATAATAATCATAATAATAAGAACGATAATGATAGTCTGGCTTGGATTTTCAAGTTTATTCAAGGATTGAAATATAGATTGATTGATATATATATATATATAGTAGATATATGTTTGTGTGTATTGAGGAGGGAAAAATAGAGAGAGAGAGGGGGAAGTAGGGTTAAATAATATTATGAAAAAAAAGAGGGAATAATAATAGCAAGAAGAAAACAAGACAGATAGAGTAAGGAAGAGGTCACTCTTATAAATCTACCATTACCTAATGAAGTGATGAATTTGATACTCTAGAAGTAATGGCTTCATCAATAGTATCCATACTACGGACGCTCTTCCAATCAGCTAGGGTCGAAACCATCGAGATGCGGTTTTTCCACTTGTCCAGACCCAACTTGTAATCCTCTTCATTATTATCTTCCCGCTCTTCATGCACCCAGGCATCCACACGCTCAGACGGTCTCTGTTGATTCTGGTAACGCACAAACCCAATGTCATCGTAGTTCGTGGCGTGACGGACCAGAATAACCGCAGCTAATTCCTTGCAGAACTCTTGCAGAACAATATACGAATTCACAAAATTGGACAGTTTGGCAAACGGATTCGTCATCGTCACAGGTGTAGCATTGGTGCGCTGGGCCTGCTGGAAGAACGAAGACGAAGGCGACAGGGCCTGGTTGGTTGCGTTTGTGTTTGTTGTGTTTGTTGTGGATGATGACGACGATACAGACATAGGAGGTAGATTGGTATTGACCGACAGTGACTCTCGAAGCATGGGTGGAATTGCTCTGCCGACATTACTACCACTGCCACTACCACTACCACTGCCGTTTCCTACTCCACTTCCATTTCCTCCTGCTCCACTTCCATTATGGATGTTGTTTCCAGATCTTCCTCCGGAAAGTAAGCCAGGGGGCTGAGTCGACATTGAAGTCGTTGGGCTACTATTGCTGCGAGGACCAGCCGCGCTCTTGGAAAACACCAGTTGCGAAAGACTTGGATGTCGCGCCATTTGCTTATTTACTTCCCGTTGAGGACTTGATATAGAAGGTGTGAGGGTGTAAGAAGTAGCCGAACGGCTGTTCTTGAGAGGAGGTTGATGGTGACTGTGGTTGCTGTTGCTGTTGCTATTGTTATTGTTGCTATTGTTGCTGTGATGATTATGATGGTTGTGATGGTTGTGATGATGATGAGAAGGAGGTTGTAATTGTCCATTTGCACTACTGGTACTGTTGCTTGTACCTGCAATCACCCCGTTGGTCATTACACCTCGCTTCTTTGCCAACGAAATCCGGGTCTCAAAGTTAGGCACCAGTTGAGCACGTTTCAGGGCTTCAAAGGTGACTTGCTCCAAGAGAGAGTACAGACTACGCCGATTGTTCTTTGCACTCGGTAGTGTCCACACACCTCCATACAGTGCACCATCAATGCCTACCCGAACTGCACGCCAATCACAAATCACACCATCCACTCTGCGATCCACAATACCCGCAATCTTTTGCAGGATACTGGTGACAAGTAGGTTCTGCTCCATTGTGCACTCGAGCATCTTGAAGAACTGATCAAAGATCTGACTAAGGAACAGGCCTTCAAACCCTTCGGGCTGACTACTGATTACACTACCCTGACTACTACTGACTTCGGCTGCATGCTCATCCGCAGAACTGTCATTGATGTCATCGGACTTTGTAGCTGTACTTTGAGTTGCTGTATTTGTGTTCTTGTTTGAAGACCCATTTGCTGTAGATGCATTATTAGTTGTTGGACGAGGAGGTCGACCCTTTTGGTCCTCGCTTTCACGTTCATAATCTTTGCGGGTTTTAGGAGGTGGATAGGGAGTCTGCCAAAAGTTTCTGGCCAAGAGACCATACTGGAATCTCTCTTGGGCTTCATGAAAGTAGTCATCATAGCTATTTCCAGGCACGACCACGTTGTGTAGTGAAGCTGGACTTGTCGCAGTTTCGTCTAGACTGCCATGGCGACTGTTGTTGTTTCCGTTGATCGCACCTGCAGGGTTGGTTGTGATAATGCTCGGACTGCCGATATTGTCGCGGCCGTGCACAGTCGATGCAAATGAGTCCGACGGAATGACTGAGCAAAGAGGAGGTGTCTTCATACGTTCCAGCTCGTCTTCCAAAGGCAGGAGAGACAAGACCCTTTCTACTAGCCAGCGTACCTTTTCGGTCTTGTTATCTTTGGCATGCGTGACGATAGTTGGTGTGGATACAGTGTCTTCGTTCTCGGTCTCTCCGATAGCTAGATCGTCAATCTTTCCATTGTCTTCGTCTGTAGTGCTTGTGTGGTCATCAATGACCTTGGATCCAAGCGAGGAAGTGTCGGTCATGTCCTTGCCATCGTGTTTCTCTTCAATGTATTCACCATCAGGCGCAATATCCAAAAAGTTACGCAGCACGAGGTTGTAGATTGCAAATTGGTTGTAAGTCTCCATGACAGTGTCGAATAATCTCAGGGTTGCCAGGGAAAGCTCCTGATAGTCCGAGTCAATACGAGTGACTAGCAAGACACGAAGAGTCATGGCTTCATTACTAATATCGTCATCGTCATCATTATCATCTGCCTTGTCTTCCTTGTCTGACTCTGTACGTTCGGATTGATCATCATCTGCAGCGTTTGCAGATTCATCCTCAATAAGATCATGGTACGTCTTGGAGGTTCTGATTTCTGGCTCGAGATCTTTTCCAATTCCACCTTCTTCACCTACCAGAACCACCAAGAACGCGTGCAGAAGCTTCTGGTCGGTTAGGGAGCGGATCATTTCGGTTGTGTAGGCCGTGGCAGCCGTGGCAGCCTCTGCCGAAGATGAGCTGAGGGCTGTGCATACCACAGGGTGCCAAAATATTGTTGTGAGCTGGGCCATAAGGGCAATCATTAAGCGCCGATCGGCTACTCTGGCGACATCGTTCAGATATTCCCAAAAGCTGTAAAATTCGTCTACTCCGCGTTCTCCTTCTCGAATAGGATCCAGGGTGCGTACAAAATTGACGTCAAAGGGGCTTCTCTTTCTGCGTTTCTTCTTGAAGCTGTTGTGCACATTGACTGTGATCATCAAACTGTGGTTTGTGATCATGGCCGGCACAGAAAAGTGAATTGGTCGCTTAGGAGGGCGAGTAGGAACTACGCGGTTGTTTGCAGATATTGTGAAGGATCCAACGTTCTTTGGAAGACTTGCGAATGAAAGAGACAGACGTTCTGCCTAAGATTTTGATAAGGAAGGAAGATGGGATGTTGGTTGTTGTTTTTTTTTGTATCCACAGATACACACAAAAACACAAACACATACTATTATTATTAATATTATTATTATTTGGATTTTGGATATCTTCTTTACCATGACTTCGCACAGACCAGAGTACTCTACAACATAACACACATATTCCGGATCACCATCCAACAATCGCAAGGCAAAGAGAATAGCTTCTCGTGCAATTTCACCAGTCTCTCCTGGGATGTTCATGTAATCAATAAGAAAGCTAAACATATCAAATCTCGGCTATAGGACATAAATAAAAGAACAATACATTAGTTTAAGTTATTCAGTCCAAAACAAGCAAGCAAGTGAATATACTTTACCATCAGAAACATTGTCCAGGCAATCTTTTCATCCATACTCTCTCTTCTTTTGTGAAATGTCTTTCCGTCCTTACTACTTCTCCAGACATTTTCGCCCAGTCCACGACACCAGCCACGTTCAAAAAACAAATCCATAAGGGCTGCGTTGGCACCTTTGAAGTGAGAAAACACTCCGTGCATCAGCTTTACTAGCTCAAGCGAGAGTTCGGATATGGCCGCATAACGTTCTTCTGAACATCCATCGGCATCTGTGGCAAGTTGTTCATAGTGGTGAGCAATCAGGCGATGACAGGAATTGATGAGTTTGTGGAGTGGTACATGGACAGCTCTTTCTGGTAGTAACTGGGCTTGGACATTGGTGACAAGCGAACAGAAGAATCGTAGACAGTGAATGCGCATTCCATAAGGGGTCTTGAAACATTGTAGTATAGTGTATTATAATTATTATGAGAAAGAATATAGATGTGTAACAAGGTAAATATATGCATTCTATTTGAAATATATATATATATATAAGGTACTTACATCTACTTTGGCAAATTCTACTAGCTCTTCAAGTACTCGTTTGTGGAGTAGGAATTCAAGACATGGGCCTGTTTCGAGACTATCAGGGGCACGTTCGTATTCGAGTTCTTCTGCCTGGATGAGCTTGACGATGTTTTGTAGGCAACAGGGGATTGGTGTGAGATCAACTGCATCTTTGAGAGGATCTAATGTGTTGAATGTATTGATTCCATATGTGTATGCGTGTATATATTTATACGAGTATAAAAATGTAAAATGCGTAAATTGTTAATAATAGTAAATAATAAAACTATATATGTATATTTTGTATATAATTTTATCTTTTATCTTTATATTTTTTTTATCTATTTGTTAAAGATATATAGATATAAAGGATGAATATAACAAGGGTTTTGTAACCTTGTAAGTGCAACACTCTACCAGCTGCAGTCTCGTAATACTTCTGAATGCTTAGCCATGCATCAGTAAGTAGTTCGAGATTGGACTTTGAGATGTTCCTTCCGGTCAGGAACTTGGATAGGAACATGGACATTGAAAGAGACCAGTAAAAATAAATTCAATAAAAATAAAAATATAAAAATATAAATTAAAATACAAAATAAAATAATATATTTAATGATATGTTATACAATTATTTTGTGTGTGTGTGTGTGTGCCTTTAATAAATATATACATGTACACACTATTCCCTGAAAATAATGTCGCGAAATTGGGAGATTTATATAATATAAAACATACAAAAATGCATTATCTTCCTATGGTATTACTCTTAGTAAGATAGCGTACGTACATATATGAATACGAACATAAATACACGCAAGCTTGTATATTATATACGCATTTATGGTCTCTCTTTTGGTCTTCCTTCCTTCCTTCTCCAGGCATGGATATATATGTGTGTATTTTTGCGAAGTTCAAAAAAGGAAATAAATTAATTTGATCTATAATGATGATAATGAAGGATTGACGCTTTATTTTCTTTTGCATGTAGAATATACTTTACAGTTCTTCCTTTTATACACATATGACTATAAGCTAACTCACTATTATTTAGCCTGAATAGTTCCAGTAGTTTCTTGATAACTGTTTTCCATGTTTTTTTTTAGAGATTTGTTGTGAGCAATATGAGCAAGGGTATCATTATTTGGAAAGTATAATTATAGTAATATATGTATATATTAGAAAAGGGAGTCGTGTGTAGTGTGTGTTTGCGTGTGTTTATATGTAAGGGAAGGGGATGAGTATGGTAGGTAAGTAGGAGGTAGAAAAGGAGAATTAATAAGCAAATATATGTATATATATATATATAGTTGGCTTTCCTTTTAACTGTAAGTTGTTAACTATAGCATTCACTATCCAATGTATTAGTCATTGTGTGAAATAGAGGAGATATAGAGAATTAATGCGTTGGGCGTGTTGTCTGCAGTTTGTGCAATATCAAGGACATATTGACTGAAATATTTTCTATGTATTTATTTATTTATTTCGAAAAACCATCAGTCTGATCTTACACGAAGACTTACTACTGATGCTCTTTTACAAAGAGCTCTTTTTTTTTATTAAGCACTATTCTTTCTCTTTATATTTAAATTTGCTTCAATTGCAATTTTCCTTGTTTATTTTTATTTATTTTTTGCTATCAGTTATCCTACTACCTCTAGCGCATTACAAAAACAATAATATAACGATTCAATAAAAGTTTTTCAAAGAATGCAATAGCTTACCATAAGGTCATCTTGAAGATCGACAGGTGATAATCAGGGTGGAAGGCTTTAATCTTATTTGTCTTCTTGTCAATATTGGCCTCACGCAACAGCCCTTTGAAGCCTCTTCTGTTGGTTTTATAACACTTTTTATTTGAACAACACAGATAGATCAACCAGAAATAGTACCATTGTATCTCAATTGGTTCAGTACACGTCTAACGTTCAAAACAGCAGCAAGATCTATATTCCACAAATGATACCCTGCCCTCCAAACCATTTGAATTAATACAACTAAAATGCTTGATAAGAATAATAATAAAAAACGGGAACTGGTCATAGTAATTTATATTAGAAGACTATAGCATATTGCATTTAGCGTCCGAGTGCATCGACATAGGCGAGTGTTGATCATTTGCTTGATCATTCAAAGGGAAGACTAGAAGAACGAAGAACAGTTTTTGGAAGTACCAAATCCATATTCTCCAAAGCCAACTTGGTCATTTGTAGTGATGCCTTGAAAGTAAGGACTTGGGATGGGGTGGTTTAGATCATAGTTTTCTAATCCACAAAAGACTAGAAATACGGGCTTTGCTTTGTCGGTGCTTTTGAAAGTATAAATCAATAAGGATTGTATACCAATAGACCATAGAATTTTATATACCATAGATCAGTCAATGTGAGTAATTGCAAGAGTAAGAGCTAAAGGTGTGTAAAGCTTCAAATTATTGTCTGCAAATAGTGCTGTATGATATGTATATAGTATACCGTACCAATAATATTATATAGGTATGTTAGTCCAAGACTTAAATGTAAGCTGCAAAATTGTAATAACTTGCCTGATTAATAGACTTGATACATAAAGTAAGAAGCTACTAACAGGCCTCTTGAGTCCAATTTCTATTTAATGTTTTATTTTATTTCATACCAATACCTTTTTACATAAGTCATATTAACATTTAATAGAAACTTTAGTTATCTCATCACTATAAGTTATAAAAGAGATTTTCATTAAAATTTTGTGAAATGGTGGTTCAGGCCTCTTTAAATATAAATAGCTTAATATTGATAACGATATAAAACTATTTTCAAGGATAATAGATTTTTGGTGGATCATACCAAAAGGTCTTTGCAATGTCTTTGCTTGCCAAAACTGCAGGGATGGTGTGGAACCATGATATCAACGCAAAAGAAAATATTTCAAATATCCCTCACCAAACCATTCAAGATAGCACCTGCCCCATACCATTCAGCCGCTAAGAGTGCTGTTTATACCAGCACTGTCTCATACAAAGTTTTCTTTAGTTTTTACTGAGGAATCAATGTTTTTTGCAGGTTAATGTTTGAAAAATATCTTGGCTTCATCTGAAAATTAACTCTATTTTCTCAATTCCTTTTTCTCTTTGTCAAAATTTTATTTTCGTTCCGTTCACAAAAGATGGCCTATAAACCTGATAAATAACTTTTTTCTACTTGAGATTGAAACAATCTACGAATCTTTTTTAGACGAATCACTGTATTAATTTGGCCTCTATTCTTTTTTCTTCAAAACTCTGACTTTCAACTGAATGTAAAGTTATATCTCCGAAAGGGGCGCATATTAGGTTTTTGTATTATAAAAAGCTTAAAATATAAAATCCGCAAGAGAGCGGTATTACATTACTTTCCATAAAAGTAAAGGGTAGAACAGGTTGGTGTATGTGTGTGTATGTGTATAAATGTGGGGGGGGGGGAGGGGAGGTTTCAAAAAGTGTTCACTAGAATCACCTCTGAACGCACTCTCAAAATAACCCTTTTTTTTTCTGCGCTGTATCTGCTTGAACTGCTATAGATTTTACCTTGCTTCTTTATACTTTTTAGTTTGGTAAACACTACATCGAACGCCAAAAAAAAAAGGTACATCTCAGTTGATCTAACAATACCATTGATCTTTCATTTAATATTAAATACATATATAGAATCAAAATTAAAATTATAATTGAAATTATAATTATAATAATTATTGATGAAACAATGTTGGATGATTGACTGCAGAAAATCTTTGTCTATAGTTATCTTTGGCTTCTTTTTATATATATATTTTAGCCAGTAATTGATTGATTGCTAATAGTGTAGTGTGTACTATGATAATATCATCCTATCCACACTTTCAATACTATCTTGTGAACAACAAGTTGTGTTTCTGCTGTTTATTTTATTATGTTATTAGTATGATAGATGTATATACTGTAGCTTCAATGCGCTGTTCTTATGATTTACAAACTGTAATAGTGGCTTTTTAATGTTATATTTTATTAAATGTGATGTAATGTAGTCCTCAAGTTCATTTTATCTGGTTTGCCTATTAGACTTAGAGCCAAAGGAGAAACCACAACTGAAACAGCAGCATATCAATGATGGTCTTGTCATTTGAATAAGTTTACAAAGCAAGAAAGAAAGAACCGCAAAGTAATAATGATGAGAACAAAAGAGCAAAAAAGCAATAAGAATGTGAATAATATAATAGCAATATAAACTTAGGAGTAAGTGTCAAGAACAGGGCCTTTTCTTTTTGTTTAGTACCTTGAAATGAAATAAAGCTTATATGAATACGGACAGACATAGATGCATGCATAAACACATATGCATTGTAATTTGGAGCGAATGTGGGGCTTTCTCTGTGTTTGATTCTTTATCTTTACTAGGTATGTGATCTTTCTGATGCTACCGATATCCTGCCACATCGCTCTATCTTGTGTTTATTATCACCATGACAAATTTAATGTTATCCTCTTTTTTTTTTTTAAAAAAAAAAAAAAAAAAAAAGACGTAAACATGGTAACCCGTGCTGCAGTCTTTATATATATAAGTATAGACTTTTTCTTTTGTCTGTGGGAAAATTATAAAAAAAACTCCTGTATAGCCGGATATTCCCTGGAAGATCTATATATATATGCATGTATACCCGCACGTGTGTATAAGTTTTGTATGCGGTTATGAGTAAAGGGTTATGTAGGGGGTTAAAAGAGAGGAGGCGCAAGGAGGGGGTGGAAGAGTGGGGATGAGAAAGAGGGATTTGGATTTGGGTAATATTTCGATGGGACATACTCGAGAACAAAGCTTGGAAACCAGAGGAGAGAATAGGCCCTTTCACTCTTCCCCTTCTTTCCCTTTTTCCTAACTTCCTTGTCGGTGATCCGTACATCTGCGGCATAAACACCGAGAAATTATAATAAGCATAAAATTTTCACCGAAATTAATAGCGAGTGGTGTCAAATAAGGGCAAGGAGGAAAAATAGAGAGAGATATATAAAAATATATGATTATCAAGGCTGTAGAGCTGAAAAATAGCAAAAAATTATAATAAAAAAACTGTCTAGAAACCAAGCAAGCAATCAAATATTATATAATACATTATAAAGTAAAACAAATAAATAAATTAATAAAAACAGTATTGATCGACACTCTTATCGAGGTGTAAATGTATTTCTTACACAAATGTGTAATTAAAGCTTTCTTTCTTTCTTTCTGAAAAGTTCAATGAATTATGTATTAAATAATTGGTAAAGGTCTAGACGTCTAGATACCTAGCGTAATTTTTTTTCTTTTGAAACGCGCTAGTGCTTAATGTGTGTGGGTGTGGTGTGCTGCGTCTGTATAGAAAATAAAAAAAGAGGGGGGGTTAATTGGGGGGTATTCAACAGGTACATTTGTTTCTTATATAAATGTAAATGTCTTGGTTTGGATTTAGTAAATAAAGACACTGATATACTGGTATTCTGTGAGCACTGAACTTTATGTAACTTAAAAGAAGAAGAAACAGGGGGTTTTATAAACTGTCTTTTGCCTTCTGTCATGCAAGATATGCGTATTTATCTGTACAGTGTTTGCTTGTGTTAAAGTCTGCGCTTCTATTCATTAATTTATTAATTCATTAATGATTTCTTTAAAATACCCCAAAAAAAAAGAAGGACGATGTGAGCATCTGAGCGTCTTTGATTAGACTTCTTTACTCCGAGATCATCAGGGACAAAAGAATAAAATATAATGCTTTTTGATATGGTTTTGATTTACTGGTATCGATAATTATCGATCGGAAGATAACGATGATCGTAATATAATCACAATAATAAGTAGAATCAATCTTGTCGATGTGCCTTGATTTTTTTCGCTGTCTTTTTATAGTTTTATGTATCTTGAATAAAATAAAATAAAATGATATGGTATGGTATGGTATGGTATGGTAATCATCCTTTTGATTCATATTTCCTTTTACCTATCCAATCCAATCAAATCAAATCAAATTTCTAGGGATTACACTCAGTATATATATATATATAAGAAGGTAAGGAAGGTCGCTTTGTTGCATAGTTGATAGGATTTGATGACATATAGGAATTATACGTGCATCTGTAAAACAACAGATCTGATGAACTTGCAGGCATTATGTATTATGTATGATGTCAGATTGCTGTGATTTGGAATCACCGTTTATATATTACTTTTATTATTATTATTTTAAAAAAAAGACTGCTCTGGAACGATTGAAGGATTGATAAATCTAAATAAAATAAGAGCAAAAAAAGGGGGTTCTTGACATATGCTTCTTGGTTTATTTATTTATTTATTTAGGTTGTAGAGTCTCACATTCTGTAAGACTCAATTAAATATAAGAAGACAAGTTTATTCTAGATCTGTGGTTGTTTCTAGAGAACAAGAGTCTTTGGGCTAATCCTGAAACTCGGTGCTCCTTAGACAAACAAAACAGGCCAGACCAGGCCAGGCCAAATCAATTGAAAATATCTAAAAAAAAAAAGGAGAGACAAAGAGAGGGTTGCAATTGATCTTGAATAATCTTGTAAGGTTTACAGCTGACAGGTTGAAAGGGACGCTGTAGATGTCTTTATGTATAAAAGTTACATATTATCTTATAAAAGTGTTGACAGTTGATTCAAACGCACGCATATCTTTGGACAGTATATCTTACAGCACCCACACTCATATAGTATAATCCAAAGGTATTGTCTTTTTGTTACGTATACTTTGACTTGACAAAGCCTTACTTAGCTTAGGTCAGCTTGAAATTGCTTGACCTGGCTTAGCTGTTCTGTTTCTCATATCTTTGCAAATATATATATATTGAATACACAATAAAAGCATAAATGCTTGGGACAAAAACAAATACAATGTGTAAATATAGGCTTATCTAATCAAAATGCCAAAAACAGTTCGTTTGACTGTTTGTTGTTTTTGACAAAAAGCAAATTATTGTGAATTAAATGCTTAGAAAAATTATGGCTAGTATTGCGGCTGAGAAAAGAAGTATTATTAATAAACAAAAGTAACAAACGTACAAAAGTACAAAAAAGGGTCATATCAAATACCCAAAGTCATAAGAAAACATCTCACAAGAGAAACAAATTACAACAGTCTAATGAGTCACAAACAATTTGTAAATCGCTTTGTTGTGCTTTTTCTTAAGCACTAGCTTTATACAAATGGTAAGAGTCAATTATGTTGGAACATGGATGTGGAAAGGTAGGTTAACCAAAAGGGAATATATAAAAAACTAAAACACTCGCCATCATCCGACAGAATGAGAAACAGACCCTTTGGAATCATTCAAATACACTCCATCGTATGCTTCGCTAATTTTTGTCACGAGTGATTCTTTTTCCAAAAACTTATTTCGTTTTACTTTACTCTTGACGACTGACCAGAACTGCTCAATTGGATTTAGTTCAGGAGAATATGTAGAAAGATACACATACCGATATCCCCGAGAATCGATATACTTACTTATATCGCTTGAGTTGTGAATAAAAGCGTTATCTATGGCAAGGTAGTGTCCCTTAATTTCTGGATATCTGTCTGTTTCATCATAATGGATAGATTACACTGCGTTGTCATAAAGCTAGAAGCAGTACTACGAGAAGCACTATTTACAAATTTTTGCATTTCTTCTTACCACTTTAGTTAAAACAGCAGAAGGGATTCTCATCAATGGTCTCAAAATCTCCATAACAACGTTTGATCCATATCTGAGCTGTACGAATATGAATACCTGATTGTCTCGCGGCAGAAGAAACACTTGGGCATTTACTAAAAAAAAATAGGTGAAAAAATCTCGTTTTCTCATCATCAGAGTAAACTGTTTAACATCGCTTGTTGAATAACTACATATCAACATCATTGCTGGGAACAAGTTTCTCTTTTGCACAACGTCAAACTCAAAATCAGCAACTTTACTTCTTGAAATGACTGTAAAGCAAATTAAATTAAATCAAATTAAGCAATAATTTTTTTTTCGTTCACCTACTGCAAGACAACTATGAAATTATATAAAGCAAGAGGGCTTTTCAGAAAACACCTACTATATATATATATATAATGAGGGGTATCTAATTTTATTCATTTGCAAATATTCTAGTACAGCAATGCAGAAATCTGTCAAAGATGATCTTCTTGAACCAGTTAATGATGCAGGGTACTATAGGGATTAAAGTAAAAATTTGACAATTCTAGGCTAAAGGCACTTTCTTGCCTTTTCAAAAAAAAAAGTTATTTTGGGTATCTTTTATGCAACTCTTTCATTCATTTTATGAGCCAATATATATACATGCTTACTGTATACCCAATTCTTATAGATATATCCCGGCTCCTGACAAGGCTATTTGTGGCCGATATATAGATAGGTTCTTTGTCTCAGAATTTATTCCAATAATGGGGTTTACTGGATACGGCAATTTTCAAATACTCAGTATGAGTTGCAAAAGGGTTAAAGAATGAATTTTTTTTTCTGATCAACAAAATGTTAATTCCATGTGCTCAGCTCAGCTTAGCTCAGTTCTGTTCGGTTCAATTCAATTCAGGCCAACATTTTTCTTAAAATAAAATCAAAAACATCAAACAACACCATTTTGATTCCCTTCTTTAGAAAAGAGATATTTATACTCGTATTCTGAATTATTGTATTATCAAACTATTGAGAGACAAACCCCTAAAAGTCCTGAGAAATATAATTATAATGCTCAATTTTTTAGAGTAGTAGATAATCACTGAGAGTGAGTTCAGAGCAAATGCGATAATAGTTTCTAAAAATACGGCTTCCATTTCTAAAAATACGAAATTGATTTGGATTGGCTGTGACATTGCTTGTTGGAAGCATTGTATATCTGTTTACGCATGGCTCTTTTGCACATATCTCACTTTGGTTGGGGAAGATAGTGTGAAGAGTTAGTCAATATATAACAGTTTACCCTATATGGTCCCACCCATCTCAGTCATTTCCTACACATAAGCTCCCTCTCTCATTGTCATGATGCGGGCCATGTCAATGAGAATATGATGACGCCTTTCTTTCATCTACACTCATTGTCTTTGTGCGATGCATAATAATGAGCTTACATCCTTTCATCAGGTCTAACTCAGAACCTCTCCTCCCTCCATCGCGGTAAATCTCAAAGCTATCTCTTTGCAAAGACACGGCTTCGGGATGTGCTTCCCGGGGTTTTCGCCATCTCACGCTTTAGAAAATACACAACAAAAGTCTTGACATCCTCTTTGGCTTTGCAGCAATAAATGCTCACCAACCATCTTGACCACAAAGCTTCAATAAGTACAATACACATATAAATACGCCGATGAACTTTTACTAAATAAATGTTGTCATGAATGAATGTTGTCATGAATCATAGCGTTCTTTTGTCAAGTTGCATAAACACAATATCAGTTAGCTGCCGGAAGATAACCGAAGCAATCATTGGTCCAAATGAATTAGAACGTATATTTACTTCAAATCCAGCCCTATCCTTCTCAAAATACGAGAGCCCTAAATGGACCCAGTCATAGAAATACAAGAGGTGAGCAATACAACTCAAAGCAATTTGATTATTTGAACTTTCATTAACGATATGTATTTTCTCTGAAAGGTATATAGGGTTGGCAGTAATAAAGGTCTTCGAAAGTTTGTTGTCAAAGAGCGTTGTAGAATTTATGAAGATGATCTTCAGGATAAAGAAGATTTTAACTTGATGATCATGGACATATACGAATTAATGTAAGATCTTTAATACCATATCATATCACTTGGGCTAAACCCTTTTTCTTAATGTAATATGTATTTATATTATGTAGACTCAACAATGTAACCTTCAAGAACTGGCGCAAAAAGCATTTGCGTGAGGAAGACTTTGGGTGCTATTGGAAAGCTATTTTTGATATTGTTTTTCGAGGAACCAGTGTTTCGCTAGTAAGGTAAATCAAAGAATGATTACAAAGTTATCTCAAATTGCTTACATGATCACACAGAGGAGAGGCCTGCTGTCCAGCGACAGAGTATGAAAGACAGATCAACGAGTATGAATACGGCAATGTCTCTACTGGTGTACATTGTAATTTTTAGGAGTTTATACTCAATTTACACACTGTATAAACAAGGCCTCTAAAAAATATAAAAAGTTGAGGCTTTCAAGTAAAACAAGTGGTTCTGTTAAACCTCGTTTACAGTCGCCTCCCAGAAGAGCATATGCTTTTCCTGAAAACACATTTTATACACTTAAAAGAAAATAAAATATATTTTTTTCTACTATTTTATTACGCGTATTTATTATTGAATTGCTAATTATATTATATTATTTTATGAAATAAATAGTCTTTTAATTTTTTTTTGTATTGTTTATTAAAGAAATTTCATAGTCATGTGCTATCTATCTAAAAGAGTGAGTCTTCTAATTCTATTTTCTAATGTTTAAGGTAGCGATGGCAGCTATTCGGTTAGTGACAAAAGGAACATCATGGAAGATATGTTGGAAGTGAGCGTCCCAAATGGCCCCTATTGTGCATCCCAGAATACTATAGGCGGACACTGTGGTATTCTTGACTTCAACTGACATTGGAGAAGAAGGAAGGAGAAGGTGGTCAAACGTAAGCGATGTGGGATATTCCAGGAACCGGGTTGCAATTTGATGCCAAATTAACTTTTTATGAGGGCATGTCCAGAATAGATGTTCATCATCTTCCAGTTCGCCACATAAAATGCATTGTGGGTCATCTACAACCGTAACGTTATGGCTAAATAGCCGCTGCCTACTAGGAACCTTTCCATGCATCAATCTCCACCAGATGGTGTAGATTCTAAGAGGAAGACGTGATTCCCAAAAGCTACGCCAGTGTACTGGTGCTGCATGCGGGAATGGGGGTGAGACTTGGGTGAGGGGCGGTCTTATGTGTGCACGGATCACTTGAGCAGAGAGATTGCGTATCCGTGGAACTTTTGGTATCCCAGAGGAAAGGAAGCCTTGAAAGTGGCGAGGTGGAGTCGGAAAGAAGGAGGCCATCACTGAGCCAGGCTCTCGCAATGGAGAAACTGTGAGCAGAGAGAACCACTCCTTCAGTCGGAGTTCACCGTGATCCAAAAGGGTAAACAGCGTGTCTATGTTAGACCTGGCTCGTCTTCGTTCATACTGGTTGAGTCGACGTATGCATCCAAGAGTGTAGTCATATATGAATGCATTACATACACGTAGTTTACCGCAGGTAAAGAAGAGTGGTAGAGGATGAGATGGGGCCAGAATTGTGCTGAGAGGTAGCTCCTGTACAGTGACAGGATTTATGACAGTCCAGTCAAAGGAGAGAGGAATGATTTTCATAGCACGGAAGATTGTAGGAAAGATACTAAAGGTGTTGAGGCGAGGTGACCGCAGCTCAGGAAACACCAGAGGAAGAAGTGGGTCGGTTGTATTGCAATACTGCCTTATAAGGTATGCCAGTATTTTGCCGGCGAAAGATAGTGGGGCGGTCTGATCGAGCAAGGGGAGGATCCATCTGGTTTGCAGTAAGGAATATTGGGTCTGAGGATCCAGGACGCCAAGGCCGCCTTCTCGTCGTGGACGAGTGCATGAGTCAAATCTAACAAATGGGTAGCGTCCATGAGATAAAAATTTAATTACTTCTGAACGAAGTCTGCTTATGTCTGCCGTATTCACTGGGAGGATGCGTATTGCATGCCATGCCCTACTCAGAAGAAGTGAGTTGGCGACTAGCCCTCTACCAAGAACCGAAAGGTTTCGCTGTGCTAAAAATTGTGCGTGGTTACGGATCTTTGTAATTACGTCTTCAAAAGCACAGGACAGTTGAGCCTTTGAGCTGGTGAGAGGGTAACCGAGATATGTTATTGGCTGTGAGCTATGGCTATCATGCCATGAAGTTATTTCGTGGTTCTGCAGATGAGAATTCCAAGTCTGTTGTTCACGACCAGATAAGGAGACCGCGACTGTTTTATGTCTATTCATTCTAGCATTTGACGCACGGCCATATACCTGGAGCTGATCCATCAGGGTGTCGAGCTCGTCAGGCGTGTTCAAGAACACTACTACATCGTCAGCATATGCTAAGAACTTAATAGGTGGTGGCTCGTCTATAGACTGGGGCAATAAAGGGAGGCCATTTGAGATGACGAATCCTTTGAGTTGTTCGGTGGCAAGGATGGTGCGGAGTAGAGGTTCGAGGGCCAGGTTGAAAAGAAGAGGGGAGAGTGGATCCCCTTGTCTCAAACCTCGGCCTTGTTTGATTGGAGCTGACAGATATCCGTTGATATTGACACAAAGTGTTGTGTCAAAGAAGAGGGCTGTGATGGCGAGAATGAAAGTGGAAGGAAACCCAAACCGAAGAAGGCATCGACGCAGGTACTCAGGGTGAACTCGATCGTAAGCCTTTTCTTGGTCAAGTAGTAAGCCGATTCCGGGTAGTTTGTATCTTTGAGCCGTATCCATGATTATTCTGGCGACTATTCCATTATCTGCAATGAACCTATTTCCCAAAAACCCTGTTTGGTATGGGTTGATAGTGAGTTTCATCGCGGTTGGAAGGCGTGATGTGATAAGGCGAGTGAAGAGTTTGGCGTCAGCGCATATCAGCGATATAGGCCTCCAGTTGGACAACGAAGTAAGGTCTCCCTTTTTTGGCAGCAGAACAACCACGGACCGTTTCCATGAGCGCAGAATTTCTTGATGTTGGAGAGCTAGGTTAAAGACTTTGACCATCAGGCCTTGGGCAAATTTGTGCTGGAATAGCCAACGAAGAAGTTCGTATGGTATACCATCTACGCCTGGGCTACTGCGAGTGGGGGAGTGATTAAGGGCTCTCAATATGTCCTCAGCATCCCATTCTGCCGTAATAGTCTCTTCCTCTTCGCTAGGTAGGCAGCTGGAATCTGGAATATTGGCCAACAGTGACTCGACGGCATTATCATCGATGGTTTCGGCAGCATACAAATCGGAATAGAAGGAGTGGGCGCATTTAACCAGACCATCTGGGGATTCGGTTAGGCCACCATTTTCTTGCAGTGCTCGGATGTTCTGTGCCTGTCGGCGTTCTTTCAAGCATCGGTAGAAGTAGGCATTTGAGCGTTCTCCATGTTCGCGCCACTTATGTCCTGATCGAAGTGCTAGGATGCGGGTATCAACTTCTTGTTGGCGGTCTATCTGACGCTCAACTTCAAGCAGCTGTTGATGGAGGACTGAGGAGGGATCGTCGTCTAGAGAGTTGGGAACGTATTCTTGTTCTTCTGTCAGTGGGGTCGGTGAGGTGTGGGGTTCGTCCTCAATTCTATGACTTTGTGGTTGGCTAGTCCCTAAGTATTCCTGAGCTACCTCTCTGTTGGAGATATGTTGCGTATGCTGTGTGCGTGGACGACTGTGTGGGTTGCTTGGGTGTCTCGATTGTGAGTCACTTTGAGACTGACTGTGCAGCTGTGTTACTATAGCAGATCGTTGCTCCGCTAGTATCTTCTGCATAGTCTTGGCTTTGTTTCTAGCTTTATGACTATGGTCTATAGCCATGGCTTTCAAATTAGCCTTTATCAGGTCCCATTGGATGTGAGGTGCTACATTAGGAATCTGTGTTTCTGCTACATCAAGGAAGGTAGTCATTGTGTTGCAAAACTCTTTATCAGACAGGAGGTATGGGTTGAACCTCCAGATTCCAGGTCCATGCTGAGGTGACCCAATTGAAAGTTGGATGCTGATACTGAAATGATCCGTCCAAGATCCGGCAACATATTCAACCACAGGAGAGTGTACTGATATCTTTAGGTCGTTTGTGACAAAAAGGAAATCGAGGGTTGATCCAGTGGTGAATGTTGGGAGTGGCGTGCAGTTCACAGGAGTGATGGCGTCAAACCAATGGTGGGATAAACATTGGGTCCATGCGGTTGGAAGGGGTGGGGAGGAAGTGAGTCTTGTGTTGTAATTGAGATCTCCGAGTAACACACTTTTTGGAAGTGGTGGAGAACTAAAGGCTAGATAGTGATCTAGAAGAGAGTAGAAGAGAGGGCGTTGCTCTGGGTGGGCAGGTGCATAAATGACAAAGAAGTTGAGCGGGTCATGTATTTTATGGACGTGGTGAATTGTGGCAGTAAGCAGACGGCCGTCTGTTAGGTGTGTGGGGTCGAAGGAGTTGAGATGTGGTTCTATATGGTATTCGGGGTTAAAGGAAACTAGATCACAGTGATGTGACCATGTGCTAGATTGAGCTTGAAGGAGTGTAGAGATGGATGATTGCGTATTTTCGGTGTCAGTGTGCGATTCTTGGATGGCGAGGATGCCATATTTTTGTTGTCTTATATGGCGGGCGAAATGTCGACCAGAGGTGGTCAGCATCTTTTTTAAGCCTCTGCAGTTAAGCGAGGCAATTCTTAGATGGTTAGACATATTTACTGCCCTGAACCATCAGCGACGATGGTCTTGTGGACAGCTGAAGGATCTGGGAAGAGTCCTTGGGTGGGTTTGTTGTTTCGGTTTCTTTTACCATTAATGATGAGAGTGGGGTCAACATCATTTCTCAGTCGGGACTTCCGGCCAGTCGCCTTGGGTGGGTTGGCCATAGCTTCATTAGTCATTATGGTGTCTTCATCACCTGCTATTCCTCCTTGTGCTTCTGTAGTCGGTCCGACTGTAATTTCGCTACTCTCAGTTATACCTTCGAGACTACGCTGTTGTTCTTCAACGAGGGCAATCTTGTCCTCAAGTGCATTTTCACTTTGCACAAGTGCCTCTTGCATCTTCGCATTTTCTCTGACTAGACGGGCCAGTTCTTCTTCAAGCTGGCGGTTGTTACCTCCATTCTCTGGTGAGATAACTTGAGGATCTTCTTGGCGTTGACGCTTACGTTCCTTCTCAATTGTTTCGTCAGGACATTGTGCCCGAATGTGGCCTGGCTTTTTACAACCATAGCACAGGCGAGGGCTCTTCGTCCTCTTCTCACAGTTTGCTTTCTTATGGCCCTCTCCATGACAATAATTGCATGCCACAGGCATGTTCTGCCACTTGGCATAAATCTCTCGTTCCCCACGAAAGTCAATCTTGTATGTTAGGGGAATGTATTCAATCCCTTCCTTTGGAGCAGTGTCCAACATGACAAAGCCTTTGTCCCCAAACAATTGAAACTGAGGGTCCATATAAAGACCAATATGAATCACTCGACCGAAAAGGCCCATGACTTCTTGAACTTGAGGCTCTAATTTATCTGCCCTGCGGAGAGGCAACTTATCAAGGTGTACGCGAAGGATGTTGCTATCCCCGCCAAATGTAGGGGTGGCTAAGAGAGTTTGGTGTCCAACGACAACGCCCTCTGAACAAGCCCTGGGCACATCTTCAATAGTGTCAAATGAAATAATTGCTATATTTCTATCTCTACGGTCTTGACCCAGGGCCCCTACTACGCTAGGGTACTGGGACTTTAGGGCCTGAAAAAATTGGGCAGCGTCTAAGCCACTATCTGTGATGTCAAAAACAACAGCATTGTCTTCATTCGACGAAATCCACATTTGGTTTGCCTTTTGCTGGGCTAATTCTGCTTTTGCAGAAGCATCATCAAAAATGGTTACTGGCTTTCCTCGGGCTATACGAGCCTAATTGCCGAAAATTGGTACGAGTTTGGCAGATTGTGACAATGTCGACGATGAGATGTCAGAGGGGGAGACCGTGTGTAGATGGGTGGGCGAGCCATTAAGGCTAGGCTGAGGTGAAATCCGTGGGTTGTTGATCGTACCATGCATAGGATCAGGCGGATTTTGTCGTCCATTTGTTGTTATCATTTTTCTTTTTTGGAAGCAACCACGGGCTATTAATAAACGTACTTAATTTTGTCTGTAAAGTTTGTTGTCCATTCACTATTAAATAGTCTTTTAATCTTTATTTTCCCATTTATTGCGCAAATCGTGTGCGCAAAGTTAAAAATAACCATACGCAAATTTAGTCCGAAAATCCAATATGTACATATGTACAAAAAGGGGATAAAAGAAGAGCAGTAATTGTCACTGTTAAAATAGATATATGGCTTTTGTATAAATATTTATATATATATATATATATATATATATATATATATATATACAAGCATCTATAGTATAAAATATCCAAATTTACATCTGTATCTGCACTTGTCCTTGTTCTTGTGCTTGTGCTTGTGTCCGTGTTTGTGTCTGTATTTGTGTTTGTGCTTCTGCGTAAATAAATCACGATCCTTTTCTGGTCTTTGACACTAAACGTGGACTATGATGGATAGTGCATGGGTTGCGTCTATCCAAAAGGAAAGAAAAGAAAGGTAGAAATCATTTGATTGGTATCCCCCTACTCCTACTCCTCCTCCTCCTCTTCTTCTTCTAATTTAGCTTCTCTTTCTTTCTATCTGCCTATCTATACATCTACCTATCTCTACCTATCTCTCTCTCTCTTTTCAACCCCCCCTTTTCTTTCTTATTAATTTTTATTTTTATTTTTATTTTCTTTGCACACGCAGCTACACTTACACTCAGACGCACCTGGATACACACGCTCTTTAAGGTCATAACGGTTATGTCATGCCATGTCATGCTGTGTTATACTATGCTATGTCATGCCATGCTATGTCATGTCATGCCATTATATTCTATTAATTTTATTATTTATTATATGTATCATTTTGTTGTTTTTGGCTTGAAATAATATTAAGACCCACCCACATACAGATACATATCAAAAAAAAAAAGTTCTTGTAATACACCCCTTGTAAATTTCCCTTATTTTGGTGTGTATATATACGCTCTTTCCAGAAAGTAAATTCGCCCAATTGCAAGGACAAAATTCATGTTGTACAAAATATCAATTCGCCTGATGGCAAGAACAAAATTCGTATTGTACGAGATGTAGATTGGCCTTTACATTTTTTTGGGTATATAAAAGCGTGCCAAGTGCTTGTCCTTGGTTTATTTCTTTTTCACAATTCAGAAATCATATATAGCCAACATTTAATTCTTATTTGAAGGTGGGAAAGGTTTATTCGTCCAGAATATGACAGACCTGAACCAATCGATCATCTTGGCACATTCTCTTGCGCAATATTTAGTTCAGCTGTCTCTTAATAGTGCTAAAGAAGCTGAGCCAAGGCCTTAGTAGCTTAAAGCCAAGTGATTTTAAGAGCATCGTTGATTATCTTAAATGCTTGGACAAGTCTGTTTTGTGTACATGTACTTGAGTGTAACCAAAGTATGAAGGGGCTCGTTCAGATGATTTCCGATGGTGAATGGTGTCATGATTAGGCGCTGTTTCTCCGAGTAGCCACATGGTAGTTGCTTCAAAAATTAAGCCCTTTTTTTTTAAAAAAAAAAAAAAAAGGCTTGAAGATCCTTTGTCAGTTCTATTCTTGTTGGTCTTAAAGCGTCAATGGACTTGGTTCGATGTTGTATTTGTCATAGATGTGGCTTTAGTAGCTTTGAAGCCGATGAGTAAACGATCGGCTGGCGAAAGTTTACACTTTTATAATCACTGAGGAGAAAAGCATTTAAAGCCATTATGTTTGGACTATAAACAGCATCACCAGGGCGACCATCAATCCAGTCGCAGCTGCGTGGTGCAGTCTTACCAATGACTGTCGACATAAGATATGGTATGAACCCAAGAGAGCGTATCTTGGGGCCATGTGTTTGCAAAGAGATAGGTCGGATCGGAAGGCTTCTTGGTTCTAGCAGGGAGGAAGGGTGGGTAGTGAACACAAAAGATCGTCACATATTGACCAGCTCTTTACACTATTTTGCCCGACTAAAGTGAGATGAATGTGAAAGAGCCATGTATTTTAATATATAATTAATGTACTTTAAACCCTCAAAAGTCAAATCGAATAAAGAATCTTGCGTGAAAGAAAGAAATAAATCTTAACAGACACTTGAGCCTAATTGATTAAGAGATCGACCCTTTTCTTTATTTCTTTATTTCCTAGTCAAAAAAGAATTAAAGCTTAAAAAGGCATAGACAGAGACACAGGTAGAGAGACTATAAAAGAGTCTAGACAATATCCTTATTTATCTATATACATACACTATACACATTTTTCGCACTCTATTATAAGATTCCTTTAAAGCTAACTTTTATCAATGTTAATGATGACCAAATATTAGGAATCCTACCTTTGTTCATCTCTTGTTGAATGACTCCATTAAAGAAAAAAAAAAGGCATCCTAGACATTGAATGCCAATTGACTATGGGAATTTTGATTCCTTCTGTTTTTAGTGCCTAAAATCTCGAGGATTTCTATTATTATTATAATAATAATAAAACGTTTTTTTATTTTATTTATTTATATTGGTGTGATATATAAATGACATCCCTCATCCCCCACACTGAAGTACAAAAAAGAACACGAGGCAAATGGGGTGAGACAGAAGCTTGTTCAGCACTTCCAAAAATTGTCTCGCTCTTTATTTATTTAGTTTTGTGAATAAAAAGAGTGCTATTTCATAATCAACGTCTTTGACTTTGTCTTTTTATAACAAATCTTTGCTTAATATTTTTTCTTGTAAGAAGTAAAAAAATAAAAATTAAAAAATTAAAAAATTAAAAAGAAAATTAAATAAAATAAAATAAAAGAGAGAGAGAGAGAAAGATATCTCACTTGAAACCCCCCTTTTAATTCAACTCCATTCAATTCAACTCACTTATCTCCCCCCTTTTTTTTTTTTTTTTATTCTCTCCCCCCCCCTTTTTTTTTTCTTCCTTCCTTCCTCCTCCTCTTCCTCCTCCCCTTACTCCCCCCAAACTTAACCCTCCCATCCCATAAACACATAAACACATACAATTCACCCCTTCCTTTCTTTCTCTCTTTCTCTCTTTCTTTCTTTCTTTCTTCCTTCCTTCCTTCCTTTACTCTCTCTCTCTCTCGCTTTTTATATTTGACTTTTTTATTTAAATTTTTATTTTATATTCTTCTTCTAACCCCTTCCTTTCCTTTTCTTCTTTCTCTTTCATTTCCTTTATCATCTTACAAAAATCGCTTAGAGAAATGTTAAATTCACCGATCCACACCAACGTTCAAAGACTCTTATCACAACTTGGACAGGTAAAATAAAAGTCACATACACTAATACTCGTTAAGCTCACACAAATCATATAGCCCGATATATCACCTACTCCGTCCATATACGATTCCCTCTCTCACAGTTTTATCTCTGGAAAGATCAAAGTAAAATAATTATAATTAGTGTTTTTTTTTATTAAAGAAGAGAATACAATCTTATTGACAATTTCTCTCTTACTTGTTATTTTCTGTGTCTGTGTTTTACAGCCAAGTGTCAGCTGTCCGATGCGTATCGGAGGACCGGATGATTCAAGCGAAAGTGAAGACGACGAAGATAGTTATGATGTTGACACGAGGTAACAATCATTCTATATACTTTATTTCCTTTACTTAAAAATGAATAAATTCGGGTATGGCTTTGTAGTACACCGAGCAATAGTGTGGAACGTGCTTATGATGACCCGGCCATATTACGGGTTGTCAAACATCTTGAGCCACAATACTCTGAAGAATTAGAAGAATCAGAGGAATCAGAAGAAAGCGACTCAGAAACATCACAAGAATCAGAAGAACATGGAAAACAACCACTGTCAAACTCACCACCAGCACAGATCCAACACACATCTTCATCTCCATCGATACCCTTTGACAAGTCTCAGATCAAACAACTATTGACCCGAGACTCAATGCCAGAAATCGACAACGACCTGAAGAAACTCGAAAAAAAGACGGATAGTCTCGAAAAACTCGGCCTGGCAATGGAAGCCAGACTGGAAAAACTCGAGCAACATCCACAACTCCTTCTTCAAAACCAAGTCCAAGAAGATCAATCTAAATCAAACTCCAATCCACCTCTTCTATCCCCTTCTCCTTCTCCTTCTCCTTCTCTCTCCTCTCTCCAACAAACTCAAACTCAAACTCAAACTCAATCTCAATCTCAAGTTCAACTTCAACCCCAAGTGGTTACACCCTTGTCTTCCGGCCGTGTATCACCTCGCGACGAGCTTGTATCCCACTGGCAGAGCCGATACGAAGAAGCCGCAAAAAAACTCAAAGACCACAACAAGCTGTACCAAGACCTCCTGATCAACCACTCAAAACTCCAAGTCAAATACCAGGACTTGTTGGACACAAGTCTCGACCGTGGGACCGCCCTGGAAGAACTAGACTTAAAGTGCAAGAACCTGACTGCCCAACTTCACCGAGAAAGGCTCCGAAACAGCCATGATGAGCAGGAGAACGTCACACTGCAGAAACAACAGCAGCAACAGCAGCAACAGCAGAAACAACAAAGGCAGCAACTAATAGATCTACATGTGGAAATGAGAAAACAAATGCTAGAAAAGCAACAGCAAAAGTTGGAACAACAAAAGCTGGAAAAGCAAAAACTGGAGCAGAAGAAGCAAGAACAACAGAAGCAAGAACAGCAGAAGCTAGAACAGGATAGGAAGCAGCAGGCATTACAGAATTTGTATGCAGTTGAGCTACAGAAACAGCATCAACAGCAGCAACAGCATCAACAGCATCAACAACAGCAACAGCAGCAAAAGATGATGTATCAGCATCAAAATATACTAAACCAATACCAGCAAACCCAACAGCATCAATCAAAGCAACAGATTCAAAAACCGAACCCGCAATACCCGCAGCAACGCCATGAACACCATCGGCATGAAGGCCCAGTTGTACAGAAAGCCCAAATCCCGCTTGAACCTTCACTTCGGCATCAGCGGTCTCTTGAAATGGATGTACACAAAACATCCTATCGACCGAGAACATTTGTGCCGCCACTTGATAAAACTATTACTGGCAGAAGAAGAATTACGCCAACCTTCCGACCACTCTCACAGGTACAGATACAGACACAAGCACAAGCACAAGCACAAGCACAAGCACAAGCACAAGCACAAGCACAAGCACAGCCGCAACAGATACCACTACCATCAACACAACCTCACCATAACCACCAACAACAGCAACCGCTTCTGAATCAGAATCAGAATCAGAATCAGAATCAACATCATCAGCATCAGCATCAGCATCAGCATCAGCATCAGACTCAGCATCAACACCAGCCACAGACACAAGTACAAACACATACACAAGAGCAACATTATCATAATAATAGCCATTACCATCAAATTCAACATCAGCATCACCTTCACCAGCCTTCACAAACACAAACACAAACACAAATACAAATACAAACACAAACACAGCCATATCATCATAATCATAATCATAACACCAATAATAGTCAGCAACTACAGCATCATGACCATAGTTTGATACGATTGCCCATGACGCGTCTACCAACCCCACGAGCCTCCCCTTTAACTTCGGCAAATGGATCAACTTCTTCTTCTTCTAGTAGTAGTAGCAGCAGTGACAGCAGCAATGGCATCAGCAATGGCATCAGCAGTAATAACAACACCAATAGCAACAGCAACAGCAATAGTAACCTCAATCATCCCACAAACTCTCTCAAGGAAGAAGGTGGCTACTTGGTATTCGATACTCACATGAATGGCGAGCTTATTCATTGCCGTGTCAAGATTCCTCCCAGTCCTCCGACCCCACCCCTTGCCACAACAAACACATATCTCACCACACCACCAATGACCCGTGCAGCATCACCTCAGTTCTTACGCAAGGTTCATTCAAAGAAGGGTCTAAACCCAAATGCACCTGAATGGCACAGTCAAAGGTGTTGATTTGAATTCTGATTCTGATTCTGATTCTGATTTTGTTTGCCTTGTCTGTTTTATTACCATTACCATTATAATTATTATTGCTATTACTATTGCTATTACTATTACCATCAACTATTTAACTATTTAACTATTTAACTATTACCCTTTTTCTGATATCCCCTTTCCTTCCTTTCTTCTCATCTCTCTCTACCTCCTCTACCTCCTCTGACTTCCCCCCTTCTCTTCTAACTTTTCTTTCTTTCTTTTTATTCCCTTTATATACATATATATATACATGGGTGCGTATGTGTGTATATATATCAAAGTATCAAGTTTCAACTATATACACATACATTAAACACATACACACACACATGTAATTTACATAATATATATATATATTATATATATATGCATTATATATTGGCTGTCAAATAACCAAAACCCAAATAAATAAATACATAAATACATAAATGAATGACTGAAAAACCAGCCAATCAATCAATATTTATTATTAATGTCAAGTGTTTATAGGCCTATTTATATGATAAACTCAAAAAGTAGAATATAGCTTAAATATCCCAAAAATAAACCATAAATTCCAATAGCCTTCTTTCATTCTACCTTAATTTATATACAGTTTAAACTCGAGATTAAGACAAACCAAGGATGTTCTTTAAAGCATTTCTATCGTCCTACAATATCGGTCTACAACTTGTGCAAGCTAGAAAGTTATATAAAGCAGTGTTTGCTGCAGTAAGAATATCTTCTTTTTTATATGAGTTGTACATCTATATTAAAGTACTAATATACTCGTAAAAAACAGTTTGATTATCTTTTGTACAAAAATTCGTCCACAACAAAAAGTAAATAAATCACCAGATCTTTATCTAGATTTAAGCTGACGCCAAAATGACATCTAATGACCCCCCCTGAAGTTCTGAGGCCGTTAAATTTGACCAAATATTTCCCAAGCATCCCATTACCAAAATATATGACGGATAATTAGACTTTCTAATGTTCGAATTGCCATGGCTACCAATATCTGATGGCTCTTTTAAGAAAACACTAAAATTATCTTGCTTACTGTTATAATCACCAAGTCTCTTTCATTTTCTTTGTAGCATAGTTCTAACCACCCTTAACCAGAATGCTTACCATTTCTTCTCAAGCTTGGAAGCATAGGTATAAGACAGTGTTATACTAGCATAAGCTGGAGGAGTGTTTGTGTTGCTTATTATAAGCCTCCGTGTCAATAAAGGTACATGGTCCAGCGAAAATAAATAAGAAAACTATTTCTTCTTTATTTTTGTTTGTCTTGCTCTTATTATAACGTTCAAATGGTTTCATGATTTAGACCAGCACTAGTATACCTTTACAAACATATTGATACCAATGCTCATGCACAACCATAAAATATTTCATAGACTTCTTTTAAAAGAATTGTTTGCTATAAGATGCGTAAAGAAGATCCTAAGGAAGACATATTGGCCAATGATATTTGTTCCTGATTAAAGACACCAAAATGCAAAAAAAAGTACAATTTTTGTTTAAATATTATAAGGCACTATAATATAATATAAATAAATAATATAATATAATATAAAATAAAAATAAAAATAAAAATAAAAATAAAAATAAATAAAAAAAAACAAAATTAAGCAATTTTCTCCGCAAATGCCCAAAATTTCAATTTTTTTTTCTGTCTTTTTTTATTTCTTTCTTTCTCAACCCCCCCCCCCCCCCCCCCCTTCCTTCTTTTCATTTAATATAAATGTCTAGTTATATACGACCATTGGATGCAACGATACACGCAATAAATCTACCTACTCAAATAGACCAGCAGTCGCTCGTTCAGCTATTTTCGATCTTTGGTACAATTCTCAACCTTGAACTAACGAGGTAAATAGTCGCTATATATATATATGTATAAAAAAAAGCTCTAATATTAATTCTTTACAAAGGATTCTATTATATGTATATCTATATTTTTGACCTGTTTTGTGTGTATTGTGTACATTTATACATTCACAATAATAATAATAATAAAAATCAACCTTCGTTTATCTTGTCTATCTCGTCTACCTTGTCTATTTGTTTTTATCATATTATATATATATATATATAATATTCAATTACTTTTGTATACATACACAAACGCATATATATATATATATTTCTACAAATATACAAATATACATACATTCTTTATTCATTCTGATTGTGTGTAGTGCATTAGATGGATCACACAATTGCTTGGTTACCTTTGACAGCTCTGCAGCAGCAAACACAGCCTTGCATCTGTCGGGTACTATGATGGGCGACAGAATTCTGGTGATTGGATTATTGGCTCACCTGAAATCAACCCCATTGGCATCTCCTCCCTGGATTCCAATGCCAATCCACGATGGAACCCTGGACAACTGTGTAAAAATCTCTCACCTTCCACCCCACACAACCTCAAACGACATCCAGCAGTTCTTTCGATTGTTGAATCCCGTGTCTATTGATCAAGCCCAGGATCGAGCAATCATTACCTTTGCCACGACTGAACAAGCAGAAGCTGCCCTGCACATGCAATCTCATCCATTTGGAGGATGGCATCCCATTCGGTAAAGATCAAATCTCAATAGATATATATGTAAATAATAATATTAACTGACGATAACGCCCTTTTTATTTTAATCTTCTCTTTGTAGTATGGATCGTGTGTCAAAAGTAAAAGAAATGATTCTTCCTGCAAGACATCATATCATTCCTCCTGTTCCTATTGGGGTGGCCAATGTTCCTTCACTTGGTAATATGCCAGGTGGCATGGTAGTCAATGTTCCTGGTGTGGGTCTTCACAACCCACACAATCTACACAATCAACACCATCCACATCACCATCACCATCATCACCATCACAATGTAATGATTCCTGGAGCACATATTCACAATACACATCTTTCCAATCCACATATGCATAACCAACATATGCACAATATACACGTCCACAAGCCAATCATTCCTACTGCCGCGACTGTTTCTGCTGCTGCTGCTGCTGCCGCGGCTCTTGCTGCTGCCCCTCCTGTTGCTACCACTATCGCTACTACCACTGCTGCTGCTGCTAACAACAACAACAACAACAATGGTACTACCACTGCTGCTAACTCTACTGGAAGTTCTGGTACCGCTGCTGCTGCTGCTGCTCCTGCTGCTGCTGCTGCTGGTACTACTGCTACTTCTGGTGCTGATGGTGCTGCTACTGCTGGTGCTGCTGGTAGCGCAACCGCCCCTCCTCCTTCATCATCTTCATCTTCTACTACTGGTGCTGCTGGTGTAGCATCTTCTCAGTATAGTCAGTCCCGTCGTAGTGAGTGGTCTTCACGTCACCAAGAAGACAGAGACTATCGTTCTCGTCGTGGCGATGATAGTAAGTATAGATATTTAATGATTCAACCAAGAAAGCAAATAGGGAGAGAGAGAGAGAGGTAGTTAAGGTGTTGATATTTATCTACTTTTTGTTTTGTCTTGTAGGTTATTCTAGAAGAGCTGATGATGATGATAGAAGAAGTAGAACAAGTACCAGTAGAACAAGAGACAGAGAAAGAGACAGGGATAGAGACAGAGACAGAGAAAGAGATCGCGAGAGAGATCGTGAGAGAGATCGTGAGAGAGACCGAGAAAGGGACCGAGAAAGGGACAGGGATAGAGACAGAGACAGGGATAGAGAAAGAGGAAGAGATCGTGAGAGAGACAGAGACAGAAGAATTGCTACATCCAGAAGAAGATCAAGAAGTCGATGAAATGAAAATTGATTAAAATAAAGGAACCATTTTGGAATTATATAATACAAATGGTACATAGTTGTGCCAAATAATTATCACAATTTAAAATCAAATCAAATACGTTAAATTAAATGATTGATTGCTTGATAGATTGATCAATTAATATTGTGTGGACAGATGTAAATGTATATAAATTGTTCAAATATTTAAAGCCCAGACATTTATAATGTATATATATATATATATGTATATATGTATAATTGAGAAAAAAGAAAAGGTATATTTTTAGGCTGTTGTTACCAATCAAAATTCTCAAAGACTATATTTGGAAAGACAGACCCAAATAAGGATGTCAAAAAGCATATTCAATTGGTTTTTATTATATATATATATATATTTGTGAAAAAGAAAAATAGAGTGAAATCAGGAGCACAAATGGCGAATATTGCTCTCTTTTTTGTTGCTTTTAAATGAATATATTGCCATTTCTGTGCAGTTCATTATTATAATGCTTTCATAAAGTGTTGTATAAAGTCAAAATAGAATAGAATAGAATAGAATAGCGTAATATTAATATTACCGCTGTTGTTATTGCTGTTGTTTCCTTTGATGCACTGTGGATCACGCACAAAATATACATAGAAAAGATCAATTTTGACACTGGCACAGATGCTAGCCCTAACAGTAAACCTATCAGTTAACAGCAAGTGTAAAGTGTAGGTGTATGATTGTTAAAAGTAGTTTGTGTGCAAAATAGAGAGAGAGAAAAAAATGATAAATTGCTTGAATTTATGCCCTTTTTTCTTTCTTTCTTTTATTCGGTTCCTTCTCCACATTGATATTTTGTACATTTGTCCTACGTCATCCCCCCTTCTTCTCTCTTTCTCTAATATACTCTATTTCTCACTCTCATTCTCTCACATTATCACATTTTCACACACACACACACAGAGAGAGAGAGGGAGACACGGGCACAAACACAGGAAATAAATTAATGCCTTGTTTTATATTCTTTCTTGTTCTTCTTGTGTTATTGGAGTACAATGGGAAAAGGAATAACACTGGAGAAGAAAAAAAAAGTAACACGTTTTTTTTGTGTTTTACTCAGCGAATAGGCAGCCGACTTTCCTACGGTGTGCTATATTATTGGCTCATTTTATTTTTTGATTTCTTGGTATTTATACATATACATATAAAAATAAAAATAAAAAAAGGTCACACGAGCTGAGTATTACAAAAACTTTCTTTTCTTTTTTCTCTTGTACTCAATGGACTGGTGTTAAGAACTCCTTTTATGGTAATCAACCAATTGTTTATTTATTTATTTTATTTATTTTTTTTACAATTTTTGTTTCTCTTTTTCCTTTCAATAATTTTCCTTCTTCTTCTTTTTTATATATAGATTCACAAGAGAAAAAGAGAGAATTTATATATATAGAGGGAGAGATAATATAAATCTTTGTTTTCTTACACCAAAACTAATACTAATTGTAATAATAAATATTGTCACTTTCATCCTGTATAGCAACCCAATCAATTCTCTTTTATATAAAAATCTTTCTTTTGCTGTTCATATTCTAATACAATGAAGCGATTCACTACATCTTCCTCGGACTCACTCTATAAATCCAAAAACCTCCCTCCTGTCGATGTCACCGTCGAAAGTCCTGTATTCTACATCGGCCCAGCCACCACCGAAAATCCAATGTCCCACGTTCGTCCAAAGCTTATGGGCACTGTCCACTTTAACGATCGTAAGATAAAATGGAACCGTGTCACTCTGACCCTGGTCGGCAAGGCTGGTCTCTCCATTGATGCCCCACCTTCTGCCCTGCCACGTGACCACGCCTTCAACTCCCACGACCTCCAGGATGAGTCTGTCCTGACCCACCTCCAGACCACTGTCCCAGTCTGCGAAATCGAAAAGGAACTCATCTTCTCTGGCGAAGCAAAAATCGATTTTGGCCTCCATTTGCCTGCAAACCTACCCCCGACTGTAAAGACCGATCATGCCTTTGTCGACTACATGCTCGTCGCAAACTTCTCGGCCGGAACCTTCTTCAAAAAGTACCGAATCCAACGACCGGTTCTGATCTGCCGTCACTACTTACCCAGCTCAAGTGCAATGATCCCAAGTGTAGAGTATCATGGTGTTAGAGAATGGTTCGAATGGTCTGCAGACGTACCCAAGGCTGTGGCCATTGAATCCGGCGAAATCGTCATTGCTCTACGCTGGAGTGTCGAGAAGGAATTGGTTGAATTGGGTCGAGCAGAACTTAGTCTTGAAGAAGTTGAGACCTACAGGTAACCCAAAAATCTAAAGAAAGAAATATTTTGTATTGACTTGACTTGACTTGTCCTTGTTAGATTCTGTACAAAGATGGGTGTTCATAGCCTACCTCCAATCGTAACATCATTCCCTTCTGCTCCTTACCATCCTTCCGGTGTAACTACCAGCTCAGAAACCCATTTTATCCGCACACCGATTCCCCTGCAAAAATCTTCTACCGTCAAACGTCCTGTCCGAACCCACCATTTTAGCCCTTTTATCGAAATTGCCCACAGATGCAAACTTACCCTCCACTTTGACTCTCCTGCAATCGAGCCCCTCGTACTACGATTCCCAATCATTATCACCGATTATCCTGCCTCCAATAACAACTACAACGAAGACTTTACCTCAACATCATCATCATCTAATAACAACTATACAAATTCCTCTTCCTTACCACCACCATTAATGTCATACAGCGGTATCAACACTGCATCTTCCGCATCTCTGTCCAACTCCTCCTCAGCACGCCCACAATTCAATACTGTCATGACAAACGTCGGTGGAGACGATGCAGCCTATGTTGATTTCGACTTGCCAGAATATACACCACGCTATGAACAACGCCCAGACACTCTGCTTACCCACTAAATGGCACACACTGTACCTACACATAAAGAAGAGGAAAGACGAGGAATATTAAAGGCCGAGTAGCAAAGAAACCAAAACGAAAAAAAAAAAGAAAAGAGAGGGAGATATGATTTTCATGGCTTTCGTCATCTTTCTTTTTTTTTTATCTTATCTTTTATTATCTTCTTTGCATTGCATTGCACTACACCACATTACAACACATCACACTACACTACATTATATTATATTACATTACACTACACTACACTACACTACATTACATTACATTACATTACATTATACATTTAGTTTCTCCCTTTTCCTCCACCTCAAATTTCTCCAACTTGCACATCTAAACCATACATTATACATTCTCTCCTCTCTCTCTCTCTCTCTCTCTCTCTCTCATTAGATAGAAGCAATTACAGCTACAACTACAAACCCAAAAAAAAAACAAAAACCAACAAAGAAGCAGATCAATTGTTCTCCTTTCTCCTCTTACCCTACTCTTTCTATTTTCTTTTTCTTCTTTAAAAAAATACTTTCATATTCGCACACTTATACATTCTACAAATCATCTCCATTATCTTACTAAATGTACATAACCAAAGAGAAGAAACCAAACCAAAACAAAAAAAAAGCAAAAGATACAAAATAATAATATTATTCATGTTTCAATTCTTTCATAATTTGTCTGTATCCTGTCCTGTGTATTTTTCTTTTCTTTCTTTTCTTCTTCTTTAAATATGTAAATAAAAATATCATTACTCTTGGTGGAATGTTATATGAAATTTGATCAAACTGAATCTGTATTTGTGAAAATATACATATTTACTAATAATTATATTTTGTTGGAGTGGGCAAAACCGTTTTCGATTCTGCGATAAAGAAAAGATCCGGTTGAAATCTTGTTTGTCAATGATAGGACGTTGTCGGTCAGGATCACAAAACCTGGGGTTGGCAGGATGCAAAGTGGCTCAAAAGTACCTGAACTTTCTCCAAGTTCGAGAAATATATATATATATATATATATTCATCTGAGGGCAACAGTAGGATATAAAAGGAAATTGATCGACCAATTGCTTGGATTCCAAGTACAGCTACCATGTTTTGGGTATCCAATGCGTCTTTACATAAAAGAAAATAGTTGCTCTTAATCGACTACCGCAACGTCTGGTCATTCAAATGTCGGGTCTGGTTTTGTTTATCAAATCGTCGTTCTTTCTGGCGTCCATCCTTATTTCAATTTACATCCTAAAAGAATAATCTCTTGATTGGGATCATCAAAAAGGCCACATAAGAATGGATCAATGAAGCGAGATTTATGTTCTCACTCATTGTTCTTGTCAATAGCTGTGCTGGTCTAGAGACAAGAAAAGAATCAAGTGCACGGCCATTGCAGAATACATTTGTTTTGCTTTTAGCTTTGTTCTAGTTGTTCTAGTCGCTCTATTGTTGTTGCACCATCATTGGTGGTTACATTCTCTCGCCTGTATACGTGACGTTCGATGTCTTGTTGTTTTATTAATTGATCCAGACAGCGGCCAGTAATTCAAAGTGGAGTTCTAGATTTTCAATTCTTATGGTGTGTCTAGAGAAAAGTCTTTGTCTCTGGCCGCTCTCATAGTTAAGCCAATCTAGGCCTTGACACAATCCATATTATTTCTTTTATTTCCAACTAAAAATCTTAACATCCACATATTATATATATATTAGCTGTGTGTAGCTATACATCATCAATTGATCTACTTACTTTATTTTTATTCCTTGATCTATGCCTTGACCAGCGTCTATATCTCTGTTTATATACGCGCAATGTAAGCTCATTATGTAAAGAAGATAGGATCTCTAGCCCAAATGGTCTTGTCGTGCTTATCATCGTTTTCTCCGCGACTTTGATGTTAATGTCCGATTTGAGAAAATAATGCTTTCAAGAAGGGGTTTCCACTCAAACTGGCTCAGGAAAGCCCCAAGAGACCATTATTGACTTCCCCCCCTCAGTTTTAAAGTGCTCCAACTATATACAGCCGTAATTATTTATTGATTGTGCCTCACAGCCATTGCAGAGATGGTTGGACAACTAAAAGAACAAAAAAAAAGAAAGGCAAGGAGATGGAAAGGGAAAGACGATGATTCTATTTCTGTTTGTGATTGTGTTTTTCTTTTATAGATAAGATATAAACAAAAGGAGATGATGTAAAGTGTTGTCTCACGTCATTGAGTGGGGATGACGAATGATTCCAGTATATTCTTGAATCAGGCCTTTTTGTTTATTCGATACATATTTATATTTACATTTCTATATTGAATTGAATGGGTAGGTTGTTTACCGGTGACGTGAATAGAAATGTGTGAGTATTCAATACACTGTCAACCAAACAAGCTTTCAGGAGAATGGTGGCTAGATAGGTAGATTAGTGCAAGGTAGCAAATTTGAGTCCTTTCAGGCTTTCTGACATTAATATGTATACAACAAGAGAGAAGACATCGACCAAGAAAACGAATAAATCAATAAAGTATTATTGCTCTTATACCTATTTAGACACTATAATGCTTTAAATGAATACAAAGACACGCCCTTTCTTGACTTGATGATAATAATAGTAAAAAAAAAACAGTAGCAGCAGCAGTAATAAAAGCGAAACAATAAAAGAAAATTCATTCATAATTGCCATAGCTTAATGATTGATATAATATACATATTAACATTTGACAAACATTCCTGCTACTGTATGCATCACATTACATTATATGTACAGCTTATTAACAGTTGCACGCCTTTATATTATAAATAAAATCTAATAAAGTGATATAAAATAAAGGTGGGCTTTTATCATTTTCTTGGTTCATATTTTCATATCAATATTTGATTGCTGTCTTGATCCATTTCGACACTAATATTTTTGAACATTTAACTGTACTCTCTCTTTGTATATAATATATTATACTATATTATAATATTTGTTTTATTTTTCAAACTCGGACCTTTTGGCATATCCGTTCCTTTCTTTTTCTTTTCTTTATTGCACACTGCTGATTCTCTCCAAAATCAAAATGTCAACAGAGGATTACAGCGAGGCGATTTACCAGCTAATGGACCTTGTAAAATACAACATTTCAAATATATCGATATACATATAGCCCTTGTGCCTTTATAATAAACTCGAATTATAAATGCATATTATATATTGAATTGAATTTGATTATTTATTACTGTTATTTTCTATATATCATATTACGCTTATTAACTAGACCTCCCTTTATTTTATATATCTACACTTTCCATTGTAGGGCATTACCCAAAAGCAGGCCCATAAAGCCTTGACAGTAAGTAACATTTCTTTAAATAATAATAATAATAATAATAAGAATATTATCATTACCATTACAATTACAAAAGAAAAAAAAAACACAATCAGAATAATTATTTTCTAATTGCTCAGCAATTCATATCACCTTCCTCTCTTTTTGTTAATAATGATAATGATTAAGATACTCTATATGACCGCAAAATACAATAAACTTTTTATTATTATTATTTTTTTACTGCTTGCTTGCTTGCTTGTTCGTTCGTTCGTTTTTCTTGGTTATATTTAAATAATTATATAAAAGTAAAAAAAAAAAAAAAAAAAAAAAAGAATCGTTATGACTTATATGTTTTGATTAGAGATACAATTTTGACGTTGCTCGTGCGGCAGACTATATATTCTCGGGTAATGCAGACGATGAAGAGGTGAGAGTTAAAGTAGAAAAAATATTAACTAATTAATTAATAAGCAAAAAGTAATTGCCTCTGGTCGAGAATTTGGAATGACTTGACATGCAACTGAAACATATACACGAGTACTAACGATAAATGTATGTAAATTTGTACTTGTATCAACATGCCAAACAACAACATCAAAAAATAAAGATTCCAGTCAATACTACTACGACAGCCAGCAATTCTCAACAAGAGCCAAAAGATTGGCCAATTTGGAACCAAGAAGATACTGCAATAGTACAAGATACACACTCTATGGATTCTACAAGAGGTAGTGCAGGATCAACTCAAGGTATAATACATTTATATATTTTACTGTTACTATCTTTTAATGACTAAATAAAACAAAAACAACAACAATCCCAAAACTCCCCTAAAAAATCCCTTCAATGTTTTTAACAATAAAAGTTCTTCAGGACAGTGAGTATGAAGAAGAACCTATTAGACCAGAATCAAATAAACCAGACCAGTGGAGTGTCGTACCATTTGTCGGTCCTCCTGCTACACCAATACTATCGTCTGACACGGCCTATACACCATCTGCCCTAACCAGGTGGAGAGATCCTGATGATCCACGCGACAGACTAGCAAAAGAACACATGCAAGTATATAATATGCATAGAAAAATAACGGGCCATGATTAATGTCAAGGGAAATTAACAATACTTATCACTCACTTCTATATATATATATTTGATGGATGCACAATATTCTATAGTCCTCTTGGATTGTGCCCTCCATCTCATCATTTTACTTATGCACCTGCCTTGTTTCAAGCATTGTTTCACGTGCCTTTGTTCAGAAAGGCCATACTTGCCTTTCGTCCAGTTCCGATCCAATGGGGAACACCATTGAACTATTGGAAGGGGTTTGGAGATGCCGTGTCCCCTTTTACCTATTGCTCTCAAGACCCTATGTCAGATGCTGATGAATCCGACAAGAAAAAACATCTGCAGAATAGCCAAGAATTGAATACATCTGAGGAAGGACAAAGTAACTACGATCAATCACAAGAAGAAAGGGAAGGCGGTATCAATGGTAGTGGTGGTAATAGTAATGATGATTGCGATGATGGCTGGCCAGATCTCAACAACCCAGATCTAAAAAGTACACTGGAAAAGGATATCCAATCAATGCCCCTGTCACTTCGTGGTATGTATTCAATGAAAGAGAATACAAAGAGAAGAGGAATATGCCAAACAAGCGAATGGATTTTGTGTGTGTGTGTGTTTTTTTTGCTTAACATGATAATTAATTTATTTGATATCGGTTTGTTTGACTGTAACTAAATCATCACTCTTACCATTCGTTAATGATATTCTAGTGTTGGCCGAGATCCAGAAACTGTTTGCGTTCCTAAGCCTGTCAAAACGGCGCTATGGAAACGTGTCTCCTGTGATTCGTGCATTGAGTGCTAGGATGGCCTCACCTCATTGGGAATTCAGTGACAAAAATATAGATGGTGAGTAAAGCAAGTAGAGAGAGAGAGAGAGAGGACGAGAAACAATATTGTTTTTAACAAAGTTCACAATTAATTAAACGCACAATAAGGCTTCTTGGATATGTTGATCGGTTGCTTGGTTGAGACTGATGGTCTATCCGAAAAATCAAACGAGTCTACACCTTCGTTTCGCGAGTAAGTTTTTGAAATTTATTTAAATTATTATAATTTAAGATTAGTTGTAGTTGTCGTGGTGGATATAGTGGATAGCGGATATGGAGGCTGTGCTAGTAGAAAATCATATCTGAATGGTTTTTAATGGAACAACATAATATATATATATATACTTTTATTAATATTATCTCTAGTATGTTTCTGATAAAGGCCCTGGTGGAGTACACAAAAGAAACAGAGATTGAAGAGATCTATTATCTCATATCCTTTTTTTTCATAAGCTATACTATAACCATAAACATATAGAACAGAAAAAGAAAGACATAACACACATAATCCTTAATCCTTTAATTTTCTCTATTATATTTATATACACTCTAGGAATTGATCATAACTCACATAGTTTCCACGAGTGTCTAGATCCACTAGTTTACGAAAGCGAAAGTACCAAAGACGATGATGAGCTTAGTAGCAACAGTAGTATTGCTCCCATCAAGATCACCAAAGAAAAAAATACCGATCTTGATGTGGGAAACGACAATGCCGAAATCGAAGCCAAAGATATAGTCGAAGCCGAAACCGAAGCCGAAGCTGAAACCGAAGCCCAAAATGAAGCCAAAACAGAAACAGAAATTACAACAGTCAGTGATACTACTGGTGATCAAATCAACATAAAGCTCAACACTAGTTACAAAGATGACAATGATATTGATGATGGTCAAGTAAAATGCAAGGTTACAACTTTTGAGCAGATACCTCCAATTTTGATTGTCACTCTTGAAGACCGAACAGAAGAGACAGAATCTTCGGATCAGTCTGACTCGGAAGAATCTTTTCGTTTGGATCATACCATCTACCTGGATCGATACTTGACGGCCAACAAGTCCCATTCGAAGGAAAAGTATCAACAGGCCGAGAAGTTACGAGCGACAATTGCACAGAACAAACTCAAGAAGCGCCAGCTGACCGAGATCACGATTGACAATTTTAACAAATTTCATACGACCACCATTCTTGAGGATACCTTGAAATATCTTCAAGCCAAGAAAGACCAGTCCCATATTCCTACTACTGCTACTGATACTTCTAATACTACCGCCAGTAACACTCATAGCACATATAACCATAATAATGTTAATGATAATGATCATAATTCTACAAATACAGCAGATACAACAAAAGTTTCAAAAGTTATTGAAAACCTGAAAGCTACTGAATCAGCCATTATATCTGCAGGTGAATTTATAAAGAAAGAATTAAAAGGTAAACGGAAACTACAATAACGCACACACACATATATATATATATATGTATAATATCTAATATAACTACCATCATTCCATTGACTGTCAATTCTGGCAAGTTGAATCAATTTCTTATCAATTTTTCTTTTTAATTTGAATTGAATTGAATTGAATTATAGACTTGGAGGCAAATGAAAAGGAATTGGGTCGTAAATTGGAAAGTCTGTTTGATGAAAACGAGATGAAAAGGTGCCGATATGATTTATATTGCACAGTCTACAATGATGGTCAGGAAGGCAAGGGACACACATGGGCCTATATCAGGGTCAATCACACTCAGTCTGAGGGACACTGGTTCCGTTTCCGTGATGCCTCTGTAGAGCCTGTTACGGCCGAAAGAGTAGAGCGAGAAACTATGACTCCGCTCATGTTGTTTTATATGGCGTCCACCTCCACAGCTAATAACGATAATGATTATGATAATGTTTCAAAACAAGAACAAGACCAAGAACTAGAGCACGTAAAAGAAGAAGAAAAGGAAAGAGATTGTATTACCGCATCAGATTGTCTTTCCGTCATACCAAAAGATCTTGTCGTAAGTAACAAGGAATGAATCGCAGCAAATATATTCTTATTTTATAAATTTATATTTATATTTATATAAGGCATTTGTTCAAGAAGACAATGCTCAGTTTGAGGAAGAAATCTACTCAATTAGCGACTGGCAAACTCTGGAAAGACTTCCCATCAGCTGTGCATCCACTTCGGAAGGGTCCTTGGTGTTTGACGACGGAGACTCGGTTGGGACTGCAGTGGGATTTACGCCCACAAATAGAATCGGTAGATATTGTTTTTATTATTATTATTATTATTATTATTATTATTAGTATTATTAATTATTATCATCTGATATTAATATTTAGTAGTAGTAGTAGCTATAAAATGTTTGTGTTATTAAGACGAAGACTAATTTTATTAAAAAGACGACGGAAACAACAACAACAACAACAACAATAGTAGTAGTAGCAGCAGCAATGCCAACAGTGATGACGACAACGGAGAAGATGGCAACGGAAACGGCAATAATAATTGTCATATTCCGTTGTCCCCAAACTCGTATGATGAACTTTGTGAGCGTCGGGAAAACCTGGTGCGCATAGCCAATCAAAGCACCGAAGTTGACCTCTTACAACAGCAAGTATACATTTTCTATATATATTTCTTGCTTTCATTTTTAAAGAAGAAGAATAAAAAGAAGAAAAAGGTGACATTTGTATTGAAAATTAACTAAAAATAATCTTTAATTATTTATCTGCATGTGCATGTAATAGTTTTCATTTGTTCTTGGCTAAAACCGGAAATAAGGATGCTCTGGACCACTTTATTGATCTTTATTGGCGTAATCCAAATGTAAGCTACTATTGATATTCTTTTAATATAATAGTAAGAAGAAGAATAATGCACATATGTTTATATCGAATGTTTCTCATCCTTATCTATTGCTGGTTTTTGTTAGGGACCAGTGGAAGAAAAAAAAGCTAGAAGAGACGATGAATTGGGCTGGGTGTTTGCTGAATTTGACAGTTTTGTACGAATTGGTAAACGAGTTGCACGTGGGTTGATGTGGTTTGGTCAAGGAGACCACCGAAAAGCACTTCAGACCTTGGTTCAAGCCAAGCGAGAAGAAGAAATCTGGAAGACTCATTTGTTGGTCGACACTCTTGGTGCGTCATATCATGGGCTAGAAACTCTTGGGTTTGGAGGACCCATTGAACAGTTTGGAAAGCATTCTCTAAAGGTAAGAAAATAAATCCATCTTTGTGCATATCATTTTAGGCATTAAGATCAACCAAATGTAATATCACACATTACATCAGACCACTTTTTTTGTATTATATTATATTATATTATTTATATTATTTATACTTATTATTGCTTGATAATAGATTCTAAATCTTGCAGCGTATCAAAAAGTAAAACATGTTTCATACCGTACTCGTGGATTGGAGGATGCTCTCTGGATCGCACATCAGGCACACACAGTTATTGGTCCAGAAAGGCTTGGCACCGATCCAGTGTTTGGACAGCTGGGTGAGATATGGTATAGCTTGACAGATGAAATAGAAAATGAACAGCCAAGTGCAGGCCTGACGACTGTCCAGGCGGAATTGCTAAATTCATTGATGATGGCATACTTGGATGGCCAGACATGTTTGATAAATGACCCAGAAGATGAAAGGGAAAAAGAAGAAGAAAAGGATGGACATACAACAGACAAGGAACAAGCCGAACTTCCGATCTGGAAGATGTATGAACAGGGACACAGGGCCGCAACCAAGGTTTTGATAGAGTCTTGATTTTATAAATATAAATATAAATACACAATTGGCACGTGTGGTGCATGGCGATGTGGTAGATTTCGATGAAAGAGAAATGGAAAAATATGAGAAGAAATATAAATTGAAATAGAATAATAAAGGCAATCGCCTAGTTTGAGGATAACAGGCTTTACTTTTTACAAGATAAGGGAAAAGTAAATTGTCTTTTCCACAAGAACTCTCGAGTTTTGAAGTAAAAGGTACTAACCGCTGATATTCTATTCCACAAGAAGGACTTGATAAAACATAATAGAAAAATATTGAACTCAAAAGAGAGAACAATAGAAAGGTTCAAAAGCGTGAATCTTAGGGGACAGGGGGTTTTTGGATGATGGAGACAGGCACTGTCACTACGGGAAAAAAAGTGGTCTTTTTGGTGGTCTTTTTGGTGGTCTTTTAGGTGGTATTTTAGGTGGTCTTTTGGGTGGCAATTTTGGTAAAACCAGCAAAAAGACCATCCCTATTTTTGGAAATATAATTAGATCTCCGTTGACTGATGGATGTTAAATTTTATTCATATCCCGATATTTAAATTTATGTATTATTCTTCTCGTTCTATTGGTAGAAAGAAAATAAAAAAGAGCTTTCTTATTGGTATAGATGGAAAAAAAGAATCTTTGTATTGTCACTCATAAAATACTTTCGTTATACTGCTACTTTTAATTGGATAATATAAACTTTATTGCAGTATGCACATTGATAGTATTGGTCATTTAAACAAAAGTATTCTCTCAATTGGTTCTCATATATATATTCTGATTCATTCACAGTTTTAATTGGGCAAAAAAGTTTTATTTCATAGAAGATCATTATTTAAAAATGTTTTTATTGGTTGTTATAATAGAAATAATATTTTATTCATGAATCGTACTGGCTAAAATTCCTTCAGATTATTACATATTCTTACATTAATTACACAATTTATTGTACCTACCAGATATGAACTTACCAGAGTATTCTCGCTTCTTGCGCCCTCTCCAGAGCTGGCTAACCCTTGCAATTGATGCCCAGTTTCTGTGGCATCTGGTAAAATCGATTCCATTGTCTCTGAGTATGATGGAATGATTGATACACAGCCTGTTTTTATCCTCTTGAGGAAGCAATGACCAGGCAGGGTTTGTTCCAAGATCCTGAACAGATGGAAGAGCTGCCAGTTGATCACATATGACCTTGGTACATGTGTTAACAATTCTCTTGGTTTCCTCGGTCAATTCTATTCTAAGATCGTCTGTTATCATCTTGTATATATGCTTTAAAGTTATATCATTGATTTTTGATACGGGTCTTGGAATGATGCCAGTAAGAGTCTATTATGTTTGACATTAATTGAAAGGACTTTAGTTGTTATAGTATTTGCTTACACTGGTAGAGGTTACAATAGTTCTATCTGGAAATTCCCGATCTTTAAATTCATTGTAAAAACTTGTCATTTGAAGTTGCATCGCATCTTGTTTTTTTTCTAATGCTTCTTGACGGCCTAGCAATGCTTCTTGACCACTCTTTAGGGAAATAAGGGCAGCTTGTATTCCTTGAAGCAACTGAAGCACTGTATTGTCTGTATTGTTCATAATTGTAAAAAAAAATCAGTTACGTGTTTGTTATAGAAAAAGAAAGAAAGAGAAAATTTTTTACCAGAAACTATTATTAGTTTCAAATCTTTAGCTTCAATTTTTTAGCTTCAAATTATTAGTTTCAAATTATTTGTACAAATCTATTGGTTACTCCTGAAGAAACATTGATCTAGTAACTTCACTGATGACATACAGATACTTCTTTAAGATCCCGAGCATATATTCAGAATGCATATAACATCATTGTCTTTATATAATTAAGTATAAAGCTATACATTCAGAAAGTAATTAATTCTATTCTTACTTATATAACAAAGTTTTTTTTTACCTACCTCAAACATGTCCAAAATTACAAAAGCCCCTCGTTACCAATGCTGTACTTGCAAGTCGACCCCTAATAACAGTCGAACATATAAAAGATGTCTCAAACGATGCATGACAAATAGGGCAGAATTACTTGCCAATGGCGAAGTTTCCCAAACTGTCTCTCTTCCTGATCAAAGCCAGTTTACATCAGCAATGGTTCCTAACTTGGCTTTTGAGTAAGCTTATCAAAAGCAAAAACACAAAACGATAGACAGTATATTAATTAGCTGTATACTTTGATAAACAAACAGAGAAAACATCAACACAAGCAATAGTGAGGATATGGATATCATTGACAGTACTGAAGATGATGAGTCCATGGTGAGATACATAAATACATATATTATGATAATCATACTTATTGTTGTTTATCTTACTATAGTACGATTTTGGAGAAGAATGCGAGAATGTCATTGACGAAATTGAAGGCACCACACCCTCGCTAGTTTTTGATTTTAGCCAGCCTCTTCCTGTTCCCAGCAACGATGATAAAAAGAATCTCACGTTCATGCAGTTGATCCAAGAGTTCGGAATTTCTCGTTGAGCCCACGAAAAGATTGTAGAACACTTCAACCAGATCCTTGATTGTTCTATCAATATTACGTACCGAGCATGCAGCCCACACCTTGGAAACAAGCTTCTTGAGCGCTTCTTGAGTATCAAAGCAGACGGATACGACATTTGCATCAGAGGTTGTATGCAGTTCAACAACGAGAATGATATTGCATGCGTAAAATGCGGTGAAGCAAGATACAAAAATGGCCAAACTAGCGAAAGTGACACCAGGGTTCCTGTGAGATCGATTGTACAGCTTCCTTTGGCCAGACAGCTTGCTTTGTGCTTGGCTGATGACAAGACCAGGGCTGAAATGCTCTATCGTCATAACCACCAATCCAGCCAAGACAGGCAGAAAGCAGATGTTTTCGATGGTCATGTATACCAATCCATGAAGCATCTGTTTTCTGGTGAAAACGATATTGCGATTTCGTTGTCCATGGACGGGTTCAACCCACACAATGTACCTGAATCAGTAAACATTGTTCATGCAACTGTCTTGAACTTGAATCTGACGATCCGTTATGAGAAAAACAGGATGATCCAAATAGCAATGCTTCCTGGTTGCACTGGTCCCAGTGACATCTGGTCTTTTCTTGAGCCAATGCTGAGAGATCTCCGTTTGCTCCAGACAGAAGGCATGGAAGTAAAGACACCAACAACAACGATCAGGGCAAAGGTACATGTCCTCATGGCCACTGGTGATATTCCGGCTCTGGCAAAGCTGGCATACCATGTTGGCCACACGAGTAAGAATGGCTGTTGTATTTGTCATGTAGTAGGCCAAACTCCTAAACATGGCCAGTACTTCCGCATGTTGCCTGGAACCCAGACGCGCTCACTGGAGAGTTTCAGAAACTACAATCTGGCAAGCAGTGAAGACAGAAAGGGGCTCAATGGTCAGTCACCGTTAGCCTCAATGGAAACATTCTCTGGCCCGTTTTTTTTTGCGTTAGATGAGATGCATGGTCTGTGCCACGGAATCGGTAAACAGGTATGGGGACTTGTACGCAGAAAGTATGGAATCAAGCATCCTCTATGTCTTTCTCTTGCCACTCAAAGGGAGATTGGTACTGCAATGGTAGCCGCAAAATCCACAATCCCTACATCGTTGCATAGTGCCTGGAGATATGTGACAAAGAATGCCGATTTCTTTAGAGCTGTGGATTGGGCAGACTTTTTACTCTTTGTTGTCCCCACGTTGGTTGCAGAGCATGTCCAAGGCTTGGTTGCCCGAAAGGCATTACTTGGCCTGGTTCAAACATGCAATTTACTCATGAGCTGGGAGTTATCAGCAGAGAATCAAACCTCGATAAGAAGGTATGGTTAATGCCATATTTTATTTCATTTTTCATAGTAATTTATTTTTATCTTTTTTCTTAGTAATCTTGTAGAATGGAACTTATTCTTAGAGAGTCTTCTTTCTACAGCAGATATTGACATTGGCGTGTTCACAATTAACCAGCACATTATTCAGCATTATCCTCAAATGATTGATCTATATGGCCTGCCAAGAGCATATAGCACACGATCCGTAGAAAGAGCCATTGGTGAGTACTCCAGGTCCATCAAGAGTAACTCCCAAGTCAGTGTCAATGCTGGAAGCATCATGATCAGACTGGCGCAATCCCAACGTGTAGCAGAACTGACAACCATTGCAAACACAAAAACTCCACCAGCTAACCTTCTAGTTTACAGTGCATATACCAATAGGTGGCCTGTTACAGAAGGAGGTGATCCTGCCAATGCTGAGTGTGAGATTGAGTTCTGGGGGCCTTTGAAGAATTTATCAATTTTCGATAGCTTTGAAGATAGATCTCATCTTTCATTGCTTCTTAAAACGTTTTATGATTTGAAGGGGGAAGAATGTAGTATGCTTGAGCCTTCCATAAAGACAAGCTGCAAGGTCTATCTTAATGGTTGTGTTATTGACGCTGCATTCAACCAAAGTTCTACAAGAGAGGCATAGCATGTTCATGTGCAGCTACAAGTGGACATGAACTCCAGAAGATCCCACTCTTACCATCCAGGATATAAGCATTTCTTCGGAAAGGTGGTTATATTCTTCCAACATGTACACAACTCGAAGAGATGGCCACTAGCTCTCATAACCATATATAGTGTGCATTTGAAAAATGGATTGCCTATTACATCTGTAGTAAAGCCGAAGACTATAGTGATTCATGCCAGTGACATTGTAGAGTTTGTTGGCTTGGTGTCATCAAATGTCAATGGTAGCCATTACATCATTTGGCCTAGCCTTAAACGTGGCCCAAAATTGACACTTGGTGCCTTAAGTGATATATAATTTGTTTTTTTTTTCTTTTTGTAATAAATTTTTCTTTTTTTTCAAATTGTCAACAAATTTTATCCAAGCAGCAGAAAGTTTAGATATTTTCTTTTTTTATTTCTGACATCCAATATTTCTCAATTCCAATCTATATTTACCAAAAATGTAAGATGTTTAATTAGAATGGACATTTGTCCCTCCTGAGATTTAATTTTAAGCGATTCATTTGCTTTTTATCAACCATTTCAAAGAACAAAGATTTTCTTGTTTCAACTTGGATTTTTGGTGATTTTTTGATTATTATAGGCCAAAAATGAAGTCATAAATTCAAAAAAGACCACCTTTTTCCCATAGTATGTAGTGACATGGGTGTTGTGTGTTCTCCAGCTTCGCCCACCCTAATTCATCTCTCTTCTTCTCCGACCATTTCCTCTTCAATTTTTTCTCATCATCATCACTTATCTCTCTTTTAAAATCACCGTCCCTGAATTGCTTTCTGCCTGACCCATAGGAAAGCAATCATACATCGCATTAAAGTCTTATATCTCTGTTCAAAACCCTCTTCCTCTTTTTCCTCTTTCTGTCTTGTGAAGTTTTATAGAATAAAATCAACAGTAAAAAAGATTGAGACGTATATAAGAATACTTTGAGACTGTATATAGGTTGTCTTTATTAAAGAATTCAAAGTTGTCTTTTTTATATCAAAACACGATCTGCTTTGTCAGTCACATCTTAATTTCTTAAGTCTGAGTTCATTTAGATATTAGAGAGCTGGTACTGCTATGTTTATAATTTAATCTAATTGCAGTGTCCTCATATTAACTCAGTGCTTACTGAGCTGTCATAATTACAGTACTTACTGTAATTAATTATTGGTCTTATTGATTTACCATAAGTAAAATAAATAAATTATTCATTTGTTCTTGTAATGATAGTTGTTTTACTATAATAATAGGAATATGTTCTTAGATGTAATAAATCCAACAACCAAGTGTCTGGATCACCACATGTCTCTTTGTATCTGTGTGATTGTCCTGAGTGAAATCAACAGCATTCTCTTAAATTCTCCTCTAAACTTATCTCTCATACCTTGCTGTCTATCTGTCTTGATTGTCCCGAGTGAAATCAGCAGTATTTTTATTTTCTTCTTCTATCTTACTTTCCTGTGCCTTGCTGTTTTACCTGTTTGGATTGTCCCGAACAAAATCAACAGTGTTACTATACCTCTTTTCACCTTCTATGTTAACACTTTTATTTCTTTTCCATCCTCAACTGTCCCAAGTGAAGTTGAGCATTCAATCATCTGTCTAAATACTCTGTATCCCTTTTATATCCATCTTTCTCTTTATTATCATCTTTCCTACCTAAACTCATACTCCAGAATTACATTTGTAATTCTTCTTTAATATATTTTATTCTTATTTTCTGACCAAGTTGCATACATAACAAACTCAACACGTATCAGTAGGAAATGATAGAATTTATATCTCCCACCTTGTAACGAGTTACAAACACATAACTTTTATAGTCAATAGAATGCCTGTTTTAGCCTATTAGTTTATAATGACTATGGGTAAATGAGTTTGAATTGAAGGCTAATTTAGGCAAGTAGGTGATTAGACAGAAGTTTGAACTTATGAAAGATAATATTTTTTTGAGAAGAGATGATGGGTATTTATATGAGTAGAAGATGGGCAGAGATACAGACAGAAAATAATAGAGAAGAATGTTATGCAATCGTATGTATCTACTTGCAGTAGTCTTTTATTACTGCAAACAGTACATCCTATTGGAGGTACAATATCTTAACCTTCGCACAACAACTGGGGGCTTAGAGGCAAGTGTCCTCAATTGCCGATGGAGCTGTGTGAGCATGGAAGAGCTTAAGTCTGTGGGCATGAACATTGTGGAGGATTCTATTAGTAGAGACGTGGAGGGGGAGCAGAGAGTAACAGTTGCCAGAGATCAGAGTGATACAATAAGGCTCTTTCCAGGTGCAAGTGAGTTTTCCAGCCTTTTGAGATTGAGAGAGAGGCTTGGAGAATAGAAGGACTTCTTGGCCCACCTGGAAGTCAGGCAGCTTCTGGAGCTTGCTGAGTGTAAACACGTTTGAGATGTGTGATTGTAAGTTAATTAGTTGAGCCAAGTCCAGAGCCAAGAACAAGGCAGTCTTGATACCGGAGGTGTAGTCAGTTGGGTTTGTCTGTTGGGGATCTTGTGCTATAGTAGCTGGGATTCTGGCTTCACAGCCGTGGATGAGAAAGAAAGACAAGAATTGTGTGAATGCATGGACAGATGAGTTGTATGCAAGTTGAAACAGTCTCAGATGGTAGTTGCAGGTGAAGTGTATAGTGCTTTGATCTGTGTAACAGAGGATCATGTTTCTCAGTGTGGCCATAAAATGTTCTACACACCTACTGACATTTCCTTCATTAATAGTAATATCTAATGGTACAGCTGTTTCTATTGGTTTAGAGTTCCAATTTTAAGTTGAATATGTTAAGGCTCAGATTTGGGTATACGGGTTTGATATAAATGAGCCAAAAGTAAATTAGTGTAATGTTTTAAGTGTCATGATAAAATTTTAGATGGTACAAAAATCTGAAATGGGGGGAGAAGTGAAGAGAGCTGGAAAAGAAGAGATTTTATTAGACAAACCCCATTAAGAAAAAAAATTTTTTTTTGATAAGTCATTTTTTTAATAGATTTTTGCAATGTTCATCAACGTCCACCAGAACATGCCGAATTTTGCAACATTGCAGAACTTTTGGTTATTGAAAGACTCAATGGACAAGTGAATATCAACAGTGTGAACGATGCTGATGTCATCTTTGTTGACTTTGACCAGGCCTCCAAGGGGCAGAACTACAATATTATTGTAATTGTCTGTTACTATGGCTGGGGTATAGATGCAATTTCGTAAATCTTAAGGGACAGGGTGTTACACAAGCTTATAGTGAGTAGTCCGGCAGATAATTAGAGGCATGACTACTTTTAACTTGTCCGGCAGACATCCATTGTTTCTGTATGTAACACCCTGTCCCCCAAAAAACAGTCACCTCCTGTCCTCATCCAGTATAATCACTTGTCTTTATTCATTAAGAAAAATCATGCAAAAGTGGAAGAACATTTGTCCATAACTTTTCATTTTCATTTTTATTTATTTTTAAAAAATTCATAACTCGTTCAAAAAAATAGATAGAAATATGAGAGTAAGATGGTTGGTTTTGTTGATTTTTTCTGCATAAAGTGAGTATTTGTTTGTTTTGTAATATTTTTTGAATCACGTTTAATGAGTGAATTACAAAAGTTCTGTAATTTCATTTGTGAAAGATTGAACAAAAAAACAACAATTTGAAAATATTAGTAAAAATCACTTGCAAATGCTTTATATCAATAGAAAATAGTAAAAAAACGTTTCAGTAAAAGTTTTAGACCATCTTATTATGTAGAAAAGATATTTATTAGCAAAAACAATTATCTCGAATGGTTAAAAACGTGAAAAAAAGTGTATATTTTGCTTGTTTATTCAACCAAAACATAATAAATTAACTTCAAATTTTGGATATAGAGATGTATGTATTTTTACAGCAATATGGCAAAATATCCAAGCTTTAGCATTCGAATTAAGACAGAAATCTATCAAAAGCTATGTGTCGTTTTTGTTTTACATCTTTTATGGTAAAATTCACATCTGTGATTGGATGAAGATCTTAATCAGATTGCTTATAAATGCACAGACTTTGTACTCCAAAAAATAATAGCCAATTATATAGTCTTCCAATTAGTTGGATGCTAATAATATTTGTATCTGGGTTTTACATGTAACATTAAAATTAAAGACAGACTGGGTGCAATTGTGTTTGTTAAAAAATTAAAGAAAAAAATAGGAGTAAAGTATATTAAAAGATAGATAGATAGATAAGTTATATATATGTGAGATCAATAATATTGGAAGAATTTACAGGAGAATGTGTAGAAGAGTTAGTGGCAGTAGTAGTAATTGTAGTAGTTGTAGTAGTGGAGAGTAAAAGATAAGACTTGTTCTTTGGGAACTGACCCCAATGATTCCAACTTGTGGAAATGCAGTCAATAATACTCCCTCTATGGATAGCATCAAAATACAGCGCATTTACCTCAGGCCAGGACCGATGTACATGAGGCTTCACTTTAATTTTTGTCCAGTGGCACCCATGTACATGGTGCAAGACCATTGGCAATAGCTTTCTTTTGAGAGGCGTCCGATCATGGAGGGGAAGGAAAGTTACAGGCAAGACTCTCCGATTGTCTGAGTACACACAAACAGGCTCATTATAGATATCAGCTATTATCTGAGCACAGTCTGGTGCAGAGAACCACATAGAGGAAGGACAAGATGGGATATTTTCCCCAAGAGCAGGGTCAATATCGGAGCCAAAGGCAATGACCTCTGTCACTTTGGCAACATACATGCCAAAGTTGTGCTTATAAAGCTTACTGTGGGTTGCTATCGTGGCCAACGTCTTCTTCTTCACCAAAGGAAACTGATCTTCTCCACCCTCTTTCAGGTGTGCAAATACACAGAAACCGCACCAACCATCAGACTTGGGGTTAAACATCAACGAAATAGTGGCTTGGTCGATTTGAGCAGGCAGAGCAAAGTCATGCACATTTTTGTTTTGTTTTTTTGGACTAGGCAAATCGTACCAGTAGTCGTCTTGGAGATGTTTAGGTCTTTTTATTCCAGAGAAATATTTTTCAGCTAAGAAGAAACAAAAAACAATGTAACATTTAGCATTTAATTTTAGTAAAATATCTTATCGGTTACCTTCTTTGAGAGGCTCTTGCTTTTTAGCAAAATTGGTTGTTTTAGCTATAGAGAAAACATGCAATGTGTGAGCAAACCATACAAAATATTTTGTGATTCATTTATAAGTTATCAAAAATTATCTTCTTTGAGAGGCTCTTGTTTTTCAGCAAATTGGGTTTCTTTTTTATTTCTTTTATGACTAGAAATAGTAAGCATTAAATATTACATTGTAATTTCACAAAAAAAAACAATTATAAATTACTTTTTTTGAGAGGCTCCTCCTCTAAGAACTCCTTCATCACTTCTTTAAGACCTTCTTTCAAAATACTTCTGATATCATTCTAAAGAAATAAAGAATAAATATGTATTAGATTGTGAAATCATGTTTGTGTATGTTGTATGCTTACTTTGTTCTTTTGCACAAGGAGATGTCTGTGCTTGTGACGGACAAAGTCCTTTGGGAGAGCAGTTTTCCTTTTGACGTGCTTAGGTCTTCCAGGAGCTTTGACCTCACTTGACAAAGGAAAGGCAACCTCTCAGTGATCCTTTAAATTACCGGCATTATTTATAAGATCGTTCACCTTTGCCATCAGGTTACAGATTTGTTGTTCTCCTTCACATCGTCTAAACAACTGCTCAAGTTGTGCAATTGATTTCATCCACGGAACTTGTTTCTCAATTGCCACAGTACTTATACTTTCCAATTTTTCTACTTCCTTATTATGGAATGGGAGGGCAGAAGAGAGAACCCATCTTTCAGGAATGTCTGCAAGTGTGAGGGCCTGATTTTGTGGCTGAATATGGCAGCAAGGGAGACCAAACATAGTCTTTACTCTGCAGTAACAAGCTTCACCAATAATAACCTCTTCAAGAAGTTCAGTGCAAATCGTGAACAATGCCATTCTGGAAACTGAGTGGACCAATCCACAAAGGCGCTCATCAGCAAGGATTCTTGCATTGGTCACCAACTTCTCATCTAGTCTACGATCTTGGTAGTCACCCTCAAATTGCAAGAGATATGAGCATATTTGCTCAAACGAGGAGTCCAAAGACTGGAGAGCTGAGATACTCCTTTTCAGAGCATGATGACCACTCTCAACACGCTGTGTTGTCACACAGTCAAAGTGCTTTAGCTTATTAGTGAGGTAGCCAGCCCACTTCTCTTTGCAGCTCATCCACTCCTTCTCAAAGTACTCCTCAAAACTTTTCACTGCACCTTTTTTACCATCTTCAGACAGTCCTTCAGTCTTGAGATCTTCACAAGAAGCCAACGATCTGAAAAGTTCTCTTTTCTGCATAAACTTGCCAGCATCGTCTCCAAATATCATGCTGTTTATCAAGTTGGTGCACATATTCCTGTCTTCGCCTGCCTTCATAGTCTTCTTTGCCATCTTGGCAATATTATTTATCATGTGCCAACCACAGAGAAGCTTTTTGTTCATGGGGAACTTGGAATCAAGGGCATTCATCAATGCCTTGCACTTGTCTGTAACAAAGATAGGGCTGTCCTCGATTCCCTCCAACACGATTGATTTCAGCAATCTTGCAAACCAGGCATAGCTTGTCTCTGTCTCATCAGAAACCCATGCAAATGCAACAGGAAAGCTCTTCAATCTTTCTCTACCAAGGTTGCTGACACCCTCTACACAGACTAAAGGCATTTTCGCGCAGTTTGTCTTGTAAGTGGCATCCACAATAAGAACCTCAGGAAAACGACGGGCTCTTTTTATCATCGTTGTTGTGGTGGTTGAAGTTGAAGAAGTTTTTAAGAGGAAGAATTCAAGATTTGAAATTAGGAACGAAGATTCGTGAGAACTTGTGTAGGTTTTGTTTATTGAGAAAGATTTTGTATCAAAGTTTGACCAGGTTCCTACACTGAACTACTCCTGCTATTTATATTGTTTTGGATTGGGAAAATTATATGACTGGGGTCAGGTAATCGATCCTATCTGAGCCTTAATCAGAGCAACGTGATCTTGGGATAATTAATGTATGATTAATTATATAAATGTGTGTAGTCCCAATGAAGTATTAACATCGAAAGTAAATGTGTTTATGAGTTATAATTATGCTTATAATAATCCACTGATGTATCCCATATTATGGTGATATCATCATATGAAATATAATCACTATCATGCATGCTAAACCTGTGTGTTAAATAATAAAGTAATCGGTAGACACCTTTGACTGGAATAGCTGAGGCCTTATATTATTTCCTTCAGACTTATTCTCAATTACAGCAGTAGTCAATACTCATTTACAACATTATCCTCCACCAGATTCAACAATACCTTTTGTTGATTCGGCAAAACATCTCATCTTAACTATTTATTAATTTGTCGAATTGCTCAATTTCATTTGGGTCAATTACGCTCATAATTTTTTTTTTTTTTTTTTTCAAGAGATCTGCACTGTAAACTCAGCTCCGTGGATTACGTGTTTATTTTATCAAATTTTTTGTTGCTCTTCTTTTGGACATTCTTTCTTCTCCACTCAGTGCGGTAGGAAGCTTACTTCCATTGTACTCTTCAATGCGATTCCTTTTTATTTTACCATCATGTCTTGGAATTTGAACTGTTTTCTTTAATGAGGCTGCACTCTTATTCACTAATTCCGTGGCTCTCTCATTCTCTAAACGTTCGATTTCTCTGACCTTCTTCCAATACTTTTGTATTATTGTGGGATTGGTAAAATCGTTAGCCATTTGCCATGTGTTTGCCCGTTCACCATAACCAACCCATTTTACCAGATATTCTCTTTCACCAGCAGCACCACGATGATCGCGAATGTCTTCAACTTCATAGAGCTCATTCTCAATTGTAGATTCATCGATGGTAACCATCTTGAGTTCTGAGGGTGTGTAATTTCGGTGCAACAATTCTCCTTGCTCATCCTTTAGTTCATACGATCCTCCTTTATTTCTTCGAACCACTGTATAAGGACCTTCATAGATTGGTGCCAATTTATTTGGACGATGTGGTAATCTGACCATTACGTGTGTTCCTTTGGGGATGTCTATTAAGATGTTCTTGTGATCGTATTTCTTTTTTAACTCTTCGTTGATCCGCAAGACTCTTTCGTTTATGGCAGGGAATATTATTTTATCCATATATTCAATCTGCTTCTCCAATTCATCAATTGTTACCGTGTTTTTGGGAAGAGAGAATTTTGCTTTATCACCATACTCATCAGGTACATTAACTCTGCGAGCATACATTAGTGAAAAGGGTGCACTCAGTGTCTTTTGAGGAATATGTCTGTTTATGCATAGCTGAACAATTGGTAAATAGTGACACCAGTCATTGCTGTTCGCTCTCATCATTTTCCGTACAGTATTCTCTGCAACTTTCACACTGGCTTCAGCAATACCATTTCCTTGTGGATGATATGCCGTTGAATATCTTCGATCAATACCAAGCTCTTTCGATAGGCTTGCCATTAAAGAATTTCTAAATTCCAACCCATTGTCACTTTGCATTACTTTGGGAAAACCATAATCTCCAAATATTTTTATCAATGCCTTAGCTATTGTTGTCGAGTTTTTGTTTGGTAATGGTCTCAAGATGATATACTTGGAACAAACATCAACTAACACTAGCATATACGTGTGACCATCCTCTGATACTGGGAATTCACCGCATAAGTCAATTGCAACATGATCAAATGGTCGGAAAGCTACAACATTGGTCAATGGGTGATATCCTCTTTTGCTGATGTTGTGCTTCTGACATTCAGAGCAAGAACGAATAATCTCCTTTGCTTCTTCATATATATTAGTCCAATGTAATCCTTGAGAGTGAAGATCATTCACCATAGCTTGACTACCAAAGTGACCAAACGAATGTGCTTCTTTTAACAAGCCATTTCGCTTTTCTTCAGGAGGCGACATATAGTCGGAAGTCTCTGATACATTTTCGATGAGTTGTGTAGCAAGTACATTTAGCACTTTGTCCTTACTGTACTTTTTCTTACGAATAATAACTTTATCTTTAGATTGCAAGTGTTTTGTTCTGATTTTTCTCAATCCATCATCCTCCACCAGCTTGTAACTATCCTCTGGAGGATACAAGCGACTCAACAAGTCTGGTAGTTTATTCAACAAACCAGGAATATGGACCACCTTAAAATCAAAGTCAAGAAGTGTCTCAATCCAGCCAATTATCATGGGATTAGCAATTTTTTGTGTGTGAAGATAAGTGAGTGCTTTATGATCAGTAAAAATGGTGAACTGTCGGCCCCATAGAAATGGACGGAATTTATCAAGCGCCAAAACGACTGCATACAATTCTCTTTTGGTGGTACTCCATCGCCGTTGGGATGGGCTCAGGGAAGTTGACACAAAACTAATATACTTATCACGCCCTTGATCGTCGCGCTGAAAAAGCAGGCAGGCTACTCCATAAAGGGAAGCATCTGTGGCCACATACATTTCACGTGACATATCTGCGTAATGAAGAATTAAATCCTGATGCAGTATGTCCTTTAATGCTTTAAAGCTTCTTGTCTGCTCATCTGTCCATAGCTCAGCTACATTGTTGGCATGACTTAATCGTGAAATAGGTTCAGCCACCTTCGAGATCATGGGAATATAGTCTCTGAAGTAATTAATCAAACCCATAAATTGCTGAATTTGTTTCGCAGTTTTAGGAATAGGCCATTTATCAACGTTTGTCAACTTTCGCTTATCAACCTTGGTGCCTGTCTCATTGACGACAAAACCAAGCAATCGCACTGAATGTTGAAACCAGACACATTTATCAGAGTTTAGAATCAACTTCGCCGATGTCAATCTATCAATCACTATTTTTACATCCTTAACATGCTGCTCAAATGTTTCGCTAGCCACAATACAATCATCAACAAAATTCTGCACACAGTCAATTTTATCAAACAAAGTTGCCATGACATGTTGAAATTGTGATGTAAGCATCTTCAAGCCAAAGCAGCCTTTAATGAAGCTATATTGTTGCCCATCTAAATGAGTGAATGTTAATTTATGAACATCTTCAGGTGCAACTTTGAAACGATGGTAGGCATTCGATAAATCCAATGTGGTGAAAAATTTCTTTCCACTCAAATTCTGGAATATCGTTTGGATTTTAGGAATTGGATAGTTGAATGTGGGAGGTAGGATCTGATTCAATAATCGCACATCTAGACAAACTCGGTGACTCACAATCTCTCCAGCTTTGTTTCTTTTAGGCACAAGCAACATAGGACTGTTGAAGGAAGTATTGGTCTTGGACTTGACAATCGTGCCTGTCTCAAGCCATTCTTTTACTTGTTTATCAAGTGTTGGTCGTAGAGCATGGGGAATAGGATATTGACGTCTATAAGCTGTGGCGCCTTCTTTTGTGGGTAATCTAATTAGAGATTCTGATAAAGGACAAGAGGACTCGACTGGGATTTTCTTATTTTCATCCAGTGAGGCCTGAATTGACTGAATAAATTCTGCTCGCTGTATTTCCGTACCAGCTGGCGAATTATCCGGTTCAAACTTTTTCTCTTTATCGATATTTAGATTCTCATACACAGCGGCATAGTCTTTAGCGTTATCTGAATGAATATATTCTCCTTCGATATCGTATGCAACATTAATCAATCCGATGTTCATTTTTGTTAAGATATCTCTTCCAAGAAGAATATCAAAATTAAATCCTGTATTAAACTCTAACACCTCGGGTGCATGCTTAAACGTAATTCCATTCACATATTTAAAATTTAAAGGATCAGTTTTTCCCAATCGCTTAGTACCACTATTCTTTGACAAGAAAGTGAAGGAACCATTTGATGAATTTATTTTATTTATATTTAAATTTTCATTCAAACATTGTAAACTAATGAAAGTGCGTGCACTGCCAGTGTCAATCATTCCAAGTAGTTTGTGGTTCTCTACAATAATAGGAGTGGTTAGATTAAATGCATCATTGGCTTTAACCCTTCTCTCAATTTTGTCAAGTAGGTACTTACAGTCGAAAGACATGTCTTCGAGTTCCAAGTCGACACTGTCTTGGATCGCCTTGAGCACTTGCTCAGACTTCTCCTTGGCAGGGACCTGCGAGACCATCAGGACTGGCTCACTGTCCTTACAGACGTGGCCACGGAAGTAGTTTTCTCCACACCGCCTGCAGGGGTTGCGCTTGGTGGGGGCAGCTACTTTGGCCTTGTTGTTGGCCAGGGTGAAGCATTTGCTCGACTCATGTGTAGTATTCTTACCATGGTGCGAGCAGAAGAAGGAACGCTCCGGCTTACTGATTCGGTGCTGCTGGTTGTTGCTGGAGTGCACCTTCTTGCGAGGGTACGCCTCCATTCTCTTCTTCTCCATTCTCTTCTCAGTGTGCATGTTGGCACCAGGAATGAGCTGGGTAGCTTCGGCATACATGCGATTGTCGTCGCCAAGGATGTCTCTGCCAATCTGCGTCAACTGCTCCACAGTCCAATCTCTTTTGGTCTCGCCATTGAAGTCCAATCTGGTCATGGTGAGCCGCAAGAGTGTCTGTACTTGCCTAGTCAAGGAAGCGAGGAAGCGGTCGGCAACACGAGCATCGTTTTTGGGGAGGCCGGCATCATACACAGCCTGAAGGAACTTCTTGGAGTAATCTCCAATCGACTCAGAAGGAAGCATTACCATGGTAAATACCTCTTTTACCGAACGGGATGTCACCAAGCGCGATCCATGTCTTGCTGTAAAGCAGATCTTGGCCGCGTTCCAATCTACACACTTCTTCAAATCCATCTCTACCCATCCATCGTCACTATGAGGCAAGCAGAGCGGCAAAAATCTCTTCCAAACTAGTTCAATGTCCTGAAGGGACGACTCAATAACCTTTTGGAAGGTGCGAAGGAAGTGGTCTACTGAGTGAAAGACCTCTTCATTCGGGAAGGATCTAATCACATCGTCTGCCAACTGGAACTTAGGAAGATCTCTTCTATTAAGAGTCAACCCTCCAGTGCGACTGCTCTTCTCTACAACTTTCACAGAAGGCGAAAGGTACTGACTGCATGCTATTTCTATATCTATCATTTCTTTGACGCGTCTGACCTTATTAAGGGCTAATTCAGCTGCTTGCTCATCGTTCATAGCGTGAGCAGCGCTGACAGCCTCCACATGCTGTTGAAGTTCTAGTCTAAGTTTCTCTGACAAAGACAAGACTGTTGTAGCAGCATTCGCTACCAAGGGACGAAGGGGAGAGGGAGCAACAAATTGTCCAGGGGTGGAGCTGGCAAAGGAGATGTTGTCACTCAGACTGGCGATGAGGTCCTCCTCAGTCATGACGGACATGGCATCCTCATCATGAGCAGGGATGATGGCGGCGGGATAGTTCTCAGCAGAGGGGTTCATGGTAGTTCACGAAAAAAAATGTTGTGGTGGTTGAAGTTGAAGAAGTTTTTAAGAGGAAGAATTCAAGATTTGAAATTAGGAACGAAGATTCGTGAGAACTTGTGTAGGTTTTGTTTATTGAGAAAGATTTTGTATCAAAGTTTGACCAGGTTCCTACACTGAACTACTCCTGCTATTTATATTGTTTTGGATTGGGAAAATTATATGACTGGGGTCAGGTAATCGATCCTATCTGAGCCTTAATCAGAGCAACGTGATCTTGGGATAATTAATGTATGATTAATTATATAAATGTGTGTAGTCCCAATGAAGTATTAACATCGAAAGTAAATGTGTTTATGAGTTATAATTATGCTTATAATAATCCACTGATGTATCCCATATTATGGTGATATCATCATATGAAATATAATCACTATCATGCATGCTAAACCTGTGTGTTAAATAATAAAGTAATCGGTAGACACCTTTGACTGGAATAGCTGAGGCCTTATATTATTTCCTTCAGACTTATTCTCAATTACAGCAGTAGTCAATACTCATTTACAACAATCGTCTCATTTGTAAAGAAAATATGCGTGAGGCTTTTTCTCTCATTGAATTGATAAAGGACGGAAAATCCCTTTGCTTTCATAGTTCTTATGAGCCCAGTAGCACCGTGAATTGATGATTCACCACCACAAGAAGAGCTATACTTCAGGTTGTTGATATTGCTAATTCTCAGCTTTCTCATTCCTGTGATCTTATCTCTTGTAGCTTTCTGAATATCACGAGTCTTGGCATGGTTTTCTAGCATTGTCTTTGCAATAATTGCATCTTCCAAAGTCAGGAGAGACATTCTTCCCTGGTGAGAAGACGCTAAGTTGTTTGGGGTGATGGGGTGGTTATGACAATGTTCATTGTCACCGCGGGCAGGCAAGGGAAGGTATCTCTGACTCTTATTTTTAAAAGAAAATCTCAATAGGAAGGGGCATCCAGTGAGAGAAGAGTTAGGGGCCTTCTTTCTTTTATCCTCGCTGATGTTACACTTATCACAATAGGCACCAGCCTTTGAACAAGCAAGGTGAAGTGTTGGAAACTTTACATCCTTAATTTTGACGGAAAAGTTGTTAGAAAGGGCGTACTCGTTTACGGCCTCCAAAACGCTTTGTTTGTCAAGATAATCATTCTCGGGGAATGAGAGAGTTGTTTTAAGCGAGTACATCTTCTCAATAGGGGTATTGAAGTTGATGTTCATATTTAATAAAAGAGCACTGTAGTTATATAAGTATTTTTATTGATTCATGTACGCAATGTACGCAATATATGCAATGTATGCAATGTACATAACGTAAAAAAGGCATCATATCTTGTTATTTGGAAATATTATTTTTTATTCTTACAACTAAATGTTAATGACTTTAAGAAAGGGGGTGTTTTTATTTTTCCCGGGAAATTGGAATGATCTAAAGATGGGGACAGGGGTGTGCTTATAACGATGGAGCAAGGTGTGCTTATAAATGATGGGGACAAGGGTGTGCTTATAAAGAATGGGGATGGAGAGTTCTTCAAGACACTTTATAGCCGGGCCTCGGACTTGCAGTCCCCTTAAATTGTGCGGTGCCATTACCCCCTGTCCCCTAAGATTGCTGATGCAATTTACATTGCTGCTCAGAATAATTTGATAGTTTTGCATAAAGAACACCTTCCTCATTCTGTCTGCAGAGTCTCTTGCTTGAACGATCTTTACCTGACCAAGGAATAATTGACTATTTGATTGAAAAACACCTGCAAGTGTATCACACAAAGTGGGAGTCAACAACCCGGAATTGTCACTGTTGACACAAGAATCAAAGAAATAGAGATTAAAGCCTGGGAGCTTGACAAAATCACCAATTGAACTTCTTACAGATCTTGTTCCATTACCAGCTGGTCTCTCTATGATATATGATCCTCTATTACAAAGACGCCAACAGACGAATTGCTTGTCAAATCTTGTAGCAACGTCTCGAGAGGTGGAATGGTGGTTGGTCTTAAATAAATATTTGCAGATAAACTTATTGAACTGTTCACCATTTTCAGTTTCGTATTGCAGCATGGAACCAAAACAAACAATGTTGTCAGTGATATGATGCAGAAGGTGGACTTTTGGCTTGAATGTGAAGACTTGCTTAAAAAAATTCTTTTTAGAGAATCTGGACATTCAGTTGAAAAAGCAGATATGTTACATCAGTGACAGTGTGTTTTATCTGGGCAATATAGTAGTCAAAGCACTGGTTGACTCCACACATGTACACCAAAGACAACACGCAGCCTAATATATACAAGGCTTTAATGAACAAACTTGCCAATAGTTTGTCACTAAAGAGCTTGCTCATAATTCCAGGTAGAACTTGAATCAATTCCTTGAAATCGCATCCAACAAACAAACGAGTGTGGCAAAGTTTGTTACTGAATGTTTAGCTGTAACTCTTACAAGACTTGTGAGAGTTTAGAGCTTCCTGGAGTCTTCCTTTTTCACTTGTAGTCAGAATCTTCTGTTTTCAGAGAAAAGTCATCAAGTATTTCATCAGGCCAAGAGGAATAATGTGGAGAATTTCCACAGACATGTCTTTGGTAGAGTCGAAGGCTTCAAGTCTAAGAAATTTCTCACTTCCATTCTTGATATAACTCAATTCGCACCCATTGACATATAGCCCTGACTGGGAATCAGCATTGGCAAAGACACACAAGAAATCTCTCATTCTTTCTTCTGACCCACAGTGATCAACTGCAGAATATGGCAGAGTGTCAGAGATGGAACCCTGTTCAATAAGAGGCAAAGGTATGAGGCATTTTCGGCAAAACTTCTTAGTAAATGTTCTCATGCATGGCAAGCTGAGATTGACTAGAGTTGTCACCCATAAACAGTAACAGGGGCACAGCAACAAGAACAACTTCACCATGATCCTCAGAATACATCTCAATACCTTTCTCCAGCCTAACGAGATCATCACCGGTAGGGGGCAACATCTCAACAGCATTCAGTGTATGATTCAAAGTACAAATAAAAAGAGCATTTTCTCATTTGTTTCTTGTCTCAAGTGGCAACGTAGCAAAGTACATTAAGTAACTGTCATACTTGTTGTACTGCTTTGTTAAATTACCGGAGGTATTATTAGAATAGAGATTAAGTGGGCAGACAACTACTTTCATCAAACCAGAGCCTGGAAGTCTTCTCTTGAATTCTTCAACACAGGATTTGTTGAGCCACAAGTCAGATTGAACACCAGTAAGAGCATAGGTGACAATTTTGGCAGGGCAATAAGAAACAGAGAAACCACGTCTGAGGAAAAGATCGCTGTCTTTTTGAACAGTAGACATAATCCTATCAACTTCAATGGTATACTTCAGGGTAGAGACAGCAAAGTTTGTAGAGTTTCCAAACCGCAGGAAGTGAGTATCATCAGGATGGTTCAGCCAAGGATTGTGGCCACCATAAACCTGGAACGCATTGGCAAGTATGGATCTGTCCTTGATGAAGAACTTCTCAAGAAGATACTGGTTCGGAGAGCCTTGGACTTCGACAACATCACCCACCCAGTAGTCCATTCCATTTAAAGTGATCATCGGATGCTGGAGCAATGGGTTCTCCTTCCACTTTTTGCCTTGGTTGAGATTCAACCGCTGGTTTTCTGTGAAGTCAGGAAGGGCCGAGATTTGAGATGATTTTCCAGGGCATGTCATGGTAAACTTGATGTAATCAGATGGTTTGTTCATCCAAAGTACATGTCGTTCATTGTCTTGGTTCACAACATCGAAACTGGCAGTAGGAAAAACAGGGATCTGGTTCTTTTTCTGCTTGTGATAGTTAATCACAGCATTTGGTGTTGGAAAATCCAGTGCTACTCCAGATTCTTCACAGACGTCCAAGACCATCTTCATGGCAAACATGATCTTCTTGATAGATCTTTCTGAGGCAAGATCTTCATTGCCGTAGAAGAGAGCATGTAAGATAAACTCTACTTTTGATTTAAACGGACGGGTGGGTCCAGTAAAAATGTCAGCAAAGTCATTGGGCCGGTACAATGTCTGTCTGCTGCTGTCTTCGTTTGAGTAGGCATTTATGGCATGAGAAAGAGATTGGAAGGTTCTCATTTCTGCTGCCATTCTAGCGATATGATCCTGGCTATCATATTCTACTCTGGTGTCCGTGTCTTCGTCGTCAGTGGTCTCATCATAGTCATCTGATGAATCACTGTTCAGCAAAAAAAAACAGGTTATTATCTATTTCAATATTGCATTACTAATTTTTACTTACGATAGAATGTGATCATCACTATATTCGTCTTCGTCAGAGATTTCATGGCCATATGTGTCCTGAGGGTTTTCAATAATAAATTCCATTGGGGCAGGTTCATTATTACTGTTCAGGTTGGTAGTGGCAGTGGTAGTGGCAGTGGTAGTGGCAGTGGTAGTGGCAGTGGCAGTGCTTGCAGAAGAAGAAGGGCCATCAAACATAGCAGGTCTAATGTTAAGGTATGCTCAATTTCAGCTTTACATTACATAGTATTTTTCATCCTACTTTTAGGATTAACTTACCTTCTTTTTAGAAGTTTCTCATACTCCCCCATTTCGTTTGGATGTTTTTTCGTATAATGTCTTCTGAGGCCTTGCAAGGACCCTAACACTCTTTCGGTTTCGCAGACGGTGCACACAAATGTTCGGTTGTCTGTAGCCGTCGGTGTGAGGAATGTGTTCCTCTTTGTTGTGAAGTGATTTTCCATGTTTAAAAATCTTTGGAACGAAAGATGTAGAAAAGCGTAAACTAATTCGAGGTACCATATCTTTAATCATGCAAAAAATGACTGCTAAAAAAATCATGTGAAATAATGTGAGCTAATTTTTTTTTGTTTACTTGTTTCCTTCTTTTTCTTTTTTTTTCTCATGACTGAAAGGTAAGTTTCAAGCGTAATCTAACAAGATGATAGCGTCCATCATACCGAACACCCTCAGTAAGTAATATATTTATTATGCCCTACTTCATATTGATACTAATATATATTTTTTTATTAGATTCTATGGAGATTCCAACATGAGATTGTATTAGGAAGTTACTTCAAACTATGCCAAGCTGTCTGTTGTGGTATTATAAGGTATCTGCTCCTAAGATAACTAAACAATCAGTCTTCTCCTTTACTTTTGTTAATAACTTTACCCTCATCTCTTTAGATAAGTCTTATATATTGTGGTATTTCAGGTACGAAACAATAGAAAAATAAAATATTTGAGAATAGAGACGTATAGAAATACTTTGAGACTGTATATAAGTTGTCTTTATTCATAAATAAAAAGTGTCCCTTTTTATAAGAAAACACAATCTGCTCTTGTCATTACGTCTTAGTTTCTTAAGGCTTTCTTCCTTTACTATATTTGGTTATTAGAGTGTATTTACTGCTTAACTAGTGTCGGTGTTACAATTATGACATCAAGTCATAAATCGTACTTCTTTAGCTCTTAGCTATTCTTTTCTCTTTTATACTAGAGCTTTAGGACTTCCTACTAAATTAGCTCCATATCGATCTGACACAGTTTACCTGGCAGTATGATATAATTATCTTAACAATCTTTAAGATATTATCTACAGTACTAACTGTAATAATTATTGGGCTGATTACTTAATCGTTTATATATATTTTATACTGACAAGATGATAGCTACTACGCTATCCCAATATGAATATGTTCTTATATGTGATAAATCCAACATCCGAGTGTCTGGATCACCACATATAACATTGTCTATCTAGTATAAAAAAGTAATTTACTATATTATTTACTTCAAAGATCATAACATAAATACTTTGTTTCTGTTTAATAGTCATTCTTCTTTACTTTTACTATGTCTATCTCCCAATCTATTGCATAAGAGAGGCTGCTACACTAGACTAGCTGCTAGTATATATAATGTGTAATTCTAGTACAATTTTTTATTGAAACCAAGATAAAAACATTTTTTTGAAACATTTTTTTTGAAACACATTTTTTGAAGTCCTATAATTGCAATTATTGGACCTCCCATTTTTCAGATTTTTTGTATCCATCCTTTTTTCCATTCACAGTAAATTTGAGCAGAGACTTCATATTCCACTTTAACAAATTTTGTATCTACTTATTTTCTTGCACGCCATTTAAATTACTTGGGGGGTCTACTTTTTTATGTCACAAGGGGCTTTAAATTATAAAGATGTGTAGAAGCAGTGACAGCTTTTACTTTTATTGTTTCTTTTGGAATATTAATATTTTTTTTACATTTTTTTCTCTTTATCAAACATATTATTATAGAACATAATTGTAATTTTTTATTATCTTTGTGTATTAAGATTTCTAAAGTGGAAAGAGTTTGCATTTCTAAGAGTATCTATACAGTTCATTGCTTCCCCAAGTAAATCACTAATCACTTGTAATTCGGCTTCATCAATTCCTGGAACATCTATCAACTGCTCTAAGTCTTCTCTTTGATAATGAAGTGTTGTATTCTGGGCTATGATTCTTTGCAACCAAACAGAATTGTTTCTACTATTTACAACAACTGTATTTGTTTCATTTTCAACTTCCTCATTAACAACTGCCACTTCATGCTCAGATGCAAGCGATCTTTGCAGTTGGAGGTGGTTGTTTTCCCTTTGAACTGTATACGCAAAGTCTAGACCAATAAATCTCTTTAGGAGATGTGCGTGTTTACAGAGAATTTGACGTGAAGCAAAATTAAGACAAGTGCAATTTTGTATCAAATTGTTTGGTACATTAACCTGATACCATTGTGTTTCATCTGTAAATGACTTTACTGTCCACTTGCCATTAAAGTCTTCCATGCTATTGCCAATCTCATTAAAAGGATTAATGATTATGAAAGGGAGCATGTCATCTTGTATGGTATTGGCAGAAAAAGAGTGTCAAGCAAGTTCATTTTCAATCGGACCCATTTGTCCATTTTGTATGTAGATTCGTTCCACTTCTTCATTGTAAAAAAACTCCACATCGTTTGTCAAAATAAAGACAAGACAGTCCAATCGTCTTATGCAAGTATGGCCAAAGTATATTGTTTTCAATTGGTTGTGCCACGATTCCATGTAATTGTTTGTCAAATATCTTTGGTGGTCATTTGCAACATATGGCCTTCCCCATCTTCTCAACAATTCTTCTGTTCCAATCCATTTACGTTTGAAATAAGCCAGGAATTGTTGCTGACTTTGTATACAAAGCCTAAACTCCTGGATTTTTCTCAAAAATTCATTCTCATCTGATTCAATAAGTATATTTTTCAGATTGGCCTTGAGCTCATACTTGTATTTGCCAAGTTGTTCTGATGTGTATGAAGCATCAAGCTTTACTTTGCTGTCTAAATTATGCTACTAGGCATGCAAAACATGAAACTTGCAGAAATGAATGATGGTCTGTGGCAATGCTGCTGTAATTGCATTAACTTCAGCAATACTACAATTGATGGTAATATATAAGGGAGTGAAACAGCTTTTCTCGCAAAGATGTACAAGTCATTGATTAATAGGGCCAACACTATGATCGTTTGTAATCATGTATGCAACAGGAGACCCTTTTCCAGTATCAGAATGGCGAGTAATAAACGAGTATAATATTTCAATGTTGCATGCAGAGATGTTGTGTATTGCATCAAGACAAAACGACTGGGAAATTCTCATAAGCATCATTTGAGATGGTGATTGAAATCCAAACGCAAAATGCTGTGCTTTGTTGCTGTATGCAGAAAGATTGCCAGTAAAGATACAGTAGTTCTGTGATAGTAACTTCTCACGCATCCAAATATTCAGAGACTTATTTTCATCAGAATGAAACTTATACAGTAAATTCTTCATCTATATTTTTTATTTAACACTTTTTAAATAACTTTTCTCTTATAGTATTATTCACACATCTTTCTCATTCTGTTATAGATGTCTTCATAATTGGGCTTTCTAATGTCTACGCCTCACTCTTCAATTTGTTTCAAAGCTGAAATTCTAGTATTTCTATAGGTGATGCACTCTTTTAACTGATCTTCAGTAATTTTGATGGCCTCAGAAGGTAAAAACAATATTCTAATTTCAGAAGCATTGCCAGGAACATGGTTGGTATGATCGTTTGTTATATAAATTAAAACTACTTCAGGGTTGTTGACATATTGCTTGATGAAAATAGTGGCTTCGCAATAACAAAGCTTAGTGTCTTTCTGAGCAAGACAAACATTTCTGTCTGATATATAAAATCTTGCTTGGTGACATTTTTTGTCTCTCCATACATCAGTTCTTTTGCACAAAGTTTTCTACATTTATTTCATGTTGTGATGATTGAAGTTTTAAGAAGTTGTAAGAGGAAGAATTCAAGATTTGAAATGAGGAATGAAGATTTGTGAGAACTTGTGTAGGGTTTGTTCATTGAGAAAGATTTGGTATCAAAATTTGACAAGGTTTCTACACTGAACTACTACTGCTATTTATATTGTTTTGGATTGGGAAAATTATATGACTGGGGTCAGGTAATCGATCCTATCTGAGCCTTAATCAGAGCAACGTGATCTTGGGATAATTAATGTATGATTAATTATATAAATGAATGTAGTCCCAATGAAGTATTAACATTAAAAGTAAATGTGTTTATGAGTTATAATTATGCTTATAATAATCCACTGATGTATCCCATATTATGGTGATATCATCATATGAAATATAATCACTATCATGCATGATAAGCCTGTGTGTTAAATAATAAAGTAATCAGTAGACACCTTTGACTGGAATAGCTGAGACCTTATATTATTTTCTTCAGACTTATTCTCAATTACAGCAGTAGTTAATACTAATTTACAACAGATACAATAGTCAATTAAAAAACTATAAGACAAACAAGAGAGACGGGTTTGAAGGAACCTTTATGTGTAAATACTTTGAGGATGCATATAAATTAGATCTTGCTTATACAGTACTCCCACTCATTCACTACATTGCACCATTCCTTGATATACGAGCTCATTAGTTCAGTTCCAACTCTTGTCACTACTATTTCCATCCTTGCCACATCTTACTCATTGACTGCTTCTGGTTTCAATTTGAAGAACTTTCTTGATTCTGCTGTTGTGACTATTGACAATGTAAAGGGTAATGAGCTATTTCCTCCATCTGTCTTTTCTTTCAATCTTAGAAAGTTTATGCCAATGGAAGAAGATGAGTATGCTCATCTACTTGAGTACTACAAAACAGCATACAACAATACTTCACTGAAAAGTTACAGGCAGGCAGTCTTTGGTAATTTTTTTATGAACAATATTATTCACAAAATTTCATCAATCAATCTTTTTTGACAGATTTACAAAGGTAGTAATGATATAGTTTGACAGGGTTTAATAATGTAAGCAATGTTTCATGAAAACAATGGCCATGAAATGAGTGCCTTTACTGGCCAAATTCAATATCTTTTTGTCAGTGACATCATCAATCTTGTGACATACCAAGCAGATAGGCATGTATTTGCTTATGTTAGATGATATAAAACAGCAAGTCAAGATACACAAAGTAATCAGTACATTGAGTTAAATGAATTTACATTGACAAGAAGTGACTTTTAGAACATTTTACCTGTTTATCGAAGCTTGATACCTGCTGCAATTGGTGTACATACAACTGTCACTGGTAATATTTGCATGCTAATAGCCCCATTATTTAGAAAAGTGTATGCATAAACAGATATATATATCTATTTATCAATTTATTATTAATACATTATCAAGAAAATATTTGTTGTCTATATATAAGTTTTTGAAAGTGGAAAATTATATCTTATTTATTGACTTTTAATAGTCCATTGAGCTAATGGAACTTCTAAATTGACTGGTACAGCTGCGTCATGTATAGTCCAAACACATGTGATCTTTCTTACAGCTCTTTTCTTTGCCTTCAAAGAGGAATAATTGTCAAGGGAAGTAAAGAGCTTTTGGAGCTATTTAATTTTTAATTATATGAGTTAATTCTCTGTTATACTTTAAATCTCTACAAAAATATATTATCTCAATACTTCTCCAACTAGAACAATAAGCCATAAGAGTTTTGTTTCTTGCAGAATCCTTGTTATCAGACTCTTCATCAGACATGGTGACTTTCTGGATAGCATGGGCACAGTCAACTCTATCCATAAACTTGTCAATTGCATCTTTGTTTTCTTTGTATGCAAGTTCACGCCAGAGTAGAAGCTGAAAATATATTAAAAATTGTAAGTGACATAATATATCTATATATTAAATGAATGACTTACTGCCACATCACGCTGACGTGTTCTTGTGGCAGTGTTTTTCCTTCCTGTGGTTTTGGTGGATCTGCAAGACTCAGGCACTTGGTTGCTGAAATGGTTTTTTACCATACCTTCAAGAACATGCGTAGCCATCCCAGTAGAACAGGGCTGTCTCTGCAAGTACGCGCTCATAGCTGATGCAAGACCACAGTTATCACTACTCATTAAGTAGCTTGTCATCACCCATTCTGACTTTGCACCATTTGCAGCAATTTCTTTTGTATTGTTGCTAGTAAAGTTTTGCGTCTTAACATGGTTCTTAATAAAAGTCTACAAGAGTAGTGTTAGATGGTTTTATCATTTTTTAAAAAAAAGACTTACTGATATTTCTACACATCTTCTTCCATCAAAGATGAAAAACCACTAACAAGTTCAGTGCTTGATGTAGTATTACATCTGGAAGCAACATCGTGAATGACAGTCTGACCAGCGAGGATATTGGTCGCAGTCTTCTGAAGGCAAGTCATGGTCTGGTTGGATAAAGTGATATCACCAGTCATGAGTAAAACCTGGTTTGCCAGACCTTCTAATTGGTTGTTCATTGTGCTCATCATCAAAATCAATGAATCTGATATACTTTTGGTAGCCTGACTATGAGTTGACATCATAGCAGTCATTGCATTATCAGGTAGCATGAAGTTGCTACTACCTGGTGCAGCACTGTGTGCAATAGCAGCATACATAAAGTTGTTGAACAAATAGTCAGCAGATGCAAAATTGTTCATTTTCTATACATGAAAAAACTTTAATATCGATTGATATTATCAAAGTAAACTTTATAAAATTTGGTGGGTCTATACATACAAATAAAAAGAGGAAAGGGGAAGGGATAGTAATTCAATAGGTTTTGCATCTTATTTATCAAAAAAATATCTTCTTTATTCATGTTCAAATACTTTGGTTTTAACTCAGAGGAGTATATAGGTTGGGTGCACAAGCTTATATCTTCATTTAGAAATTTATATTCATCCAGCTTGTTTCTTTTGCATTATTATATATATATCACTCACAATTTATTATAATTCTGGTTTTTTATAATATGCTTAGAAAACCAGACTCCGCTAAGAAAGAATTCATTCTTTTCCATGTATCTTTTGCAATTCTTATTATTTTAACATACTTCTTGAACACACTAAGACGTCTGTTAAAGAAGTACAATATACTATAATTTTAGCTATAATTATGGTGTTGATAAAAAGGTATATCAAGTTATTCTGAAAATTGAGAGTTCGATTTTTTTCAGTAGGGGGCAAAAAATTAAAGAAGTTGTTTTTTTTTTATGCATATGTTATTTATTTCAACTATATGCATACGTAATACCTTTTGGTACTGCATTATATCTGTGTAACTTATATAGATATCAGGCAAGTATATTCAGATCTTTGCTTTGTTTTTCTCTTTAATTTTCAAATCAACATGGCTCAAATTTTGCAAGCAAAATCTCTTTCTATCGAAGCTCACCTTAGACAGGGCATGTCTGCAGCCAAAGTGGCAGCAATTGTTGGGGTATCTGATACCATGGTCAAAAGACATAGACGAAAATTGGAGATTCCTGCCTTTGAGGGCAAGGGTAGACCTGCCCAAATTAATGCAACACTTGCCCGCCGTATTGTTTGTGCCTTTAAGAATGAGGAATTCTTGACAACAATGGAGGCAGCAGGACAACTGTGCAGTAAGGGATTCACTGTACAGCCTCCAGCAATAAGAACATTGTTGAAGACATCCAGCTTCACCTGTGAACAGGAGCAACCTCTGAAGGTGAAATCAAACCCGCCATTTGTAAGAAGCTCATGGCATTTTCCAGAAACTACATCAATTATACAGTAGAAGACTGGAAGTTGGTAATCTTCTCAGATGAGTTCAAGATCAATCACTTTGAATGTGATGGAAAGAGGTGAAAGTGGAGACTTAAGAAGGCAGTCACCAAAAAAACCAAGAATGCTTCTCCACCTGTCTGTACTGGAGTACACATCATGGTATGGAAATGTTTTTCATCCAAAGGACACGGAAAGATAGTGAAGATCGTGCAGAACATGGACAGCCCAAAATACGTGGCTGTTCTTCAGCAAGACCTTCTGAAAACATTGGAGGAGCAAAATCTGAGCAAGTCAGAAATCGAGTTTTTGCACAATAATGCAAAATCCCACACAGCAGCCAATACAAAGAAGTGGTTGAAGAAAGAGGGGATTGAGGTCATTAACTTTCTACCATATTTGTCTTATCTCGATCTCATTGAAAACCTTTGGGCATACAGTAAGAACAAGCTGTACAAGTATAAGAAGGCTGTCAAGTCTATGAGAGAGCTGCGGGCCCTGTGAAGTTTTATAGTGTTGTAAATGAGTATTGACTACTGCTGTAATTGAGAATAAGTCTGAAGGAAATAATATAAGGCCTCAGCTATTCCAGTCAAAGGTGTCTACCGATTACTTTATTATTTAACACACAGATTTAGCATGCATGATAGTGATTATATTTCATATGATGATATCACCATAATATGGGATACATCAGTGGATTATTATAAGCATAATTATAACTCATAAACACATTTACTTTCGATGTTAATACTTCATTGGGACTACACACATTTATATAATTAATCATACATTAATTATCCCAAGATCACGTTGCTCTGATTAAGGCTCAGATAGGATCGATTACCTGACCCCAGTCATATAATTTTCCCAATCCAAAACAATATAAATAGCAGTAGTAGTTCAGTGTAGGAACCTGGTAAAACTTTGATACAAAATCTTTCTCAATAAACAAAACCTACACAAGTTCTCACGAATCTTTGTTCTTAATTTCAAATCTTCAATTCTTCCTCTTAAAAACTTCTTCAACTTCAACCACCACAACATATAGAATAAAATCAACAGTAAAAAGATTGAGACGTATATAAGAATACTTTGAGACTGTATATAGGTTGTCTTTATTAAAGAATACAAAGTTGTCCTTTTTATATCAAAACACGATCTGCTTTGTCAGTCACATCTTAATTTCTTAAGTCTGAGTTCATTTAGATATTAGAGAGCTGGTACTGCTATGTTTATAATTTAATCTAATTGCAGTGTCCTCATATTAACTCAATGCTTACTGAGCTGTCATAATTACAGTACTTACTGTAATTAATTATTGGTCTTATTGATTTACCATAAGTAAAATAAATAAATTATTCATTTGTTCTTGTAATGATAGCTGTTTTACTATAATAATAGGAATATGTTCTTAGATGTAATAAATCCAACAACCAAGTGTCTGGATCACCACAGGCCCGCTTCCAAAAAGAGTGGGATAGTATTCTGGAAGAGATCTGCCAGAATCTTGTGGCATCAATGCAAAGCAGAATGCATTGATGCATTTTGAAGAAAGAGCACCTTATAAATAAAAAATAAAAAAAAATTGCCCCCTACTGAAGAAAATCGGACTCTCAATTTTTCAGAATAACTTGATATAACTTTTTATCAACATCATATTTATAGCTAAAATTATAGTATATTGTACTTCTTTAACTGACGTCTTAGTGTGTTTAAAAAGTATTTTAAAATAATAAGAATTGCAGAAGATACATGGAAAAGAATAAATCTTTTCTTAGTGGAGTCCAGTTTTCTAAGTGCACTATAATTCAGAAAGATGTTTTCTTTCTTTTTTTCTTTTATCTTTTTTTTATATATTTTTAACACTTGTTACCCAGTAAGTTTATTCTATTATTTTATTATTTTTACTTATGATCTAGTTTACTTACTTATTTCCCCTTGTATGACCATTCAATCTATATGTGTTCATCTATATATAATATCTAATTCGAAACATGTTATGATCTTATATACTCACACATTGTTGTTTTTTATTTCTTTTACACAAAGCTTTAATATACTAGACATAGTATCTATTCAATTCTCTTGGCAATGATATTCTCATGAAATTTGACAGTACGTGTTTATTAAAGTTTTGCACCTTCTATATTTTAATTATTATCTTGTGTTTGATGCTATTATATTTCTTTAACAGAATTTATCCAATCAGTCTATACTATTTTATTATATAAAAAACAGTGTTTAGTAAGTCTATTATGTGTCAATTGCTTGTATACTTATCTTAAATGCATTGTTAATCATAGTATTTCATAATAATAGTTTGTACAGCAAGGATTATATTATTTTTAGATCAGTAAGTTCTTTTCAAGATATTTTCATATAACAATTACATCAAAATGATATTAGCTTGCACATTTTCTTCTGTTTAAAAATTGTTTTCTCAATTTTTTTGTTACATGGCTTTAAAAGCTTGTTATATCTTCATGTAAGCACTAGTATAATAGCTTAAATCAAAGATCAATTAGCAGCATATGCTTAGAAGCATTAATGGATTTAATAGTTTTATAAACAACTATTATACAATCACCATGTTTTTCAAAAAAAAAGTTTCTTTTTCAATCATCCAAAATAAACAAATAAAACCAATTTTTCAACCAAACCAATACAAAAAAAAATTTTAAAATGTATGCTCTCCCACATATTATACATCATAAAGTATACTATCCCACAAATTTTTATTATAAAACTAGAGTTAAATATACAGTGAAAAATGGGGAAAGTATGTCGGTTAAAGAAGTATTTATGTCTGTATTAAAAAGAATACTCTCCCACAGATTATAAGTTTTAAAGTGTACTTTCCCACATATATCAATTATAAAACAGCAAATAATTATATAACAAAATATAGGAAAGTATATATGTTAAAGCAGTATCCATGTCCACTCCTTTTTATAAATTAAATACAGATTCAAAATGGAATATAATACTCATATAATTCAAATGCACAACACAAACCTGTGCAGCATATATTCAAATAATGTTAGCAGACTGAAGAACAATATTGCTATCCACCAGAATAATACTTTCTCTATGATTCTAAGCTTCTTTCTACTTGTTACAAGTATACTAAGTATTTAGGGGGTAACTATGATAGAATCATGTTGAAATCCATGCTTTCAATCTGATATTTGCTTTTTTTCTACTTGATGAAATCATATAATTTTTTCAGTGCACATTGTAGAAGAGGAATGTTACTAGCATGGGTGACCATGATTTCGAAGGAGTACAATGTGAACAAATATGTTAACAAGGGAAAAAGAAAATGTATTGTGTGTAGAAAGAACAGGGAACAGAAACAAGATTTTTTCTGTGTATAGAAAAATCTTCTCTTACTACTGAGGGCACAGTATCACATCAACAAACTATTGACGTCACCCTCTCATAACTAAGACAACATGTCACAACAAACTACTGAACAAACTTATCAAGCAGACTGACCTTCCAGTACTGGACACCATGACATGATCAAAAGCTGTACCTGTCCATAACACACATGACATAACGACACATGTGGTACTTGTATTTGTGATAAATGTTGACAGGTGATATGTTATCACTGTTTTTGAGGTTTGTATGAGTTTATAGATGTGAAATAATCTCTCTTTTCTACAAGAGAGGGAAAGACAAACTCAAAAGAAAAAGTAGAATTAAAGATAATAAAATCAATAATAAAAAAATAAGAGAAAAACAGTACTATTGATCAATCTTGATAGACTTGACTCAATATACTCAGATAATCAAATAAGTAAAATATCAACAGTATTAAGTATTAAGAGAACTTGTTGTCAAAAAATAAGATAAAGAAAAATCAATATTTATTAAATGCACATATTGTGATACTTGTAGCTTTGCAATTGGCTTGTTAAATAATTAAATAAATAAAATTATTGAAAAATCTAATAAAAAGTTGTATAATTGATAATCTATTAAATGTAATTTGTTCTTTATTATCATTAAGTACAAATAAAATAAAACAACTATTAAGTCATAATCATGAAGATAGTTATGCTTATAAAGAAAATGTTATAAAAATGATATTAATTCTAAGTTGATTTGTTCAGTTAAATATAGCAAAAAAATAAGATAAGATGTGTGATTGCATAACATTATTTTTGACAGAATGATGCTTTTTTCATTGTACTTATTGGTTTTTTGCTCTACAAATAGAAAAATTGATTTCTATCCAGCCTTGGCTGCCATCAGAAAACTAAAAATTATAGAATATAATTTTTCTAGAATTACAAAGAATTCTGCAATGTTACCGCACTGCCAGACAGCCAAAATTTTGTTAATAGTTGGCTATTTTTACAACAACCCCTGTCAATAATCAACTATGCCACAATAGCTCAGGTTAAAGATTATTTTTACTATATCATATAATGCTGGCAATCTATAGATCATATAGCTGTTATCAGAACATAATTGAGAAAGCTATTACATGAAGAGAAATGATAGGAGAAGAAATTATTGTTGACTATAAGTTAATTCTTTGACGAAGTCTTAAATAGGAAGAGAACATGCTTCATTAAGCCCATGACAGGCATCGTGAATTGCAGTCAGCAAAGGGCATCAATACCAGACAAAATCAGACAAGAATGGCAGCAAAACTCAATGGGACAGGAGACAGAAGAACCAATCGCTTGTGGAGACAGGAAGGACAGTAGGATGACGGCTGCACTCAGACATTGGTGTCTATGACGCGACACCATGACAGCAAGGGCAAAAGAGGGAACCAGGTGTACAGACCCAGATAAATGGGTAGCTTCTGGGAGTTGAACGCATGATCTTCCAATTGGGAGTACAACACTCTACCCACTGTACTAAGCAAGTGACGCGTGATGTGGTTATTTGTTGTGAATTATAACAGTACTACTTGGCAAATAAATGTAATGTAAATTACAAAATACAAGAATAAGAATACAAAAAGAATAGAAAAGAATGGGTAATTTGACAGGTAAGAATTGGTGACAGACTGGTAGAAAAAATAGAGAGAAGATAAAAATAGAAATTGTGACAACAACAAAGTTTGAGAAAGACAAAAAAGGGAAAACAGAGAAATAAAATATATCAAGATCGACAGACAACACTCCAAAGAACAAGAACACTGTGTATGAATGAAGAATAATGATAATAACGAACAAAAAATAAATAAGATCAAGGATGAAACGATGATTTTATTGATGGAAAAGGTTGTTCCTTTTATAAACAAAAATGTTTGCTTAAAATAATTTTTGAGGGAAAGAAAAGAGAGTCAAGTAAAACATTTTACTACATGTAACTAGTGTTGATAGTAGAAGTAGAATAGAAAAATATATAGAGGGTAAAATAAAAGTATAGTAAAAATATAATAATTGAATAAAGATAAAGTAAAAATATAGTGAGGTAGAATAGAAGCAAAGTAATAATATAATAATGATGTAGTAAAGTAAAAAATATAATAATAGTATAATAATAAAGTCTAATAAAAATGTAATAAAAAATAGTGTAAATAAATATCAGCAATAAAGAAGTGTATAAAATTAGAGGAAAGAGATATAATGTTTTTAGTGGGTGACAGGTGTTTCTAAGGTGAAGATGTAGATGGGTATTTTAATTTTAAGGAACAGAATGAAATTGGAGGTTTGGGTATAAGGGGTATTGGGAGCAATATTTCCCAAGAAACCTGGGGGGACCACTCCTGTCCCTCAAGACATGCCATTCGGTTGACTCACTGTCGATGTCAACGTCCATGAGTCCAGTACCACCCATCATGGCTCACAGCCGGACCAAACCACCGAAAAAACCCGCTGTCTGGTATCCATCACCAGAAACTGGCCAAACCGGAATTTGCCTACAACACACATAACAAAAGAGCAGTGCCGCAATAGCTCAGGTTAAAGATTATGTTTTATTAAAGAGATATATTGCTGGCGATCTATAGATCATATAGCATCTCAAGTACAAAAGAAAAAGCAAAAAAAGTCCAAAAGGATCACAAAAAGACAAAAAAATAGAAAGAGAAGAAAAGAACTAACACTAATAAGCTGAGAGTTGTACTCTACTCTCCACTTTGCAGCTGTGTAAAAATGTTGTAACAGTGAAAGAGAGGAGATAGAAGTGCAAGCAGGCAGCAGTTCATGCGTGAAAAGACAAAAAGAGAAAGCAAATTAGATAGAAAAGAAAAAAAGATAAGAAAAAGAAAACAAAAACTAGCTAAGTCCAACCCAAAGAGTACCAAAGTGAGTTTCATGAGTGTAGTCACCATCAGGGTTACAAAGCTTGTCAAAATGCCAGAGAATAGTAAGCAGTGCTACACAATAAGAGGGGCAAGGAGCCTGACTAGAACTTGAGAGAGCAGTAATGGCAACATCAATTGGATTACAGTTTTGATCAGATGGAATAGGAAGACAGGCCAACAAATGGGCAGGAACCAAAGAGCAGACAGCAAGATGACGACGTGAGGTATGGTCAGTACCACAAGGGCAATCCTTAGGAGTGCCAGGCAACCAACTCATTCTCCAGTGGACAAGGCGGCTACGTTCCACCCTAGTTGCAGGCAAGAACAGAATAGGGTCGACTTCCAAAAGAGGGTGGCATGCTAGAAACAAGACTTGGTTTGAAGACAATCGGAGCTGATCAGTTTTGAACTGTCGAAAGGTTTCGAAGTGATGTTTGAGAGCTTTGCCACTATGAACATTTAAATCAATAGGGATGCTTTGAAGGAGAGTATTATGACGAAGAGTGACAAGTGATGAAGACTGAGAGTGGTGACAGTGAAGAAGAGACAAAAGGCAGCCAGAGGGAAGGTAGTGAGCACGAATACAAAACTTTGTTATCAGCACATCAGCATGGAAACTCATACTAGGAAGGTTACATATATGTTTGAGCACAGTTGTAGATGAGGTTCGGTGCCCACCAATAATCATGCGCAAACATTTATCTTGGATTTTCTCAAGCTGGATAGTATCAGTTCTTTTCAGAGGGAGAATAGCCAATCCATATTCAAATTTTGGTCTGATAAAGGTCCTATACAGACGAGAGCTGAGAAGCAGAGAGAATCCAGACCAGCATGCTCCAACTGCATTCAGTGTTGCCATGGTTGCCAGGGCTCCAGAACGACGATGAGTGACAATAGAAGGCCCATGAATACCTTTATTGTGAAAGGGAACACCAAGATATATAAATTCCTCCACTGCAGGAAGAATCTCCTCATATAGAGATAGATCTGGATGGTTTGCAGAATGAGGAGGGTAAATGATAGCACATTTAGATGGACTCCAACGAAAACCAAGAGCAAATGAGTGCTGGGTGGCCAAATAGAGCATAGTCTGAACGTCACGAGCAGAACCAAATATTGCCACATCATGAGCAAAAAGAAGTGTATTTATTGGCGTTGATGAGACTGCGTGCTGGTAGCTATCCACACCTGAAGGAGCAAGAAGAGACTGATATGCATCCAATGAGGAGGGAGACGATGATGGTACATAGGTAGAAGTGCGGGGAGATGCAACTGTGTGGAGGAGAGCTGGCAGGGAGTTCATATAAATGGAGTAAAGATGAGAACTAAGAACTGAACCTTGAAGAACGCCTGTCTTGGGTGAAAATGAATGTAAGGTGAAATTTCCAAGAAGAACTGAGATAGACACATCATCAAACATATTGACCAAAAGTCCAAGGAGAGCAGGTCGTATGGATTGTCTGAAAAGGGCATCCCAAATTACATGTCGATCTACAGTGTCATATGCTGCTTTGATATCCAAGAAAGCAACTACTGGATAGTGGTGATGACGATGAAAATGAGCTTTTATCAGGTCATGCAGACAGAGAGCTTAATCAAGAGCACCACGGTGAGAACGAAATCCACCTTGGGCAACATCCAGAGGAGGAGAGAACTTATGCAACTCAGGAGCTATGCACGTCTCAAACAACTTGCGCACCACAGAAGTAAGGGAGATGGGACGGTAGTTCACAGCATTCTGAGGGTTACCCTTTTTAAATATAGGAAAGACTTGGGCTTGGTGCCAGAGAGAAGGAGTGTATGACCATTGCCAGCAGATGGTGAAAAGACAGGCAAGGAGAGGTGAAATGTGAGACCAAATGGGCTTTAGCATTTCTGCACGGATGTGGTCAGGACCCGGCACCTTGCAGTTAGGCATAAATTGCATGAAGGCCTCCACCACTGATGAGGTGAATGGGGAGTCAACAGACGCAAAAGACATGAGAGAGGTGTTGAGTGGTGGTGGTGAAGGTCGAATGTCAGGAAGAATATGTCCACTATAGACAGATGCAAGATGGTCACACATAACTGTTGCTGCGACTGCTGGGCCATCATCATGCTGAAATGTGTGTTGTGGTTGTCTGTGCCGTTTCAACTGTTTTATCTTAGATGTGGCCTTGTTGAAATCCGAGTTCATTGAGTGGCAAAAAGCATGCCAAGACAAATGCTTTGCTGTCTGAACTTGCTGACGAAACTCCTTGTGTGCATGCTGGTGCCGGCTCCACCAATTGATCTTGTCAATGCCACAAGCTCGACGCCATTGCTTGTAACAACCATCTTTATGGTCAGCTGCAGCTTGCAATTCAGGGGTCCAAAACGATTTCCAATGTGAGGGGCGAGGGGGGCGAGAACCAATTGAGCTACTAAGAGAGTCATAAATGAGTGCATTGAAAGAGTTAGTAAGAGCATCAATGGGTGGACATATAGTTGGTGGATTTTGAACAAGGTCTTGTAGTGTGGTGAGAAGGGAGGTGGATTTGGTGACAAAGGTGGTGACATATAATGATCTGACATCATCTTCATAAAGACGTGACAGATTCCAAGTTTGGCGCATAGGTGGAGGTGCTGGTGGTGAGTGTTGCAGGTCATAAGTAAAGGAAAGTGAGAGAAGTCGGTGATCAGAGCCTAAAGATAGTTTGGTTGCAATGTGTAAAGAAGGGTTGGCGAAGTTGGTGTTGGTGATAAAAAGGTCAATGATGCTGCTGATTTCAACTTTGTTACGAAAGGAAATGTATGTGGGTATGCATGGTAAGAGAACTCCATTGAGAACAGTTAAAGATCGTTCTTCAAGCCATTGCTCTAAAGCTACACCATGAGAGTTAGATGCATAGTCACCAGTTACTGAACCAAGGCGTACATTAAAATCTCCACATATAATGGTATCATCAGTTAAAGGAATGGCTGAGAGGATATCAAGAGCTTCATGAGTGGGCATAGAGAGTGGTAAGTAAAGGCATATAAGTCGAAGGGTACCAATCTTGACAGCAAGAGCATAGTTGTTGGGAATAGGTATTTGTGTGACAGCATAAGGACAGGAAGGAGAGACTAACAATGATACCCCCATTGATCCGCGGTAGTTGCCAGCAACAGGAGATCCATAGAGATGAAACTGAGACTATGAGGTTGGAAGATGGGCTGAGGATAAGAGCCATGTTTCAGTTATAAAAAGCATATGAAGAGATTGACAGTTGTTGAGCACGTCATTAATTGCACAAGGTTGAAGTCCATTAGTATTCCATAATCCTATTGAAAGGTCACTCATTCAATCATAGCAGTGAGAGCATCAAGGGCACGTTTTTTGTTTGGAGCATCACTAAAGTGCTCAGCTACTGGTCGGGCAGGAATTTCCTCAAGTCCAATCCATCCTGACTGGACAAAGAAGTGAGCAACTGGCAGAACCAAGTGAGAACGCAAAAACTTGAGAGCTTGGAGACAGCGGGCATTTTGGAGAACCAAAGCCTGGGTTTCAAGACCAGAGACAGACAAGTTGGCAAACTTGGGATCAGCAACATTTTTAGGATCAAGTGGATCAAAGTTGTTGACAAGAGAGACCTTAGCACTAGCTAATTGGGACTTAAATTCCTCAAGATACTGCACATAAACAAGAATTCCAATGACTCCACAAGCAGGAAAATTAATATCTAACAGGCGACCAGTGTCAACACTAAGAGTGCGGAGAGAGCGGTGCACTTCACTGTGCATAATACGACGTGAGCGAGGAATATAAACATATTCAAAACCATCAGGACCAGTTTTGTCAGAGAACAGTCTTTGAGAGGCAGCAACCCAGCGGGCAGAAGGAACTCAAGGTGTCTTGGCTAGCAGAATCAAGCTTGTTTTGGTGGCCCAAGTGGAGGCAGCAGTTCTAAGATCTGGAGTTGACTGGGGTGCAGGAAGAGAAGCAGAGCTGGGAACAGGACCAGTCACATTGTTTTGCAACAATTGAGATCGGAGATCGGCATTCTCCTGCCGGACATTAGCTAATTGAGCATGCAATTGGACATTTTCGGCAGCAAGAGATTCCAAATGTGCTGTACGTTCGTTAAGTGCCTTGAACTGTGACTGCATACTGGTTAAAAACGTCACAAGTTCGGCTGGCAGACTTTGCATGTAATTAGCAGACAACAATTGTGACATGTTTGGAGATGATCTTGAGATGGCAGCAATTGGCAGAGAAAAAGTGAAAATTGGTGATAAAATAGCAGGAATGATAGGAAAAATTTTTTTGACAATGGATGCGGTGGTGGGAAGGGTAGATGCGTCGTGTTTGACAATGGATGCAATGGTTGAAGCAATATTTTGGATGGATTGATGATAGAATTGTATGGATGCAAACTTTGAAAAACCCAAAATTTAAAAAAGTGAAGCTTACATGAAAGAGAAGTGCCGCAATAGCTCAGGTTAAAGATTATATTTTATTCAAGGAGATATTGCTGGCGATCTATAGATCATATAGCCTCCAAAGTACAAAAAGAAGATATAAAAAAGTCCCAAGGGATCACAAAAGTCAAAAAAAAGAGAGGGGAAAGAGAAGATCAAATCATACTATCTTCAATGGCTGAACCTGTTCTCCACTTTGCAGCTGTGAAAATAGTTGTAACAGTGAAAGGGAGGAAACAGAATTGCAGAACAAAGAACTTTTCAGACAGCAAAGAACAAAAGAGAAAGAAGAGAGATAAAGGGAGTAAAGAACAATGAAAAGTGGAGAGCTATGAAAGAAAAGAAAAATTCTAAATTATATCCAAAGAGCACCATGTTCAGTCTCATGTGAATAGTCACCATCAGAATTACATATAACATCCATGTGCCAGAGAATAGTCATCAGTGGTATCCAGTATGCAGGTCGCAGTTCTTGAGATGACAAAGGCAAGGATGTGATGGCAAAATCAATTCTGTGTATCTGGTCATGGTCAGGTTGAGGCAACTGTTCAAATAGTGTTGCAGGAACAAGTGGGCAATTCAACAAATGGTGGCGTGAGGTGTGATCAGATCCACAAGGACATTCCTTTGGTTTGCCTGGCAACCATCCCATTCTCCAACGAATCAAACGGCCACGTTCCACACGTGAGGCTAGCAGAAACAAAATTGGATCAGCTCCAAGAACTGGGCGGCATGCTTGAATGAGAACTTGTGTATTGGACTGGAGAAAGGTTGTAAATCCAGCTTCTCTAATGCTTTCAAAATGGTTTTTTACTGCACTAGGGCTTTGGAGTTTGAGTGTTGGAGGGAGATGTGACAGAAGGTTGGTTTTTCCCAAGGAGACAAGTGAAGAATAGATGGTATGATGATGGTGTAAAAGAGACAAAAGGCACTGGGCAGGCAGAAAGCGTGATCTGATACAAAATTTGGCTATAAGAACATCTGCACGAAACTTCATACTTGGCAGATTGCAGATGTGCTTCAACACAATTGTAGAGGACGTGGCATGCCCCCCAACAATCATGTGAAGACACTTATCTTGAATGGACTCCAGAACTTTAATATCTTGCTTCAGCAGAGTGGAAATAGCCAAATCATATTCAAACTTTGGGCGAACAAAAGTTTTATACAGTTGTGAGCTGAGTAGCAGAGAAAAACCAGAACGACAAGCTCCAACAGAGTTTAGTGTTGCCATTGTAGCAAGTGTACCAGAACGTCTATGAGTGGCAATGGACTTGGAAGAAATACCCTTATTGGCAAAAGGAACACCCAGATAAATAAACAGGTCAGTGGCAGGGAGAACTTGACCATATAAAAGAAGTGGAACTGGCGAGCTTGCACGTGTTTTGGGATATATAACTTCACATTTGATGGAGCTCCATCGATATCCAAGAGTAAGAGAGTAGTCTGCAGCAAGGTCTAGCATGGCCTGAACGTCTGAAAGGGAACCAAAAATAGCTACATCGTCGGCAAAGAGCAGAGAATTGATGGGTGTTGAGAAATGAATATGTCCAAAGCCATCCACACCTGAAGGAGCAAGAAGAGCATTATATGCATCCAATGAGGTAGGAGAGGGTGATGGAACATGGGTTGTAGTTTGTGAGTGAGCAACTGTGCGGAGCAATGGGGGCAGGGAGTTGATATATATTGAATACAGATGTGGACTGAGGACAGAACCTTGGAGAACCCCAGTGGCAGGTGAGAACGAGTGTGAAGAAAAATTATCCAGAAGGACAGAGATAGAGACATTGTCAAACATGTTAACTAAGAGGCCCAAAAGAGCCGGCAGAGTGCCACGTTGTTGTAAAGCATGCCAGATGATTCGTCGATCTACTGTATCATAGGCAGCCTTGATATTTAGAAATGCAACAACAGGGTAGTGCTTATGATGGTGATAATAGGCTTTTATCAGATCATGGAGACAGAGAGCTTGATCCAAAGCACCATGGTGAGGACGAAAACCACCTTGAGCCACATCCAAAGGAGGAGAGTGCTTGTGCAACTGAGGGGCTATACACATCTCAAAAAGCTTATGCAGTACAGAGGTCAAGGAGATTGGTCGGTAGTTTGCCGGGTCAGTTGGACTACCCTTCTTGAAGATTGGGAAGACCTGGGCTTGGTGCCACAAACTTGGAACATATGACCATTGCCAGCAAACTGTAAATAATAAAGTAAGAATGGGTGAGACATGTGTTTTTACAGGTTTTAGCATTTCAGCTCTGATATGGTCTGGTCCTGGTGCCTTGTGGTTAGGCATAAATTGCATGAATTCCTCTACAATTGGTGAGGTAAAGGGAGAGTCATCAGAGGCAAAAGGCACACTGTTACAAGTGGTCATTGGTGCAGGTGGTCGGGTTGCTGGAAGTATATGTCCACTATATACTGTTGCCAAATAGTCACACGTTGTTGCTGCTGCTACTGCTGGTCTATCATCATGCTGGAAAGTATGTTGTGGCTGTCTACGGCGTTTTAACTGCTTTATCTTTGATGTTGCTTTGCTGAAGTCACGTTCCATAGACTGACAAAAGACATGCCAAGACTGATGTTTTGCTTGCTGAACCTGAGATCGGAATTCGGCCTGTGCATGCTTGTGTTTAGTCCACCAAACAACTTTGTCAATACCTATTGCTAGACGCCATTTTTTGTAACATTGGTTATGACGATCTGCTGCTGTTTGCAAAGCTACATTCCAGAAGAATTTCCAATGATTTGGGCGAGAGGGTCGATGTCCAATTGAGCTATTTAATGAGTCATAAATGAGTGAATTGAACTCATCAGTGATAGCATCAATGTTGGGTCTAGTGAGTGGCGGATTCTGTACAATGACTTGCAAGGTGGAAAGTAGGGAGGTCGAGTTTTGATTGAAGGTATGAGCATAAAGAGCATGGACATCAGGTTCATTGAGGCGTGAGAGGTTCCATGTCTTGTGTAATGGTGGTGGCATATTAGTAGAGTGCTGTAGATCATAGGTAAAGGAAAGTGATAAAAGGCGATGATCTGATCCAAGGGACAAGTCAGTATACTGCAAAAGACCGCTGATTTTAGTTCCTGAAAACCTGCAAAAATTTTACTACAATTTTCGATTTTTAATTTTTTTAAATAATTTCTATTTTTTTCTGTTGTGATTTCAGATCGCTCTTTTTTAGCTGTAAAGTCACACTACCATCATTTTTTTGGCCATAAAATTACAAAATTGGGTTTTTTTATATTATACACTTCTTTGATATAATTCTAAATTACATTGAAAAAACACTTATACAAAAGTTAATATAAAATTTAATAAAAATTATATATATTCTTAAGGTTTCACTTTTTCTATTTCAAAATAAATCATTTAAATATTTTTTATGTATTATAAATGTGAATATAAAAACAAATATTTAATCCATATATTTCAAGGGAATGAGACAAAAGGTTGTGATTTCATTTTTACTGTGGCAATATTTTTGCGTGATTTTTCCCTTTGATATATGGAACTAAAATATCAGATTTTTTTATTTCACATGTTGTGAGAGGCGAATGTTCCATTTTTGGATTATTTTTTGTCATGATCGAATCATCGTCATATCAAATATTATAATTCTAAAAAAAGACTTTTAAAAAAAATTGCGTACACTTTTAGTAATATACGCAGTATTTGACTTGGTTAATGACTTAACGATATATGAGTATAATTATGATGATATGTGCGGTAGATGTATCAAGGAATTACTTGGCATACTATAGTCATGGCATGGAGCAGTATTTTATCTATTTATAATTTTTTTTTGGTATATAAAGACCTTGATCAAGATCTCTTAAAATCTATATAATTTTTTTTATAATTTAAAACAATCGACATGTCCAATAATCAAAAGAAAGACAGTTATGTTATCTGCAAATGTCCAGACTGTACAAAGTTGGATAGCTGTGGAAAGAAACAGAAAAGACAAAATGCACAACGACACTATGAGAAACATATAGTGCCTGTTGCCAAATACGATGCAATGGGTAAATAACAAGAATAACTCGAGCTGTACATGCAAAATTAATATAAATTAATTCATAAAATAGATGTTTCTGAAGAACATTTTGACGACATGGAAGTAGATAGTATTGACAGTGACAATGACAATGATTATGATTACGAGAACGAAGGCGAAGGCGAATATGAAGACGAAAATGAAGAACAAAACATTGAATTTGATCAAGAAGGTAAGAAAATAAAATAAAATAAATGAACAAAATAATAATTGAAACTGATATATATTTTTTTTATTTTTTATTTTTTATATGATTATAATTGTAATTATATTTTTATTTCTACATCTTTACAACAATTATTCCTTTCCAGTTGACTTACCTTTGTCCCAAGAAGAGTCCATCTTTACTGCCGAAGATACAATTACAGGAGCATTTGTGGTTGATGGCGATGAGATTGAAGAAGGCAATACCGGTTTTGATTTTGAACAAGAAGAAAACTTTGATGAGACCAGTGGGACCTCGATAGTAGAATCAGGTATGAATTAATACGGTATAGACAATTAATCAATATATTAATTTAAACTAACTTAACCTTTGTCTTCATAGTTCGTCCTTCGTCTTTTGATAACATGCCCTTGTATATCCGCTTTGTTGCAGTATTCATTGTCATATTTCACTTGATCTTTTTGGTGGAAAGCGGTGAATCGATTCTCATTGAATTTTGTAATACTCTACTGTCTCTCTGTGATATGTCTGGCGCCCTTCCACTGACGATCAATAGCTTGAAGCATAAGACAGGATTTAACATGGCAACAGACGGAATGACAGTATACATTGCATGCTCACAATGTCATTCGATTTATCCTCCGGAAACAAGTCAAAGAGTCTGTACATTTAAGAAATTCTCTCAATCCGCCATTTGCAACAACAATCTCTTTAAAGTGTCAACCGGAAATCGTTCTCTTCCAGCAATGGCATATCCATTCAACTCTCTGAAGTACGCCTTGCAACAAAAATTCTCCAAGCCAGATTTCGTGTCCAAGATCAATTTGTGGAGAAGTCGTCAAATAATTGAAAACACCAAACTTGACATTTTCGATGGTGCAGTTTGGAGTGATATTAAAGACATCAATGGCAGACGGTTTGTTGATGATAGCCGATCTTTAATGTTGACTCTGAATATCGATTGGTTTCAGCCATTTGATGGACGAACACATTCCAGTGGTGCGATATATCTCTCTATCAACAATCTCCCACGGAGTGAACGCCTTAAGTCTGAAAATGTCATTCTTGTTGGTATGATGCCTGGGCCGAAGGAAGCAAGCACTGACAGCATGAATCATTACTTGAAGCCACTCGTTGACGAATTGTTGGAGATGTACATTGGTGTAGAAATGACAGACTCACAAAATAGAAAGATTGTTGTTCGTGCTGCATTGATGTGTGTTGCCTGTGATATCCCTGCCGCTCGCAAAACCTCTGGATTTACTGGCCACATGAGCACATGCGCCTGTCACAAATGTCAACGACAATTCACGACTATAAAGAAGACCAGCAAGCTTGACTACTCTGGATTCAAGTATAGCAATTGGGTGAGATGCACGAAGACAATGAATCTGGAACACGCTGTCAGCTGGGCAAATGCATTGAACAATACTGAGCGAACACGCCTAGAAAAAGAAAACAGCACTCGGTGGTCAGAGCTTCATCGGTTATCTTACTTTGACCCAGTCCGCTTTACAGTTATAGACCCGATGCATAACCTCTATCTTGGAACTGCAAAGCGAATGATTCAGATATGGCGCGAGTGTAATTACATCAATGAAAAGAATCAGTTAACTATGCAAGAGCTTGCCAATGGTATTGTTGTACCTTGTGGATATGCGCGTATAACAAAGAAGATTGCTGATGGGTTTTCGTTCATGAAAGCTGACAAGTGGAAGTCGTGGTGCGTCATATACTCTCCATTTGTTCTGAAGCATGTGCTCCCAGCCAAGAATCTCGAAAACTGGATTTTGTTTGTTGACGCATGCCGCTTACTCACAAAACCTTCGATCAATGACAAAGAAATAGACGAAGCCCACAGTAAACTCCAATTGTTTTGTACAAGATTTCAGACACTGTATGGAAAATCGGCCGTGACACCGAATATGCATCTACATCTTCATCTTGGCGAGTGTGTTCATGACTTTGGGCCAATTTATGCTTTCTGGTTATTCAATTTCGAGAGATACAATGGTTTGTTGAAGAATATCGAAACAAATCAAAAAGGCGGCTTCGAATCAACAATGATGAAGAGATTTTTGGAGAGAACATACATTGGCAGCTTCATACAATCTTTCGTCAACCATCTTCCCCAGTTCGCAATTGACTTTCTGCATCGCATTTCAAATAGTTAAGATCAATTAGCAGCATTGCATCCATCTTCTACTGCCAGTACCTTTTCTCTGTCTGACTTTGTTGAATATTCGTTAAACCCTCGTCATTCTGCTTTGGGTTGTGAGCCGTTGCCCCCTTCAGTGTTTCCGATTAAACTCAACCAAAGGATTACAATGTGCAAGGGACATTATGAATGTTTACTGGAGTTTTACAGACACGCGTATGGCAGTCACGATCTTTTTGGCCATTATTCAAACTGCGAGTCTAACCAGATTTTTGTCAATAACCGAATTGAGAAAATGAAACGGATATCTCTTCTTGGACAGGAATACTCTTCTGGATCTTATTTCCGCGCCTATTATCTTGAGAATAACAGTGAAGATAAAGCAGCGTTTCCTGGCCGTATACTGTATTTATTTCAACATTTGATAACCATCAACGAAACTGTCATCACCCATACTTTTGCGTTTGTTGAGTGGTACTCTAGTTATTCTTCGGGGAGTTACCAGCCAATGTTAAATGAAGGCATTGAGCTCTGGAATGAACCTTCTTCTGTACTTAATTATGAATGTATTATTCCAGTACATCGTTTATATTCACCAATCGCAATTGCTAAATATAAGTTTACTATAACTAGTGAATTTAAACGTTTAGCAATCCCTTTACCCCAAAAAATAGAAGCTTAAATAATATTAATAAAATACCACTTTGCACTCTTTTATCAATTTATTAGAAAATGTTTGATTTATTGTCTTATTGTTTCTTTGACCATGATGGCAGCTTGTTTGCCTTGGTCTTACTAAGCTGCTTATCTCTTATTCCTTTAAATTTATGCTCGAATGGACAGGTATTATTTTTCTTATCATGAGCTGCCTCATAATCCGCATCAAGTTCATCAACGAACCTATCTCCCTATATGTCAATGTAAGTATTATTACACACCATCCAAAAAAATAGTTTTTTGTACTATACCTCTTCGCTTCTCCAGCTTGGGCGGAATCTCCAAAAAAAACTCTTTTCTGAGGACGAATCCTGTTCCTCTTCTTCTCTTTCGTCATCACTCTCAAGGTCTGACATGTAATCAGCATGGAGAATACTGTCAACATTCTCTCCAAAGCTGTTCACAAAGTGTGTCCGATTGGCTTTCAAGGCAGATTGTCTTCTTTCACACGACTATATATAAATATATAATATTTCTAATTTAATATCACATCTAGTATATTGTGTGCATGTGTTTTTTACCTTTACACGTCGCTGACGAAGACAGGCCCGTCGATTCTCTTCCTGCTTCTTTTCTCCTGTTTTTTTTTCTTGCAACTTTCTGTTGCCAATGTGCCGCACAATCCTAGTTCGAAGAGTTGGCAAGTCCACCTTTTTTCCCTCTTTTTGACGACGAAGGTAATTGGTAACAGACTTCAGAACGAGTCTGTTTCCCTCACTGTTTTTATTTTCATTAGTATTGTATTGGTCATACAATTTCTCTTCACTCAAATAATCGCGCAACAATTGCTATAATATAAATGTATATTAAATTCTATCTACATAAAAACATATTATGATTACTTACATCCAATGTTGGTTGACGTCCAGGCGACATGTCTTGCTCAACTGCATTACTAGCAGTGGCTTCGGCTTTCTCAGAAGATGTGTTCTTCAAAACAGTGTTTAAGACAACATTCATGGTATCAAGTTTCTCGTACACATCATGGATGTTACGAGTTCTACCCGACGAATCACCTTCAAGATTCAACCGAGCTCTCTTTGGTGCTAGTGGTCTTTGATTGCTCACTGTTCCCTGTGAGTGTTGCAACATTATCGTTCTTATATCATTGGTATTTCTTGGTGGGCTTTTTTTTTATTTTTATAAAAAACGAAAATAAAATTAATATAAGAAAATTGAAGACTGCCTGGTTTTAATCTACCTTCCCACAGAAGGTTCTTCACCAAAAGCATTGTTAACTGAATTGTTATTGAGATTTCTTGACATTGTGAATAATAAGAATAGCTTGTTTTTTTTTAAATCCAAAGGGTCTATTTATATTATGTTTAATTTGGGCTTTAAGTTTTATTCTTTCTCAGAGAACACCATGATCTATTACGTAACAAGAACAGCTTTGAATGTTTCCACTCTTGTTGTGAGTATTTTATGTGTTTCTTTAATTTAATTTTCAATCCATGTTTTATTCTTATATTATGTATTAGTATTTGAATAATATGATTTTATACTATACTCTGTTTTTCATATATATTAGCTGCTGGCATAGTGCAACTGCGTTTTCTTTCAATTCTAAGTTACAGACAAAAATTATTTTTTGATTTATTTATTTTTAAAAAAAAACCCCCGAATTCGTATTTAATAGAATAACCGCGCCCCTCTTTTTTATTTTCTCTTTCTTTAACCTGCTCTTCTCATTTTGTCTCTTTTTATATGTCTTGGTAAGCTTACTCTTAAGATCTCAACTTTTATTAATACTTTTGGCTTTTAGAATCATCTTAATATATATTAGATAAACAATACACTCAACAAGCATTCAAAACAGTACAGGTAATAAACAATCTCCTAACCAAAATGAAACACCTTGCTGACTAAATATCTTTTATTTTTAAAATGATAGGGCTTCTACCCATTTTGTAATAAAAGATGTTTTGCTCTTGACACTATATACTTTCTGGTATTTTCAGTCTATGAAAAGGTAATATATATATAACTCAACTTAAATAATGTAACTTATCAATTCTTCTTCTCAGATAAATATGTCACGCCTTTTTTTCAAGTCATACTGGTTTGCCCCCTTTTGCAAACGCGTGTCTATAATATGTAAGTAATTCAAGTGTCTTTACAATCAAAGCGTACATATTAATAAAGTTGTTTATTTTATTTCTTGCTTTTTATTTAAAAGAAAATATCAATCAAACGGATTTTTATTCTATTGCGAGATTTGTTATGAACCCCCATAAATGATCTAGTAAGTATGTTATTTCATTTTATTTCATAAAGAAACCTATATTAATACTTCTGTATCTTTTTTTGCTCTAAGCTAATGTAGTTCCAAACAAACGTATTCTCCAAGAAAATACCAAGGATTTCATTTTCAGTTAAAGAAGTGTAAAACCAAAAAACGCGCCGAATACATGAAACCGATAAGGTAGGGAAGTATAGTATAAGTTAGGTCATCCAATGTATTCAAGCCATCCAATAAATGAAAGTATAACATGTATACAAGTCGTACTATTCGGATACACACTTTTAAAGAAGTATTAGTGGTCCATATTAAATAGTTAAATATATTTTCCAACCATTCAAAAATCAATAAAAACCATTTTTTCCATGAGATTCTATTTCAAATGCGTCATCTCTTGATGATGTCAACAAGATCTATTTAAGTTTTTTTTTACAATCATTCATTTGAATGCTGGTTCCTGTCAGATTTCAGACTGATTCTAGGTCGATTTTAGTGAGGTCTATCCAATAATATCATGTAATTAAAGCAAATAAAATTTTTTAAGAGGTAGAGAGTTCAAAGCCAATTCCATAACAAGTAGGGTTTAGGTACGGCTTGAAGTTATGGGTGAATATATAACCAGAATTACAGACAATTATAACATTCCAAGAAAAGGGGGAATTATAACTCTCAATTTATCTATTGATTTTAGTATCTATAATCTCATCATTTGGTTAACTAAATGAACCAATTTTTGTAACAAATACCGAACTATAATTGAACATAAACCACCGATTTTTGGAGGATTTAAACAAAAATTAAGCTACTTAAATCGGTTGTCTTTTGCAGTGGTAGCAATATGAAGAGAAGGATTGATGAGTAGCATATTAGTTATAAAGAGGTCAATAATACTGCTGATTTCATAGTTGTTGCGGAAAGAAATATATGTTGGTATGCAAGGTGCAAGATCTGCATTTACAACTGATAGAGATCTCTCTTCTATCCAAGAACATAGTGCCAGTCCACGAGATTTTGATGCATAGTCACCAGTAACAGAGTCAAGTCTTGCATTGAAGTCACCACAAAGAATGGTATCATGTGTTAAAGGAATGGAAGAGAGTACATGTAGGACATCATGAGTGGGCATATTTGGTGAAAGATATAAGCATACAATTCTGAGTGAACCAATTTTGACAGCCAGAGCATATTTGGAGGGCATGGGTATTTGAGTGACAGCATAAGGACAGTGAGGTGATATGATAACAGAAACACCCATAGAGCCCCTATAGGTGCCAGCTACAGGAGAACCATACAAGTGAATTTGTGACCATGATGTGGGAAGATGTGAGGGAGAGAGAAGCCATGTTTCTGTAATGAAAAGCATATGTAAGGATTGACAGTGTTGAAGGGTATCTTGAATGGCTCTGGGTTGCAGGCCATTAGCATTCCATAATCCAATATTGAGATTACTCATTCAGACATAGTGACTGATGAGCTGCACTGACGTTTGAACAAAAACCTACCAGTGGCATTGGTAAGAGTAGTACGTGTTGGTATTTCATCTTCACTGATCCACCCTTCCTCACAAAAGAAGTGACCAACTGGGATAGCAACATGTGGGCACAAGAACTGAAGGGCTTGGAGACATCTATCATGGTGAAGCATGGCAGCAGTGTTGGCAAGTTCATGAGTGGACAGAGATGCATACTTGGGATCAGCAACATTATCAGAGTCAAGTGGATCAAATGCGTCCAAAATCTCAACGGAAGCAGTTGTCAGTTTGGCCTTAAATGTATCAGCATACTGGATATGAACAAGGATACCAATGACACCTCTGGCTGGGAAGTTAATGTCCAAAAGTCGAGAAGAATCCACACCAAGAGTGCAGAGAGAGGAATGGACTTATTTGTGCTTAAGGCATCTTGATCTTGGAATATAAACATATTCATAACCCGAAGGACCAGAGGGAAGAGCAAACATATGGACAGAAGCTGCAATATGGCGAGCAGAGGGAACAGCAGACATTTTTGGGGCAGTTACAGAAAGAGAAACACTGGCTTTACTAGCCCAAGTGGAGGCTTCCGGACCTGGTTCTTTGTTTTTGTCAGGAGCACCTACTGCGCCAGCTGGGTTCGAAAGTGAAATTTCTGAAAAGTTTTTTTCAGATGCACTCTGAGATCCTAATTGCTTCTGCAGATTAGCAATTGTTGTTCTAGCTTGATCCAATTCAGTGGTTAATCTTGCATTCTCTGCTGCAAGTCGCTCTAACTGGTCAGTTCTGTTTTGCACATGCATGATTTGGGCCTGCAATGTTGTCAGAAATGAGGTAAGCTCAGTGGGTAATCCCTGCATGTTGCTGATTTGCAAATTGGCCATTGGGAATGAGAATGCAGATGGCGTAATGTTGTCTGATTAAGCTGAATTTTTTTTTGCTGACAGCTGGGATACCAAGAACAAGGACTGCACTACTTTTGGCAATGGGAGATGCGTTTTTCGTGACGGATGTATCGTTTTGCGTAAAGATGTTGATGGATGGATACACTTTATATGGTGCGATCAGAGATAACTATCTAAGTTTTTGGGTATTTTTTAAAAGTTTATAACTTTTGCAAAACTTAAGTTAATATAATTCTGAACTCTTAATTCGATAGATATGATCATTATCTATAGAATTAAGAGTTTACAATTGCTCTAACTACTCTGAATAAAAAGTCTTAGACTTTCAAAGTTGGGATGTATTGGCTTATTTACAATGGAGTTTACCCAGTTTTTACAATATTGAAACAAGTTAAATGGCTGTCACTGACGGACATTAAATATAATTTCTTAAAAAGGCAAATCACGTGCGTGTGACTTTGACTTTTATTGCGTACCTTTTATTATTTTGGTCTTCCTCAAGTGTTACTACTCAAGCTTAACACACTTATATTTAAAACACTCTAAAATGCCTCGTCCAAAAAAGAGATCAACAATGGCAAAGAAAAGCAGATAATGATGCTTCAAATACGCAAGGAAGCTACCGTCTTACAGATAAAGGCTTCTTTATTAAAGTTCAAAAAGAGGCTCCAATTGAATTAAAAGAATCTATTGATAGTGAATTGGAGAACATACAGATTGACAAAATTGCTGTGCTTAAACTTGCACATGAAGATGTTAAGAAAGAGATTTTCCCTTATACTCGCACAGGTCCTTCTTCTCAGTCAGTTGATGCTTTTGAACTCTGTAAGCTTAAATCAGTTGAATGCTACCTTTGATACAGAATATCAGGTGCCAAAACTATGGAAGCTTCAGAGAAAGCATCGATGGAAATATGGCTTCACAAAAACACTTATCATCCAGCTGCTATAAGAAAGTATGCCAAAGAGTATGTTGATTTCCGTTCAATTGCCTTACACCAACAAGGAAAGCATTTGAGAAGACATTTTTTATTTTCGGATGAAGATATAAAGTCTACTATCTGTAAATGGATTCAGAACCAGAGACCAGAAAGTCGAAGTCTTATCGAAGTGAAGAAGTATATTGGTGGAAATATTTTGCCAAGAAAGCTTGGTATATCTGGAAATACTTCCACAAGTACAATCTGGAAGTACCTTCATGAATGGGGTTATGTGTTTAAAAAGAACTCTAAAGACATTTATTACAACGGTCATGAAAGAGAGGATGTGATTGCATACCGTCAGAAATGGGCAAAAAGAATGATGGTGTACAAGAAGAAAATGGCAGCTTTTTCTGAAAATGAAGAAACTGTAGTTTTGCCAGTACTTAGATCCGATGAAATAGAGCATGTTCTTGTTACTCACAATGAATCGACATTCTACACAAACGATGGGAAAGATGTCATGTGGCTAATAGAAGATGAAAATCCTATCCGTAAGAAAGGTCCAGGAATGTCTCTCATGATCAGTGAGTTCAAGTGCGTATGCCACGGAACAATGGCTAGAGGGGCATGGTCGTCACGAGAGGTATTCCGCTCTGGGGCCGACAGAGATGGGTACTGGACGAGTGCAGATATATTGAAGCAATTGAAAAACAATGTTATTCCTCTTTTTGAATTGATTTACCCAGGGTGCAAGGCCGTCTTTTCATTTGACCAAAGCACAAATCACAAAGCGTATGATCAAAATGCTTTGATCTCAAGCAAAATGAATCTAAATGACAAAGAGATTGAAGACGACGATCCTTGTTTTTTGCAGGATACAGTATCTGATTCTTGAGACTCACACAAAACTCAGGTATTTTTCGGCGGGTTTTTAAAAATTGGCAGTACTTTTTTGAAAAAAGAAAAGTATTTTTCTGTTTCCATATAATTTTTATAAAAATACCATGACGAATACCATGATATATCGCATATCGGACTCATATGAAATGCAAGCTCAGATACATCCAATGAACAACGACTTTTGGCTTTTGGTCACTTATTATAGTCAATATTTATTTTTATATTTATTTTACATGTTACACTACAATATATTAGGAAGAGAAGTATAAATCCTTAGTGGTTCATCTAATAATAAAAAGATATCTTTATTTGCAAGGCATTTGAAGTCTAGGATTGGTTTACCTTTAACAAACAAAGACATTGGTTCCTGACAATGTCTTCTATACTTCCAATACACTATTATACTTGAATGTGATTAGTTCTCTTCATAATGTATTTTTAGTACGATGTACTCTGATAGTTTTCATTAAAAAAAAAGGATATAAAGAGTACTACAATTAATAGAAAAAGAAACTACCTTTATAACAAACCAAACATTCTCATAAAGAGCTGTAAGTATATCTTGCCATAATTAATACGTTATTACTTCAAATTTTCAAAGACTTTATGAATAATGTTGTTGATATATTATACATTATTTTATTTCTATTTATTCAGCCTCAAATGAACAACGGAAACAACACTACCGTCAATGATCCAAGTCTTCAGCGTATGATGGACAACACATCAGCAATGTACAGTAGCAACTGATTGGTATTAGCTCAAAACCTGGACCAGTGCCCTACAAATACGACGAAAGCATATCTTGCAAAGCAAGAAGAATGGAGAGTATGTATAATATAGTTTTCTGTATAAAAAAATATTAAAAGTGTTTTTATACATTTCAAACAGCAATGGTGTCTCAAGAAAGAATTCGGAGATGGTGAACTTGTGAATGATCAGAAACTAAGCTTTTTCATGATGGATCATGTCATGAATAGAGGACGTAAATTAAAGAGGGATGATAACAACTCCCCGATTCCATTAGGCAAAGAATCAATAGCGGCCTATGTCAAGGCAGTAGCCGATATATGTAGCAAGCAGAAAGCTCTTGGATTGAATCCCAATGGTGTAGCAAGAGGACCACTTGTCCATGCTTTCCTTGATACCGCAAATAAGGCACGCGCACAGACTGTTAGAAAAAACTTCGAAGATCGTGAAAAGAATACACTTAACGATGGATACACCAAGCAAGAATTAGAAAGAATCAGTCAATATTTCATGGAAAAAAACGATACCCGCGCATGTCGAGATCGACTTTGCTTTCTTATAAGTCATGCAATGCTATGCCAAAGTCAAACAGTTCTTGGAATGCAATTTGCCGACCTTTTCTCTTTGGAATTAGACAACCAAGGCGCCACACAATGCATTGCTCTGGTGGCAACCATGACCTTTGGAAAAACCAATCAACACGGAAAGATTGAGTATGGATTGTCAATCCGTCATCGTCAATTTGAAGTCTGTTCCGTTGGTGCATTGGCCATGAGTTTATTCTCAAGATTTCATTATGAGAATGAGCCATTTCCTGACTTTTCTTCCCGTGAAAAATGGTATGAAACAGCTCTTTTTAAAGGTGACGACCGCTTCAAGCCGATACGATACAAGACGCAGCATAAAATATACCTTAAGGCATTCAAATCAGTTGGGATCCATACTTCAAAGGTCACCCATGCCAACCGCAAAAGTTCTCTCAATATGATTGCACAAGAGAACGTTTCCGGCGACCAACAACGAATGGTTGGAAGGTGGGGAACAGACCGTATGGTGGGATGTTATATGTCAACATTGCCTGTGGAAGCAATGAAGGCTTTAGCAGGGTTCTCTGGAAACAGTAGCAACTTCTTTTTAGCACGAGCAGTGGTTCAACCTTCGGCTTCTCTACAAACAATAGTTTTCCCAAATATCGAATCTTGGAAACAGAAATTTGCAAATGGAGATGTCCAAGAGGACATAGCTGGCCCAATTTTTTTGGATTTACTTTCGCAACTTCGAGTGGTATTTCTACAGGTACATGTTGTTATTAAAGCACTGTTTGTAATATTTTCTCTAAGTAATATTTCTTTGCTGCTTTTTTTTTAGGACTCTGTTCTTCTGAAAAAGAAATTCCCAGGTTATTATCTTTTGACATGTGCTATCTTCAGCTCAGAGGAATACAAAAGCTTCGAACAGCAAGTTCTCTCCGCAGTACAGCAAGAAGAAGAGGTGTTCATGAGCAATAACAGGATGGATATGGTTATGTCAGAGATGGTAGATAGTGTCAGAGCTGGTTTCGGAACAGTTCACGCCACCATGAATTCGATGCAGTCCATGATATATGCCCACCTCTCTTCACACGCTGCCTTCATTAATAGATTAAACAACAATTTTACCAATTTTTTTGCTCTCGGATACAATCAATTCAGTAACTCTACAATTGCAACACCATCGAACCTACCTTTACAGCGTAACATCATTACATCACAACCTCTACAACCACCACCCCAAAGTACTCCATTACATAGTGCCGTAACATCTCAACAGCCAACACACCCAGAACAGCTGGAACAGTATACAATGAGCCGAAGAATTTTCTCTGTTACTGATGTATGGAGAGAATATGTTTTCAGCTTTAATGGCAGCCCATCCATTCAATCCTTAGAAAATAAATACGGAACTGCATGGAGAAAATATCGTAAAGAGTCTAGATTTTTTAGTAGAAGAAAAGAGCTGTACGATGCAATTAATGAAAGAGCAGAGTTAGAGAATATATCCCCTGAAGAAGCTGCTCAAAGAATGGAGAATGACCGAGTTCAGCTTGGAATTTCTCTAGATAAATATAGAGCTCGATTATCGTAAAAGATATAAAACTATCTTCATTTAATTATTTTTCTACATAAATACTTCTTATTATATTCAATAAATATGTACTACTTTCACTGTTATATCAAAATATATGTCTTTATTTTATGGCTTTCCAGAAAACTGTATGAGTAATAAATCATTACAAATATAAGTAATTCCAATCAATAATCATATATATTATAGCATTATAAGGTAGGAAAGCTGTCAAGAAAGGTCCATTCTAGTAGTAGTAGTAGCCAGCCTTGAATTATATAACTTTTAGTTGACACATATTCATGTTAAAATAAAGACATCCATTATGATAAAAACGTCGAAATCGTCCTCTTTTTATTAATAAATTTGGATTTTTTTTCGGGAAATGAACCTAATTTTTCGAAAAAGGGTATCTCTACGCTCAATCTCATCACACCAAAAATAGCGAGAATAAAACTCAGTCAGACTATGGCCCACCAAAAATACCCACTCAGTATTTGTCCGGAATAGTGTAGAGGAAGTACAATCAATGTATTACGAGAAAGACAAATGGTTTGCAAAGAAAAGTGGACAATGGGTCCAAAATAAGATTAAATATGTTAAAGGTGTCCGTCATATTCTGGAGGAGTATGGTTTGTGGCTTGAGAAGGATCTGTATAATCCTATTAAGAAATGGAGACTAGACTGTAAGAGTAAAGACACCTCTGAAGATAGCAAGTACTGTGCACATCATTTTCTGGCTTCACAACCAGATTTTATGTCACAGAAAACTGCTCTTCATGAGGCTGTCGAAGACTCTGGTCATATATTTGAACTTTACCCTAAGTTTCATTGCAAATGCAATTGGATTGAGAGGTATTGGAGTGCCGCAAAGCGTGAAGCTCGCCTCCAGTGTGACTATACGTATAAGTCCCTGGATAAGAATATCCATACTTTCCTGGATCACACTGGTAAGCTTCCAAATATCCGCTGGTATTACAACCGCTCGTGGCGCTACATTGAGGCATACAGCCAAGAGATGAACGTGAAAGAAGCCAATGATGTTGTAAAAAAATTTACAAAAAAAAATATACTTCTCATCGCTGTGATGAAGGAAGAGAATAGAATTTTTATCTGTACTTTCTTTATTTTTTATTATTTTTGCTTATAAATTATCTTTATCTCTAATTATTATTTTATTAAATATATCAATTCTACTTTTGTGCTTATTCTTTACGTTTTGAGTGCTAAATATCATTGAATTTTGATTTTTTTTAAAGGTTGTCGGACATTAAATAATAATTGGCTGGCGGAGTTTTCCAGGAGAAAATTGAAACAAATCCAAAAACATTGATACTTATCTCCGATTGCACCATATGTGGATTCATCAAAAATAAAATTTTGGAATCAGTTAAATCAAATGCTTAAACGAAAGAGTAGTGCCGCAATAGCTCAGCTGGGAGAGCGTTAGACTGAAGATCTAAAGGTCGTGTGTTCAATCCACACTTGTGGCATTTATGTGAAAAATATTCAGTTGATTTTTTATAACATTTTATATTTGTCGTGCCCAAATTCTTGTCATCCAATCAGGATGATAATTGCACAGAATTCTCTTGTCGGACATTATTTTGATGAATCCGAGAAATCGGGATAATTGACCGCAGCAGTTCTGTATGTCAAAGATACCTCATAGATAACGAACCGCAGTAATGTCTTGTAAAGATCAACCACAGTAACATCTTCTGAGCATCAACCGCAGTAAAAGGACTTCTCTTGTAATTAAATAGAGTATAATAGTTTACTGCGGATAATGCGCAGTATTAGTTTAGAAAACTATATAAGACAATTCAATTCCTATCAATAAAAAGCACCTTTTATCCTCTCTTCGATTTTACATATACTCTCCGATCCCCAGTGGGTTTGACCTTTTGACTTTGCTATAGTAAAAGGAAGACCATCCCAGATCAGGAACGACACTCTTTTGAGAACAACGACCGAAGTGATTTCCTTTTGCTCACAAACAAATTTAGAAAGCATATAGCTTAACAAAAGTAGAATAGAAACCGAAACACATTTATAATGGCTGGGTAGGTTTTGAAAAGATATAAAAGATGACATTATTTCATTCAATAAAAGTTATCTATCTTTCTATAGTGTGTTCAAGCATAAACATCAAAGTTTTGAAATCTTTTCAATTTTACCCCAAGAAAACTCCGATAGTAAAATATTCAATTCCCGATATATATAGAAAGAAAATCGAAAAAATAGTATTTTACATTACACAACCACCTTTTTTAGGAACATTGAAATGTATCTGTTGCTATAGTGACTCTCTTTTTCATTTCAATATTAAAAAAAAGCTGAAACTCCACTATTTTCTATTGATACCTCTTGACTTTGAAGGTCTATGACTTTTTATTCAAGCCTTGTTTTGAGAATGTTTTAAACAAGAGTTATTTGGAAGAGTCTTCCCTATAAAACATGTTTAAGCAATTATCAATAACTTGTCTGTAGCAAAAGTCATGGTGTTGTGGGGAGAAAATAAAGCAAAATATAATATAGACGAAAGAATTCGTGAGAACTTGTGTAGGTTGTTTATTTCAAAAGAAAAGTAAAGAATGATAAAATTCGATTGTCTTTCTACACGGAACTATCTACTGATATTTATATGTTTTTCTAATTTGTAATTCAGTGTGTGCTTAAGTAATCTTTATCACGATGAGTCATCTTCCAGGAGTATTGTTCTTCTGGAAAGATCCGGAAAGACCAATTGATATGATACTTCTCCAGTCAGATCAGTCCAAGAGTTTTGGTAAAGAAGAGCATTTATGCTATTGGTAATATTTTAGTATTCCGACCCAGATACTCGGGTAATGTTTCATAATATTAGATAGTTGTAGTTGTAGTCTCTCAATTAAGTATTTGTATAATAAAAGAAATATGTAGATGAAATATAATGATGCCATATATATAATGTATATGTATTTGTATATCCCATGTCATGGTGATAATAATAAATAATCAATTATGTGTATGATGATCTGTGTATTAGATAATATCATAAAGGGAGATCCGTTTGACTGGAATAGCTGAGGATATTATTTTATCCTTCAGTCTTACTCTCAGATTCAGCAGTAATCAATACTCATTCACAACATTATCCTCCACCAGATTCAACAATACCTTTTGTTGATTCGGCAATAAAACATTTCATTTACTATTTCATTGTCTGGCCAATTGCTTATTTTATTATAGTCAATCATGCACATAATTTTTGTACTTTATGGAGATCTACACTGTAAACTCAGCTTTGTGGATTACGTGTTCATTTTTTGTTATTTTAATTTTTTGTTGCTCTTCTTTTGTGTAATCTTTCTTCTCTACTCAAAGTGGTAGGAAGTGTTCTTTTCTTGTGCTCATCGTTATTGTTACTTTTACCATTTAGTCTTGAAGTGTGAACTATTTTCTTTTTTGAGGATGCACTTTTGTTAATCAAGTCTTCAGCTCTCTCATTCTCTAAACGTTCCAACTCTCTAACTTTCTTCCAATATTTTTGTACAATTGTGGAATCGGTAAAGTCTTCAGCCTTTTGCCATGTATTAGCGCGTTCGCCATAGCCAGCCCATTTGACCAAATATTCTCGTTGACCAGCAGTACCACGATGATCTCGAATGTCTTCAACTTTGTAGAGCTCATTCTCAATTGTTGATTCATCGATGGTGACCATCTTGAGTTCTGAGGGTGTATAATTTTGGTGTAACAATTCACCTTGCTCATCCTTTAACTCATACGATCCTCCTTTATTCTTTCGAACCACTGTATATGGACCTTCATAAATAGGTGCCAATTTATTTGATCGATGTGGTAATCTGACCATAACGTGTGTTCCTTTGGGGATGTCGATTAGGATATTTTTGTGATCATATTTCTTTTTTAATTCCTCATTAATCCTTAACACACGTTCGTTAATGGCAGGGAATATAATATTTTTCATATGATCAATCTGCTTCTCTAGCTCATCAATTGTAACTGTGGCTTTTGGAAGAGAGTATTTATCTTTGTCACCATACTCATCAGGCACATTGACTCTGCGAGCATACATTAATGAAAACGGCGCACTTAGTGTTTTTTGAGGAATATGTCTATTGATACACAGCTGAACAATCGGTAGATAGTGACATCAGTCATTGCTGTTCGCTCTCATCATTTTACGTACAGTATTCTCTGCAATTTTTACACTGGCTTCGGCAATACCATTTCCTTGTGGGTGATATGCTGTCGAATATCTTCGATCAATCCCAAGCTCTTTAGATAGGCTTGACATTAAAGAGTTTCTAAATTCCAGACCATTGTCACTTTGCATTACTTTGGGAAAACCATAATCTCCAAAAATCTTTATCAATGCTTTAGCTATTGTTGTTGAGTTCTTGTTTGGCAGTGGTCTCAAGATAATGTACTTGGAGCATACATCAACCAGAACTAACATGTACGTGTGTCCATCCTCTGATACAGGGAATTCACCGCATAAGTCAATTGCAATATGATCAAATGGTCGGAATGCTACAACATTAGTCAATGGGTGATAGCCTTTCTTGCTAATATTGTGCTTCTGACATTCAGGGCAAGAACGAATAATCTCTTTAGCCTCTTCATATATATTAGTCCAGTGTAAGCCTTGTGAATGAAGATCATTCACTATAGCTTGACTTCCAAAGTGACCAAACGAATGTGCTTCTTTTAGTAAGCCATTACGCTTTTCTTCAGGAGGTGACATATAGTCGGACGACTCTGAAGCATTTTCGACGAGTTGCGTTGCAAGTACATTTAGCACTCTGTCTTTACTATATTTTTTCTTTTGAACAATAACTCTGTTTTTAGCTTGTAAGTCATTTGTTCTGATTTTTCTCAATCCATCATCCTCCACCAGCTTGTCACTATCCTCTGGAGGATACAAGCGGCTTAGCAAATCAGGTAGTTTATTCAACAAACCAGGAATATGGACCACTTTAAAATCAAAGTCAAGGAGTGTCTCAATCCAGCCAATCATCATCGGATTAGCGATTTTTTGAGTGTGGAGATAAATGAGTGCTCGATGATCAGTAAAAATTGTGAACTGTCGGCCCCACAGAAATGGACAGAATTTTTCAAGCGCCAAAACGACTGCATATAATTCTCTTTTAGTTGTGCTCCATCGTCGCTGCGATGGGCTTAAGGAAGTTGATACAAAGCTGATATATTTATCACGCCCTTGTTCATCTCGCTGAAACAATAAGCAAGCTGCTCCATAAAGGGATGCATCTGTGGCCACATACATTTCACGTGACATATCTGCGTAATGAAGAATTAAATCTTGGTGCAATATGTCTTTTAGTGCTTTAAAGCTTTTCGTCTGCTCATCTGTCCATTGACCAGACACATTCTTGGCATGACTCAAACGTGAAATAGGCTCAGCTACCTTCGAAATCATAGGAATATAATCTCTGAAGTAATTGATCAAACCCATGAATTGCTGAATCTGTTTCGCAGTTGTAGGAATAGGCCATTTGTCAACATTTGTCAACTTTCGCTTATCAACCTTGGTGCCTGTCTCATTGACGACAAAACCAAGCAATCTCACTGAATGTTGAAACCAGACACACTTTTCCGAGTTCAGAATCAACTTCGCGGATGACAATTTTTCAATAACTAATTTTACGTCTTTGACATGCTGTTCAAATGTTTCACTGGCAACAATACAATCATCAACAAAATTCTGTACACAGTCAATCTTATCAAATAAAGTAGCCATGACATGTTGAAATTGTGAAGTAAGCATCTTCAAGCCAAAACAGCCTTTAATAAAGCTATACTGTTGCCCATCTAAGTGAGTGAATGTCAGTTTGTGTACATCCTCAGGTGCAACTTTGAAACGATGATACGCATTGGATAAGTCGAGTGTGGTAAAGAATTTCTTTCCACTTAAGTTTTGAAATATTGTTTGAATTTTTGGAATTGGATAATTGAATGTGGGAGGTAGGATCTGATTTAACAATCGCACATCTAAACACACTCTATGACTGACAATCTCACCAGCTTTGTTTCTCTTTGGAACAAGCAACATTGGACTGTTGAAGGAAGTGTTGGTCTTGGACTTGACAATAGTTCCTGTCTCAAGCCATTCTTTTACTTGCTTGTCAAGTGTTGGTCTTAGAGCGTGCGGTATAGGATACTGCCGTCTGTAAGCCGTCGCACCTTCCTTAGTAGGTAAACGAATAATAGATTCTGATAAAGGACAATATGACTCAACGGGAATATTCTTATTTTCCTCCAGTGATGCTTTAATAGAGCTCATAAATTCTGCTCGTTGCTGTGCTGTGCCAGCTGGCGAATTATCAGGTTCAAACTTTTTCTCTTTATCAATATTTAGATTTTCATAAATGGCGGCATAGTCTTTTGCATTATCTGAATGGACATATTCTCCTTCAATATCATATGCAACATTAATTAATCCAATATTCATCTTTGCCAAAATATCTCTTCCAAGGAGGATATCAAAATTAAAACCCGTATTAAACTCTAACACCTCTGGTGCATGCTTAAAGGTGATGCCATTTATATATTTAAAATTTAAAGGATCAGTTTTTCCTAATCTCTTTGTACTACTATTCTTAGACAGAAAATTAAAGGAACCAATTGAAGAATTTATTTTTGTTATTTGTAAATTGTTATTTAAACATTTCAAATTTATAAACGTGCGGGAACTGCCTGTATCGATCATCCCGATTAACTTCTGGTTCTCTATTATGATTGGAGTTACAAGATTAAACGCATCATTAGCTTTAATTCTTCTCTCAATTCTGTCAAGTAGGTACTTACATTCAAATGATATTTCCTCCATGTCTTCATCTATCCTGTCCTGGATCGTCTTGAGCGTCTGCTCAGACTTATCCTTTGCGGGAGACTGGGATACCATGAGAATTGGCTCATTGTTCTTGCTTTTGCAGACATGACCATGGTAGTAGTTTTCACCACAACGTCTGCAAGGATTGCGACTGTTGGAACTACTGGCTTTGTTCTTGCGGTTGATCAAGGTAAAACACTTGCTGGACTCATGGGTCGGGTTTTTTCCATGGTGCGAGCAGAAAAATGTCTTCTCATGCTTGGTTATCTTGTTGGAATGGTGAAGCTTCTTTCTGGGATGTTCCTCGTTATTCTTCTCAGGTTGCCCACGGGAACCAGGAATCAATCGGGTCGCCTCAGCATAGAGCCTGTTGTCATCCCCAAGGATGTCTCTGCCGATCTGCGTGATCTGCTCTACAGTCCAATCACGCTTGGACTCCCCATTGGGACCAGAGCGGGCCATGGTAACTCTTACCAGTGTTTGCACTGATAAGGTCAGCGAGGCAAGGAAGCGATCAGCGATGCGAGCATCGTCTTTGGGTAAACCAGCATTGTAAACCGCACGGAGGAACTTCTTCGAGTAATCACCGATGGACTCAGTGTTCTTCATCATCATTGTAAAGACCTGGTCTGTGAATCGTCGAGACACCAAGCTGGAACCATGTCTTTTGTTGAAGCATGATTTCGCCGCCTTCCAATCAATACACTTCTTAAGATCCATCTCTACCCATCCGTCATCAGTGTGAGGCAGGCAAAGTGGGAGGAATTTCTTCCAAACTCTCTCGATGTCCAAGGAAGAAGACTCGATCACATTCTTGAAGGTACGTAGGAAATGTCCAACTGATTCAAAAACCTCTTCATTTGGGAAGGGCTTAATAATACTGGAGGCCAATTGGAATTTGGGAAGATCTCTTCTGTTGAGAGTCAACCCTCCTTCACGGCCAGCTCTCTCTGTGTTTGTACCAGGAGAGGCAAGCATCTCGCTGCACTTTTCAAGGCTAGTGATTGCCAATCTTGTGCGCTCGATCCTGCGGAGTGCATCATCAGCTGCTTGCTCATTGTTTGCTACATGAGCAGCGCTGAAGGCCTCGATGTGGTTGCCCAATTCAGCCTTGAGAACGGCCACACAGGAGGAAGCAGTTGCTACTTCTCTACCAACGGGAGGGGAACCAGAACCAGAAACGGAACCAAAACCAGGGGCAGCATCCGGAAAGAGGACGGGCTCACTCAAGTCAGAGAATAATTCATCCGCAGACATGGGGGACAAGGTAGCCTCCTCAGGAACAGGGGTCAAACCAGCGGGAAACAAGTCAGCAGGAGAGTTCATTGTAGTTCACGAAAAAAAATGTTGTGGGGAGAAAATAAAGCAAAATATAATATAGACGAAAGAATTCGTGAGAACTTGTGTAGGTTGTTTATTTCAAAAGAAAAGTAAAGAATGATAAAATTCGATTGTCTTTCTACACGGAACTATCTACTGATATTTATATGTTTTTCTAATTTGTAATTCAGTGTGTGCTTAAGTAATCTTTATCACGATGAGTCATCTTCCAGGAGTATTGTTCTTCTGGAAAGATCCGGAAAGACCAATTGATATGATACTTCTCCAGTCAGATCAGTCCAAGAGTTTTGGTAAAGAAGAGCATTTATGCTATTGGTAATATTTTAGTATTCCGACCCAGATACTCGGGTAATGTTTCATAATATTAGATAGTTGTAGTTGTAGTCTCTCAATTAAGTATTTGTATAATAAAAGAAATATGTAGATGAAATATAATGATGCCATATATATAATGTATATGTATTTGTATATCCCATGTCATGGTGATAATAATAAATAATCAATTATGTGTATGATGATCTGTGTATTAGATAATATCATAAAGGGAGATCCGTTTGACTGGAATAGCTGAGGATATTATTTTATCCTTCAGTCTTACTCTCAGATTCAGCAGTAATCAATACTCATTCACAACACATGGAACTTTGAAAATCACTTAAAAACTTAGATATTTATTTCCAAACACACCATATCCTCTTTTTATTCTTTTATCTTCATTTATGATTCCCAGTGGGTTTGACCAATTTTGGCTGTGTTATAGCATTGGAAGAACAACTCAGATCGAAAACAACATGTTGTTGTTTTTGATCTAGTTGTCAGATGTTATTTTGATGAATCCGTAAAATCTGAAGATAGTTAACTGCAGTATACAGACCTGAGGTCCCAGCATGTCTCAAGTCATCCAATTTTTTTCATATCGGAGAGTGAAAAAAAGTGAGTAATACTCACAATCGGTTTTTTTCTATGTAAATTTTAAGAATTACTCACAGTAATCCAAGATTCGGGTCTAAAATCAAGGAGACATTTAAATGGACCAATAAACTATATAGAATAGGGACTTAATAGGAATTAGTAGCACAACAATTTTCTTTTGGAGAAAAAAGTGGTATTCATATACTAAATTGACTTTAATAAAAAACACAAAAGACATATTAAGATGATTTAAAAGAAATAATTGATAGTAAAGATGTGTTGGAACCTTGATATTTATATAATAAATATCTGCCAATGACTATATATTGTCTTTATAGACTTGATGGGTAGTTAATTATAAAAAATAGAAGCTGTGGCGGGTGTGTGTACAAGAATGGAAAGTCTAAAGATAGCTACAATGTACTTGTCTTTTAGATATAGAATACTTATTTTTGGGAGTGTGGCGCAATGACTTTTAGGAACCAATGTTAACAAATGGTGGCTGGAATGCCAAGGCTTTAACTATCTGACAGCTCACATCTTAATCTGATTACATTTCCACTACATTGATTGATATATTTGAATATAACATTGAGCCATAATTTAATATCAAAAAGTATAAATACAAGACAATTTCTTTTTTTCTTTACATCCTTACTATTTATAATAAAACATCCTTGACATCTTCATCATGAACTACACAGAAGCCAGCTCCTCTACCCAAACCAATGTACTCAACAATAAATACTATCAGTGCAACATGGAAAACCAGCTGACTATGCAGCAAAACAGTGAGATAATTGTCACCAAAAACTAGCTGTTCTGCCCCAAGAATACAACTCATGCATATCTAGCAAAGCAGAAAGAGTGGATAGTAAGTTAAATAAAGTACCACTTCTTCATGATTAAATATGTCACTATTTTTTCATTTATCTAATGTAATATATGAAAGTTAGAATTGGTGTGTTGAAACAAAAAAAATTGCAGATGGCATGATTGTCTCTGATGAAAAACTCACCTTCTTTCTCACTGATTTTGTCATGGTTTGTGACCGCAAGTTCAAGAGAAATGATGATGATACCTCTGTTCCTCTTGGAAGAGAATTAATTCAGGCTTACGTTAAGGCAATAACAGACATTTATTACCAGCAAATAGCTTTGGACTTGAATAAGAACCCCCATCCTAGAGGACCAATTGCAAGACAGTTTCTAGACACAAACACAAAGAAGAAAACAAAGTGCAAGAGAGTCGAGTATGAAGACAGAGGAAAAAACACACTCAATGATAGATATACAAAAAACGAACTTCTTCTTCTTAGTCAGTACTTCTTCGAGCAAGATAGTACAGTAGGAGTTAGAAATCATCTTTGTTTCCTTATGAGTCATGCAATGTTGTTGAGAAGTGAAACTGTTCTTGGTACTCAATATCCCAACCTTTTCAAAATGGAACTAGAAGATCAAGATGTTTCTCCATGTGTTGCATTAGTAGCTACAATTATATATGGAAAAATCAACAAAGATAGAAAAATCTAATACAGATCTGCTCTTTGCCACGCCAATGAAGAATTATGTCCTATTGATGCACTAGCTCAACATTTTTTTTCCAAATTCCACCATGAAAACAAACTGTTTGTTGATTTTTCTACACACAAAACATGGTATAACAGCTACTTGTTTCCTGGCCAAAACGAAAGCAAACCAATGAGTTATGATGAGCAATGAAAAGCATATAAGTTAGAATTTGAAGCAGTTGGGATCAGCTCATCTAAGGTTACCCATATCAACCAAAAGAGTGCCATCAACATGGTATCCCATCAAGGCGTCTCCAGTGATCAACAAAGACAAGTTGGTAGATGGGAATTGGACCGAATGGTGGTATTTTATCTTTCTGATCTTCCTATTAATGTAATCAAGGTTCTAGCCGGGTTTTCTATTCGCAGAGAAGACTATTTCCCTGACCATGCCATCATCACTCCCCCAATTGAGTTGCAACAGATGATCACTGAAAAAAAGGGGGGAAATTCTAATGTGCACAGTTACCTGATAACAATGGAAAATGTGGGGTCAATTTTCATCTCAGCAGGGTTTTCTTATGTTTATGGTGAAAACGCAGTTTTGTTGTATTCTATTGGCTTGGATATAACTAGCACAAATATTATTTTTTATTATTATTATAAAGGCCATAGTAAATAAAGTATATGTAGCACTTGTTTCCTTTTTCTCTTAATATTCAAAAACAAAACAAAACAAAAAACACCATATCCTCAATCCCCCAACTTTACAATGAAAAGTGCTATTGTGCTGAATGTAGTCAGAACAAACTAGGCTATAGTTTTGTTGCCAGAAGAGCTGCTTAGCACCATAACAAAAGAGCAAGATTAGATGCTATAAGATGTGAAAGTGGTACGCAGTTTTTAGTATTATTGTATTAGATTTTATTTGGGTTTTTTGCAGTTTAAACAAAATAACATTCTTTAATAGAATCTTCTTCCCAAAGAAATGCGATGGAGGTTGATGTTGAATGTAGGAAATATTAATTTGAACAAAAATAATAGAGCTTAACTAAGAAACATATTCTATATATAGCTATTCCAACCCGTCAATCCGGAACCGTGGAAGAGGTGTGTTGTCAGAACAGCTCACCTGTTTGAGAAGGAGCTCCAATGTCCGACAATGATAATGTTTTGGTTGGGAATGAAGAGATTCACAACAGTGAAAGCAATAGTGATGAGAGTGGTAATGATGAGGAGAGCAGTGGTGACAATGAAAGCAGTAATGGCAAAGAAAGCGAAGATGATGAAGAAGATGTTGTTGAGATTGAAGTTGAGGAATTTGTTGATGATGATTGGTGCTGTGCTACTAAGAAATTGAAAAATAAAAATCTGAAAAAAAGGGGATATTAATTTTTTTTTGCAATTTTTATACTAGATCCTTTTGCCACCCCCAATATGCCAGAGAACCCAGTGCACAGATTCATTGCTACATTTGTGGTAATGTTCGCTTCCTGCTATGTGGTCAACAAGGGTGCTGTTGTCTTAATTGAGTTCATCAACAAACTCTTGACAATTTACAAGCAAAATTTCCAACTGCCCTTGAGCCTTCCTGGTCTACAGCACATGACAGATTTCTCAGCCATGACCAAAGGTGTAAAGAAATTTGTTGTGTGTCAGGATTGCCACAAGGTGTACGAGGAAAGTGTATCTGCTCCTTCTCATTGTGATTTTGTGAAGCTTGGTGTGCACTCATCTTGTGGTTATCAATTGATGAAATCATTGTCATTGGGTGCTTTGATAGCTAAGCAGTCATATGTGTACCAGTCTATCAAACAGACATTAAAGATGTTTTTCCTTCACACAGAGTTTGAAAAAAAATCAGACATTGGAACCACAAGTTGAAGATGAATACCATGTGCAATATCTACAACGGAGCTATGTGGAAGGAGTTAAAAGACAAAGATGGCATGCAATTCACCCAAGATTCACGTTCATTAATGTTAACTATTAACATCGACTGGTTCCAGCCATTCAATAATGTATCTCACTCGTCTGGTGCAATTTATATTGCTATTAACAATCTTCCCCAGGATGAATGGTTTAAGCCAGAGAATGTCATTCTGGTTAGACTTATGCCAGGTCCTAAGGAACTAAAGTCTGAAGAGATAAATCACTATCTTAAACCTTTGGTAGATGAGTTGGAGACGTTGTATGTGGGAATGAAGATCCCAACCTTTGAACGTCCCAGTGGAGTCAATGTTTGTGCAGCACTGCTGATGGTGGGCTGCGATATTCCAGCTGCTTGGAAAACAAGCGGGTTCACTTCTCACAACAGTACGTGCGCCTGCTACAAGTGCAACCACCAGTTCCCTCGTCTGCCAAATGGAATCAACGTCGATTTTAGTGAATTTGTCTTCTCTCAATGGAATCTTCGTAATGGTGTAGAAAGCAGGTTGCATGCTGAGGAGTGGGAAAGTGCTAGTACCCCCTCAGAAAGGCATCAGCTGGAGATCGAAAATGATGTTTGATGGTCGCAGTTGTATCGTCTTGGATACTTTGATCTAGTACATGGAACGATCATTGATGCAATATATAATTTTTTCCTGGGAACTCCAAATGGAATGCTGGATTGGTGGATCGAGGAGAAGAAGATTTCGAAAGACAATCTAGTCACAATGCAGAAGACAGCAGAGACAATGGTGATTCCTGGCGAGTACACTGCTTTGACAAAGAAAATTAGCAAAGGGTTTTTGTACATGAAAGCAGACAAGTGGAAGTCGTGGGTGCTTGTTTACTCTCCTGTTTTGTTGAAGGGCGTTCTTCCGAATAATATGTTCAACAACTGGATCGACTATGTTGATGCATGTTGCCTTTTGATAAAATCAACCGTCACTTTCCTTGAACTAAGCAACGCCCACACATTCCTTGAAAGATTCTGTCAGAAATGCGAAATCACGTATCCAACCAAAATCCTCACCTGTAACATGCACCTGCATCTCCATCTTCACGATGTCATTCGTGATTTTGGACCAGTGTATGGTTATTGGCTCTTTGGGTTTGAGAGATTTAACAGTTTGTTAAAAAATATGAAAACAAACAGAAAAATTGGGTTTGAAGAAACCTATATGCGAAAATTTGTTAAAGATGTACACAAGGAAGACTATGTCAATGCTGTTCTTTGAGGTCCAAGCCAAGTCTCCTTCTGCCAATTCATTTTTAAACTTATGTCAACACCTATGCCAACCTCTATACCAATTACCACCCCTACCATCTGTCAACGTACCTTCCGTCTACAATCCTTTATTGATTATTCCAAAAATCCAGATCTTGTCATCAAAGGCAATGAGCCTCTCCCTCCTTCCGTCTTCCCACTTCTTACAGCAGCATTAATACCAATGAGTAATATTCACTATCTTCATCTCTTTGAATATTATAAGACTGCATACCAAAATCAAGCATTGGTCTATTACGAAGAAGCTTCATCATCACTGTACTTTGTTGACAACCTGATAAATAAGCTTAAATCAGTAAACATTCTTGGCCAGACTTATAAAGGCCAGAATGAATCAGGACATCATGGTTCCCTCATTCAAGCCAAATTTTATGGAAGTACAGGCCAGCATGTACTCGCATACACAGGTTAAATTCAGTACTTTTTCACACATTCCTTTATCCCACCACCTACCAACAATAACAATCGCCAATTCCGGCTTATGCATTATGATCAACATGTTTTTGCTTTCGTCAAATGGTTTATGCCAGCTGACAATCATTCTCGTTCACTTTAACATGTTAATATTTGTTATCCTACGTTCTCTCATGACAGCCATCAAAGCATATTGTCAGTGCATAGAATTTTGTTGCAAGTTGCTACAGCTGAGCATACAACACATCAAAATGTTAAAAAAATACTAGTCATTCCTTTACCAAAAAAACACTATGCATAGAAATTAATAAAATTTAACTCTCCTTTTTAAAGAATCCAAGAGAAAAAGACAATTGTAGCATTCATGTTTTGCAATAAGTTTGTGTTTGTTGAAATTATAATGTGAAGGATGAAAGAGAATTTTTTTATTAGAGCTTATCTCTGAAAGCCCACTGGGGAAGAGAGTACTTCAGTTGACTCGGGACTGCTAAATCAGCATCTCTGCCAAAGGTCTTCTTTGCCATCTGGCGCACATTTAGGTTCAAGCATCTGAGCATGGCTTTGTTAACATGCTCCAGAAACTGATTGTACTAGATTACAATAAAAATATTATGTTTATTTTACTAAAAGACAATAGATTGCATTTAACATTATTTATAAAAGTATTTACCTCATCGCTTCTCCAGAATGGACGCACTGTACAGAGCACACAATTGCCTGGAACTCCAGGTATCTCATCCTTCGACTCATTCTCAGACATTGCTGCCTTGTTGATGAGCCCTTCGCAATCCTTTCCCATCAACGTATCAATGTCAGCCTTGTATATACTGTAGGCCAGCTCATGGCAGTCAAAGTTCTAATAACACACATTTATTAATATTACTCAATATTATTATTTTTATCAAAATACAACACAACATACAGTGGTTGCTCGACTTGCTCTCCTTGACCTTGATCTTCCTGCATCAAGGGCTGACGGCGACTTTCGTTCAGCAGAACATCTTCCACAAAAGTTAGTATAAATACTACTGCGGATTTCAGATGGCCTAAGCCTACCCGCAGCAAACTTTGGCTTCAGGTAAGCCATAAGTGCAAGTGTCAGTTCTTTATTAGGGGAACGATTGAAATGAATTTCAGTATTCCAACTGGACTTGCTGTCATTTGCTGCAATCAAAGCTGCATTATTTGATCTGAATTTTGGATCCCTTAATCGGCTTCAGATAAGAGACTATGTGGTATTTCAGGTACGAAACAATAGAAAAATAAAATATTTGATAATAGAGGCGTATAGAAATACTTTGAGACTGTATATAAGTTGTTCTTATTCATAAATAAAAAGTGTCTCTTTTTATAAGAAAACACAATCTGCTCTTGTCATTACGTCTTAGTTTCTTAAGGCTTTCTTCCTTTACTATATTTGGTTATTATAGTGTATTTACTGCTTAACTAGTGTCGGTGTTACAATTATGACATCAAGTCATAAATCGTACTTCTTTAGCTCTTAGCTATTCTTTTCTCTTTTATACTAGAGCTTTAGGACTTCCTACTAAATTAGCTCCATATCGATCTGACACAGTTTACCTGGCAGTATGATATAATTATCTTAACAATCTTTAAGATATTATCTACAGTACTAACTGTAATAATTATTGGGCTGATTACTTAATCGTTTATATATATTTTATACTGACAAGATGATAGCTACTATGCTATCCCAATATGAATATGTTCTTAGATGTGATAAATCCAACATCCGAGTGTCTGGATCACCACAGACTATATATTGTGTGAGATAGTATATTGATAAATTACTTGATAATGCTTTACTCACAAAAAGTCAATTGTAAACTTCTTGATTAACATCAGTAGAAGTGGCAGCGGGAGCAGAGGTAGGAGCAGACACTGGAAAAGAGGTGCGGTTTTCTTATGTGTAAAACTGTAATTAATTATGTGAAAAGACCAGGTTTTACGATGTGATCAGATAGTTTTTACAAGTGTATGAAGCTGGCTTACTCATAGGTGGTAAGACCAACTTTCGAACATAGGAAAAGGTCAGAACAGCAGGATAGTAGGATGTGTTTGCATTTTCTGTATATGGGTTTTTACCACATGCACTAAAACGGCAACTCAGAATTACATTTTGTTGTAATATATCCTACCGCTTTCCGATTAAAAGAACGATAAATGAAAGATCGATTATACGGATATGCCAGTTTTTACATTGTTTAATTTATGGATATGCCAGTTTTTACAGGGTTTTGTTGTATTTGAATTTATTTTATCCAATCTTAGAGACTTCTTCTTATACTGTTTGCTTCCATACACTTCTCCGATCTTTAATTTATTTATAATAATTATTGGTTTATTTTGTTTTTATTAGAAAGAAAAGAATATTCTTAGGTTTATAGTACAGTGGTTATATTTAATATTCAGGAACATTCTGGCTAGTGTTCTATCCTTCATACAATTTGAAATGGCCAATGTTCTGATAAAACAAGTATTCTCCAAACAATATCTCCCAGAGAAAAGCCCAGTTGTGTGTTGCTTGCTTGTAAATGGTTGTTCTATGAAATTAGAAAAGTGTTAACTGTTTGAACAAGAAATCGTGGATATTAAGAATATATATATGTAATTATGCTTGCAATATAATAGCTTATCAGAGACAAAAATAAAAGGCGTTATGAATGCGAACCATAGTACTCAATATACTTTATTTGGCTATAAAAATGCTGAAAAAAAATTATTTTTTGTGAACTGTGTGGTAGAATATTTCATTTACCTACCCAAAGCAAAAGGATTTATTTGCAGACCAAGAGAGTACATAGGAGACGCTAATATTGTCTTCAGTAAATGATATACATTAATATACAAAATAAATAATATTGTTATATGTACAAAAAAAATTACCATGTCAATGACACTCGTATGAAATGAAAGTTCTTGATTCGCGATGTGCTCATGAGAGGGAGGTTCATCTATAATAGAAATTATGTTAAGCCATGTGCTTATTAAAAAGAGATAGATTGAAATAAAATAAAATATTACCGTGTTCATAACCGTGTTTAATAGTAGAGAGTAATTTCGGCGATATGGCCTATACAAAAGAAAGGAAAAGGTCAGGATAATTTTATAGGATGACAGCATAAAGTATATTTACTAACCTTAGCTAATCCGGATGGACATTGTGAAGGGGATGCATCAGAAGGTAACAAAACACGAGTGTCTGTAGTAATAGAAAACAATTATTATCATTTTAGTTATATATATATATATAATATTAAAGAATAAGATATCTTACCAAGAAAATCTGTGAATATAATAAATGTTGGAAAGAGAGAAAAGAGAGAAAACTTGTAAATGAAAAAAAAAAAACAAAAAGAACAAAAGACCAAAGGGCCAAAAGGCCGAAAGACAGAAATCATATATTGGATTGAGTTGAAAAAAGCATGTTCAAAGCCGATTTGCACCCCGTTAATTCCAGGAAGTATTAATAGAGATACGCGTATTAAAGAAATCCTGAGTATTTACAGCAACAAGTGTAATATAATAAATGGGTTCTTGCTTTTACTTTTACCATCTTTCCATTAACTACACTTTATTCTTTCGCTTAACACCTAACTTCTTTTGTATGTTAATAACACTCTATATATACAATGAATAGATATATAAAACAAATATAATTAACAATCAACTCATGTATAACATTTTATTAGATAGCTTTCAGACCATGGTTAACAATCGTCAGTCAATTGCCCCGGCTCCATCCCCGGAATATACTGAGCTTTTAAGAAGGCTCACCGCTATGGAGGAAAGTCTCAAGACCATGGATTCAAACATTGGCATTGTTATCAAGGGGAACAAAGATTCATTGGAAATACTTGATAGCGTTGCCGATGCCTCTGGAGAACTTCTTGCAGTTATTGCTCCTACCACTATACCTGCTTCTGCTTCTGTCCCTTTCGCAGCTTCTTCTGTTGGTTCTACTCTGGATTGGTATACAACACCTTCTGAGGCTTTTTTTGGTATCTTTTCTGCTGCTCCTTCTGTTGCTCCTTCTGTTGGTCCTTCTGTCGCTCCTTCTGTTGGTCCAGTGGTTCTTACTGGTGCAAACGCTGGTGAACTTAGTAAACAGGATCGCACTAGAGTTTTAGTAAGTGTTGAGATGTACAGTAGCTCATCAACATAATATCTCACACTAAGTATAGGCTCTTATCCGAGGAGAGTTGAAGAAACACAACTTCAAATCAAATAAGCCGGAACTAGTTGCAGCTAACGACAGCAAGCGCAGTTGGGATGTTAATGTTGATTACAGACTTCCACCCAACAGACAGCTGATGCATGACCTTCATGCATACCTGGCTCCAAAGGTTGTTGGGACTAGTGTTCGACAGGCCGATATTAGCGATTGTATCTACACAAACTTTTGTGGAACGAGACGCCGAGTCAAGGAATCCTATGAAGCGCGCAAAAAGACAAATTCTCGGTCAAGAAAAGCAGGTCGAGAGACCGATGTATGTTAGAAGTATATTTTGATTGCAAATTAAATGTATTCATATTAATACATTTATAAACTAGCATTTTGACCGTCGCGAGCTGACCTACCATACATTCAAGGCTGAAATTGATATGAAGGTGGGTAAGAGCTGCGACGGACTCTTACAGAAAGAAGCAATGTCTGAGGGCGAATCTGAAGACGATATGCCTGGAGTCTCGAGCAACCGTGCGATTCGTACAGTGCGTCCAAGTTGGAGAAGCGATGAGGTAATTTCTTTTGTTTACATTATTGTATATAGCTTTTTTTTGTTTTTTTATGTATTTAAATGAAACAGAACTTTGATTAATCACTTATTTGTATTTAGTACAATCACTTTCTTGCAGTTGTTGATGATTTTATGCGTAATCGCATGGACTTCAATTCGCGTCAGATGTTGAAGAGGTCCTTCGGTAGAGATGCTGTTTTAGCAGTCCCGCCTAGATTGACGTCCCTTCTCCCTCACTGGGCTTTTAGAGATGAGTTTCAATAAATTTTGTTTTCTTATCCTCTACATCCTCCACATCCTCCATCTGACAATGATAAACGTACCAACAAATACAAACACTATGATTATTCTTTTCTGTGTGCCTTTAAAAAAGGGAGTTATAATTTTATTATTTTTTAAATGTATTGTTTTTTTGGCAAAGGAATGACCAGCATCTTTTTTACTTTTCTGCGTGTTGTGTGCTCAGCAGTTGCTACTTCTAACATAATTCTATGCACTGGCAATACACATTGGAAATCGTCAGGAGAAAATGTTGGAAAGCAGGTTTCAACGTGTTCGTACTCTCGCGATTTATCATTTTTGGGTGTGTACCATTTGATAAATGCAAAAGTATGTTGAGAATTGTGAAGAAGTTGTGTTGGGCGGCGATGGGTGCGGAGCAAGGGAGTAAGGGATGAAGAGGTGGGTGGAGGAGTGAAAGAATGGGTGAAAATGTACTGTATTTGACCCGTGTATGCGATGATATGCTCACCAGTACTTCCAATGAACTTTGCTTGTACAAGAGAGCCACGACTTCCAGATTCACCTTTACCCTTGTAGACCTGCCCAAGGATGTTGATGTATTTCAACAGGGTGATTGTATTGTCGACAAAGTATGGTGATTCCGACGCTTGTTGAAAGTGAACTAATTGTTCATTGTTGTACGCAACTTTGTAGTATTGTAAGAGATGAACATAGTGAATGTCACTCATTGTGGTAGCGGATTTTAATGATAGAGGGAATGCGGAAGGAGGGAGAGGTTCGTTGCCTTTTACAAGTACATTTGGATCTTCAGAAGCCTCGACAAATGACTGTATGCGGAAGGTACGTTGACGGATGGATGGAATGGTGGCGGGTGTAAAGGAAGAAGTGAGTTTGGTAAGGAGAGGAAATGCAGATGTCTGGCGGGTACTCTGAAGGAAACTGTTGACAAGATCGTCTTTGTGCACATCTTCAATAAATTTCTTCATAAATGTTTCTTCAAACCCGATCTTCCTGTTTGTCTTCAAATTTTTTAACAACCCGTTAAACCGCTCGAACCCGAATAGCCAATAACCGTACACTGGTCCAAAATCACGAATTGTATCTCGAAGATGGAGGTGTAGGTGCATATTACAGGTGAGGATTTTGGCGTTGTACAGCTCGTCACATCTGGTGCAAAAAGTTTGAAGAAACTGATGGGCAGTGTTGACTTCATCGAACGTGATCGTTGGCTTGATCAACAGGCGGCATGCATCAACAAAGTTAATCCAGTTTTCGAATCTGTCTTTTGCAAGAACATCTTTCAACAGAACTGGCGAGTATACGAGCACCCATGACTTCCACTCGTCTGCCTTCATATACGAAAACTGCTTTCCTATTTTCGAGTTCAAAGAGGTGTATCCACCAGGCACAATCATCGTTTCTGCAGTCTTCTGCATTGCCGCAAAATCGCCATCTTGAATGTCTTCGTCTTTGATCCAACGATCCATCAATCTTTTAGGCGTTCCCAGGAATAAATTATGCATGGGATCGATGATCGTTCCACGTACTAGATCAAGGTATCCAAGGCGATGCAACTGCGACCATCGAACACCATTTTCGACCTCCAGCCGATGCCTTTCTGAGGGGGTACTAGCACTTTCCCACTCCTTAGCATGCAACCTGTTCTCTACACCGTCACGAAGCACCCACCGAGAGAAGTCAAACCCACGAAAGTCAACATTGACACCGTTTTCCAAGCGAGGGAAATGTCTGTTGCACTTGTAACATGCGCATGTACTGTTGTGCGAGGTGAAACCACTTGTCTTTCTTGCTGCCGGGATGTCACAGGCCACCATCATCAATGCGGCACGGACGCGGACACCACTAGGACACTCGAAAGTTGGGATTGCCAGTCCCTCATACAATCTTATCAGATCATCTACCATAGGCCGGAGATAATGGTTTATCTCTTCGGATTTGGGTTCCTTCGGGCCAGGCATCAATCCTACGAGAAGTGTGTTCTCTGGCTTGTATCTTTCATTGCGAGGCAGATTGTTTACTACCAGGTATATGGCACCAGTCGAGTGCGTGACGTTATCGAAAGGTTGAAACCAGTCGATGTTGAGAGTCAACATTAATGAACGCGAATCCTTTGTGAATTGCACGCCATCTTTGTCTTTGAGCTCCTTCCACATGGCACCGTCGTATATGTCACACATCGTATCCACCATCTTCAGCTCGTGATTCCAATGTCTAATTTTATCCTCGAATCCTGGACGAAGAAAAAACATTCATAAAGTATTAACGACGGACTGGTACAAGTATGAACGCTTGGCCACCAAAGCACCCGATGCTGATGTTTTCGTCAATTGGCAGTTGCAAGATGAGCGTGCACCAAGCTTTACGAAATCGCAATGAGACGGGACAGATGCACTTTCTTCGTACACCTTGTGACAATCCTGACACACAACAAATTTCTTTATGCCTTTGGTCATGGCTGAGAAACCTGTCATGCGCTGAAGACCAGGAAGGCTCAAGGGCAGTTGGAAATCCTGCTCGTAAATTGTCAAAAGCTTGTTGATGAACTCGATCAAGACAACGGCGCCCTTGTCAACCACATAGCGGGAAGCGAACATCACCACAAAAGTAGCAATGAACCTGTGCACTGGGTTCTGGGGCATATCGGGGGTGGCAAAAGGGTCTATTATAAAAAAAAATTAACGCTTTTTTTTTTAAAAAATTTTTAACACTAACTGACCTTCACTATTCAATTCATTGTTGTCGAGCTCAATAACATCGTCTTCGCTTTCGTCTTCACTGATTTCATTGCTGTTGCTTCCACTGTCATCATTGTCGCCATTGCTGATCGCGTCATTAGTAACGGAAACGTCTTCAGTGTCAGACATTGAAGCTCCTTCCCAAACAGGTGAGTTTGTCTGAGTGTACGATTCTTCCAGGGCTCCGGGTTGATGGGTTAAGATAGCTACATTTAGAATATAACACTTGGTTAATATCTAACGGTATCTGAATTAAATAAACCTTACGTTCATCATCGACCTCCATCATATTTCTTTGGGTAGACATGTCTATTACAACACGTTATTTCATGGATTACAATACAATTAAATAAATTCAAATATTGTACCCCTTTCACATCTTATGGCATTTAGTCTTGCCCTTTTGTTATGACGTTGAGCAGTTCTTCTGGCAACAAAACTATAGCCGAGATCGTTCTGACTACATCCAGCACAATGGCACTTTTCGTTGTAGAGTTCAGGAATTGTGGACATAATGTTTATTTATTTTTACTTTGAAGTGTTAAGAGAAAAAGGAAACAAGTACAACGTTTACTAAATTTACTATGTCTTTATAATGAAATGTTATGTCTTTATAATAATAATAATAAATAATATTTTCGCCTGTTGTATCCAAGCCAATAGAAAACCGGAAAACAGTGTTTTCATCTTGAACACACAAAAAAAGCTGAGATGAAAAAATACCCCAGATTTTCTATTGTTATAATTTAACTTTGTACATGGTAATTCCCATATGTTTTTCTAGTGAGAGGTGGGAGCAATCTCAAGAACATTATTAGAAGTTCCAGTAAGAGTATCCAGAACTTCTAAATCATCAGCGTTGCCTTTGACAATGTAGCCAACTTTTGAATCCATATCCTTCAGGCTTTGCTGCATTGCATCTAATCTAGCAATCAAATCTGCATGTTCTTTTGATGGACGGGGAGCAAGTGTATGATTGACTTTAGGCATTTTCTATAAATTAATAAAAAAACAAATAAGTATGAACTATCTATATTATGATTTAACATTATATATACAACATAGTGTTCTTTGTATATAAGAGTACTTGTAAAATATAGTCTTTTGTATGTATGTGAATGTGATTATATGTTTACATTTGAGTGTGAGTGTGAGTGTGAGTGTGAGTATTTGTAAAAGTGCGAGTGTATCAAAGAAGCTAATTAATATTTTGAAAGAAAATATATTTATTGACAATAGGGATTGTTTCAAGAATAAATCTAAATTGCTCTCTTACACAAGCTCTGTGTAAGATACAATGGAAATATTGCTTTTGGGTTTTATTTCATTACACTCTTTCAGTTTCTCTTGAGGGCAAGCATTTGTTTTGATTTCTTTATTACTTCTTTTGTAATTTTTATTTTTATTTGTATTTTTATTTTTATTTTTTTTCTCTTTGTCTCATTCTGGCTTGTCTTTCTCTTTTCTTTCTCTTTTCTCTCTTTTTTCAAGTTTTATTATACTATGGGAAAAAATGGCGGTTTTTTGCTTTTGTGACTATGTTTTCAGTCTATAATAATTAAAAAATCACTAAAAATCCAATTTGAAACTAGAAAATCTCTGTTTTTTGAAAAGGTTGACAAAAAGCAAATTGACTACCTAAAATTAAATCTCCTGATAGACAAAAGTAAGCTTTAACTACAGACTTTACATTTTTAGTAAATGTAGATTGCATTTGATGACTATTAAAAGTCAGAAGAAAAAGAGAAGAAAATATCTAAACTTTCTGCTGAGAAAATAAAATATGTTAAGACAATTTGAAAAAAAAAATGTATTACAAAAAAAAACAAATTATAGGTCTGCAAGAGAACCAAGTGACAATTTTGGGCCGCGGTTAAGCTCTGGCCACACTATGTATGTTGTTGTTGTTGTTGTTGTTGTTGTTGTTGTATTTATAGTCGCGTCCGACTTCACCAAACCAACCAATTCTTTGACATCTGCCAGGTGAACTACCTTTGGCTTCATTTGCCCATTGTTAACAACTGGTATACCATTTACCAAACGGACTGCTGCAATCTCTACAAGAGCAAGCAGCCACCTCTTCTTGTTGAGCTTGTGCTCAAAGAAGACAACAACTTTTCCGAAGAAATCCTTGTAAACCAGGGAGTATGCAGAATTTATGTTGCAGTTTTCATCAACCTGAATCTGTAATCTGATGTTATGTGCCTCCCTTACACAATTTTGGTCGAGTGCAAAGTCAATCACACAACCATTGACAAATGCCTTGCGGCTAGTTTGTATAGCTGCTTCAATCATACTACACTCTTCCCCCTTTGATTCGTAGAAGTCTTCAAGAAGTTTCGAAAGACAAGAAATGCCTTCAAAACTATCTCAGATCGTTCTATTCCTCAAAGGCCCCCAGAACTCAATATCAGACCCAGCACCAACACGCTCACCCTCATCTGTCAACGGCCAACCAGCAGTGGAATCTTCATATTGTAAGTGTTGTGCTGTTCTTGCTTCTGTAATCATGACAGTGGCTCCGGCCTCTGCTTGTCGTATTTGTGCTAAGCCAAGCATGATATTGCCAGCGTTAACATTTATAGCAGAATTACTCTTGGTAGCCCTTGAGTATTCACCAATTGCCCGTTCCATGGATCTGGCGCTATATGCACGAGGTGGGCCGTATGCGTCGATCATGAGAGGATAGTGCTGAAGAAGATGCTGGTTTATAGTGAAAATATTGATTTTGATTTTTCCACTTGTAAGCAGCAATTCCAGGTACATGTTCCATATTTCAAGTTTACTGAAGAAAAATAGTTAGAATAAATAATAGAATAACACATAGCTTTTACTAAAATATACCTTTTGATAGAGGCTTGTTCCTCTGCTGATAACTCCCAGCTCATTAGTAGGTTACATGCTTGAACCAAGCCAAGTAACGCGTTCCGGGCAGTTGCATCTCCAATACGCTCTGCCACCAGCATAGGGACGACAAACAGAAGAAAGTCTGCCCAATCAACAGCCTTGAACGACCCGGGGTTCTTGTATACATCCCTCCAATCGCCATGGAAGGATGTAGGGATGGTATTTCTTGTTTTGTACATTGCTGTACCGATCTCCTTCTGAATACCAGAAGAAAGAGCAAAACAATGGTCTGTTCTGTAGGTACCAGAAGCCAAACCCCAGATCTGCTTGCTTATTCCATGGCAAAGTCCATGCATCTCATCGAGGGCAAAAAACAATGGTCCAGAGAATACCTTCAATGTTGCCAGGGGGGATTGTCCGTTTAACCCTTTGCGGCTGGATGCACTGGCCTGGGAAAAATTCTGGAAACTTTCCAGCGTACGGATATTGGTGCTGGGCAAAGTTCTGAAGTATTGTCCATGCTTGGGACATTGGCCGACAACATGACAGATACGGCAACCATCTTTGCTCATATGTCCAGAATGACATGCCAACTTTGCTAAGGCGGGAATGTCACCAGTGACCATTAAGACATGTACCTTGGCACGAATGGTCTCGTTTGGTGTCTTGACGACCATCCCTTCGCTCTCCAACACCAGGAGCTCTTTCATCGTTGGTTCCATGAACGACCAGAAATTGGCAGGTGCACCTGGACCTGGGATCATTGCGATCTGGAGCATTCTGCTTCTCTCATACCGGACCATGGGATTCAGGTTAAGAATGGTGGCATGGAGGATCGTTACAGAACCAGGAACATTGTGTGGCGTGAATCCATCAACAGACAACGAAATTGCAATGTCATCTTTTCCAGAAAACAGATGTTTTACTTGCTGGTAAACCTGGCCATCAAACACATCGGCTTTACTTCCATCCGAGCTTGGCTCATGATTATGGCAGTAATGCATATCTGCTCTTGTATTCTTGTTGGCTAACGCAAGAGCCAGTTGTCTCGCCAATGGAAGCTGCATCATCGTGGCAGCAGCAACCAGATCATCACCCTTGGTTTCTCCGCGTCTTGTTTTGTACCGGCTTTGTCTACAGTTGGAGCACTCAGTCTGGGATGGACTGGTAAAGAGCATACATCCCCTCTGACAGATATCATGGACTGTCTCTTCAACACCCGAGAAACGCTTCAAAAGCTTTTTGCCAAGATGGGGAGTACATGCTCTGTATGTAATACAAGTCGACGTTTCCAAAATGCTGTTGAAATGCTTGACTATCATTTCATGGGCATTGCAGGAGATACCAAAATCCTTAATGATCTTGAGAAACTCAAGGTTCTTTGCATCGTCTTTGTCAGGGTTAGGTGCAGGCTGACTGAAGTCAAAAACCAAAGGAGATGTTTCGTTTTCAATGATATCCATGTCGTTGCCAAGTTTCGCATCATACTTTAACAAGGTAAATAATAATTAGCATTATATAATAAGACATATATATATATCTTACCATAGACTCATCATTGTCATCATTACTGAAGATATTCATAATTGCATCATCGTTATCTTCGCTGTTGAGTATATCCATGATCTGATCTTCGATTGCATCAGCACGTTCTCTGCTTGTTTATGAAGGTAACAATATAATTAATTACACTTTCTAATAGTATGTATGTGATTTGTAGTCTTACTCGATAGTGTCGTTCAAGACAGTGTTCAAAACAACACTGACTTGGTTAGGAACAGGCGTGGTTTGCGAAGTCTGGATATCATTATGTCTTCTATGATGGTTCTTAAAGCATTGAGCTCTATAACTCATGGCTTTTTTTAAATTGGTGTGGCGCTCTTTGCATTGATTGCATTGGTAACTATCAAGGATTGAATTTGAAGACATTTTTTAGGTTGGAAATAAACACTTAAGAATAAAGGTATGAATATTGATAATTCCTTTCAAATAATATGTCTTTATACTTAATAGCATTGAGAGTTGTATAGATTTAATGACTACAAGTAGGCAATGACATAGATGATACAAATATAAACTCAGGAACAGAAGCTAAAACATTGTGTAATAGCTGTTATTAGAACTACAGTAACCCAATAATAATATTGGCTGGACCAATAGGTTAAACTCATTTATATAAAACTAATAATAGACAATAGAAAATTTTTTGGCCTTTATCTTTCTTTCACAACAATTCTTTTTCTCAGGTAAACCAAACTCTCAACACGAATAACACAGATAACAATTCCATGTCTTTGCTACATGTCATGTACAGTGAGATACTATCTTTAAAGGCAGGCTAAGAAAAGACCAAACTTGAAATGAAGGCACAGATCGAAGAGTTGAAGCTTGAAATAAAGATAAGCATTGAAAATTTGAATTTGGAGATTACTGCTCTCCAGAGTCAACTGGAGAATAGAAACATTCTTAACCAACACACTTCGCCTTCTGTCTCTGCCATTGTAAGACAAAAAATAAAACGAGTTGAATATATATTAATATGTCATTTAATAGTCTAGTGCTAATACCATCCGCAAACCGGTGAGCATATTCCGTGAAATAACTTTAAAGCATATCTTCAAGATGATAAGTGAAGACCTTGGCATTGAAGTAACAAGTAACGAAAAGGTCATGCTCAATATGTGTACAAAGCTTGTATGTGATGATATGGCTGCCCATCCTTTGGTGATCGCTCTTGGTCCTAATCCTAGCTGGGGGTCTATACCAGTAGCACTTAAGAAATAAATGTGTGCTAGGCACGCAAATATAATGAAGGATTCTAGTATAGACTTCACTAGGTGTCTCGGAAACTGAGCATCAACTGCAAGAGTTGCACATCTCTGAAGGGACTGCCATAAAAGATTACAGTCTCGTAAGTAATCTGGTGTAGTAGAATTGAATAGAATATTTTACTATAAAAACCTAGAATATTAAATAGTAAATAGCCAATAAATTGTATCTATAGATTTTTTTATGCTTTAACAGCCAATAAAATAAACAATATTATTTATTTTTCTGTCATAATAACTAATAAAATGAACAATATGATTTTTTTTCTGTCATAACAACCAATAAAAATGATTAATAAAAATGATCTTCTATTGTAATAACTAATAAAAATTTGTATTTATTAAAATAATCAAACATTTACATGTATATTATCCAATAAAAAACTGCTTTCATAAAAGTAACATTAAAAAAAAATTACTAGTGTCCAATAGAATTCCTTTCTAAGCTAAAATATTAAAGTAATAAATGACATTTAAGAGAGTACCCAATAAAAGTAATTGATTATATAATATACTTTATACAATAAAGAATGAAACGCTGTCCAATAGAAGAGCCAACAAAGGAGAATCAGAAAGCGGGGATCTTTAATATATATTTAAACTCCAGGGGGGCAAAGTGGATATTTGGCAAAAAACCGCCACAAAGCCACCTTGTCAAACTGCCATAAAGCAGCCATAAAACCCCACTTTTTTTTCCTGTAGTGTTATATTTGGATATTTTAGTAAGTTATATTCTTTTTAAAAAGAGCTTCATCACAGATAACAAATAAGAATATTTATATATTTGGCTGCCATAGGCACTTGCTCCATCTTTCTATTCATTGTTTATTATATGTCAGGGTTTTTATGGTAAGGTGGCGTCTTTTTTTCATAAACAGCTAAAAAAAATACTGATACATTCTGTTGCCATAGACACTATCATTCTTTTTATTTCTGATGCATCCTCTTCACAATGTCCATCCCAATTAGCAAACGTTAGTAAGCATTGTCATCTAAAATTTTGCTGACTTTTTTATAGGCCGTGTTGCCAAAAACATACACTACAACTAAACATGGCAACCAACATGATAATATTTTATAGTTCTTTTTATTTATTACATTTTGTTTTAATATTTATCTAACAAAATATAACCTTTATTATAGATGAATGACCCTCTCTCAAACATTCTCTGCATCTAGAACTTCTATCTCATGCTACTGTCATTGATATGGTAAGACTTGTTTTTTCTTTATTCTCTTTATATGTACTGTAATATTATTACACTGTATATTAATATAATACAATATTCTACAAGAGACTATATCAGCTCTTGACAAGGACTATCAAGGTTTACAAATACAACTGTTTGCTTTGGGTGTGTAAATTAATTACTATATTACTCAATTCACCCAAACTAATTTTTTCAATAATTTTCATAGTCAAAGTAGTCATACTGGGTGCCATGTCCAACATTCCTGATATCCTCTTGATTTTCTCACTTGTATCTGATGTTTTTAATGTAAGTATATTTTATACAATATATTTTTTAGATTATTTGATATTCTACATACATAATTAACACCCTTATAATTTTAGAGAACAGGCATCTTCAAGCAAACTATACATCACTGGTTTTTTTGAGAGAAATAATATCTGTGTTGCATTACTCAATTCAAATAGTATGAAAGATGATGAGGAAAGCAGTCCAAAATATATAATTGTATCACTAGACTGTAAACCTAGAAGTATTCTTTTTTCCTAATAAACACAAAATAAACCAATAAGAATTGCAATGCATATATGGGGGGAGAAGTATTTTGCAGTTAATTGTACAAGAAGAAGTGTCTAGAATTGACTCAAATTTTTGTTTTGGAGATTATAACCATGGAAAAGTTGGCTTTTCAATGAAATAAACCATAGAAAAGTTGGCTATTCCATTAAATTTCATGCTTGTTTATCGTTCTTTTAATCTAAAACAAACATAAAGTATTACAAGAAATATAGTTTTGAATAAAATGCTTTGGTGTAATAGGGAAACTCTATATACAGAGAATGCTAATAAACTCTGCTTCTCAGCTGCCCGAGCTTTTCCTATGTTCGAAAGTTGGTCTTTCTACTTAGTAGAAAGGTGGCTTCATACCTTTGTGTAATTTTTCTGATCATATGAAAAAACCTGGTCTTTACACATATATTTTGACAGTTTTTAACAGAAGAATATCCTATTATTTTTCCAGTGGATATTCCCAAGCATTGAATCACGGAAAGCTAAATTCTACAAGAAAGAAGTTTAAGATGACATCGCTGGTCCCAATTTTTTGGATCTTTTGGCCTATTTAAGAATCGTTTTTCTTCAGGTAAGAAATTAGCAATAGTGCTTGGATAAATAGTTCTCTTTAATAATTTATAAAAATAGGACTCTGTGGTTTTACGAAAGAAGTACCCAAACCATTACTTGTGTATAAGTAAAATATTTTCAACAAGCCTATACCAAGAGTTTGAAACACAACTTTCTGGTGCCATTGGTGAATCAACCGACAAGTTTCAAGTGAGCAACCGTATTCAAGTTGTTGCACCAGAGATAGCTGCTGCTATGCAAGCCAGATTTGATACAATGATCAGCTCCTTCAATATAATACAAGCCCAAAACCAATTTGAATTTGCAAATGCCAGAAGTGTAGGCCTAGAGACTAGAAATGTACTAATTGAACCCTTTTTACAAGCTTCATTTTGTCTATGCAATAATCCTTCTCAAATCTAACAATGCCTTGAAAATGTCTTACAGACACAATCTCCCGCGTCCTCTGACCACACTGCTCCTTCTGTTCCCTCTGTTACTTCTGCTTCTCTTGGTTCCTCAGTCCTGTCTGCCCCGTCTGCTCCCTCAAGCTTTACCCAAGTTACAAATCCAGACAACAATGAAGAGATATCACCATATTATAAAATAAGCCAAAAAATTCTAACTGTAACAGATATGTGGCGCGAATATTCTGTTGGAATATCTGGGAGCCCATCAATTAGATTTCTTGAACAAAGCTTTAGGGCAAAGTGGAGAATCCACAGTCATAACAAAACAGAATCACAATTCTTTAGCAGAAGAGTTCATATATACAACAAGGTGAAATGGCTTGCTAAAGAAAGATATTTGACAGAAGAAGAAGTTGCCCTGCTTGTTAAGAATAAGCACCATGATTTAAAGATATCTTTAAATGAACTTGCAAAAAGAATTGCTGATAGTGGCATTATCTTCTAAAAAACATTCAACACATACTTACATATATATATATTTAATACTTTCCATCTAATTTAGTCTTTTTTTTCTTTTATAATTTTATACAATTCTTCAATAAATTTTTTCTTCTATGCTTTTAAAGTTAATATAATATAATTATTATATCTTTGTATTTAATATTATTATTTCATAATATCTTTACACAATTCTCCCTAACAATCTTTATCAAAAATAATAATATATCTTGTCACTTTCAAGCTTCCCTAATACACTTAAAAAAGTCGAATTCCGCTCAAAAAAACTTAGTAAAACTGCTATACAAAAAGGTCTGATTTTCAATTTTTTCCCAAAAAGAAAGTATTCTACCCTGTGTCTTTCTCTGACTACAAATTGAAGAGATGCCGTCTAAGACCATGCTTGTACCCAAATAATACTCACTCAGTACTTCTTTATGTGCAGTAATATATTCCTGAGCATTAACTGCAGTATAATGACTATTTTTTTAATTAAATATAAATAATAACTACTGCAATTAATATGCAGTATTAGTTTAGAAAACTATATAAGACAATTCAATTCATATCAATAAAAAGTATCTTTTATTCTCTCTTTAATTTTACATATATCCCTTGATCCCCAGTGGGTTTGACCTTTTGACTTTATTATAGTAAAAAGAAGACCAACCCAGATTGGGAACGATATGATTTATTCTTGCAATTATCAAGTTGTCAAGTCTTAATCTGGTATTTCTTTTCTGACACTTATGTCAGAGTTGACATCAAAGATAGAAATCCTTAAGTCAGGTATCCAATTAGTTATTTCTTTTAACATATGCCTTCAATATTATGTCAAGTCTCAATCTGGTATTTCTTTTCTGGCACTTGTAACTAAGTCGCAGAATCAATACCACTGGGGATCATCAAGTTTTAAGAATAGTTTTTTATATAAGAATAAAAATACTTTTTTATTAATTATATTTCTTGACTATTTATACAAAATGATGTTTGATTTCTGACTAAAAGAATATAGTATATTTTCTTAATAATCGCAAATTTTAAGATTTATATTAACTTTTTTTATTTCAAATGCCAATATATGAAAATGACATCAAAGCTAATCGTAAATACTTTCTGCAAGTCACAAATATTAAAAAAAAATAACTTACTTTATATATGCTAGATTTACTTTATACTTCTTTATCTACTATCTCTTATATAAACTTAATTAAAGTAAAAAATAATTGCTGAATTGGTTTGTCTAATAAAAAGTATATCTTTCTTAATCAATTTCTTGAAAAATAACACATTAACTTTTTTTTTACAATATTTCTTCATTTTTTGGAAATTGCTCTCTTGATTGACTGAATATGCTGTGACTTGCAGAAAAGTATTTACGATTAGCGTTATCCGAATTCTACAATGTCACCGCACTGCCGGACAACCAAACTTTTGTAAACAGTTGATTATATTTACAATACCCCATGTCAATATATCTGCTCCTCAATGGTCTAGTGGCTAGGATCCGACGCTCTCACCGTCGTGGCCGGGGTTCAATTCCCCGTTGGGGAAGTGTGTAGATTTGAATGTATTATTTTTGTCAGATATTAGGGACCTTTGCTGTTCTTAATTTTGGTGAACAAGTGTCGTTCCCGATCTGGGTTGGTCTTCCTTTTACTATAACAAAGTCAAAAGGTCAAACCCACTGGGGATCAAGGAGTATACGTAAAATCAAAGAGAGGATAAAAGATACTTTTTATTGATATGAATTGAATTGTCTTATATAGTTTTCTAAACTAATACTGTGCATTATCTGCAGTAGTTATTATTTATATTTAATTAAAGAAATAGTCATTATACTGCGGTTAAGGCTCAGGAAGATATTACTGCGCATAAAGAAGTACTGCGGTTAACCATCTTTAGATTTTACAGATTCATCAAAATAATGTCTGACATTTGTCAGAGTTGACATCGGCAATCAAAATTGGAATTCACAAGCAACTAATAATAGTTAACTTTTAGGGTAAAAGATCTTATCATTGCTGATTGGTATTTTGTATATGTTTTAAATGTTTAAGATGGTAAATATACTTGTAGAAGATATTACTAAATAACTAGTATCTAAGACATATTAACGTAGCTATTCTTTTAGCCAGAAAACAACAATTGTTTTGTATAAATAGTCAAGAATTATATTTAATAAAAATCATCTTTATTCTTATCTAAAAACTATTCTTAAAAACTTAATGATCCTCAGTGGTATTGATTCTGCGACTTAGTTACAAGTGCCAGAAAAGAAATACCAGATCGAGACTTGACAAAAGGAAGACCAACTCAGATTGGAAATGACAAAAGCGTCAAAATGTATAAAGCCCAACGGGGGGGTCGAACCCCCAACCTTGAGATTAAGAGTCTCACGCTCTACCGATTGAGCTAGCCGGGCGTAGTTGCTTTGTAATGCGTGCTGTACATTAATTAGGCGTTTAGCCATGTCGTGGTGTCCAGTACCAGAAGGTCAGTCTGCTCAGTGGGTTTGTCTAGCAGTTTGTTGTGACGTGTCGTCCCGGTTATGAGAGGCTGACGTCAACGGTTTGTTGATGTGGTGCTGTGCCCTCGGTGGTAAGAGGAGAATTTTTCTATGCACAGGAAAAATCTCGTTTCTGTTCCCTGTTCTTTCTATACATAATACTTTTTTCTTTTCTCTTGTTAACATATTCGTCTATATTGTACTCATTCGAAGTCATGATCCCCCATGCTAGTAACATTCCTCTTTTACAATGCACACAATTCATCTTGCCGACATCTCCACGCAATATCAGTATCTTTATTATTATATTTTTACCATATTTTTATTCATATATTTTATCTTTGCTGTATTGATTATTGATTATTTTATTTTTACTATCTTTATTTTTCTGAACTTCTATTATCAACTTAAAATCTTGTCAACTATAAAAAGAGAAGCAAACTCAACTCAATAAAATAATCAATCAATCTTTTATTCAGTTTCAGGATCTTTTTCTTGTTTTCTTCTCTTTATGATCTATATCATTTTACAACATAACATATCAGTTCCTTGGTTTTAAGAAGGTTGTTTGTTGGCTTTGTTCTTCTCATCAGTTATTACTGTTGTGGTGGTTGAAGTTGAAAAAGTTTTTAAGAGGAAGAATTGAAGATTTGAAATTAAGAACAAAGATTCGTGAGAACTTGTGTAGGTTTTGTTTATTGAGAAAGATTTTGTATCAAAGTTTGACGAGGTTCCTACACTGAACTACTACTGCTATTTATATTGTTTTGGATTGGGAAAATTATATGACTGGGGTCAGGTAATCGATCCTATCTGAGCCTTAATCAGAGCAATGTGATCTTGGGATAATTAATGTATGATTAATTATATAAATGTGTGTAATCCCAATGAAGTATTAACATCGAAAGTAAATGTGTTTATGAGTTATAATTATGCTTATAATAATCCACTGATGTATCCCATATTATGGTGATATCATCATATGAAATATAATCACTATCATGCATGCTAAACCTGTGTGTTAAATAATAAAGTAATCGGCAGACACCTTTGACTGGAATAGCTGAGGCCTTATATTATTTCCTTCAGACTTATTCTCAATTACAGCAGTAGTCAATACTCATTTACAACAATTACTTTTCTGTTTTGTCATTCTCTTTTTATATACCTTTCTCTCTCTCAGTTTTAACAATGATTCTCTTGGTTGTTCTCTCTTTTTTTACCTGTTAACTATTGCTGCTTGCTGCCTTTTGCTGTATCTGTCTTCTGCTCTATTCTATTATCATTGTATTTTATTTGCCAAGTAATCCATTATAATTTACAATAAACCTAACACATGATGTGTCATTTGACATGGAGTATTGTAAAAATGATTAGCACACAACAAAATTTTGATTATCTGGCAGTGTGGTGACATTGCAGAATTCTTTGTAATTCTAGAAAATTATATTCTATTATTATTATTTTTTGATTTTCTGATAGTGACCAAGGCTAAATAGAAAGTAATTTTTTTATTTGTAAAGCAAAACATCAATAAGTATAATGAAAAGACATCATTCTGTCAATAATAACTTTATACAACTACATATTGTATCTTATTTTCTCACTTTATTTAGCTGAATAAATCAACTTGGAATTAATATTATTTTTATTATCAAAGAGTAAGAATTTTTAAATATTTCTCTGGACATTCATTTTTAATGACTGATACTGGAATAATGGCAAATATCTTAGGTTCCCACCCAAAATAATTATTTCTTTTTCAATGAAGATCAGCACAATTATATTTTTTTATAAGTTATATACAGTCTAATAAAACTTTATTAAAAATTCGGTTTTTTTACACACATTTAAAAAATTATCATTATATTTTTATATATGTTCTTTAACATATTGATCAAGAAGCAGGTTTTTTTATTAAGTACTTGTCTTATTTCTCATATATAAGAGCAGCAATATCTTAATGTTGGAATTTCTTTTAGTCACCTATTACTAAGGATAATAAATTATAATGAATTTTCTAGCAAGACATTAATATAAGTAGCATGTAAAAGTACTATTTTTTCATCTTCTCAGACCTTTTAATATCTACTCAAAATGAAATCAAGCACTTCTAGCTATTCTGCTGCAATCTCTAATGTGAATGTTAGAATGATGGAGACACATATGTCTACTTCTTGTGAAGCTGAAGTTAACAGATCAGAGAACACAAAGAGAAGCTATGCTTCTAAGTAAAAAGAGTATAAAGATTGATGTAATGAAGCTTTCTTAAGCATTCTCCTCAAAAATTGCTACACTATATATGGAGATAAGCTTTATTTGTTTCTTAAAGACTGTGTAAATTTTTTGCTGTTGTTTGGAGATATATTCTGTAAGTAATTGAATTAATTATCTTTTCTTCTGTTAGGTTGTCAACCGAAACCATAGAAGAGATACTGAAAAAACTATCAAGTATGGAACTGCAATGACCTATTTTGCTGCTATTATGGATATGTACCAGAAGCAAGTTAAAGTTGGTGTGAACAACTACTCTCACCCTCGCAAGGCTTGTATTCAGCTGTTAGATAACATGAAGTTCAATGATGAGCATACTCATCATACTAAAAACTAGGACTGTGGCCTTGGAACTCTGGTAGATGGATACAACACAGAGAATGACATTGCTAGCATTGTTAGCTTTTATTTCTTGAGATCAAGTTGAGGTGATCTGAGAAATGCGGTATCTTTTCTTTTGTCGCATTTTTGTATGCTCCATGGCAAATCCACAAGAAAAGTCGAATTTGCTGACCTTCAGACAGTCATGTTGGATTGTGAAGAACCTTCCAAATGTCCTGCCTTTGTCTTGGTCTTGAAGCAGGGAAAGATAAACCAGTTTGGACAAATTGAGCTTGCAGCCTGCTTGCAAAATTCCAAGGTTGAGATTTGTCCATTCATAGCACTTGGATGCTATTTCTTCTGGAAATGACATATTGATGGTGAGCAGTTTCCATCTTTTGAAACATCCAAGGAATGTTTTAACCATAAGTTGTTATGATCTGGGCAGAAAACAACTAGGGAAATGCCTTACTCCACCCATCTTGAAGCAATCAACACAGCATTCAAGATCTGTGGAATTGTTTCCACAGCAAAGACCCATGCTGTCTGTGAATTATCAGCAAGAATGGCTGATATGAGTGGTGCCAACAAGTCAGATATCAGAAGGCAGGATCGCTGGAATAGCAGCACAATGAATGGTATATACCTCACCAATCTTCTGAGAGATGTGATGCATACACACCCACTGAAGTTTTTTTAATCTCAACGATGAAAAAGAAAAAAAAAGTGTTGATAAGAGTTTCCTTTTTAGGAAGCTCAAACAAGTTTTGAGGGGGGTCTTCCTCAAATAGTAGAATTGGGGGAGGGGGGTGCAAACATTGGGAATTATTTTTTGGGCTTAAAAAAGATATATTTTATTTTATTTCAAAAAAAGAAATAATTCTACTAAGTATTTTATAAGTTACAAGCTATTTTTTAATGAAAGCAGCTTTTACAGGTATGAGAAAGCTAATAAATAAGAAAGCATATTAATATAACAATTTACAGAATGTTTACTGGTTTTATCCTTTCAATTGGTGCCCATTTCCATCTAACTAGAACCCATTGACATCTGATTGGCTTCCATAGAAATTGAATTTGCATCCATTGCCAACTGAATTTGCACCCATTGCTATCTGAATTTGCTCCCCCCCCCTTTTACTATTGGCGGAAGGGTACATGGCACTCAAATTTTTTATCCTTATGCCTTACAATTTTTTTTATATAACCGTAGTATTTTTTTTGTAAACGTCATACTTTTTTTTGTAAACGTCGTATTTTTTTATATAACTGTAGTATTTTTTTTGTAAACGTCGTATTTTTTGGCATAAAACATGAATATTTTTATTAGGCATAATTAGTTGATAGAGAAATAAAACACATAATAAGAAGTAAGATATAATGAAATACAAAGTAATAAAAAAAGAAAAGCATAAAGCAGTAAAACAAATAAAAAAAGAGGGACATAAAGTGGTAAAAAAATAAGAAAAAGAGGGACATAAAGTAGTAAAAAATAAAAATAAAATAAAAAAAGACATAGAGTGTAAAGAGCTTAAATAGACATAAAAGACATACTTAAAGCTTTTGCTCTCTGTTCAAACAGCAAGGAAAGAATGAAATGGCATGGTTAATCCAACCCAAATAGTCCGAAAGGGTGACAGTCTTAGCTGATTCTGTAATCCTTAAGATGAGCCCGTCTGACTCTGTAATCTCTTCTCTGCGGACACCAAACTTGATCTTGGACCACATTTCCTCAATTGGATTCAGGAAAGGTGAATACACAAGAAGATATGCACACTTGTACCCACGGGAAAAAATAAAGTCTTTCATCTCATTGGCCTTATGGATAGGAACATTATCCATTACGAGATAATGTCTTTGCATACCCTGGCTGTCCAGAACGTCCATTGTATGACTAAGAAAGTTGAGGTAGTGCTGGGTCCTGGTACCAATTCTGCCATTCACCTCAACATTGGTGTAGATGTTCAACTTTCTCTTCTTTTTAGTTGCGACTGCAGTAGGTTTCTTCAACAAGAGACTAACAATCTCTCTCTTGCACATTGCACCAAGAATGGTGATGGACGCACCTCTCTGCATTGGGACAGTTGTCTTGGCCGGGGTGCCACTGACAGAATGGCCAAAAGTTCTCTTAATGTGCATGTTGAAGCCTGCTTCATTGATGAACACACAGTTTGACAGATAGTTGAAATCCGCAAGTTGTTGCCACTCCAAAATGTGGTCTTGTCTCATCTCAATTGTGCTGACATCGTCTCTCTTCTCAGGCAGCTTCTCCAACTTCTTCATTGTCAGGGCACACTTCTTCACCAAGTGCTTCTGGATTGCTGATTTGGTAATCTGCAGCCCAGAGAACTCTTCCATGACAGCTATCCTTGCTTGTTCCAAGGTAGCATCTAATTTATTTTCAAAAAACTTCAAAAAAAAGCAGAGTGCACCTGGAACAACTTTTGGTTGCCATGTTTTTGTTCTTTAGGCACAGAAACCTCCTCAACCTCCACCATCTCCAGCCCATTGGACTCATCAGTCTCCACCATGGCAGCATCAAAATTGGCCTGGATCTTCTCTCTGGCCAGTCTAACGTAGTTCCGGGCAGTCCAGACATTGATGCCTATTTCTCTGGCAGTGGCAGCAGCAGTCTGGTTTTCTTGGAAAACCAAGGAGAAGAGCTTGTTCACCTGGTTTTGGTTGTACTTTCAGTACAGACCTCGACCTATGCTTTCTGCAGTGGGAACAGAATCAGGGTCGACCTTCTCCAGCAGATTCGTCTTCGGCTTCTGTGTAACAATGGTTTTGGTGGTGGCCTTGTTGACTTCAGTTGGCAAAAAACTTCTGAGACTTAAGAGGTTCATGACTGCTGGGTTTCCGGCCAAGGTACAGGTCCATTTCATATTGGCATGGTTGACAAAGACATCTGTCACAGATCGGAGTATAACTTCTCCATGCATTTCGTCGACAATCTCTTGGTTGAAATTGCACAAGGGGTCGAAAGCAATTCCAGAAAACTGGGTTTGGTCTGCAGAACCGCTGTGACTGACCATTTCACAGTGCTTGTCCATAACAAATTTGAGGGAGTTGTTGGAAGTAGACATTTTTTTGAAAATAAAAAGAGTGTTAAAATCAAGAAAGAAAGATAACTGAGAAACTTTATTAAGACACTGGGGTATATATACCAAAAAAATATATTTTAATAACTTAAACGTTTCTACCAAGGTATAGTCTTGTCCTGTTGTCTTAATATATTTGGATAAAGAATGTGTTGAAGAATAATGAATGTTTACATATTAAGCTTCTTCACACTTTTAAGAACATTTATTTTATTATCCAATTTACAGTGCTACCAGAGCCTTTATGGTGTCCTGTCCTCTGTCTCAAAGGAAGGGGTGGGATTTCTCCTTATGAGTTTGCCCACCCAAAAAAAAATAAAAAAATAAAAATAAAAAAAAATAAAAAAAAGAAAGTTTTTTTTTGTATAGAGCCAAGAAAAAGCTCGACATTCAGTTATTGAGATTTTCAGTTTTTCAGAAATTTCTGCGGTTAGATACCATTTTATTTTCAGTTATTGAGACTTTCAGTTTTTCAGAAATTATTTGCGGAAAAATGGTTATGTATATTATAAAAATTTATGAATAAAAATGCTAGTTATACTATTTGGAGAATTATTTTTAAAATTGCTATTACATTTTTTTTTTTTTTTTTTTTTTTTTTTATTTTTATTTTTTTATTTCTTTTTTTTTTTATTTTTTCATCTCTTTTTTTTTCATCTCTTTTTTATTTCTTTTTTTTTGTCATGAGCTTGTGCTATTTTTTGTTACTGTTTTTGTGTGTGTAATATTTGTTTTTTTTTGGTATTTTGTATCATGAGGGTTTCCAAAATTAAGATTGGGTAGTATTGTAGGCAAAGCATAATTCTTGGACTGCTTTCAGTTGTTTAACAGATTGTTGGACATTTACTTGTTTCGAGTGCAGATTACAAAGAGTTGTTGAGTTTGATATTAAGAAGATCAGGATTCTGATATTGTAAAATGGTTGGAGCAGGTGCTAAATAAATTAGCATTTTTGGATTCTTTTTTGTAATAGTATCAGATGCTTGTGTAGAACCAGGTTCATAAGAAATACAATTGTTGTGGTAGTCAATCAGATTACTGGATATTTGAGATAAAAATTGGCAAGTTTTTGTGTGGTTGGTAGAGTGAATTCTACTGTTGGATTTCGAAAAAGTATGGTCGGTGAAATGCACTTAAAAGCATTATGAATATGTGTAGACTGGTTCCTATCGTACAGGTAGATGTTTGATCTTGTAGTTTCTTTGTAGGTGGAGGGTTGAACCATCACGTTTTCTTTTCAGATTTATAGCTTTTATTCAAAATACTATAGATTATTTAGAGATTAATATCAATGACTCTGAAGTATAGGCTTTATTTACATACAGAAACATAATGTGATCTGGAAATAATAAAAAAATCCATGAGGTGTAGAGCTTTAAGCAGTGTTTTCATTGTCAGAGTAATATTTAGTTGTTGAAGTGAGCATGAGAATGAGATTTATTGCTGATTTAAGAAGAGAAATAAAGAGTTTTGGTATGTAAACACCAAATGTAAAGAGAGAGAATTATGATATCTCTTTTAAAAAAGAATGTTTATAATAAATTTATGGCTGCAAATAATATATTGTCCTATTTATTTTTTATCTCCTTGAGTTCAATTTGTACTACTTTATTTAGTAGACCTTAGAATATTATTTTTTGATATAAAAAGCTGAAAATATAATGACTAATATTATTTAACAACAACTTAATCTTCTTTACATCTATTCTTGCTGCTTCAACTTGTGTTCTGATTTTTATCATGCAACTTAAGTAATTACTATTTCATTATTACTACTATATACTAGATATAACTGTATTTATATAAAATATTTCACTTTAACATATCTTTCTATTTCTTTATTTTTTATCTTTTATTATCAGAAAACACAACAATGTTATATGAGAAACTTGAAGAATATAACAGTGCCTTTGAAAAAAACATGGAAGAGCTTGAAGAGCCTAAAAAGCCAGAAGATCCAAAAAGTTCTGCCCTGTCAACAACAGACGAAACCCCCAAAAAAAGTAGAGGACAATATCAAATACCTATGGATAAAGATCTAAAAAAGCTACTTTATCTCTACTTCATAAGAGGATTAACTATCAAAAAAGTCAGCAAGATAGTAAATATGAAACAAACAACTGCTGATGGCTATATTTTGAAGTAGAGAAAGTCTCCAGTTGTTTTTTTCATTAAAAACAACAAAGAGGCTACAAGTGATAAAAAAATGAATCTTTTATTCGAAACTTACTCTGCAATAAAGAAAGAATACAAATAATATCATTGCATTTTCAATTTTAACATAATTATTATAATGAGATACTTGCTTTATTCTCTTATAACTGCAGTAAGGTATTTGACTTCAACAAAGTAATCTGGAGAAAAGTTTGCATATTCTGTTAGTTCTCTCTATAGATATTTTCTATGACGTATCTTTGTAGAAAGATCTATATATATTGAAGTGCTATTACATTAGGCGTTTGGCAGTTATATAAAAAAAATACGACGTTTACAAAAAAAAATTCTACATTTACAAAAAAAAATTCTATGGTTATATAAAAAATACAACATTTACAAAAAAAAAGTACAACGTTTATGTTGTAAATGAGTATTGACTACTGCTGTAATTGAGAATAAGTCTGAAGGAAATAATATAAGGCCTCAGCTATTCCAGTCAAAGGTGTCTACCGATTACTTTATTATTTAACACACAGGTTTAGCATGCATGATAGTGATTATATTTCATATGATGATATCACCATAATATGGGATACATCAGTGGATTATTATAAGCATAATTATAACTCATAAACACATTTACTTTCAATGTTAATACTTCATTGGGACTACACACATTTATATAATTAATCATACATTAATTATCCCAAGATCACGTTGCTCTGATTAAGGCTCAGATAGGATTGATTACCTGACCCCAGTCATATAATTTTCCCAATCCAAAACAATATAAATAGCAGTAGTAGTTCAGTGTAGGAACCTCGTCAAACTTTGATACAAAATCTTTCTCAATAAACAAAACCTACACAAGTTCTCACGAATCTTCGTTCCTAATTTCAAATCTTCAATTCTTCCTCTTAAAAACTTCTTCAACTTCAACCACCACAACATATATATTAGATTATTTATTATTAGTTTATATATATAGCAAATTAGTAATCATTGATTTATATATATATTGGATTGACTGTTATTAATTTATATATATTGCAAATTGGCTATTATCAGTCTATATATGTATTGAATCAGCTGTTATAAGTATCACTGCAAAAGGAGGACCAATTCAGTATACTAAATCTTGACCAAATACTGTCTGAATGAATAAAATTTAGCATGAATTCGATCGGAATTTATGATGCCAATTTTTTAAAATTCGTGAGCTAAATGAATACAATTAGTATACTGAATTTTAGGAACGCAAAAAGAAAAAGTGTGATATACTTTTATGTGATATATTTTGGTCGTAAAAATATAGACGCACTTTTATCAGACCACAGATTTTTCATTTTATATTGGTTTTGGGGTTTTTTTTAAATACAGCACATAACATTCAACATCTTTTTATTACTATATATGGGTTGTTAAAGAAGAGATTTGGTCAAGATTTGGTCAAGATTTAGTCAAGATTTAGAGATTTATGGGTCATTTTAAAGGTGTTTATTGGTTTGAAAAATTTTTCTTATTGTTTCTAGCTGTTTCTATTTGTCTACATCACTAATCGTCTTCTGTTGCAATTGGGTAGAAATATCACACTTGATGCCGTCATTTATTTTAGTTGATACTATGTTATTCCTTTCGAACATCCATTGGTCCACCCCTGGTGCAATCGACCCCTACTGTATTCCATTGCTTGCTGCCGCACGCCTTCTTGGCCTGTTTGTTTACTTTTATAAAAAATAATTATAGGGTGGATTAGAAAGAATATTCTAGGTATATTTATTTGAGAGCGACAGATTATTTAAAAAATATGAATGTACTTACAATAAAGTTAAACATGAGAACAGATGGATGTCTTTAACATAAAGATAGATATATCAACATTTTAGTTAAATGTCTCAATTATAGTAATATTGTCTATAAAAATAATAACTTTTGTTAATACGATGCAAAGTAAATAAGACTATGGTTTGCTTACCAGACAGTTCAGAAAACAGAAGAGTTGACAAACACAAAATACAATGACATTGTCTATAAAATATAATCTTTTATTAGAATGAAATAAAGAGTATCAGACTATTTTTTGCTTACCAATTATTCAATACAATAGAAGATGCAGCATGCGGGAAATGGAGATATTATCTATAAAATAATTTCTTTTCATTAGAATTACATACAAAGAAGTAGAATGATTATTTACTTACTTGTCTATCTGTAGAGAATAAGAGTCGGTGTATAATCAAAAAAAGAGGACCGAGATAAAGACCAGTGACTATAGAGTGTATGGTATACATAAGAAAAATAATAAATACAAGTTGTATCTTGATGGTGCACATTAATATTTATACAACATACCATTTTATAAACCCTCCCAAGGTATATGTCTTTGTTAACGGGCCAGAAAAATCTAAGCAGAATAATTAATACATAAATCATGAATAAATATTCAAGTATATTTTTATTACCTTTTTATCATTATTTTTGAGGCAGTTAAGAAGGACTTGGTAGTTTAAAGCATAGTGTATCATGCTAGAATAAAAACAACAAGATGATTAGGTCTTGAAACTTTGATGTGAGTTGATGCTTACCATGTTAGACATTAAGAAAGAAGTAAAGAAGAAGAAAGAAAAAATTAAAAAAAAAAAACGGGGGAAATTCAAAATTATAATTTTATGACCGTTGACCCTGAGAAACTGATAGAATCAATGGAGCAAATTGAAAGTCATTCAACCCATCCCGATTGAGACAAGACATTACATACTAAACCATAATCTCTCACATCTTTGTAATGGATGTAAGCTATTACAAATGCCTTTCCAAGTTGGCTTATAAAGAAAAGTATAATATAGAGAGCAAAATGCTATAAAGAGTATCATCAGAAAAATAATCTTTTGGTGCCTTACTTTCCACCTTTACGTATGTTTTGATTTATTTTATTATTTTAAAGAAACCCGACTCTAATTATTAAAGTATTCACATTGTTTCCATTTCTTTCATTAGCCTTAAATATCTCAATTCATGTCTTCTAATATGCAGCAATCCAAAAAAACGAAAAAGATGACTACAAAAAAGTCTGTTCAACAAACCGCTGGGACAGCAGCAAGCACAAGACAACGGGAAATTCTTCCCAGCTTGACAGTTAGCACAGAGCTAGATGGTACTGTCCTGTCCACTTTGTCCACCATGAGCACCCGACTGAATGAATCTCATTCACTTCTGGAGAAGGTCTACCACAACATGGGAGCAACCAATGGTCAGAATAACAATTCGAACCATAGTCCCATCGGTCAGGCTCTTACTACAGGAGAATATATAAAGTATCACCTTCCAACGGTTTCGGTAGGATATATACTAGTAATAGAATATTGCAAAGTTACTTACATTATATTTTGCAGAGATTGATCCGTTCTCAAACACGAGCAGTTCTGGCAACAATGCCATTGACAGTCAATGAGGGCGCCTTCTCGACATCCAACCGTCCCATTGCTGATGTAGTGCAGAGCTACACACATCAGCAAGCTGAAGTAAAGTCTGTTTCGTCTGCAGTTGTGGAAGAGAAAACCCGAAGTCATATTTTGTATATGCTTCAAAGGGCAAAAGCTTTGCCAGAAAAGATAGCTCAACAAAATCGGATTTCTCGACGCCGGTCCAGAAAGAGAAACGTAAGTATAGTCAACAGTTTTTGTGTAAACTATTTTAACTTTTTTTTTCAGATTCTTGCAGACTACAAGGCAATTCACTTAGCTGACAAGGCAAACCTTGAGTCTAAGTTTGGTGAGACTGTCGCTAACCTTCTGGACTATGACATGTTATCTGATATTGAGTCAGATGAGGAGAAAAATAAAACTAGATATACTCCTAGAAATAGACATCTCTTGGTAAGGCTCTCATGATAAAAGTTATTTTTTTTAATACTTCTAACTCAAAAGTATTTATATTATAATGCAGGTGGATGAATACTTTACTGTTTTGAAGAAACAGAGACTTGCTAACAAGGGACCAGACGTCATTGGCAATTCTGTCTATCCAATTATTTTGAGAAACACCGAGTTATCGAATGAGAAAAAGGCATGTGTTGCTGCTTGGATTCACACATGCCAACAATAAATCATTATTTTGTTTACAAAGTGAATATAGTACTTTAATGATTTTTATTGATTGTGTTGAACGATGTGGGGTGAAGTAGTAAAATATAATCAGGCGGTATTGTCAAGATGAGAAGCAATTAATATATAAATAAAAGAAAAAAGAAAAAGACAAAATCAAAAATCAAAATAATAAATTATTATTTTATTTTATTTTATTTTATTTTAAAGCCAATTAATAAAAAAAATATATGTACAAAGCAATTATTTAATTATATAACCCTGATTGTTTTATCCTCGTTTTTTTTATTGGAAATTATAATACCGATATTAGCAAGAATATGTAATAAAGGCTAAGAAAATGGTAAATGTCAGGTATTAAATATACAAGTTTTTTTGTCTTTTATATTATTGATAAAAGCAAGAGAAATAAATAATGGTTTTTACTATTCATTAATAGTTAAAAAAACTGGTAATATAATTTACTATTGCTCTTTTAAATACTTAATAAAGAAGTACTGTTAAAACTAAATAAGAATACAGAGATAAATAAAGCTAAACCTTTTTACAGTCAAAAAAAACTCGTATTATAATTATTTATACTGGTAACCTAAATAGTTGTTATTTTTTTTGTTTTTTATGTGACTACTTTTCTAGGCAGTGGAATAACCAGGTGCTTTTGCGTCCCACTCTGCATTTTATGCATAGTCAACGCAAAGCACAAATGCAGACGATGCACTGGAACAATGCACGAAGCATCTTCTTCCATAAATCTCTTGTCCCACAACTGCAGACCTTGATCAGCTAATGGCTGATGACTACTTGAATGGTAGGCGGGAAACCATTTAATGAATACGAACGTTGACACTCTTTTGACTCCACCGATCTTGATGATATGAGTAAATAAATACTCTATTTGACCAGGGAATTCAGATACATCGTCATTTGTTCTCTCAAGAAACAATACCCTCACAAAAGACCCGCGCTTCTTCTTTTCACCACTGCAGTACTCTTACCCCAGCAACGAAATCTTCTTCACCTTTTGAATCTGATTGTTCACAAATACATCCTCACCAATTGGGATTCTCCCTACCACACAGAAGGAAACACTTGTACTCTGGTAAGCTTTGACATAGAATTCAAATAACCACTGATAGTGATCATCCTTCATCATAGTCAAAGGCTGCAACTTGATTGGCAATGTGGTCGGTGGCAAGGCCTCACTTCCGGTGACATTGTACCATGGATTTGTAGCAGCTTGCTGGAACATTGCTAAGCTAAATGGCAACGCAGGAGGGTGGCCAGCATCCAAATTCAAGGGAGAAGAGCTGTTGGAATTTGATTTTACTTGGGCAACCCCCTCAAGGAACTCTATTAGTGGTGATGAAAGATTGGTAGAATATGCTCGAAGAAAGCTACCAATGAATGCTTTCTCCAGGAAGACTCTCATGAAGGTGATCTCAAGACCATTGCGATGGTTCGTCTTGATGTTCTTCAACTTGCCGTTGTATCTCTCAAAGCTATACAGCCAGAATGCATATACCGGACCAAAGTTAAGCATTGACTCATGCAAGTGCATATGCAAGTGCATATTTGGTGTGATGCTGCTCTCTCCATAAAGAGTCTCACACTCTTTTCCAAATTCTCCAAGGAGCTGGTGTGCACTGTCAATTTCTGAATATGTGACTGAAGGACCGGTCAACTTTCGGCATGCTTTTACAAAGAGAGTCCAGTTTTTGTAGTCGTCTTCAGGCAAAGCGTCTTTTAGTACCACCAACGAATAAATCAGACACCACGATTGCCACTCGTCTGCCTTCATATACGGGAAACCAGATTCGATCTTTGTTGATAAAACGGCATACCCAGGAGGAACAAGAATACCATTGGCAAGACATTGCATACGGACGAGAACAGCAGTTGGGAGATACCTCAGGTCTTTCCAAACACTGATCATACGCTTTGCTGTCCCAAGAAACAAATTGTGCATGGGATCAACAATTGTGCATCGGACGGGATCAAAGTAGTGTAGGCAATGCAACTCGGAAAAATGGGTGCCATACTGCTTCTCCAAAACAGCTCTCTCTGCATCAGATTCTGCGCAGAACCACATCTCAGCTTCGGTTGCATTTTCCTCTTTTGTTCGGGAGACCCAGTTCTCATGATCGAATCCAGAATAATTGATCTTACTTGTTCCAGCAACAACAGTGAAATGATGCTTGCATATGTGACAGGCGTTTGTACTTGCAAATCCTGTAAATCCAGCAGTCTTTCTTGCAGCAGGTATGTCACAAGCAACACACATAAGAGCAGCGCGGATACTAGTACCATTGGGGAACTCTGGAGTTTTCATAGTTATGCTGCCATATAACTCTACCAGCTCGTCTACCAGAGGTTCCAAGAAGTTGTTCATCTGGTTGATCTTTGCTTCCTTTGGACCAGGCATGACACCGACAAGGATAATGTTTTCCAGCTTCATTCTTTCTTCCCTAGGCAGGTTGTTCATTGACAGGTACAAGGCCCCACTTGCATGTGTACGACCCTTGAATGGTTGAAACCAATCCACATTCAATGTCAACATCAAAGAATGGTCGTGATTCACAAAAGGCTTGTCATCTTCATCAAGGAGCTCAGACCACATTGCACCATCATAGACGTCCAACAAGGTACTGTTTATGGTTTCCCTTGATCTCCATTGAACGATTTGATGCTCAAACCCAGGTTTGGCAAAATGCTGTGCCAATGCATTCTTGAGCAAGTTGTATGGAAAAACCATGAGAGGGACGGTGTGATCAGCTTCGGTGTCAGAGAAAAGAGGATTTCCGCAGTATGTTGGTGGTGTGGTTGTGTATTTTTCGAATGTGCAATTTGGTTGGCGATTGCCTGGTAGGTAAATTGCAAAGCACTTGTTGCAGATGGTGTATTTGACGATGCTTTTTGTCATGAAATTGAAGCCGGTCATAGACTTTAATGCATCAATGGTGAGTGGGAGATTGGTATCCTTATCAAAGGCAACAAGAAGATGGCAGAAGAATTTCAACATAGCAGTTCCACCTGCTTGAACCAAGTAAAACGCCTGAAAGATAACGCCAAATAGAGCCATGAATTGGCTTGTTTGAGACATTTCATGAATTTTCAAAGAAGCAACTACAAAGGCAAGTATTTCTGTTAATTATTTGTAACACAATTTATGTATATTTCTTTTTTAAATGTATGCATACTGGAAGCAACCATGTCTTCAAAATCTTCAACACCAGCAACCTCAACTTCGCTCTCATCTTCAGACTCATTGCTTGAATCAGGATCGTCATTGTCAGAAGCCAATGATGTTGTCTCAACATCAGACTCTTCGAATTGAAAAATCTCGTCTTCTCTCAAATAAGGTACACTCTGTACGGTAGTTTCGGCTGATACAATAGAATAATTGTCTTCATCTATAGTAAAACTAGACTATTAGCTATCTAAATTATGATTTATTAAAAAGAAATTTTATACTCACAATCAATCGATGTTTCAGATACATCTACCATCTCAACGTCTGTCTCTTCTTCGACAACTTCTGTATTAACTGATAATTAACAAAAAAATATTAGATTACAATTTATCCAGTAATGCGCATACTACTCAAATGTCATTTACCTCGATTTTTTGGGCCAATGTCTAATAACTTATCAGCATTATTATGATGCTTAAAGGTCTGTGCATTTTGCAAAATTCTGCCAATTGGATTTTTGGTACATGATGAACATGTACACATAACAGTGTAGGTTTTAGTTGTAGAATTCATAACAATAAGAATAATATTAATAATAATAAAATAATAAAGAGGTGTATACTATATTTTATTTTCATCTTTTATATGTCTCTTATTTTTGTCATTAATAATGAGCTGATATATCTTGTTCACTATGTCATTGACTACATTGAGCTTACTGTCCCTATTAGTAAGAATTACAAATGGATTTTGATGCAGCGATCTTTTCTTAAAAAAAGTGTGCCTGATTATTAATGGGGCTTCAATTTAATAATCACTGATATAATGGTGTAGTTTTTCTCTTTCGCGTTTTTTTAACATGACATCAATTCTTGCTCATTTTGGCAAGTGGCCTTTTTTGGATTTTCTTTTTCTTGTATTTTTTATGACATCAATTCTTGCTCTTTTTTTCAATTTTTTTTGATATACTTTCTTATTAAAAATAAGTCATATATCATACATTATTATATTCTAATAAAAATTGGTATTTTTTGCAATGCAATAAAAATATTATTGAGTCTAAATTAGGTGCACATGGCTCTTCCCGCTAAAGTACCGGACCCACCTATTGGGTCCACCACAACACTAGGTCAAGCCAATATAACCACTCCACAACCCTCTACTACTACCTCTACCACAACCAACACTAGGTCATATCTCGATGTCGCCACAGCCACTCCCGCCCCCGGTCAAGTACCAGTCGTTCTTTTCTCTAACTTGCCGACATCTACGGATCGCGTCTGGCGCAAAAGTACATCTTGTCATTCGGTATTCTTCACCCCACCAACTGATTCCACCCTTACCTCTGAATTCTGGACTGCTCTCAGAGCAAGCGTTCCTATGGCATGCACCTTGGGAATATCATTCACTCATCGTCAACTGCTCATCCACGAATTGCACCTGACTAATTCTACCATCTGCACCAAACTCTGTTCCAAAGGCTTCCTGGTTGGAGGCCAAACGTACTTCCCCTCTATGGGTATTGCCCCAGGCACAAAAATCTTGCGTATCTCCCTCTCCCAGCTTCCATACCTTCCTTCCCCTATGCTTGAAGAGGCTATCAAAACAGCCTTGGCCGCATATGGCACCATCCGCGAAGTCGGTTTGCATCTTCGTGATAATTTTTTTGATGGCACTGGTTTTGCTTACCTTGAATGACCACCCAACCCTGATGCCACCCTTGCCAAACTCTCATACAAGATCCCGTATGATGGCGACTTGTACTTCTTAGGTACCTGGAAACAGATGGGTATTCACTGTAATTATTGTAAAGTTATGGGCCATGCTATCGAAAACTGTCCAGACCGCCCCAAAGATTCCCGATGCTGCTTCACTTGTGACCAGACTAGTCACTTGCAACATGCCTGCCCCAGAGCACCCCCCACGGACGCCAGCTCTTCCAAGAGACCCCGCAAGGTTCCCACGACACATGACTCCCCTGATTGCTCACGCAAGACTACTCCCGGTGCGTCTCACAGACCTCCGGCCAAGAAATCGATTCCCCCTCGCGGTACACCTATGATGGCTGAGGGATCCCAGGCTACTACCACCACCTCCCGCACGGATTCCTCGACACCACGACGACCCTCTGTCCCCACTGTTCCTACTTCCCCCCGCCAGTCTGCCAACAGGTTTGCTGCACTTGACGGACTAACTGACAACAGCCGCACAGGCGCACTCTTCGACCCCACTCTGCCTCTTCCTCAGACACACAACACCCAGTATGATCCCGTCTTTCACCCCCTCCACAACGCTTTTCTTCCCTCCAACTACACTTCTGGCTCCACTAAAGACGAAGAAGAATTTCACCCCAGCACTTTTGACGGCGACAACGACCAAGACTCCCAGAATATCCTAACTGATGACGAGATGGTAGACGGCGATCATTCTTAAATTTATGATTAATATAGCCTCCATGAACTGCCGCGGACTTGTCAAGTCCGGAAACACCAATAATCGCTCTCTCTTTATTAGATATCTTCGCTCCCTCTCTCTAGACATACTTGCCCTTCAAGAAACTCACACCAACACAGACGCTCTTCAACAGACGTTTCATCTTCAATTTCAAGCATCCGACTCACTATGGTCTCCTCACTGTGGTTTGGTTTCCCTCTCTCCCCTCATTTCTTTTACTGATCCTCTTTTTTCTCTCTGTGGTCGTTGCATTACTGCCACCGTTGTTCACTCTTCCAATTTGTTTGCCCCATTTCGTATTTGCGTTTTATATGTCCCTGCTTCATATCATCCTCGATATGATTTTCTCACCTCTCTCCTATCCTCCCCACATCTTCTCCCTTCCCTTCCTTCTCGCTTTCTTATGCTAGGAGATTTTAATTATTCCTCATATGCAAATGCCTCTCGTGCTGGCCTCGCGCCACGTCTATGGCTGCATTTTGTCGCTAACCACTTTGTAGACTGTGTCACTTTGTCTGATGCTCAACCTATGCCTACCTTTCATCGCGACCTTTCCTCTTCGACTATCGACTACATATATGCCTCCAAGGATATAGCGTCTTGTCACTCTTCGTCCACCGTCACATTTGTTCAGCCCCTGTGGACCAATCATTGCCTTGTACGTACCTGTCTTAGTTTTCCTATGCTGTCTCACATTGGTCGAGGTTTGTGGCGTGCGAACCCTCGTTTGGCGAACATCCCTTCCTTCCGCTCCTCCCTGTCCGGCTGTCTTTCATCCTTCATACCACTACTCTCGCCTTCAATTTCCCCCCAATCACAGTGGGATCTGATCAAAGTCGAAGTGGCTCGTTTCACACGTTCATATTCATGCACAACCCGCCCATCACTTGCCACTTTGGAGGTAAAGCTTCAGAGTAAACGTGACCATTTGATACATAGATTTCGACATCAGCCTGCTCAGAACTTCCAGCTGCCCATCGTCAAGCGTCAACTTCAGCAAGTTCAACAGAAACGCACCGAGATACTAGTACTCCGTGCCGGAAAACACTGGAGAGAACAAGGCAAAACTTCCGCTGGGTTTTTGAAACGCACAGTTGCTTTTTGCCAAGCTCAAACCACAATAACCAGCCTCCGCCACCCCTTCACCAACACCTTATGCACTGATCCCGATGATCTTACGGAAGCTGCTGCTGCATTTTATGAAGATCTTTACACACCCAACCCTCCTGCTCAGACAGCTATTGACGACCTCCTCCTTCACTTGCCACCAGACCTCTTTCTTTCTGAAACTACCTCCACGACCCTCCTTAAACCCTTCACCTTGGATGACATTCGAGACGGCGCCACTTGCACTCCTAATGCCAGTAGCCCTGGGCTGGATGGCCTGCCTTATGAGATTCTGCAATTAATTATGGGTCATCCGATGTGTGCTGTCTTACTTGTTCGAATATTTAATGATGGGCTTGCCCTCGGTGTGTTCCCTTCGTCCTGGCAATCAACCTGCGTCTCTCTTCTTCCCAAGAAAGGTGACCTCACCTCCCTCCGCAACTGGCGCCCGATCACTCTCATTAATACCGATGCCAAAGTGTTCACTCGCCTCATCAATCATCGCATGGTGCCTGCTGCTTCCTCCCTTGTTACGCCCTTCCAGACCGGGTTTGTCCAAGGACGCTTCATTGCTGACAATGGCATGCTGACCAAGTTGGTTATGGCACAGGCTAGACAGGACGGTTCATCTGGTATAGGCCTTCTTTTGGATCAGGAGAAAGCTTACAACAGAGTTCATCCCGACTACCTTTGCCAGGTCTTGCAGCATTTCAACTTTCCCCCTTCCCTCATTATCTGTATATCTCAACTTTTCTTCTCTACACAGATTCGAATCAATGTCAATGGACACCTATCCCAATTATTCCTTCAGGCTCGTGGACTCCAGCAGGGTGATCCTCTTTCTCCTGTACTCTTTAACCTTGCATTCGAACCTTTGTTGCGTCGTGTGATTCATGATCCTTCCTTTGCCGGATTTTCTCCATCACCACGCACTGCTATTCCACCACCTCCGCCCATCAAGCTCTTGGCCTATGCCAACGATCTGCTAGTCTTTCTGCCTGATGCCGCCCACTTGTCCCGTCTTCATCATCATCTTCTCACATACTCTCATGCTTCCAATGCTCGCATCAATCTCCATAAAACTGAAGCTTTCTCCCTGTCCGGTCTTCCACTGCCAGAATGGCGCCCCGTCCTACAACAATTTGACATCACTGTCTGGTCTGACAGATCTTCCTCCACTCCCCTGCAATATCTCAGCTTTCCTCTTATTCAATCCTTACCTCAGTGCAATTCTTTCTGTGACAACATTCTTTCCAAGATTGAATCTACCTGTAATATCCACCACTCTCGCTCTCTCTCTATTCGTGGCCGTGCCACAGTGCTCAACTCTCTCATCCTCTCTAAGCTCTGGCACGTCCTCAGAGTTGTCACTGTACCTCTATCCTTTTTCTGTCGACTTTGCTCGATCATGAGTAAGTTTATACAATACCGCTCCTTTCCTCCCATTTCTCTCGGCACTTTCTGCCAGCCTATTCGGCTCAGCAGTCTAGGGGTCCTTGATCCTTAGGTTCAACAGGCTGCTCTTCAGTTGCGCTGGCTCCGGCCTCTCGTCCGCTCTCCGCTGTCCCCCTCTGGCCTGGTCCCACCTTGGTTCTCTTACATCCCCCGCCTCGACTCCTCATCTGCTGATCCACTCGTTCCTTTGATATTTCCATCTCTCCGATCCTCTCATCAGCATGATTTCGACTCTCCTCTGGCCACCCTACTTGCTGCCATTGATCTTCTCCCTCACAACTTCTCTGACGTGGTAGTCAACCTCCCCACCTGTCTCTCTCTGCCTCTCTCCTATCTCACTACCGCACAACCAGACCACCCTCCCTTTCCATCTGCATGGCGCGATCTCTGGGTTTCCGACGCCTATGAAGTAGATCCTAGTTTCGGCGTGCTTGCCCAACGCCCCCTCCACTGCATACTCCGTTGTCCTATTGTCCTTCACCAGTTCTTCAAACGTCTCTACACTCGCTCTCTTGTCTTGCACCCTGTCTTGTATCGTGCCACCATTCCCCCCGCGATCTGTGCCATACAGTTTTCTTTGCTAGATATGCCTTCCGGTACAGCTGTCGATGTGCGTCCTTTCTTGACGGCTCTTGTCCCCGGCATCCCTTGGCATCGTTTGTCCACCCAGTCTTTCCGCCTACTCTGCAATTTCCACTCCAAATCCGCACGCCCCATAAGCCCCACACTCGTCCCTCGCCAGCTTCGTTGGTTTTGGTCCTTCCCCCTGCCGCATGGGGCCCGCAACGTTTGGTTTCGTGCCCTGCACAAAAACATTCCTTGCCGTTCTCGCCTCAATTGTAGGATCCCTACCACTTTCCCAGACCCATCCTGTGCCCTCTGCTCTCACCCTCTGGACAATCAAACTCATTTTTTGTTCCAGTGTCCAGTCAAACTGTCCGTATGGTCGTCAATCTGGACGTTGTACTTTGCCCAGACCGCGACACCCACTATCTTGCTTTCTGGTTTGCAATCCTTCACATTCCCTCCTTGCACCGATTCTTCTCTTTCTGCTGCCTCAATTTTTGGCTGCACGCTGCTGGCTATATGGCGCCATCATTGGCTGTTCATATTTGATCACGTTCCTTTTGTCTTCTCCGCTGCCTTTTCCACTGCTTCCTCTCTTCTCGACTGCCTCAAGAGCAAACTTGCTCTCGACTTTCCCCCCCTTTAGCTTCCTTCCATACCTCCACAATATATATAACCACAAACATATAAATAGAAAAACATTGTAAAAATATAAAAGCCAAAAACAAGTCGTGATTTTCCTCTTTTGCCTTGCAGCATAGAGGCTCACTAATAAACTAGAACCTTCGGCTCCCTACAAAAAAAAATCTAAATTAGGTGCATATGTAACAACAAGTTTTTCCTTCCAGAAAAATAATTAAATACTACATTTAACATTTAATATTTTATTTTTATTTTTTATTTTTCTGCCAAGTCAATCGAAACATATATTTTTTAAGACAATTGTGCGATTTATTGCCTAATTAATAAATATTTGTGTTTGTATCTGTGTTTATTTAATATAATCAGAAAAAATTGCGAATTTCCATCTCAAGAAAAAAAAATATTGAAAAATGATGGTGTTCGAAATATTTTTCCAAATTTTGCCAAAATTCAAAAAATAAAATTCAACCAAATCCACCCTCCTTTTGCAGTGATATATGTCAGATTGGCGGTCAACAGCTTATATATATGCCAGATTGGCGATCAACAGCTTATATATATGCCAGATTAGTAGTCAACAGCTTATATATATGCCAGGTTGGTAGTCAACAGCTTATATTTATACTAGATCAACTATCATTAGCTTATATATATATGAGATCAGCTATAATTAGTTTATATATAGTGTCAATTAGTTGTTCTCAGCTTACATAATCTTGCATAATCTTGCATAATTATATATAGGCACATATAAGAGAATTTAAACATATATAAAAATATACAAAATAAAGTTTATGTAACATACATCATTATGCATATTCGCGTAATGTAAACAATACAATTGCATTGCTGAAAAAAATTGGTAACTTTTGGCTATACTTGTTATATAGCATGCATAATCATGCATAATCTTGCATAAATGATCTACATAAACAATACAATTGAATTCGTGGGAAAAAATAACAAAGAATAGCTTTTTTCGCAAAAAATTTCCTTTTTTGGTTAGTCTGAATGTACCTTGCGTGAGAAGTCTTGGCATTTTTAGTGTGGGAAGATATGTTATATAAATAGCAACTATGTAAAAGCTTGGCATGAAAAAACATTTAATTTTAAACTATCAAAAAGCCGTTCCGACAATAAATAAAATATATCTCTTCTAATGAAAGTTCAAATTCTTACTAAGTAATATTTTTTTTTTGCTTTATAAAGACAATTTAGTAATATCATATAAAAGTATCAACATATGTAAAGAGTAAGTACAGAATTAATAAAAATTAATTTTCATATTTTTTTATCAATTTTCTTATAAAAATCAAAATCTTAATATATAAATATATAAATATATATATAAACAAGTCAACTTATTAATATGTATTATATTTTTAACACATTTATATATTATATGTAAATATAAAAAGATTTTAAAAGAGTTGTGAATATATATAAAATTAAAGATTAAATATGATTAGAGTATTTAAGTTATATTTAATGAGATGATTAGATATGAGTTAGATATTGATAAGTATGAATATATATAATATGATAGATCTAATGCTATTGACTAATATTAGTAATGAATCAAATGTTATTAATGAATATTGATTATATATGATATGTTATTAACTTATATAAGTAGTAAATCGGATGAGATAAATTTATATATAGTGCAAATTAACCATCATTGATCTATATACATATCAGATTCACTATCATTAGTCTATATATATATATTGTATTGATTGTCATTTATTGATACATAGTGGATATCTGCTATTATTAGTCTATATATATATCAGATCTATCATTATTAGCCTATATATATCAGATCTATTATCATTAATTTATATATAGTATTAATTATTTGTTATCAGCTTATATATATATGAGATTAGCTGTCAATAGTTTATATATATTTATTAGATTGACAGTGATTATCTTATATATATATATCAGATTGGCTGTGGTCTACTTATATATATATATTAGATTAGATATCATCTATTTATATATAGTAATAATTGCCTGTAATCAGCTTATATATATATCAGATCAGCCATAACCGACTAATATATATATATAATTGGTGGTTATCTACTTATATAAATATTAAATTGATTGTTATCAGCTTATATATATATATCAGATTGAGTATCATCTGTTTATATAAAATGTTAATCACCTGTCATCAGCTTATATATATACCTAATTGGCAGTCAACAACTTATATATATACCTAATTGGTGGTCAACAGCTTAAAAATATAGTAGATCAGCTGTCAATAACTTATATATATATCAGATTGGTAGTTAACACTGCAAAAGACAACCGATTTAAGTAGCTTAATTTTTGTTTAAATCCTCCAAAAATTGGTGGTTTATGTTCAATTATAGTTTGGTATTTGTTACAAAAATTGGTTCATTTAGTTAACCAAATGATGAGATTATAGATACTAAAATCAATAGATAAATTGATAGTTATAATTCCCCCTTTTCTTGAAATGTTATAATTATCTGTAATTCTAGTTATATATTCACCCATAACTTCAAACCGTACCTAAACCCTACTTGTTATGGAATTGGCTTTGAACTCTCTACCTCTTAAAAAATTTTATTTGCTTTAATTACATGATATTATTGGATAGACCACACTAAAATTGACCTAGAATCAGTCTGAAATCTGACAGGAACCAGCATTCAAATGAATGATTGTAAAAAAAAACTTAAATAGATCTTGTTGACATCATCAAGAGATGACGCATTTGAAATAGAATCTCATGGAAAAAATGGTTTTTATTGATTTTTGAATGGTTGGAAAATATATTTAGCTATTTAATATGGACCACTAATACTTCTTTAAAAGTGTGTATCCGAATAGTACAACTTGTATACATGTTATACTTTCATTTATTGGACGGCTTGAATACATTGGATGACCTGACTTATACTATACTTCCTTACCTTATTGGTTTCATGTATTCGGCGCGTTTTTTGGTTTTACACTTCTTTAACTGAAAATGAAATCCTTGGTATTTTCTTGGAGAATACATTTGTTTGGAACTACATTAGCTTAGAGCAAAAAAAGATACAGAAGTATTAATACAGGTTTCTTTATGAAATAAAATGAAATAACATACTTACTAGATCATTTATGGGGGTTCATAACAAATCTCGCAATAGAATAAAAATCTGTTTGATTGATATTTTCTTTTAAATAAAAAGCAAGAAATAAAATAAACTTTATTAATATGTACGCTTTGATTGTAAAGACACTTGAATTACTTATATATTATAGACACGCATTTGCAAAAGGGGGCAAACCAGTATGACTTGAAAAAAAGGCGTGACATATTTATCTGAGAAGAAGAATTGATAAGTTACATTATTTAAGTTGCGTTATATATATATTACCTTTTCATAGACTGAAAATACCAGAAAGTATATAGTGTCAAGAGCAAAACATATTTTATTACAAAATGGGTAGAAGCCCTATCATTTTAAAAATAAAAGATATTTAGTCAGCAAGGTGTTTCATTTTGGTTAGGAGATTGTTTATTACCTGTACTGTTTTGAATGCTTGTTGAGTGTATTGTTTATCTAATATATATTAAGATGATTCTAAAAGCCAAAAGTATTAATAAAAGTTGAGATCTTAAGAGTAAGCTTACCAAGACATATAAAAAGAGACAAAACGAGAAGAGCAGGTTAAAGAAAGAGAAAATAAAAAAGAGGGGCGCGGTTATTCTATTAAATACGAATTCGGGGTTTTTTTTTTAAAAATAAATAAATCAAAAAATAATTTTTGTCTGTAACTTAGAATTGAAAGAAAACGCGGTTGCACTATGCCAGCAGCTAATACATATGAAAAACAGAGTATAGTATAAAATCATATTATTCAAATACTAATACATAATATAAGAATAAAACATGGATTGAAAATTAAATTAAAGAAACACATAAAATACTCACAACAAGAGTGGAAACATTCAAAGCTGTTCTTGTTATGTAATAGATCATGGTGTTCTCTGAGAAAGAATAAAACTTAAAGCCCAAATTAAACATAATATAAATAGACCCTTTGGATTTAAAAAAAAACAAGCTATTCTTATTATTCACAATGTCAAGAAATCTCAATAACAATTCAGTTAACAATGCTTTTGGTGAAGAACCTTCTGTGGGAAGGTAGATTAAAACCAGGCAGTCTTCAATTTTCTTATATTAATTTTATTTTCGGTTTTTATAAAAATCAAAAAAAAGCCCACCAAGAAATACCAATGATATAAGGACGATAATGTTGCAACACTCACAGGGAACAGTGAGCAATCAAAGACCACTGGCACCAAAGAGAGCTCGGTTGAATCTTGAAGGTGATTCGTTGGGTAGAACTCGTAACATCTATGATGTGTACGAGAAACTTGATACCATGAATGGTGTCTTAAAAACTGTTTTGAAGAACACATCTTCTGAGAAAGCCGAAGCCACTGCTAGTAATGCAGTTGAGCAAGACATGTCGCCTGGGCGTCAACCAACATTGGATGTAAGTAATCATAATATGTTTTTATGTAGATAGAATTTAATATACATTTATATTATAGCAATTGTTGCGTGATTATTTGAGTAAAGAGAAATTGTATGACCAATACAATACCAATGAAAATAAAAATAGTGAGGGAAACAGACTTGTTCTGAAGTCTGTTACCGATTACCTTCGTTGTCAAGAAGAGGGGAAAAAGGTGGACTTGCCAACTCTTCAAACTAAGATTGTGCGGCACATTGGCAACAGAAAGTTGCAAGAAAAAAAACAGGAGAAAAGAAACAGGAAGAGAATCGATGGGCCTGTCTTTGTCAGCAACGTGTAAAGGTAAAAAACACACGCACACAATATACTAGATGTGATATTAAATTAGAAATATTATATATTTATACACTCACAATCAAAAACGTTTCGACCCCCGCAAAAAATGCCTAAAAAAAATCGAAAAAATAAAAATAAAAACATTGTTTTCTCCCAATATTATTAATCAAATCCAACATGCAAGACGCAAATTCATCAGAAAACACCCACGGATCATATGAAAAGGCCAATTCCTATAAATACGGATGCATCATATACATGCATTTAGCAAATTACGGGGCGACCCAGATTTCATTGGTGGTTGGCATGAGTCTGTCAACTGTCAAGTACATCATTAAGAGAGTGGACGAGACAGGATTGCCCGAGCCAAGAAAAGGGTCCGGACGACCTAGAAGGATTGACGAGAGGACAGAAAGACACCTTGTTCAAATAGTTCATAAGGACCCCTTTGCCTCATTTTCTAGGCTAAGGGCTTCCTTAAAGAACATGGAGGTATTTGTCTGCAGAAAGACAATAATCAGTTGTCTGAAGTGTTTGGGCTTCGGATCATATATCGCAGCTCACAAGCCAGCTTTAACCAAAAGCCACAAGAAAAGAAGGCTGGAATGGGCCCGTGAGCATGTGAATTGGACAGATGACCAGTGGAGAGGTGTAGTGTGGTCAGATGAATCACGGTTCACAGTTGAGCATAATGATGGAGGAGCTAGAGCTATCAGAAAAGTTGGTGAAAGGTTCAAGGAAGAAAATATCATTGAAGGAACCAAGTGGGGGAAGGGTAGTGTGATGATCTGGAGCTGTTTCTGGGCCGGTAGTTTTGGCCCTTTGGTGTTCCTAGATGGTAACGTAAACCAAGACCAATACGTGAACACTTTGGCTCAGAACTTCCTCCCTTGGTTCCAAAATCTTTTGCGGGAACAAACCAGGAGCTTCGTGTTCCAAGAGGACAACGCCAGCTGTCATACTGGGTTGTACTCGAGGTGGTGGAAAGATAGCCATGAGATCCGAGGTTTTGACTACTGGCCCACTCAAAGCCCAAATCTCAACCCCATCGAGCATATCTGGTGGGCTCTCAAGAGGCGCATGAGTGACGAGAGGACCAGTATTAACAATGTTGAAGATCTGAAGGTTGTAATGCAACGAGAGTGGCAAAGGATAGGTCTCGAACTTTTGTCAACTTTGGCCGGAAGCATGCAGCATCGATGCCAGGCTGTAATTGAGGCCAAAGGAGGTCATACAAAATATTGATCTTTTATTTTTTTCTATATTTCAATAATAAACATATATATAATCTTTTATTTGAAGTTTGAATGCTTTAGCTTTTATTACTGAGGAGCAGTTGCATGTTGAATACATGCCATGATTTCTCTCATGCATTTTTTGGGCTCAGAGGTCGAAACGTTTTTGATTGTGACTGTATATAGTCGTGTGAAAGAAGACAATCTGCCTTGAAAGCCAATCGGAGACACTTTGTGAACAGCTTTGGAGAGAATGTTGACAGTATTCTCCATGCTGATTACATGTCAGACCTTGAGGGTGATGACGAAAGAGAAGAAGAGAAACAGGATTAGTCCTCAGAAAAGAGTTTTTTTTGGAGATTCCACCCAAGCTGGAGAAGCGAAGAGGTATAGTACAAAAAACTATTTTTTTGGATGGTGTGTAATAATACTTACATTGACATATAGGGAGATAGGTTTGTTGATGAACTTGATGCGGATTATGAGGCAGCTCATAATAATAAAAATAATACCCATCCGTTCGAGCATAAATTTAAAGGAATAAGAGATAAGCAGCTTAGTAAGACCAAGGCAAACAAGTTGCCATCATGGTCAAAGAAACAATAAGACAATAAATCAAACATTTTCTAATAAATTGATAAAAGAGTGCAAAGTGGTATTTTATTAATATTATTTAAGCTTCTATTTTTTGGTGTAAAGGGATTACTAAACGTTTAAATTCACTAGTTATAGTAAACCTATATTTAGTAATTGCGATTAGTGAATATAAACAATGTACTGGAATAATACATTCATAATTAAATACAGAAGAAGGTTCATTCCAGAGCTCAATGCCTTCATTTAACATTGGCTGGTAACTCCCCGAAGAATAACTAGAGTACCACTCAACAAACGCAAAAGTATGGGTAATGACAGTTTCGTTGATGGTTATCAAATGTTGAAATAAATAGAGTATATGGCCAGGAAATTCTGCTTTATCTTCACTGTTATTCTCAAGATAATAGGCGCGGAAATAAGATCCAGAAGAGTATTTCTGTCCAAGAAGAGATATCCGTTTCATTTTCTCAATTCGGTTATTGACAAAAATCTGGTTAGACTCGCAGTTTGAATAATGACCAAAAAGATCGTGACTGCCATATGCGTGTCTGTAAAACTCCAGTAAACATTCATAATGTCCCTTGCACATTGTAATCCTTTGGTCAAGTTTAATTGGAAACACTGAAAGGGGCAATGGCTCACAACCCAAAGCAGAATGATGAGGGTTTAACAAATATTCAACAAAGTCAGACGGAGAAAAGGTACTGGCAGTAGAAGATGGATGCAATGCTGCTAATTGATCTTGACTATTTGAAATGCGATGCAGAAAGTCAATTGCGAACTGGGGAAGATAGTTGACAAAAGATTGTATGAAGCTGCCAATGTATGTTCTCTCCAAAAATCTCTTCATCATCGTTGATTTTAAGCTGTCTTTTTGATTTGTTTTGATATTCTTCAACAAACCATTGTATCTCTCGAAACTGAATAACCAGAAAGCATAAATTGGCCCAAAGTCATGAACACACTCGCCAATATGAAGATGTAGATGCATATTCGGTGTCATGGCCGATTTTCCATACAGTGTCTGAAATCTTGTACAAAACAATTGGAGTTTACTGTGGGCTCCGTCTATTTCTTTGTCATTGATCGAAGGTTTTGTGAGTAAGCGGCATGCGTCAACAAACAAAATCCAGTTTTCGAGATTCTTGGCTGGGAGCACATGCTTCAGAACAAATGCAGAGTATATGACGCACCACAACTTCCACTCGTCAGCTTTCATGAACGAAAACCCATCAGCAATCTTCTTTGTTATACGCGCATATTCACAAGGTACAACAATACCATTGGCAAGCTCTTGCATAGTTAACTGATTCTTTTCATTGATGTAGTTACACTTGCGCCATATCTGAATCATTTGCTTTGCAGTTCCAAGATAGAGGTTATGCATTGGGTCTATAACTGTAAAGCGGACTGGGTCAAAGTAAGATAACCAATGAAGCTCTGACCACCGAGTGCCGTTTTCTTTTTCTAGGCGTGTTTGCTCAGTATTGTTTAATGCATTTGCCCAGCTGACAGCGTGTTCCAGATTCATTGTCTTTGTGCGTCTCACCTAATTGCTATACTTGAATCCAGAGTAGTCAAGCTTGCTGGTCTTCTTTATAGTTGTGAATTGTTGTTGACATTTGTGACAGGCGCATGTGCTCATGTGGCCAGTAAATTCAGAGGTTTGCAAGTGGCAGGGATATCACAGGCAACACACATCAATGCAGCACAAACAACAATCTTTCTATTTTGTGAGTCTGTCATTTCTACACCAATGTACATCTCCAACAATTCGTCAACGAGCAGCTTCAAGTAATGATTCATGCTGTCAGTGCTTGCTTCCTTTGGCCCAGGCATCATACCAACAAGAATGACATTTTCAGACTTAAGGCGTTCACTTCGTGGGAGATTGTTGATAGAGAGATATATCGCACCACTGGAATGTGTTCGTCCATCAAATGACTGAAACCAATCGATATTCAGAGTCAACATTAAAGATTGGCTATCATCAACAAACCTTCTGCCATTGATGTCTTTAAGATCACTCCAAATTGCACCATTGAAAATGTCAAGTTTGGTGTTTTCAATTATTTGACGATTTCTCCACAAATTGATCTTGGACACAAAATCTGGCTTGGGGAATTTTTGTTGCAAGGCGTACTTCAGAGAGTTGAATGGATATACCATTGCTGGAAGAGAACGATTTCCGGTTGACACTTTAAAGAGATTGTTGTTGCAAATGGCAGATTGAGAGAATTTCTTAAATGTACAGACTCTTTGACTTGTTTCCAGAGGATAAATCGAATGACATTGTGAGCATGCAATGTATACTGTCATTCCGTCTGTTGCCATGTTAAATCCTGTCTTATGCTTCAAGCTATTGATCGTCAGTGGAAGGGCGCCAGACATATCACAGAGAAACAGTAGAGTATTACAAAATTCAATGAGAATCGATCCACCACTTTCCACCAAAAAGATCAAGTGAAATATGACAATGAATACTGCAACAAAGCGGATATACAAGGGTATGTTATCAAAAGACGAAGGACGAACTATGAAGACAAAGGTTAAGTTAGTTTAAATTAATATATTGATTAATTGTCTATACCATATTAATTCATACCTGATTCTACTATCGAGGTCTCACTGGTCTCATCAAAGTTTTCTTCTTGTTCAAAATCAAAACCGGTATCGCCTTCTTCAATCTCATTGCCATCAACCACAAATGCTCCTGTAATTGTATCTTCGGCAGTAAAGATGGACTCTTCTTGGGACAAAGGTAAGTCAACTGGAAAGAAATAATTGTTGTAAAGATGTAGAAATAAAAATATAATTACAATTATAATTATATAAAAAATAAAAAATAAAAAATATATATCAGTTTCAATTATTATTTTTTTCATTTATTTTATTTTATTTTCTTACCTTCTTGATCAAATTCAATGTTTTGTTCTTTATTTTCGTCTTCATATTCGCCTTCGCCTTTGTTCTCGTAATCATAATCATTGTCATTGTCACTGTCAATACTATCTACTTCCATGTCGTCAAAATGTTCTTCAGGAACATCTATTTTATGAATTAATTTATATTAATTTTACATGTACAGCTTGAGTTATTCTTGTTATTTACCCATTGCATCGTCTTTGACAACAGGCACTATATGTTTCTCATAGTGTTGTTGTGCATTTTGTCTTTTCTGTTTCTTTCCACAGCTATTCAACTTTGTACAGTTTGGACATTTGCAGATAACATAACTGTCTTTCTTTTGATTATTGGACATGTCGATTGTTTTAAATTATAAAAAAAAATTATATAGATTTTAAGAGATCTTGATCAAGGTCTTTATATACCAAAAAAATTATAAATAGATAAAATACTGCTCCATGCTATGACTATAGTATGCCAAGTAATTCTTTGATACATCTACCATACATATCATCATAATTATACTCATATATCGTTAAGTCATTAACCAAGTCAAATACTGCGTACATTACTAAAAGTGTACGCAATTTTTTTAAAAGTCTTTTTTTAGAATTATAATATTTGATATGATGATGATTCGACCATGACGAAAAATAATCCAAAAATGGAACATTCGCCTCTCACAACATGTGAAATAAAAAAATCTGATATTTTAGTTCCATATATCAAAGGGAAAAATCACACAAAAATATTGCCACAGTAAAAATGAAATCACAACCTTTTGTCTCGTTCCCTTGAAATATATTGATTAAATATTTGTTTTTATATTCACATTTATAATACATAAAAAATATTTAAATGATTTATTTTGAAATAGAAAAAGTGAAACCTTAAGAATATATATAATTTTTATTAAATATTATATTAACTTTTGTATAAGTGTTTTTTCAGTGTAATTTAGAATTATATCAAAGAAGTGTATAATATAAAAAAAACTCAATTTTGTAATTTTATAGCCAAAAAAATGACAGTAGTGTGATTTTACAGCTAAAAAAGAGCGATCTGAAATCACAACAGAAAAAAATAGAAATTATTTGAAAAAATTAAAAATTGAAAATTGTAGTAAAATTTTTGCAGGTTTTCAGGAACTAAAATCAGTGGTCTTTTGCAGTGTCTGCTTGTCACCAATGAGCATCCCTGTGAATTTCTGCTACATTGAGCACAATAGCAGACAACATTATAGTGGTGGGGAATAGAAGGCATTTTATGTGTTTTGTTTAATGTAATTTATTGAGAATAAAAAGAGGAACAAGCATAAAATATACTCTATTTGCACCAACTTTATTGTAAAAAAAAACATTATATTTTATGATTGTTTAATTGAATTTTTCTAATAAATTCTTTTCTATATCATTAAATATAGAAAGAGACATGACAATTATGATATTATCAATTCATAGTCTTTATTCAAATGTTTTCAAGAATGCCTGTTGTGTGTAAAAGACATATATTTTTCTACTATGAGTTTATAAATAGATTATTGTGAGAGTAAATCTAGAAAATAGTAGGAATAAAAAAAAGGGGTAGTAGAATGAGAATTATGATAGGTCTCTGTATGTGAATTTAGCCTTCTGTACCAGACTGATATTCTAAAATCCTATTAGCTATTGAAACCAACTAAAACTATATCTTTGGCCTGAACTTCAAAAAACACAGTTAGTATAAAAAAATCACTATTTCTACACATGTGTTTACCAACCTGACTGTTATATTTTTAGAAAAGAAAGAAAAACAAAGTGCAGACGAGAAGTACGGTGAGACTTTGTTTATTGATGAAAAGAGAGATGATCTTCTATTGCTATTTGCTATGTGAGTTTATATAGACATTGCGTGTGTATTTAGGATAATGATATGAGTATATCATGTGATGTCTGTTTTCTTATATCATAGATAATATATTGTTAAGTTATTACTCACACTCTTGTTTGAGTGAGTAGTGATGTTGACTAAGGTGTGTGACCTTGTTATCGGTATATTCTTTATTTAATGATAGTGTGAGAAATAATGTATAATTGATACTGGTCGCTTATTCAATATGTCTTTGTCTTATTGTCTGTGCGCTCTATTTGAATCTACGATTATGTTGGATACAACACTGACCACATTGTTAATCAGGGTGGTTTTTCCAGTGTCGGCACACAAGTGTCAGAGTTGACATCGGCAATCAAAATCAGAATTCACAAGCAACCAATAATGGTTGACTTTTAGGGTAAAAGATCTTATCATTGCTGATTGGTCTTTTGCATATATTTTAGATGTTTAAGATGGTGAATATACTTGTAGAAGATATTGCTGGATAACTAGCATGTAAGACATATTAAAGTAGCTATTCTTTTAGCCAGAAATCAAGTATCAATTTGTATAAATAGTCAAGAAATACATTTAATAAAAAGGCATCTTTATTCTTATCTAAAAACTATTCTTAAAAACTTAACAATCCCCAGTGGTATTGATTCTGCGACTTACACTGCAAAAACCATTGGGAATTATTATAATAATAGGTTTTGATTATCAGGATATTTTGTCACATAAAAATGAATTACTCGTAAATATTAAGGAAATCATAGTTGACAAGTTATTGAATAAAGTGTCAAAAATAATTGAATATTATCTTATTCCAAAAATAAAAACCGGGAGTTTAGGTATAATGTCTGTGTATCAACTGTTCTCGGGGATCAATTATATAGACTATTCCAAATGCAGAACAATGTATTATCTACCGCTGATTACACCTGTAATTTGATGTAGGCCTTGTTTTTGTAATAACAGGCGTAATAACAGGGCACTTCTTTAATGTTTATTGGCTAAATGAATCGAAGAAAAAATTCTCATAGGTGCAAATGCTAAGCACGAGTTACTCAATTGGATATTGTTTTGTTTTGAAAAATGGTTTTTTATTTGTTTTTATTTTGGATAAAAAAAGCCTTTTTTTTTTGGCAATAATAAGAATTCTATATAGTATTACTATTAAATACACTAATCTGTTATATTGTACTTCTTATAAATTTTGTTTCAGAATTTTTTGAATTAATAAACTCGGATAGTGAGTATATATGCTTACTGAAGCTATTTGATTAAAGGGAGTAGAAAGATACTTACATACTGTTAGAATAATTTGTTAATAATGGAATAAAACACAGATTTATATTATCAAAAGCTACGAGCCAATGCGTCATTCAAGTATATATTACAAAGAAAGGAATATAAAACATATACATACATATTTAATAAAGGAACATGTCTTGTCCTTGAGTACCGGTCATATAAGAATGTGAAGAACCATTTCAACTATAAAAAAGGAGAGTGAGAATGCTGATATAAAAAAACAAAACAAAATAAAAACAACACAATAATAAAATGAATAACACGTACCCTTATATTCTTTAAATGATTTGTTTTTACTGACCATATGTAAATCAAGGGTGAGCTATATTTAAAGTAGATGTTAGATATTGTTTTTAATACTGGGAAGAAGATGTTGATATAGATATATACGTACATGCCACCAATATGTTTTTGTGTTTTTTTTTGTCTGCACCGGTTATATCAGAGAAATATATGTAATGTCTATTTAAAGTAATTTATAGTTAGTAAAATAATGATATATTTAATAGTAAAGTACCTCTTGTATAATGAAAGACACCTGCATCATATGTATATATTAAGGGTGCCTAAAGTGAAACATAGTAGGATTAAAAGAGTGTTATTTTTATTAATATTATTAAAGAGTAGAGAAAAACAGAAAAAGGTGGGAAAATAAAAAACAGTGTTTGAAAAAGCCGTAGACCCTGAAAAAGTTATTAGACTGTTTCTCTTACTTTAAAAAAAAATTGTCTACTAATTATAGCTTTATATGTTTCATAAAACAATTGTTACTTACTATATACCTAAAGAAGTTGTTTTCTAGCTCAATTTTTTTCAAAATAATATATTTCGATCTCCTCGATCATTTAAATAAAGAAGTATTTACACACTCATACACTTGCTCAACTTGCTCACTTAATCATTAACATAATTGTTTAATCACTCAATTACTCTACAATTCTTTACGTGTAAAGTACTCTCTTAAAAATTTATTAAAATAGAAATATCAAGCAATATATACCAGAAACTTATTATTTTATTATATAAAAATACAGATAATGGCTCCAAGAACTAACATCAACCAGAACGCACGTACCAATGGATCAACATCTAGGCCATTGATCAACGCAGTCAACACTGGGCGTATAGAATCGTCAAATCCAATGATTGCTCCTAGACCAGAAAATATGTCAATTCCAGTGTCAGAGTTTAATGATATAGTCAGTCTTCTCGCTACACTCAATGACAAAATGACAGCCGTTAGTTCCGATGTTAGTGAATTGAAAGGTAATTAAACACAAACTATATTGTTTTCCAATAGACTGACTATTTGAACAGTACAATGCCAGGTGGGTGCTCAATTGACTGGCATGCAAGCCGTTCTGGATTCTGATATGGATCCTCAGGACATCATAAGCAGCTCAAGACACCCAAAGATCTCAGTAAGCTCAAATACTAAAATTATAAAAACAATCTCCCTTTAAATCTAACATCAATATACCTTTAATAGAGTATTATTCGGGGGCGGTTAAGAGATATTAATCTTAAGACAGATGATTTGGAGTTGATCAGAGAGAATGATGATAAACCAACTTGGGATGTCAATGTTGGTTTGTCTGACGAGTTTAACAAGAATCTTGCAAGTGATTTGATGCTTTACATTCGTCGTCAACCTGTAGCAGCCATGGTACCACCAAAAGAGCTATGTGGTATAATTGTAAACAGCTATTACAATCGCTTGGCTGCTAGTAAGCTTACTGAAGAAGACAGACAGACAAACACTACCTCAAACAGAAGAGGAAATAGAAAGACTGCTGTAAGCATTTCTATTTATAATAATTCAATTTTGACAAGTATACTTAAAATATTATATATATCGTAGCTTAATAAAAGGAGAAAAAGAACGTACACAAAGCATAAGGATGCCGTCACTGAAAAGTTTAATCGGGATTATAATGGCGTTTTTTACAGAGATGCAATGTCTGGTGATGAGACAGAAACCGATACTTCTGTTGTTGCATCTCGTCCTGATTGGCATAGTGATGAGGTAATGTTTTATATAAAATGGTTTTTCTGTTTTTGATTCCTGATGTATATATACATTTATAGTTGAATACCGTGTTTGACTTTCTTGATGAGCTCGCCAGAGATGACTTGGGAAAAAGAGCAACGCAGTTGAAGTTGCAGAGTCATGTGTTAGTACACGAGACAATTCCTCGTGGCTTGGTCACAAAAATGCCTACGTGGTCAAAACGCGTATAATAAAATTTCTGTCTTTTTAGTTGCACTCTTTATCACATCTCTTTTTATGTCTATGAACTATGTTTTATATTATTATTATTATTTTAAAAAAAAGATAGAGTATTTTATTAAGCGTACAGCTTTCTTGGCAGAGGAATAACAACGACTTTTGCCGCACCACTACCAGACACATGACTTCCAATTGCAATTGGCAACAAGATGCGGTGGACAGGCAGAATGTTGTCATAGTCATACTTCAGAAATTCTGGCTCATACAACTCGATGCCCTGCTTGATTCTAGGTTGATGGCGAGGAATTTTGTACCACTCAACGAAGGCAAATACATGTTGGGGGTTGTGACAAGGGGAAAGGTTGGTGTGCGTGAGGTTTGGTGTAAAATCGTGCAAGAACAAGTACTTAATACGACCAGCATATCTTTCCTCAGAGTCTCCACTTTTTTCAATAAATTTTGCTTGTATATGCGATCCTCTCACGACCAAGCCTTCTCCACCTGTGTAAACTTGTCCAAGAAGATTGATGGACGAAATCTTCTGGATTCGGTCATTCACAAACCAACAATTCCTGATTGTTGTCTTGGCACTGCAAAGAGAATCATTGTCATACTCAATTTTATAGATATCGAGCAGACAATCATACTCGGATTTTCTCATTGTTGTTGGTGGCTTCAAACATAATGGTAGAGCGGAAAGAGGTAGAGGTTCGTTGCCAAATGTTTGCTTTGAAGGCTTTTCAGCGGATTGTAAGAACGTTGGCAAGTGAAAGAATGACGGTATCAAAGGATGTGGCGAAAGTGCAGGATTATAGATTTTATGGCCAGACAGCTTGAGAAAAAGAGAGAGGAGTAAAGGGCTGGTAACATTTCTGAGATGCACTTGACAAAAGTCACCATTGTAAGAACTCTCAAGAAATCTTTTCATGTAGGTATTCTCGAACCCACTCTTCTGGTTTGTCTCAAACCCTTTCAATACACCATTATAGCGCTCAAAGCTAAATAGCCAAAATCCGTAAATTGGCCCAAAGTCCTCAATCGTTTCTTTTAGATGGAGATGGAGATGCATGTTTTGCGTGAATACATCTGGTTTATAAAAGTCTTCACAACTAACACAGAACTCCTCCAAACTTTCGTGAGCTTTTTTGATCCCATTTTTGGTGATACTTGGCTTCGTCAATTCTCTGCATGCATCGACAAAATGGATCCAATTGCCAAGCAGATCATCTCGCAGGCGTGTCTTAAGCAGAACAGGAGAGTATATCAGGCACCATGATTTCCACTCATCTGCCTTCATAAACGGAAATTTCTTTCCAATCTTTATCTTCAGAGTCGTATACCCTACAGGGAGTACCATTCTATTAGCCTCTTCCTGCATCTCTACAAAATCTTTGTCATCAAGCAAATTGTTTGCAATCCAAATATCCATCATTCGTTTTGCAGTCCCGAGAAAAAGGTTGTGCATGGGATCGATAATGGTTGCACGCACTGGCTCAAAGTACACAAGTCGATGAAGCTCAGACCAACAAACACCATTCTCAATCTCCAATCGCTTTCTCTCTGTCAATGTCTTTGCATTCTTCCACAGGTTTGCATGTCTACGATTTTCTTCTTTTGTGCGGCCTACCCATTCCGAAAACTTAAGCCCAAAATAGTTTACAGCAGTGGTCCCATCAACACGAGCAAACTGACGATTGCATTTGTAGCATGCACATGTGCTGTTGTGAGATGTAAACCCACACGTCTTTCTTGCAGCAGGGATGTCGCATGCAACCATCAACAGAGCAGCACGCACCAGAGCACCTGAGCAGTTATATGTATCAATTGTGATACCTTTATATAATAGCATAAGTTCATTAACAAGAGGACGCAAATAGTTATTGATCTCGTTGGTGCTTGCTTCTTTAGGTCCAGGCATCAATCCAACAAGAATGACATTTTCTGCCTTGTTCCGCTCTTCTCTCGGCAGATTGTTAATTGTCAGGTATATCGCACCACAAGAATATGTTACTCCATCAAATGGTTGAAACCAATCAATGTTCAGTGTCAATAGTAATGATCGTTCCTTCGAAACAAACTGGACACCATCCTCATCCACTAATTCGTTCCACATCTTTCCATCATATACATCGAATAAAGTACCGTCGACTTTTGGTTCACGATTCCATCTGTTGATCATACTCTCAAAAGAAGGACGTGTAAACATTTTTTTCAAGGTAGTTGTCAACGAGTTATAAACAAATGTGCACTTTGGAATCATGGCGTTCTTCATACTAGACTTGTAGAGATCATTCTTACAATGCGTCTTACTACCAACTCTTTTGAAATTGCAGGATGTATGTGTGTTGTTGCTGTAATCGTACAATGTGTGACAATTACTGCATGCTACATATTTTGATACGCCATTTGTCAAGTCATTGTATCCTGTCATTTTCCTCAAACCCGGAATGCTTGTGGGAAGTCGGAAATCCTCTCCATAATGTTCGAGGATTGTATTTATGAATGTAATCAAAATTACTGCGCCTTCATCCACAATGAAGCTAGAAATAAATATCACAGTGAAAACCGCAATTACTCGATGCCAAATATTCTCTGGAAGGTTTTCTGTAGACTCTGTAAGTTATCATAAAATAATATTAATTTTTTGTTTCTTTAATTCAAACCTTTTTTCTTCAATCATAGTTTATTTTTAATATTTACCCTGTTCTTGCTCTCTGTTCTGTTCTTCTTGCTCAAATTCATCCGACGACTCATATTCAGACTCATACTCTAAGGTATACTCCTCTGTTTCAAAAAGAGATTCTTCCACCAAAAGAGGTAAGTGGGTATTGACATACTGCTCTGGTGAGGGTGCACTGTCGGAGTAATTATCATCTATTGGTACCGAGTTTAAATAGAGTGCGCATTGGGTATAAAAAATAAAATACTATTACTTTCAATATGTTCTTCAATTTGATCTACGTCCATATCAGCTTCACCAGTGTTTACTTCGGCTGTCAAAACTATTTGTTCTAATGGATTAGAATACATCATATAAATAAATGAAAAATTGATAACTTAATTTACCATTAATGGTTTTATCCATATTCCTGTCATTATCATTCTGGGCATGACGCTTGGCAGTTCTTTTATCTGTCATGGTGTATCCAAGAGGATTGCGATTGCATCTTGTGCATTTGCAACGAACTTCATCGGGATTGGCAATGGAAAACATTTTTTCACTTAATTTTTTTTAATAATAAAGGAAGTGTGTAACAGCCGTTGCTTGTTATAATTGTCTTTATTATTTTGAAAAAATTCTCTCAGAGACTCTGATATATATTAGGCCAATGATATGTCTTTAAATATATTCTCGCTGCTAAACACAGGAAATGAACTGGGTTGTAATTTTTTGGCTACTATTATCGATAATTCCAGGTAAGTGGAATTCAATTATTTTAAGGTGTTTTTGCAGTGTTAGTTACAAGTGCCAGAAAAGAAATACCAGATCGAGACTGGACACATAAAATAAGGATGTCAGACATTATTTTGATGAATCCGTAAAATCTGAAGATAGTTAACCGCAGTACTTCTTTATGCGCAGTAATATCTTCCTGAGCATTAACCACAGTATAATGACTATTTCTTTAATTAAATATAAATAATAACTACTGCGGATAATGCGCAGTATTAGTTTAGAAAACTATATAAGACAATTCAATTCATATCAATAAAAAGTATCTTTTATCCTCTCTTTGATTTTACGTATACTCCTTGATCCCCAGTGGGTTTGACCTTTTGACTTTGTTATAGTAAAAGGAAGACCAACCCAGATCGGGAACGACAAGTGGACACATAAAATAAGGAGATATGAATTCAGGTACGACGCCGCAACAAAAATGATTTCTGCCAGACTTGAACTGGCGACCGTCTGTGTGTTAGACAGACGTGATAACCAACTACACCAAGAAACCACACACTCTCTTCCACAACCAAATTATTTTTTGAATTCAAACCCAGCACAGTTTTACTTTTACCTCTTTTTCTCTATAACTACTATATCAAACCTATCTGTTTTTTGCAGCAGGATTGATTGTCATAGTTGTTTTTATATATCTACCAATTTTCATTTTTTTTAATTGACTTTTTTTCAAATTGTTGGAATCATCATTGTAATCATCTTCACATCTACGCCGAAATCACTCAAGATTGTCAGCATCTCCAACTACATCTCAATTGCCTGTACCTCTGTTATCGTCTCCAGCTCTTTTCTCCTTCTCTGAAGGTGGTTCTGGTGTTTTACCATCAACTTCGCACTTTTTTGTCCCAGTTTCAGACCTTTCTTTTTCTGCTTTGCCTGCTCCTGGTTCCCACGAAATTTTTTTTCAAGCTCCTCCAACAATGATTGGTTCCCAAAAACAGGTGATTAATTCCACTGGCCGCCCTACTCCCACTGCTCTCATTTTGTCTGGCCTCAAGGCAGACTTTAAAAAATTGCACAATGTTTTGTCCTGTTCACATTGCCAGACTACAGGCAAAATTGTTTCTAATGGGTCTACTTCTCATACTGGTAGCCCACAGTTTAAATGCAAATGTGGTGCAACATTTACTGCTTCATCCATGCAATCTTTGATCAATGCAGTCCAACACAAAATTCCTGAAGTTCGTTCTGCAAGTGAGCCTGTTGTGTCCCCTTCTGTTTCCATCTTGGGTCATAGTATTTCCATGGCAGATATCCATGAAATTGAATCTGACGTTGCACCTGTTCTTCCAACTGTAATGCCCACTCTTCAGGATATTTGGGACCGTTTCCAGGCTTATGATGAACGTCTTTCTGCATTGGAGGCTGTTCAAAAAGAGAATATTGAGTTGCGTAAGGCTCTTGCTACTGCAAACGCCACTATTGCACGTTTGACAAAGGAGAATGTTGATTTTTCTGTTGGTGCTGCAGCATCCAAATATGCTACTATTGCTGCCTCTGTTCCAGTTGTTTCTCAGGCTGATTTTCCATCACTTCCTGCATCCCTGACCCATCATTCCACTGAACCCACCAAGACTTTCGTTTCTAAAACACCACATAAAAGGGCTCCAACTGCTAGGGCCATTGCTGCTGTTGTTCGTGGCATGACAATTAAAGAAAATGCTGATCAGGGGTTTCAAATTGTTTATGTACCTAATGCTATCCGTCTCCCCATTAGTACTCAACGTCAACGTCTTAGGAAATTAAAGATAGACAATGCACGTGTGCTGGATCTCCACTATCCTGATCGTAAGGTGATGGGAATGCTTGTACATAATGAGTATGCTCCTGAGCTCAAGACTATCTTGGCGAGTTATGGTGTTACTACTTTGGATAACTTTGATCCTCTGGACCCTGTTCACCTCCGTGACCCAGCTCTGGCCTCTCTTTCACTTGATGATAGGGCAACAAAAGCTATACATGTTTACAATGATCGTATGCTACGTGCCATTGAATTCATTAGGGCTCCTGTCAAGTTTGCTGTTGCACGTTTCTTTTGCTCTCAGGGATGGATTAGTGATGACCAACTAGCTGAGATTGTTCCCCCACGACCCACCAAAAAAGACTTGGACATCTCTATACATACTGCCAGTATCACCATCCCTTCATTCTCTGATCTATGAATCCAGTAACAATTACATTATGGAATGCAAATGGTCTTGCAAAACAGACCATACCTACGATCCTTTCATATGCTCCACTTACCTCCCTTCTTTTTATCACTGAAATGTGGCTTTTGTCCCCCCATCGTTATCCTACTTCTTGGCAGCAGTACCATACCTATGGTCAGTCTGTCCCCAATGCTAGCCGTGGCTGCATGGGTATTTCTCTTCTTGTAAATCCTTCTTTCCCTTACCCCATTTCTATTGTTCCTTCTTCTTCTCCTTATGTTCTTTCTTGTATTGTATTTGATTTTCTTATTCATTGTATTTATCTTCCCCCTTCTCTTTCTGATGATGATGCAATTTCTATTCTTTATGACCTCCCCCTCTCTTCTTCTTCTATTCCTTCTTCTAACACTATTTTTTGTGGTGATTTTAATTCACGTATGGGATCCTTTCTTGGTGACCATGCTATCACTTCGCGAGGAACTTCTTTTCTTCAGTGGATCCAGGCAACTGGTCTCACTTGTTGGAATGAATTACTTGCATTTGGTATTCCTACCTTTCTTTCTGGTGGCTCTGGTACCTCACGTTCCAGTGTCATTGATTTATTTCTTTCTACATCCCCCCTTCTCAATCCTTCTATGCAAATTCGTTCTGATCTTTCTTTAGGCTCTGATCACAAAATGGTCAACCTCACTTTCACTCCCTATGTTTCACCTCCCCCTCCCCCTACTAATCATCCGCGCCTACTTTGGAATCTTTCCAAGCTTGCTCAGCCTGACACTCTCAAGATCTACATTGATACAGCTTCTGCGTCATTGGACAATCTGACAGAGCAGTTCAGTGCTTTCCTTTCTTCTTCTTCTCCTCCTCCTGTAGATTCTCTGTGCTCTGCTTTTGCTCAAGCTATCTATGATGCTCTGGACACTGCTGTTGGTCGTCGTACACCACGTACCATGCAAAAGTACTGGTTCTGGTCAGTGGACCTTCAAGAAGCAATGGATCTGAGAGAACGCAGCTACCAACACTGGCGTCATTCTAGTGGTTTGCAGAAGGCTATATGCTGGATGCGCCATCAGGATGCATGTCATGCTGTTAGGTTATCAGTCCAGCATCGTCGACGTGAAACATGGAAAGAATTCTGCAACAAATTGGCAACACAAGACTTTGCAAAGACCACAGCAACAATGAAACGTATTAAAAGCCATCGTCAAACCAGTCCTGTCTTTGTGGATCCGGGTGGACCTCAAGTAGCTGCTAACAAAATGGCTGATCATCTTCAACAGATTTTCTCCGGTCAATTTCTTCCTGCACGCCGCCCTCCGGACCAGACAGTGATGATTTCATCACCAATTGCAATTGATGAATCGTGTCCTTTTACTCATCTTTCTGTAGAGAGTGCAATTCTCAAGCTTCCTACACGCAAGGCTCCTGGTGTTGACCATCTTCGTGCTGAAATGCTTCACCCAATTGTTAAGCAAGTCTCTCCTGTTCTTTGTCTTTTGTTCCAGCTTTGTTGGCAATGGGGTTCTGCACCTCTTGCATGGCGTACTGCACAAGTTGTCCCCATCTTTAAAAAGGGTGATACTCATGACCCTGCTAACTATCGTCCCATTAGCTTAACGTCTATCCTGAGAAAAGCCATGGAATATTGTCTACAGTTTCCTCTTGAAGATGTGTCTCCAACAATTGACATTGCACAGGGTGGATTCCGACGTCAACGTAGCTCCCTTGATCAAGTTCTTTGTCTCCATGAGATGGTCCGTTGTCACACAGCTCTATTCAAAGCACCACCCACTGGGGAATTAGATTTCTACACATATGCGATAGTATGGGAAATTCTGAGTGACAGAATAATTAAATTCTGGAATTTGGCATTTATAGATTCCATTCGCAATATGTTATGTTACCTGTGAGTTGTCCATATAACTTCTGAACTTATAATGATCCATATAGAGATGTAAGGTTCTTTTAAACTATTTAATTGCAGAGAGAATAATCAAATTATGGCATCTTTTTTTTTTGGATGTTACATTAAATTAAACTTGATTTGAAACAGAGATTCCAATAAAAAATCTATTTTTGATAGAAAACTGTCTACTGAAATAATGATATTCTATTGGATCATTTAACAGAAGAAACAGGATTTATGTATACTGTTTTCCGAATCTAAACACTTTTATTGGACAATTATGCACGTCTAAACTATAGGATTCACACATGCCATGCTACTGCAATACTTCTTGCACTTCATTTCAAATATTTTTATAGGGATTGTTTTGGAAAAATTGTTTTTATTTAAAAAAAAAGCTTCTTGCTTATAATATGTACGGCTTGACAATATATAGTCTAATCTAATATATAAGCTACTACATAATTAATATAATAACAAACCCTTTCATATATTATAATATATAAATACTTCCAATACGATAGAATCCTAAAAAGAAACGCGTGTTTACGGTATTTCACTAGTAAGAGAAGGCTAAAAAATTATTCAATTATATTAGATTATATAAATATTTATTTTTCTTTAATTTAAATAATATGGTTACTTACCAGTACTTTCGTCAGAACCAGGCATAGTGCACATTGACTGTTGTTCTGAAAGGTTTAATAAAACGCATTAGTAAAGATCATGGAATAAAGTTTGGCTTTATTACTTACCAAAGAAAACCGGTTTTCACAGACAAGCCATTCAATCAGGTACATAGAAATGTTGGCAGTACTAACAGAGATAGAAAATAAACAAAATTAGATATAAGAATAAAACAAATAAATACATTATTCAGACTTACCGGATAAATTTCTGCTGTTGGTATGTCTTTATGATGAGCTGAGGAGAGAAAAAGAAAATAATTAATAAAGAAGTACATACGCAATAACCGCGTTTTACCTTTTTGTTCTTGTCCATTAATCAACATGGCAAAGACTTGTAATACTATCAGCAACCACAATAATAATAAAAGAAAAAACATTAAGAATAAATATAACAGTAGAATAATAAAAACAAATTGCTTACCAGGGTGTGAACTCAAATACATCAACCAGAATAAAAGTAAATAAAGCGGAAAAGAAACAGGAAAAAAAGAAATAAGAAAAAAATAAAGAAAAAGAAGAAAAAAAAGTGGGCTTTCAAACAGAAGGCAGTTTAGATGAGAATTGACTCTAGTAAAATACAATAGTAATAAAATGAATAGTCCAAAATTATATTGTAACACTAAGTTCTATGTTGAATATTAAAGAAGTTGTTCAAGGTTATAAAGGATTTTATAGAAAATAATATATAATCCCTTCCTTTTCACAGCTATTTCATAAATCTACTTTATATTAACTTATTTTGTATGTATATCTTTGATTAAACAAAAATAAATATATTTCAACCCATACATTTATTTTATTTTAATAATTTATTAATGTATAAAACTTTAATAAAAATACAATAAAGAAAAAATGCCTTCCAATAGCAGCAGAAAAACAGACCGTAAAGGAAAAGGAAAAGCATCTGCAAGTATATCTACCTCTGCAAACCGTGTTTTGGCTGGCCGTGTTAGACCTTGAGAAATTGCCCCCAGTTTCTCATCCACAACTATCCAAGATCAGCGATACGCGGAAATTGTTGAAATATTTAACAAAGTAAACAACAATATCAACGGTGTCAAGGATGACATTGCTGCTGTCAATAGCAACATGGCAGCCTTTAAAAACAGGATGGGCGTTGTTGTTGACACGTCTGGAAAGGCACATACGGCATTTGCAGACTTTGCAACTGCCTATGCCAACAATCAGACTCGTATGGCTAGTCTAGGACCATCTCTGATGCCATCCTATGTCCCCCAGACCTCCCTCAGTGATGCTGAGGTTTCTGTCATTATCTCGGTAATTAATATTAATATATGTTAGTATCAACAACTTATTAAACAACCTGTATTTAGGAAATCTTTGCGGAAAAGTTGTGGGACTGGAAGTTCGAGTCTGACGACCCTGCTCTTGTTGCTGAGAATGAGAGTAAGAAGAAGTGGAACTTGAACGAGAAGATTAACCACCGCAATAACATAGCTGTTATCAACTACTTGAAGAGCTACATTAGCGCCCAGACTCGTCTAGCTGGTACTCACCCACGGGTGATAAGTGATAAAATAAAGAACAGGTACAAGCACAGTCATCGTACTTTTCACGAGTCTCCTGAGCAGAAGGCCAAGAAAAACAGCAAGGGGAGAGCAAACAGTCGTACTCTTCAGGTTTGTATATACTATATAAAAAATTAATTGGTATATTACTATTTTCTCAAGCTACAATCAATATAACCAGATGTCTATCCAACGCAAGTCGACATACATGGACAACTGGGTAGCCATTGATGCTGCAATGGGACATAAGACTGGAAACTCTGTTGAGAAGGCCTATCTCAAACTCTTTCAGAAGGATGCCATGTCTGATGGTGAGTCGGATATTGAGATTGTGGACAATCTTCCATGACGGTGTTTGCATGTGGCTCGCCCCACTTGGAGAAGTGAAGAGGTAAATAATATTTAGAATAAATAAATAAGTTTTATAACAAGAAAAATAAAGAACTAATAAAAATAAATACAGTTCAACAGATTGTTGACAATGGTTGACGACATTGATCATACCCATCACGTGTTAAATGCGGGCGTGGGAACAAAGCCAAGAATGAACAGATATCCAGCAACATTGTTGCCTTGCTCTGTTCCTGCCACTCTGTCCCAGTCATTGCCTCGTTGGGCAATCAACGATGAATAAACATTTTCTTTTTTACTATGTTCTGTTGTAGGGCCAAATAGTAATAATTGAAATTGAATTGATTAAAGGAAATAATAATAATAGAGGATAAATATATAAGTAAGTGTGTGTATGAGAATTAATAGTAAATTTTTTTTGGTAAAGGAATCGCAAGTTTTTTGTTGACGTTTTTTGTAGTTTTATAATCTACTATTGCAACTGTTAGGAGAATCCGATGTACTGGCAGGATGCTTTGAAAATCTTGCTTGTAGAATTCATCCTGTAACAACTCAACTCCTTCTAATTCTCTTGTTTTGTCCGAAGTGGATTTGAACCATTTGACAAATGCACATACATGCTGACTACTATGGGGATTTCTGTATGTTAGAGAAGAAACAGTTGGCCTAAAATTGTGAACAAAAAGGTACTGAATCTCTCCAACATACGCATGTTCCGACCCAGTTCGTTCAGTGAAATATGCTTGTATGTATGATCCACGGCCATTCGTGCCAATGCACCCTTTGTAGCTTTGCCCAAGAAGATCAATGGACTTCACCATTTCGATCCAGTCATTGATGAAAGGTGAGTCATCAATTACATCTTTGCAACCTGAGATCTGTGGATTCTTGTACGCAGCTTGATAGTATCCTACAAGACAATCATATTCATGTTTTGGCATAAATGATAATGGTCTTGTTTTCAATGGCAAGGCGGATAGTGGCAGGGGCTCGTTTCCACAAATTATCATTGAAAGATTCTGTGAAGCTTCAAGATATTCGGAAATTGAGAAAGAGTGAGAGAGGTAGGTGTTGGTGTTGGTGTTGGTGTTGTTGTTGTTGGTGGTGAACTTATCGAAAATTTCAAAACATGCAAGTGCATGCATAGGTTTCAGAAGTTGATGCACAAAATCTCCCTTCCACGACTCTTCAATATACTGTCTCATAAATGTCAATTCGAACCCGTTTCTTCGATTGGTCTTGATATTTTTCAGGACACTATTGTACCTTTCAAAGCTGAAAAGCCAATAGCCATAGACGGGCCCAAAGTCAATCATTGTTTGGCATAAGTGCAGATGCAGGTGCATGTTGGGAGAGAGAAGATCCAGGTCGTACAATGTCTCACACCCTTTACAGAATTCTTCTAAGCATTTGTGTCCTTTCTCAATGTCTTCTTCAGAAACACTAGGCTTGGTGAAGTATCTGCATGCGTTAACAAACTCTATCCAGTTCTTGAACTCTGGCAACAGCAACAAATCCCTTAGAACCACAGGAGAGTACACAAGACACCAAGACTTCCACTCATCAGCCTTCATATAGGGAAATCCCTTGGCAATCTTTGTCCCAAGTGACGTGTAATTGGGTGGCAACACTACCTTCTCAACAGCCTTTTGCATGGCAACGAGTTTTTTATCATCGATTAATCCATCCACAACCCATCTCTCCAGCATTCTTTTGGCAGTGCCTAAGAAAAGATTGTGCATGGGATCGATGATCGTGCAGCGGACAATGTCAAAGTACTGAAGACGATGCAGTTCGGACCAGCGAACACCATGTGCAACTTCAAGACGCTGTCTCTCAGTTGGTTTGGTTGCATTTCTCCAGATCTCTGCATCCTTACGATTGTCATTCTTAGTGCGAAGGAGCCACTTTGAGAAATCAAATCCAGAATAATTAACGGAACTCGTTCCAGCCAACCTCGAAAATTGACGCTTACATTTGTGGCATGCATTTGTACTTGTATGGGATGTGAACCCACATACTTTCCTTGCAGCAGGTATATCACAGGCAACCATGAGAAGGGCTGCTCAGATAGAAGTACCATTTGGACATTGGTGAGTCTTAATCTTAATACCTTTGTACAGCTCCATCAACTCATCCACAAGCGGTTTCAGATAGTTATTTATGTCAGAAGTGCTTGCTTCTTTAGGCCCTGGCATTAACCCAACAAGAATCACGTTCTCCTTCTTGAACCGCTCACTGCGTGAAAGATTATTGATTGCAAGATATATGGCACCACAGGAGTAGGTAACATCATCGAATGGCTGAAACCAGTCAATGTTCAGCATGAGCATGAGTGATTGCTCGGTATCAACAAAAGGTATACCATCTACGTCTACTATCTCATTCCATATCGCACCATCGTACACGTCAAACAAAGTGCTATCCATTTTTGGGCCGCGGTTCCATGAGTTGATGTTGTTTTCAAAATCCGGGCATTGAAAAAACGTCTTTAGGGCTTTCTTGACGGAGTGGAATACATATGTCTTTTTGGGTGCTTTTGACCCGGGACCAGACTTAAACAAGCTGTTGCCACACAGGGAGGTTTTATCAAAATTGGGTGATGTACAACACAAAGGGGCGGCTTCATTATCATATATGGCATGGCATTCGCTACATGCAACATACTTCTTGACACCACTTGTCAACGCTTCAAATCCGGCCAAACGTTTAAGGCCAGCAACACTCACTGGAAGGCGGAATGGGTCAAACAAAAACTGCAGTATCTTGTTGATTATGGCAATCAGGATTACAGCTCCTTCATCCACGACGTATAGCAAGACAAAAAGAGCAACCGAAATAACAATGAATCAGTGAATCAAACTCAATTCCGAGATTGATTCCAACGAAGAATCTTTAATTTGATTTTTTTAAAGAACGTTGATTAACTCTCTATTTTTTAGAATATAATATTATCTAAAGCTGTGTACCTACCTTCATCATTGTCCATCTCAACATCGGATTCATCTTCATATTCTTCTTCATAAGTGTCACTTGTATACTGGACATTATCTTCAGGGCCAAACACGCAATCCGTTTCAGAGAAAGGTTGGTTTCTTGTCCGTATATCCAAAATGTCATTTGTGTCATTTAGGTCTACAAAAGCGGAATGTTAGACCCAAATAAATCAATGTAATAAAACAAGTTTTCTTACTTCTAAGCTCAGAATTCATTTCAACATCTTCCTGTTCAAATTCAAAACTATCTTCCTCTTGATTTACAGGCTCAGAAACAGCACTACTAATTGTATTGCATGTGTCTTCATGGGCTACACATTTATTATTATTAGTGTTAATATTATTATTATTATTATTATTATTATTATATAAAATAATAAAAAAGGAAATGATATAAAATAAAATAAAATAAAGTGAAGTAAAGCAAATGTATTAACCGTACGCGTTTGAACATGTGTAATATCATGATTATCTTTTTCTTGATGACGTTTAAATGTTTTAACAGATACACGATCGAATCCTAGTGTCTTGCTTTTACAGATAGAGCAGCGACACTCTTTTCTAACAGTTGGTTTGCGAATAGGAGCCATTTTAAAATGAAAAGAAAGGTTTACAATAGTATTTAATAGTAAAGAAAGAGACTTCAAAGAAAACACACTTTTATTTTATTTGAGTTTGATGTTGCATTCTAATGCTACACAGCTGCCAGTAGCCAATAGAGTAGCTTAAAATACTATTCAAATACTTTACTCACAAAAGTGAGCTGAACTACAATTTTACCTATTCTGTCTATCAGAACTTAGGTATACTTTACATATGCGAAATTGATCTGTTTTTGCAGTGACCAGTCTTGGCTTTTCTTGATATCAAGTCTGCATATGACACTGTTGATCGTTCTGTAGTATGGACATCGTTACGTCCTCTTGCCTCTGATGCTATGTTAGCTTTGTTACAAAGTCTTTTTGACAATGTTCAAGTTGAGGTGTTGCTTTCTGGTGCAACATCCAGATCATTCCAACCATTGACTGGCGTTATGCAAGGATCTGTGCTTTCTCCCCACCTTTATTCTGTGTACATAAATTCTCTACCAGTTGCTCTTCGTGCTGCAGGGGAACTTTGTCACACAGTATTTAATCAGACTGCTGCCACAAGACTCAATGATCAATTAGTCAATTCACTACTTTTTGCTGACGATGTTGCCATCATTGCTACACCAGAAGCTATGCCTGTCATTCTGAATTCTGCTGAACAACATTCTCAAGAGCTAGGATATCGTTGGAGTCCCACAAAGTGCATGATCCTTCACCATTCTTGTTCTCTTTCTCCTTTGTCATTCTCTCTCTACAATGTGCCTATTCCTCATGCTCATTCGTTTCCTTACCTTGGTGTTCCCTTCTCAGCAAAGGGGACTATTGATCCATCTCTTCTCATCTCTCATAATTGTGTCTCTGCTATCAACAGCATGCGTGCTCTTCAATCACTTGGTGTCAATCACACTGGGTTGTCACGTCTACTCTCAATTCGTTTGTATTGCCAGTTTATTCATCCACAATTTGAGTATGGCCTGGCAATATCCTTGTGAAGTTTTATAGAATAAAATCAACAGTAAAAAGATTGAGACGTATATAAGAATACTTTGAGACTGTATATAGGTTGTCTTTATTAAAGAATACAAAGTTGTCCTTTTTATATCAAAACACGATCTGCTTTGTCAGTCACATCTTAATTTCTTAAGTCTGAGTTCATTTAGATATTAAAGAGCTGGTACTGCTATGTTTATAATTTAATCTAATTGCAGTGTCCTCATATTAACTCAGTGCTTACTGAGCTGTCATAATTACAGTACTTACTGTAATTAATTATTGGTCTTATTGATTTACCATAAGTAAAATAAATAAATTATTCATTTGTTCTTGTAATGATAGCTGTCTTACTATAATAATAGGAATATGTTCTTAGATGTAATAAATCCAACAACCAAGTGTCTGGATCACCACATTATCCCCACCCAGGTATTAATTAAATACCGTTCAAGTACTTTATGCATTTTTTATATATATACGAGTACTGTGGTGCTCAAATAACTCTTTATTTAGACCTTACTGCGTTTCTTCTTTTGCAAAGCTGTCTTTGCATAGTTCTTTCTTTTTATACCTGACTTTTCTTTGGGTATGGAATTTACGACTTTCATATCCTTCAATAATCTTTTATTGGCTTTGTTGATGTCTTTGATACTTTCTGGTGCTTCCCCAATTCTTTGCCAGTATTCCTTAATGAATTTAGGATCAGTAAAGTGATCCTCTGGCTCCCAGGTATCATGAGACTCATCATAGTCCAACCATTTGCATCTATACAAATAATTGTTCATATCATCTTTCTTATGACCAATAATTGCTTCGACTTCAAAAAAATCATTCTTTTGCTCTAATATCTTATTCGACACTTTTTTTAATAAAGAAGGAGGGTAATTCCTTGGTTCTAAAAATCCCTTTTCATTTTTCAATACATAAGTATTGGCAGCAGTCTTTCGAACAACAGTATAAAATCCCTTATACTTTGGATCTAATTTATTCTGTTTTTCTGTCACCAAAATCATAACTATAGTTCCTGGAACCAGATCTATCATTTTGTGACTCGTGTCAAAGCGTTCCTTTTGCTTTTGTGTGACATGCTTTACGTGTTCAAACACGGCAGGGTAGACTATCTCAGTCATTCTTTTAATTTTTTCTTGCAATTCTTTCTGAATCTGTTCAGCAGTTGCACTATCCTTCTCTTTACTAAAATCGACGAAGTCATTTGGATTCCTTCCAAACATTAATGAGAATGGCGTACTCTTAGTCCTAGCATTATATTTGCTATTCAAAAACAACTGTGCGGATGGTACCTTCTGATCCCAATCAGCAACATTACCAACTATTTGTTTTTTAATGGTGTTCACTGCCGACTGGACAGCTCTTTCACTCGCACCATTAGCTCTAGGATGGTACTGCGAAATCAACGCATGTTCAAAACCAACATTCTCTTTTATACATGTCATCAGCGAGTTCACAAACTCCCATCCACAATCACTCTGCAACTTTCTCATCGGACCCCATGTACTAATGACATCCAGTACTTGTAACGCAATCGTAGATGCCCTTTTATCAGGTATGGCACGCAATACGTAAAATTTGCTTGCGATGTCTATCATCACCAACAAGTACTCATTTCCTCTAGTCGACGTTGTAAATGGCCCAGCCAGGTCTATTCCCCAACTGTCACCAGGAAGTGTTGCGGTCACTGGTCTTAAAGGGTTATATCCTTTTCTTGTGATATTGTGACGTTGACAATGTATACACGATTGTATAATATCACTTGCTTAACTCTTCAAGTTGGTCCAATAAATACCTTTTCTCTTTAAGGCATGTAGTATAGCTTCTACACCAAAATGACCTTTCAAATGTTCTTCAACTAATAACTTATTCCTTTCATTTTCTGTGGGAGGAGTAAAGTACTCACCACTCAAGATGTCTGGTAGCGGTTCCATAGTGACAGCACTATTTCTCATGATGGATCTAACCACACTATCCCCACCCAGTTCATTTGATAATGTTTCAGTCTCTTCAGACAAACGTGACAACACATCAGGGAGCACATTCGAAACACCAGGCAAATGAACGATCTTAAAGTCATACTGTAAAATCGTGTCCATCCATGCGATCATCATCAGATTCGCAACACGTTGGGTGTGAAGATATGTCAATGCCTTGTGATCCGTGTACAAGGTAAAGTGAGAACCATAGACATACTTGTGAAAACGCTTGAGTGCAAATACTAACGCTAGTAATTCTCTTTTGGTCGCAGAATATTTTCTTTCACTTTGGGATAAGCTCTTGGCCACGAAAGAAATATATTTTTTCTTGCAATCCTTGACTTGATACAACACTGCACCGATACCAGTAAGAGATGCATCACAGCTGATACTAAAAGGAGAGTTCATATCTGGGTACGACAACACCAGATCACTCAAAAGTGCTTTTTTCAAGTTATTAAATGCAGTTTGATGCTTATCTGTCCATAAATGGGTAATCGACTTTTCATTTCTCAATGAATCTAATGGCGACATAATGGAAGATACATTCGGAATCAACGTTCTAAAATAGTTGATCAACCCACAATAACTTTGGATATCTTTACCCGTTTTTGGTTGAGGAAATTCAAGAACATTAACAAGTTTTCTGCGGTCCATTGTAATTCCTTCAGGTGAAATATGAAAACCAAGCAAATAAATTTCTTTCTGAAAGAAATGACATTTTTTCGGATTCAACTTCAAATTGACCCTTGTTAATCTCTCAATTACTTGCTTCAAGTGTTCCTTGTGTTCCTCGAACGTTTTGCTTGCGCAAACAATGTCATCCACGAAAAACCGTACAAAAGATAGTCCTTCCAAAGCTATACTCATAGTTCTTTGAAATTGTGAACTGACATGCTTAATACCAAACACTGTACCAATAGGTTTGTACTGTACACCACGCCATGTGAAACTAAGTTTGTGTATGTCCTTTGGGTTCAACCTCAAAGAATTAAACGCAGATTTCAAATCCAGAGTGGAATAAATATTCGCACCCTTTAAATCTTCAAACAATTCACCGATCAATGGCAAAGGCATACGATCAATTGACTTCAACAGGCAATTAATTAATCTGGGATCATGACAAACGCGATATCCAGTAATTTCTCCTTTACCGTTCGTCTTCTTGACAACAGTCAAAGGCGTATTCCATTGTGTGTTTGCAGACGCTCATTCAATTATACCATTGTCCAGCCATTCTTTCACCTGTTCATCCACTACACCTTGCATCTTGTAAGGAATGGGATAAGGGCTTCTGAACGCTGTAGCATTTTCTGGAGTGTCCAAACATACAACACTTTCAGGTATAGTACAAAACGAACCCTTAGGAATATCTTGATTGTCTTTAATGAATGGACAAATATAATCCATAGCATCCTCAAACTGTTTGGGACCTACAGCCGGATTATTTTCCTTTTGTTCATTTTCTCTCTCAATGGATTCAAGAAGATCACTCTTATTATTGAAGCATCTATCGGCTTCTCTACGTTCCTTACTTGAATCAGCATCATCATATGATAAAGGTAAACCATAAATACCAATACCCAGAGTGGACATATAATCAGTACCAATACTGAAATCATACTCATAACTATTAGTTAAGTTCATCACTTCAAATTCTCTCTGAATAGTCTTACTATTACAAGTTATACTGATCACACAAGTGCCAATTCTTTTAATATGTGTATTGCTATCAGCCAAACGAATAAAATACTTATGAACATTGGAATTGTTCACTAAATCTTTGTTGATGTGATTTACATAATTAATAGATATTTTATTCTGTAAACAAAAATTCTTATCCACAGAACTGAATGTGGCGCCACAGTCCAACAAGGCGATGGTTCTAATAGAATTATTTGCCAGAATGGAGAAGGTAATATTAGTGCTCATGTTCTTAAAATCTTTTTTAATGATCATGTCTTTATGATTGTCCTTACAATTCAAGGCCATCTTGGCCAAAGCACTTGTGTTATCTTGGTCCATCAACCACGACGTTGAGGAACTACCAACAGGGGAAGAGTTGCCACGAACAGAGAAATGACTATCACGAGAAGGGGGGAAACCACCACAAGCAGGGGAGGAAGCTACTGATCTATCAGCAGGTGAGCGCACAGCCATTCTTGACACCTTTGTCAAGTAATTATCCCTTTCAGGACAGGTGTGACCCTTCTCCCAAGCACCTTTGCAAGAAAAGCAAACATTATCTTTGATTGCCTTCTTAAAATTCCAAGACTTCTTGGCGTGCTTAGGATCATTGTCCCTGGCAATAGCTCTCTTCTTTCCCTTGTGGCTTATTGAAGAGGAGATGCTATGGGCATCGGAAAATGACTTCCATTTGGCAGGGGTGCCAGACTCCGCAGGTTGGTTGAGTAGGGCCGTGGAATCGCTAGTGGCTACACTGACTAACGAGATTATATCCTCCACTTTGGAGGGCAGTTTGGTGCCATAGTTGGCCGACAATGGGATCAGGCTTGCTTCCCGGACTTCCGGGCGCAAGTTCCACCAGAAACAAAGAACCATCTGGATACCATCCTCCAAGGACGCTTGTCTTCTAGCTGTTTGAAATTTAGCTCCAAACGCACGAACTGACTCACCTTTCTTCTGCATCATTTTCCACACACGACCCATGTTCAGAAATCTTCTGAAAGGAGTATCATAGTGATCCAGCAGAATCCCTTCTGCCTTCTTCTACTTGTACGCCTTTCCCTTTAGTTTGTCTTCAAACCAGGATCTTTCCTCCTTGTTCAGGCATATGGGAAGCAGACGCTCCCAGCATGAGTCCAAGGACAGGGAATGAGACTCTAAAACCATAGTGAATTCTTGGCAAAAATCGTACACAGAGTCAAACACGTCACGATTTTGCTTCACCCTGGTTTCCGTGCAGAGCTGCAAGAAAGGTAAGTTGCTAGGGACTACCATGCTCTTCTTGTCTTCAAGAATAGCAGGAGGGGCGTTGGCTTTTTCAAGCACCTTGAGGGTCTTCTGGGCATCCTCAAACAATTCTTGAGCTTCCTTCTTAATGGAAGAAGCATGTCTGGCCGCGTCTGACATGGGGTTGACCTTCGAAAGAGCCACATAGTTAGCATAAGCCACATAAAAGTTGTTCTTCTTTATGCTAAGGTCTTCCTTCGCAGAAGCTAACAACATTTCCAAAGTGATGGAACTACTAGTGTTGCTATTAATGGCTGATGGGACGGTAGGCACAGGAGTAGGAGGGACAGAACCAACAACTGAAAGAGGTGGCAAGGAATCAAGACTGGTGTATATCATTTCAATATCACCATCGATGGAAAGAGCGGTGGATCCAAGGAGAGGAGAAATGTCACCAATTTCGGTGAGATGTGTCTGTTCATTCAGAACAGGAGAGGGAATACCAACTTCGGTAAGAGGGCTTTGTTCTTCACGAGGAAGAGAGTTGGCAGCAGAGTGTTGGGAAGACATTATAGAATTCAAAGTAAAAAATGTGAAGTTTTATAGAATAAAATCAACAGTAAAAAGATTGAGACGTATATAAGAATACTTTGAGACTGTATATAGGTTGCCTTTATTAAAGAATACAAAGTTGTCCTTTTTATATCAAAACACGATCTGCTTTGTCAGTCACATCTTAATTTCTTAAGTCTGAGTTCATTTAGATATTAGAGAGCTGGTACTGCTATGTTTATAATTTAATCTAATTGCAGTGTCCTCATATTAACTCAGTACTTACTGAGCTGTCATAATTACAGTACTTACTGTAATTAATTATTGGTCTTATTGATTTACCATAAGTAAAATAAATAAATTATTCATTTGTTCTTGTAATGATAGCTGTTTTACTATAATAATAGGAATATGTTCTTAGATGTAATAAATCCAACAACCAAGTGTCTGGATCACCACAATCCTGCTTCAACATCAAACAAGTTGCTGTGCTTGAAAAGGCCCAGAACACATGCTTACACATGATTTTTGGAGGTCACTCCACATCTTCTACATCTGTTTTCCGTCGCCTTGGGAATCTTCTTAGCATGAGGGAGAGGATCTTGACTCTTGGTTTCAAGTTTGTATATCGTGCTTTCTGGTTGCCTGATGAGGCTCTGTTTACTCTTCTTCGACCTGTTCTTACAAACCCAGCACACCAATGGTTTAAGCTTTTAGCTAATCCCATTTGGTTGTCTCTCTCCAATCGTCAGAATGCTGATTCTAAAGCTTGCAAGCATGCCATTCATTCATTTTTGAACCAGGGCCTCTCCTTGAAACGCTCTCAACAAATACTTCTCTCTGCTTGCCGTCCTTCTCTTGGTGTTGACCCTATTCTCTGGCTTCCCATGACTAACTATGAATGTAGTAGATTCATACGCTGGCGTATGGGGTGGCTTCCTGGACGTCCTCAACCTTGTTCCTGTGGATTGCATACCACCAGCCGTCATCATGTCATTGAGTGCACTGGAGCTGCAATTTGTCTCCATCTCTATTCTACAGTACAACCCAATCCAATTGATTATGTACTCAATATGCTGCCTATGAAGAAACTTAAAAACAACAAGAACAATGCCTTCTGGATCTTTACTTGGCCAATTCTTTGTAGAATCATATTGGACATAGAACAGATCTGTCTCCCTGGGGTTGATCTTGCTGATCATGCTGCAACAGACAGAGGACAACTCTTCTTGAACTGGCTACCCAAATGAGACTGGCCATCTCCTTTTATTTTTAGTTTAGATCTGTATTAGTCTTAGTTTCCATTTATTGCATGAATTTCATGCATGCTTCATATTTTATTCTTATCTCCCTTTTTTTGTATCCCTTAGCTTAGTTTCCCTTTCTAGTTTTTCCCATTTTCTCCCTAGGGTTTTTTTCCTTTCTATTATTCTTTTTTGTACTCTTAAAGGCGGGCAATAGCTCTATAGTGTGTGTGCCCACTAGCCTTTCAATAAAAATCTTTTACCTATACCAAGAAACCAAATACGCTTAACACAGAGTATTGTAAAAATAGTTGGTGCTTAACAATTTCGGTTGTCCGGCAGTGTGATGACATTGCAGAATTCTTTGTAATTCTAGAAAATTATATTCTATTATTATTATTTTCGATTTTCCAATGGTAGACGAGACTGAATAGAAAGCAATTTTTTTATTTGTAGAGCAAAACAACAATAAGTACAACAAAGAAACATCATTTTGTCAACAATAACTTTAGATAACTACATATCATATTGTATTTTCTCACTATATTTAACTGAATGAATCAACTTGGAATTAATATTATTTTTATTATATATTCTTACAAGCATAGTTATCTTCATGATTATGATTTAATAATTATTTTATTTTATTTGTACTTAATGATAGTAAAGAACAAATCATATTTAATAGATCATCAATTATACAACTTTTATTATATAATTTTTTTTTAATTTTATTTATTTAACTATTCAACAAGTTAATTGAAAAACTATAAATATCGTAATATTTGCATTTAATAAACATTGATTTTTTGTCTTGTTTTCTGACAACAAGTTCTTTTACTGTTTAATGCTGTTGATATTTTACTTGTTTGATTATTCGAGTATATTGAGTCAAGTCTATCGAGATTGATCAATAGTACTGTTTTTCTCTTATTTTTCTCTTATTAATTTTATTATCTTTAATTCTACTTTCTCTTTTGAGTTTGGCTTTTTCTCTCTTGTGAAAAAGAGAGATTATTTCATATCTACAAATCCATTCAACCTCAAAAACCATGATAACATCACCTGTCAACACTTACTACAAATATAAGCACCACACGTATCAAACATTTATTATTAAAATTGTGATGTATCTGTTACCCTTAAACATATATATATAGAACAATTATAAAAGAGTTGTGAGTATATATAAAATTAAAGATTAAATATGATTAGAGTCTATAACTTATATTTGATGAGATGATTGGATATGACTTGGGTATTGACAAGTGTGAATATATATAATGTGATAAATCCAATGTTATTGACTAATATCAGAGATAGATAAGATGTTATAGACTAATATTAGTGATAAATCAAATGTTATTGGCTAATATTAATTATATATTATATTTTATTAACTTATATAAGTAGTAAATTAGATGTGATAAATATATATACATAATACAGATTGACTGTTATTGATTTACATATATATTAGATCAGATATCATTTATTTATATATATACTAGATTGGCAGTGTTCAGATTATATATGTATAAGATTGACTGTTATCCACTTATATATATATATATATATATATATATATATCAGATTAGATATCATATATTTATATATAGTGTGAATCACCTGTCATCAGCTTATATATATAACTGATTGGTGGTCAACAACTTATATATAAACTCAATTGGCAGTCAACAACTTATATATATATTTGATTGGTGATCATCAACTTATATATATATCAGATCAACAGTCAACAACTTATATATATATCAGATCATTAGTCAACAACTTATATATATACCTGATTGGCGGTCAACAACTTATATATTTATTAGATTGCCTGTCATCAGCTTATACATATATAAGATATACTGTCAATAGTTTATATATATACCAGATCGACTGTCATCAACTTATATATATATAAGATTGACTATAATTATATTATATATACAAGCTAATCAATCATAATTAACTTATATATATATGAGATTGTCTATAATTGATTTACATATAGTGTCAATTAGCTGTTGTTAACTTATATAATATTGCTTAATCTTAGATATTTATATATAAACATATATAAAAAATATAAAAAATAAAGTTTGTGTAACATATATTATTATGTATATTTGCGTAACGTAAACAATATGATTGAATTGCTGAAAAAAATTGGTAACTTTTGGCTATACTTGTTATATAATGTGCATAATCATGCATAATCTCGCATAAATGATCTACGTAAACAATACAATTGAATTTGTGGGAAAAATGATAAAGAATAGCTTTTTTCCAGAAAAATTTCCTTTTTTGGTTAGTCTGAATATATTTAGTATAAGAAGTCTTAGCATTTTTAGTGTGCGAAGATAGATTATATAAATAGCAACTATGTAAAAGCTTGGCATGGAAAAACATTTAACCTTAAACTATCAAATAGCCATTCCAACATTAATTAAATATATCTCTTCTAATGAAAGTTCAAATTCTTACTAAGTAATAATTTTTTAATTTATTTTGCTATGTAAAGAAAATTTAGTAGTATAATATAAAAGTATCGAAATATGTAAGGAGCAAGTATAGAATTAATAAAAACTAGTTTTCATATTTTTTTACTAATTTTCTTATAAAAATCAAAATATTATTATATAGATCAATAAAAAAATATATGAACAAGTCAACTTATTAATATTTATTATAATTTTAATGTATTTATATATTATATATATATAAAGATTATAAAAGAGTTGTGAATATATATAAAATTAAAGATTAAATATGATTAGAGTATGTAACTTATATTTGACAAGATGATCGAATATGACTTGGATATTAACAAGTGTGAATATATATAATGTGATAGATCCAATAGTATTAACTAATATCAGAGATAGATAAGATGTTATAGGCTAATATTAGTAATAAATCAAATGTTATTAACTAATATTGATTATATATTATATTTTATTAACTTATATAAGTAGTAAATTGAATGTGATAAATATATATATATATAATGCAAATTGACTGTTATTGATTTACATATATATCAGATCAGATATCATTTATTTATATATATACTTGATTGGTAGTCTTCAGCTTATATATATATGAGATTGACTGTTATCCACTTATATATATATCAGATTGGCTGTGTTGTAGTGGTTGAAGTTGAAGAAGTTTTTAAGAGGAAGAATTGAAGATTTGAGATTAGGAATGAAGATTCGTGAGAACTTGTGTAGGTTTTGTTTATTGAGAAAGGATTTTGTATCAAAGTTTTTCCAGGTTTCTACACTGAACTACTACTGCTATTTATATTATTTTGGATTGGGAAAATTATATGACTGAGGTCAGGTAATCGATCCTATCTGAGCCTTAATCAGAACAACGTGATCTTGGGATAATTAATGTATGATTAATTATATAAATGTGTGTAGTCCCAACAAAGTATTAACATCAAAAGTAAATGTGTTTATGAGTTATAATTATGCTTATAATAATCCACTGATGTATCCCATATTATGGTCATATCATCATATGAAATATAATCACTATCATGCATGCTAAATCTGTGTGTTAAATAATAAAGTAATCAGTAGACACCTTTGACTGGAATAGCTGAGGCCTTATATTATTTCCTTCAGACTTATTCTCAATTACAGCAATAGTCAATACTCATTTACAACAGCTAGATAAAACTCAATGAGATAATTGTAAATAAAAATACAAAGAAAAATAACTGTATAAATATTTTGTCATGAAAGAAGAAATAGATGAAGTTGTAATATATAATTACAAGAAAAGAAAAATATTAGAAAGAAGTATGCTATAAATAAAGGGAAAACTATTTAGTTAACAATTTTGATAAAGTAATATTTGAGAGGAAGCCTAACATTTAGTGTGCAGGAATAAAATAAAAAGAAAAGGGAGAAAACAATTTCGGGAAAAAATAAAGGGGAAAGATTTTACTTTTCAGACAATTGGTTCTTGAAAAAAGACGATTTTGTGAAAATGGAAAAAAGAATTTAAAATAAAAATTAAAATTTTGAAGACAAATAAAAAGGGGTTTTCAAAAGAAGGTCTGAACTTGGTAGAATTTGGTTTTTGAACTAAGGCCAACAAGATTATTACATTACATGTCATAAAATGTAATGGTTTCTTGGTGTAGATAAAAGATTTTTATTGAAAGGCTAGTGGGCACACGCACTATAGAGCTATTGCCCGCCTTTAAGAGTACAAAAAAGAATAATAGAAAGGAAAAAAACCCTAGGGAGAAAATGGGAAAAACTAGAAAGGGAAACTAAGCTAAGGGATACAAAAAAAGGGAGATAAGAATAAAATATGAAGCATGCATGAAATTCATGCAATAAATGGAAACTAAGACTAATACAGATCTAAACTAAAAATAAAAGGAGATGGCCAGTCTCATTTGGGTAGCCAGTTCAAGAAGAGTTGTCCTCTGTCTGTTGCAGCATGATCAGCAAGATCAACCCCAGGGAGACAGATCTGTTCTATGTCCAATATGATTCTACAAAGAATTGGCCAAGTAAAGATCCAGAAGGCATTGTTCTTGTTGTTTTTAAGTTTCTTCATAGGCAGCATATTGAGTACATAATCAATTGGATTGGGTTGTACTGTAGAATAGAGATGGAGACAAATTGCAGCTCCAGTGCACTCAATGACATGATGACGGCTGGTGGTATGCAATCCACAGGAACAAGGTTGAGGACGTCCAGGAAGCCACCCCATACGCCAGCGTATGAATCTACTACATTCATAGTTAGTCATGGGAAGCCAGAGAATAGGGTCAACACCAAGAGAAGGACGGCAAGCAGAGAGAAGTATTTGTTGAGAGCGTTTCAAGGAGAGGCCCTGGTTCAAAAATGAATGAATGGCATGCTTGCAAGCTTTAGAATCAGCATTCTGACGATTGGAGAGAGACAACCAAATGGGATTAGCTAAAAGCTTAAACCATTGGTGTGCTGGGTTTGTAAGAACAGGTCGAAGAAGAGTAAACAGAGCCTCATCAGGCAACCAGAAAGCACGATATACAAACTTGAAACCAAGAGTCAAGATCCTCTCCCTCATGCTAAGAAGATTCCCAAGGCGACGGAAAACAGATGTAGAAGATGTGGAGTGACCTCCAAAAATCATGTGTAAGCATGTGTTCTGGGCCTTTTCAAGCACAGCAACTTGTTTGATGTTGAAGCAGGATATTGCCAGGCCATACTCAAATTGTGGATGAATAAACTGGCAATACAAATGAATTGAGAGTAGACGTGACAACCCAGTGTGATTGACACCAAGTAATTGAAGAGCACGCATGCTGTTGATAGCAGAGACACAATTATGAGAGATGAGAAGAGATAGATCAATAATCCCCTTTGCTGAGAAGGGAACACCAAGGTAAGGAAACGAATGAGCATGAGGAATAGGCACATTGTAGAGAGAGAATGACAAAGGAGAAAGAGAACAAGAATGGTGAAGGATCATGCACTTTGTGGGACTCCAACGATATCCTAGCTCTTGAGAATGTTGTTCAGCAGAATTCAGAATGACAGGCATAGCTTCTGGTGTAGCAATGATGGCAACATCGTCAGCAAAAAGTAGTGAATTGACTAATTGATCATTGAGTCTTGTGGCAGCAGTCTGATTAAATACTGTGTGACAAAGTTCCCCTGCAGCACGAAGAGCAACTGGTAGAGAATTTATGTACACAGAATAAAGGTGGGGAGAAAGCACAGATCCTTGCATAACGCCAGTCAATGGTTGGAATGATCTGGATGTTGCACCAGAAAGCAACACCTCAACTTGAACATTGTCAAAAAGACTTTGTAACAAAGCTAACATAGCATCAGAGGCAAGAGGACGTAACGATGTCCATACTACAGAACGATCAACAGTGTCAAATGCAGACTTGATATCAAGAAAAGCCAAGACTGGTGGTGCTTTGAATAGAGCTGTGTGACGACGGACCATCTCATGGAGACAAAGAACTTGATCAAGGGAGCTACGTTGACGTCGGAATCCACCCTGTGCAATGTCAATTGTTGGAGACACATCTTCAAGAGGAAACTGTAGACAATATTCCATGGCTTTTCTCAGGATAGACGTTAAGCTAATGGGACGATAGTTAGCAGGGTCATGAGTATCACCCTTTTTAAAGATGGGGACAACTTGTGCAGTACGCCATGCAAGAGGTGCAGAACCCCATTGCCAACAAAGCTGGAACAAAAGACAAAGAACAGGAGAGACTTGCTTAACAATTGGGTGAAGCATTTCAGCACGAAGATGGTCAACACCAGGAGCCTTGCGTGTAGGAAGCTTGAGAATTGCACTCTCTACAGAAAGATGAGTAAAAGGACACGATTCATCAATTGCAATTGGTGATGAAATCATCACTGTCTGGTCTGGAGGGCGGCGTGCAGGAAGAAATTGACCTGAGAAAATCTGTTGAAGATGATCAGCCATTTTGTTAGCAGCTACTTGAGGTCCACCCGGATCCACAAAGACAGGACTGGTTTGACGATGGCTTTTAATACGTTTCATTGTTGCTGTGGTCTTTGCAAAGTCTTGTGTTGCCAATTTGTTGCAGAATTCTTTCCATGTTTCACGTCGACGACGCTGGACTGACAACCTAACAGCATGACATGCATCCTGATGGCGCATCCAGCATATAGCCTTCTGCAAACCACTAGAATGACGCCAGCGTTGGTAGCTGCGTTCTCTCAGATCCATTGCTTGTTGAAGGTCCACTGACCAGAACCAGTACTTTTGCATGGTACGTGGTGTACGACGACCAACAGCAGTGTCCAGAGCATCATAGATAGCTTGAGCAAAAGCAGAGCACAGAGAATCTACAGGAGGAGGAGAAGAAGAAGAAAGGAAAGCACTGAACTGCTCTGTCAGATTGTCCAATGACGCAGAAGCTGTATCAATGTAGATCTTGAGAGTGTCAGGCTGAGCAAGCTTGGAAAGATTCCAAAGTAGGCGCGGATGATTAGTAGGGGGAGGGGGAGGTGAAACATAGGGAGTGAAAGTGAGGTTGACCATTTTGTGATCAGAGCCTAAAGAAAGATCAGAACGAATTTGCATAGAAGGATTGAGAAGGGGGGACGTAGAAAGAAATAAATCAATGACACTGGAACGTGAGGTACCAGAGCCACCAGAAAGAAAGGTAGGAATACCAAATGCAAGTAATTCATTCCAACAAGTGAGACCAGTTGCCTGAATCCACTGAAGAAAAGAAGTTCCTCGCGAAGTGATAGCATGGTCACCAAGAAAGGATCCCATACGTGAATTAAAATCACCACAAAAAATAGTGTTAGAAGAAGGAATAGAAGAAGAATAGAGGGGGAGGTCATAAAGAATAGAAATTGCATCGTCATCAGAAAGAGAAGGGGGAAGATAAATGCAATGAATAAGAAAATCAAATACAATACAAGAAAGAACATAAGGAGAAGAAGAAGGAACAATAGAAATGGGGTAAGGGAAAGAAGGATTTACAAGAAGAGAAATACCCATGCAGCCACGGCTAGCATTGGGGACAGACTGACCATAGGTATGGTACTGCTGCCAAGAAGTAGGATAACGATGGGGGGACAAAAGCCACGTTTCAGTGATAAAAAGAAGGGAAGTAAGTGGAGCGTATGAAAGGATCGTAGGTATGGTCTGTTTTGCAAGACCATTTGCATTCCATAATGTAATTGTTACTGAATTCATAGATCAGAGAATGAAGGGATGGTGATGCTGGCAGTATGTATAGAGATGTCCAAGTCTTTTTTGGTGGGTCGTGGGGGAACAATCTCAGCTAGTTGGTCATCACTAATCCATCCCTGAGAGCAAAAGGAACGTGCAACAGCAAACTTGACAGGAGCCCTAATGAATTCAATGGCACGTAGCATACAATCATTGTGAACATGTATAGCTTTTGTTGCCCTATCATCAAGTGAAAGAGAGGCCAGAGCTGGGTCACGGAGGTGAACAGGGTCCAGAGGATCAAAGTTATCCAAAGTAGTAACACCATAACTCGCCAGGATAGTCTTGAGCTCAGGAGCATACTCATTATGTACAAGCATTCCCATCACCTTACGATCAGGATAGTGGAGATCCAGCACACGTGCATTGTCTATCTTTAATTTCCTAAGACGTTGACGTTGAGTACTAATGGGGAGACGGATAGCATTAGGTACATAAACAATTTGAAACCCCTGATCAGCATTTTCTTTAATTGTCATGCCACGAACAACAGCAGCAATGGCCCTAGCAGTTGGAGCCCTTTTACGTGGTGTTTTAGAAACGAAAGTCTTGGTGGGTTCAGTGGAATGATGGGTCGGGGATGCAGGAAGTGATGGAAAATCAGCCTGAGAAACAACTGGAACAGAGGCAGCAATAGTAGCATATTTGGATGCTGCAGCACCAACAGAAAAATCAACATTCTCCTTTGTCAAACGTGCAATAGTGGCGTTTGCAGTAGCAAGAGCCTTACGCAACTCAATATTCTCTTTTTGAACAGCCTCCAATGCAGAAAGACGTTCATCATAAACCTGGAAACGGTCCCAAATATCCTGAAGAGTGGGCATTACAGTTGGAAGAACAGGTGCAACGTCAGATTCAATTTCATGGATATCTGCCATGGAAATACTATGACCCAAGATGGAAACAGAAGGGGACACAACAGGCTCACTTGCAGAACGAACTTCAGGAATTTTGTGTTGGACTGCATTGATCAAAGATTGCATGGATGAAGCAGTAAATGTTGCACCACATTTGCATTTAAACTGTGGGCTACCAGTACGAGAAGTAGACCCATTGGAAACAATTTTGCCTGTAGTCTGGCAACGTGAACAGGACAAAACATTGTGCAATTTTTTAAAGTCTGCCTTGAGGCCAGACAAAATGAGAGCAGTGGGAGTAGGGCGGCCAGTAGAATTAATCACCTGTTTTTGGGAACCAATCATTGTTGGAGGAGCTTGAAAAAAAATTTCGTGGGAACCAGGAGCAGGCAAAGCAGAAAAAGAAAGGTCTGAAACTGGGACAAAAAAGTGCGAAGTTGATGGTAAAACACCAGAACCACCTTCAGAGAAGAAGAAAAGAGCTGGAGACGATAACAGAGGTACAGGCAATTGAGATGTAGTTGGAGATGCTGACAATCTTGAGTGATTTCGGCGCAGATGTGAAGATGATTGCAATGATGATTCCAACAATTTGAAAAAAAGTCAATTAAAAAAAATGAAAATTGGTAGATATATAAAAACAACTATGACAATCAATCCTGCTGCAAAAAACAGATAGGTTTGATATAGTAGTTATAGAGAAAAAGAGGTAAAAGTAAAACTGTGCTGGGTTTGAATTCAAAAAATAATTTGGTTGTGGAAGAGAGTGTGGTTTCTTGGTGTAGTTGGTTATCACGTCTGTCTAACACACAGACGGTCGCCAGTTCAAGTCTGGCAGAAATCATTTTTGTTGCGGCGTCGTACCTGAATTCATATCTCCTTATTTTATGTGTTCACTTGTCGTTCCCGATCTGGGTTGGTCTTCCTTTTACTATAACAAAGTCAAAAGGTCAAACCCACTGGGGATCAAGGAGTATACGTAAAATCAAAGAGAGGATAAAAGATGATTTTTATTGATAGGAATTGAATTGTCTTATATAGTTTTCTAAACTAATACTGCGCATTATCCGCAGTAAACTATTATACTCTATTTAATTACAAGAGAAGTCCTTTTACTGTGGTTGATGCTCAGAAGATGTTACTGTGGTTAATCTTTACAAGACATTACTGCAGTTCGTTATCTATGAGGTATCTTTGACATACAGAACTGCTGCAGTCAATTATCCCAATTTCTCGGATTCATCAAAATAATGTCCGACACAGTCTTGATCTGGTATTTCTTTTCTGGCACTTGTAACTAAGTCGCAGAATCAATAACACTGGGGATTGTTAAGTTTTTAAGAATAGTTTTTAGATAAGAATAAAGATGCCTTTTTATTAAATGTATTTCTTGACTATTTATATAAATTGATACTTGATTTCTGGCTAAAAGAATAGCTACAATAATATGTCTTTGATGCTTGTTGTCTAGCACTACGGGAAAAAAATGTGGGGTTTTATGGCTGTTTTATGGCAGTTTGACAAGGCAGCTTTGTGGCGGTTTTTTGCCAAATATCTACTTTGCCCCCCTGGAGTTTAAATACATATTACAGATCTCTGCTTTCTGATTCTCCTTTGTTGGCTCTTCTATTGGACAGCGTTTCATTCTTTATTGTATAAAGTATATTATATAATCGATTACTTTTATTGGGTACTCTCTTAAATGTCATTTATTACTTTAATATTTTAGCTTAGAAAGAAATTCTATTGGACACTAGTAATTTTTTTTTAATGTTACTTTTATGAAAACAGTTTTTTATTGGATAATATACATGTAAATGTTTGATCATTTTAATAAATACAAATTTTTATTGGTTATTACAATAGAAGATCATTTTTATTAATCATTTTTATTGGTTGTTATGACAGAAAAAAAATCATATTGTTCATTTTACTGGTTATTATGACAGAAAAATAAATAATATTGTTTATTTTATTGGCTGTTAAAGCATAAAAAAATCTATAGATACATTTTATTGGCTATTTACTATTTAATATTCTAGGTTTTTATAGTAAAATATTCTATTCAATTCCACTACACCAGATTACTTACAAGACTGTAATCTTTTATGGCGGTCCCTCCAGAGATGTGCAACTCTTGCAGTTGATGCCCAGTTTCCAAGACATCTAGTGAAGTCTATACCAGAATCCTTCATTATATTTGCGTGCCTGGCACACATTTCTTTCTTAAGTGCTACTGGTATAGACCCCCAGCTAGGATTAGAACCAAGAGCGATCACTGAAGGATGGGCGGCCATATCATCACATATAAGCTTTGTACACATATTGAGTGTGACCTTCTCGTTACTTGTTACTTCAATGCCAAGGTCTTCACTTATCATCTTGAAGATATTGTTGTAAATGAGTATTGACTACTGCTGTAATTGAGAATAAGTCTGAAGGAAATAATATAAGGCCTCAGCTATTCCAGTCAAAGGTGTCTACCGATTACTTTATTATTTAACACACAGGTTTAGCATGCATGATAGTGATTATATTTCATATGATGATATCACCATAATATGGGATACATCAGTGGATTATTATAAGCATAATTATAACTCATAAACACATTTACTTTCGATGTTAATACTTCATTGGGATTACACACATTTATATAATTAATCATACATTAATTATCCCAAGATCACGTTGCTCTGATTAAGGCTCAGATAGGATCGATTACCTGACCCCAGTCATATAATTTTCCCAATCCAAAACAATATAAATAGCAGTAGTAGTTCAGTGTAGGAACCTGGTCAAACTTTGATATAAAATCCTTTCTCAATAAACAAAACCTACACAAGTTCTCACGAATCTTAGTTCCTAATCTCAAATCTTCAATTCTTCCTCTTAAAAACTTCTTCAACTTCAACCACCACAACAGATATGCTTTAAAGTTATTTCACGGAATATGCTCACCAGTTTGCGGATGGTATTAGCACTAGACTATTAAATGACATATTAATATATATTCAACTCGTTTTATTTTTTGTCTTACAATGGCAGAGACAGAAGGCAAAGTGTGTTGGTTGGAAATGTTTCTATTCTCCAGTTGGCTCTGGAGAGCAGTAATCTCCAAATTCAAATCTTCAATGCTTGTTTTCATTTCGAGCTTCAACTCTTCGATCTGTGCCTTCATTTCAAGTTTGGCCTTTTCTTGGCCTGCCTTCAAAGATAGTATCTCATTGTACATGGCATGTAGCAAAGAGATGGAATTGTTATCTGTGTTATTCATGTTGAGAGTTTGGTTTATCTGGGAAAAAGGATTGTTATGAAAGAAAGATAAAGGCCAAAAGAATTTTCTATTGTCTATTATTAGTTTTATATAAATGAGTTTAACCTATTGGTCCAGCCAATATTATTATTGGGCTACTGTAGTTCTAATAACAGCTATCACGCAATGTTTTAGCTTCTGTTCCTGAGTTTATATTTGTATTATCTATGTCATTGCCTACTTGTAGTCATTAAGTCTATACAAATCTCAACACTATTAAGTATAAAGGCATATTATTTAAAAGGAATTATCAATATTCATATCTTTATTCTTAAGTGTTTATTTCCAACCTAAAAAATGTCTTCAAATTCAATCCTTGATAGTTACTAATTCAATCTGCAAAGAGCGCCACACCAATTCAAAAAAGCCAAGAGTTGTAGAGCTCAATGCTTTAAGAACCATCATAGAAGACATAATGATATCCAGACTTCACAGACCACGCCTGTTCCTGGACAAGTCAATGTTGTTTTGAACACTGTCTCGAACAACACTATTGAGTAAGACTACAAATCACATACATACTATTAGAAGTGTAATTAATTATATTGTTATCTTCATAAACAAGCAGAGAACGTACTGATGCAATCGAAGATCAGATCATGGATACACTCAACAGTGAAGATAACGATGATCCAATTATGAATATCTTCAGTAATGATGATAATAATGAGTCTATGGTAAGATATATATATATATATACATGTCTTATTATATAATGCTAATTATTAGTTACCTTGTTAAAGTATGATGCGGAACTTGGCAATGACATGGATATCATTGAAAACGAAACATCTCCTTTGGTTCTTGACTTCAGTTAGCCTGCACCTAACCCTGACAAAGACGATGCAAAGAACCTTGAGTTTCTCAAGATCATTAACGATTTTGGTATCTCCCACAATGCCCATAAAATGATAGTCAAGCATTTCAACAGCATTTTGGAAACGTCAACTTGCATTACATACAGAGCATGTACTCCTCATCTCGGCAAAAAGCTTTTGAAGAGTTTCTCTGATGTTGAAGAGACAGTCCATGATATCTGTCAGAGGGTATGTATGCTTTTTACCAGTCCATCCCAGACTGAGTGCTCCAACTGTGGACAAAGCCGGTACAAAACAAGACGTGGAGAAATCGAGGGTGGTGATCTGGTTGCTGCTGCCACAATGATACAGCTTCCATTGGTGAGACAACTGGCTCTTGCGTTAGCCAACAAGAATACAAGAGCAGATATGCATTACCGCCATAATCATGAGTCAAGCTTGGATGGAAGTAAAACCAATGTGTTTGATGGCCAGGTTTACCAGCAAGCAAAACATCTGTTTTCTGGAAAAGATGACATTACAATTTCGTTGTCTGTTGATGGATTCACGCCACACAATGTTCCTGGTTCTGTAACGATCCTCCATGCCACCATTCTTAACCTGAATCCCATGGTCCAGTATGAGAGAAGCAGAATGCTCCAGATCGCAATGATCCCAGGTCCAGGTGCACCTGCCAATTTCTGGTCGTTCATGGAACCAACGATGAAAGAGCTCCTGATGTTGGAGAGCAAAGGGATGGTCGTCAAGACACCAAACAAGACCATTCATGCCAAGGTACATGTCTTAATGGTCACTGGTAACATTCCCGCCTTAGCAAAGTTGGCATGTCATTCTGGACATATGAGCAAAGACGGTTGCCATATCTGTCATGTTGTCAGCCAATGTCCCAAGCATGGACAATACTTCAGAACTTTGCCCAGCACCAATATCGGTATGCTGGAAAGTTTCCAGAATTTTTCCCAGACCAGTGCATCCAGCTGCAAAGGGTTAAACAGACAATCCCCCCTGGCAACATTGAAGGTATTCTCTGGACCATTGTTTTTTGCCCTCAATGAAATGCATGGACTTTGCCATAGAATAAGCAAGCAGGTCTGGGGTTTGGTTTCTGGTACCTACGGAATAGGCTATTGTTTTGCTCTTTCTTCTGGTGTTCGGAAGGAGATCGGTACAGCAATGTACAAAACAAGAAATACCATCCCTACATCCTTCCATGGCGATTAGAGGGATATATACAAGAACCCCGGGTCGTTCAAGGCCACCAATTAGACAGACTTTTTTCTGTTTGTCATCTCTACACTGGTGGCAGAGTGTATTGGAGATGCAACTGCCTGGAACACATTACTTGGCTTGGTTCAAGCATGTAACCTACTCATGAGCTGGAAGTTATCAGCAGAGGAACAAACCTCTATCAAAAGGTATATTTTAGTAAAAGCTATGTGTTATTCTATTATTTATTCTAACTATTTTTCTTCAGTAAACTTGAAATATGGAACATGTACCTGGAATTGCTACTTACAAGTGGAAAAATCAAAATCAATATTTTCACTATAAACCAGCATCTTCTTCAGCACTATCCTCTCATGATTGACACATACAGTCCACCTTGTGCATATAGCACCAGATCCGTGGAACAGGCAATCAGTGAATACTCAAGGGCTATCAAGAGTAATTCTGCTATAAATGTTAACGCTGGCAATATCATGCTTGGCTTAGCACAAATACGACAAGCAGAGGCCAGAGCTGTGGTATTTCAGGTACGAAACAATAGAAAAATAAAATATTTGATAATAGAGACGTATAGAAATACTTTGAGACTGTATATAAGTTGTCTTTATTCATAAATAAAAAGTGTCCCTTTTTATAAGAAAACACAATCTGCTCTTGTTATTATGTCTTAGTTTCTTAAGGCTTTCTTCCTTTACTATATTTGGTTATTAGAGTGTATTTACTGCTTAACTAGTGTTGGTGTTACAATTATGACATCAAGTCATAAATCGTACTTCTTTAGCTCTTAGCTATTCTTTTCTCTTTTATACTAGAGCTTTAGGACTTCCTACTAAATTAGCTCCATATCGATCTGACACAGTTTACCTGGCAGTATGATATAATTATCTTAACAATCTTTAAGATATTATCTACAGTACTAACTGTAATAATTATTGGGCTGATTACTTAATCGTTTATATATATTTTATACTGACAAGATGATAGCTACTACGCTATCTCAATATGAATATGTTCTTATATGTGATAAATCCAACATCCGAGTGTCTGGATCACCACAAGAGCCTGTTGTATCCAACATAATCGTAGATTTAAATTAAAAGTACAGACACTCAATAAATACGTACATTGAGTTACCGACAACTAGTAACGATACTAAAAGATATACCTTCCCTTATACAAGGAAATTACGTAAAGAACATACTAAGACAAATACTAAGACTCTAGTCAATAACACTAAAAACATAAGAACTAAATCATAGAAGATAATGGTAGAGAAACAGACATTACATGATATCATCATATCATCATCAAGCTAAATACAATGTCTATATAAACGCACAATACTAATAGCAATAGAACAGCATCTCTTTTCTGATTCTTTCACTTCTTCTAATAAAACAAAGTCTCACCGTACTCTCGTCTGCACTTGTTTTATTTTATATCTTATTTTTACCTCATACATAACAGAGCCACTGTCATGATTACAGAAGCAAGAACAGCACGACACTTACAATATGAAGATTTCACTGCTGGTTGGCCGTTGACAGATGAGAGTGAGTGTGTTGGTGCTGGGTCTGATATTGAGTTCTGGGGGCCTTTGAGGAATAGAACAATCCAAGATAGTTTTGAAGGCATTTCTTGTCTTTCGAAACTTCTTGAAGACTTCTACAAATCAAAGGGGGAAGAGTGTAGTATGATTGAAGCAGCTATACAAACTAGCCGCAAGGCATTTGTCAATGGTTGTGTGATTGACTCTGCACTTGACTAAAATTGTGTAAGGGAGGCACATAACATCAGATTACAGATTCAGGTTGATGAAAACCACGACATAAATTCTGCATACTCCCCAGTTTACAAGGATTTCTTTGGAAAAGTTGTTGTCTTCTTTGAGCACAGGCTCAACAACAAGAGGTGGCCGCTTGCTCTTGTAGAGATTGCGGCAGTCCATTTGGTAAATGGTATACCAGTTGTTAACAATAGGCAAATGAAGCCAAAGGTAGTTCACCTGGCAGATGTCAAAGAATTGGTTGGTTTGGTGAAGTTGGACGCGACTATAAATACAACAACAACAACAATAACAATAACATACATAGTGTGGCCAGAGCTTAACCGCGGCCCAAAATTGTCACTTGGTTCTCTTGCAGACCTATAATTTGTTTTTTTTTTGTAATACATTTTTTTTTCAAATTGTCTTAACATATTTTATTTTCTCAGCAGAAAGTTTAGATATTTTCTTCTCTTTTTCTTCTGACTTTTAATAGTCATCAAATGCAATCTACATTTACTAAAAATGTAAAGTCTGTAGTTAAAGCTTACTTTTGTCTATCAGGAAATTTAATTGTAGGTGGTCAATTTGCTTTTTGTCAACCTTTTCAAAAAACAGAGATTTTCTAGTTTCAAATTGAATTTTTAGTGATTTTTTAATTATTATAGGCCGAAAACATAGTCACAAAAGCAAAAAACCGCCATTTTTTCCCATAGTGTAGTAATATCTTCTATAAGTATATTCACCATTTTAAACATCTGAAACATATGTGAAAGATCAATCGACAATGACAAGATCTTTTACCCTAAAAGTCAACCATTATTAGTTGCTTGTGAATTCTGATTTTGATTGCTGATGTCAACTCTGACAAAAAAATAGTTTTTATTGATATGAATTGAATTGTCTTATATAGTTTTCTAAACTAATACTGTGCATTATCCGCAGTAGGTATTATTTATATTTAATTAAAGAAATAGTCATTATATTACGGTTAACTATCTTCAGATTTTACAGATTCACTAGGGGAGCAGTGCTCCCCCCCCCCTTTGGGGGGTCCCCCCCCCTCCCCCCTCCCTTTGGAGGGGCCCCAGAGCCTACCGGAAGTTAATATAAAACCCTTCCCTATTGGAAGTCTAAGTACCATATAGCACAATTAATAGAAACATTTTATTTGAGTGAATTATATGAAAAGAAAGGATATGTATAGATGTTTTATTATTCAAAAAAAATTGGTTAGATGAGTTTATAGTGTATGTTATATATAATTTTTTACTAAATGTCAAAGACTTCCTTAAATACAACATTGTCTGTAAATACAGTATTTGCCATTTCATTGGAATTTGCTGGTGTATCAAGCATTATCTTGATTGTAGAAGGTTTTCTGACCCAGGATAGAGCAACATACAGCTGGCCATAGGAGAATACTGGGGCAGGGAGATATAATCCAACACTCTCAAGAGTTTGACCTTGTGACTTGTTTATTGTCATTGCGAATGCAAGACGAACTGGAAATTGGAACCGCTGGAATTCAATTTCACCATTTGATCCAGATGGATTAAGCTTTATTCTTGGAATAAGAGATACTTGCCCGGCATTTGATCCAGTCACAATTGTTGCTCTGATGACAGATGTTCCAAAAGAGTTGCAAATCAGGCGTGTACCATTACAGAGGCCGTTTTTTGGGTCAAGATTGCGAAGAAGCATGATAGGACATCCTTTTTTTAAGGACAGTGAGTGAGGTGGTAGGGATCCAGGATCAATGGTATTTAGTAGCTCAACTGGATATGTCAACTGACCATCTTCATCAATTCCCTGGTCGACGCTCTTAAACTCTCGTGCCTCTCCAGGAAACTGGCTCAGAAGAATATCATTGAGTTTCTTGACATCTTTATTCTTAGGAGTAAGCAAAGCACGGCCCATGAGGAAATGACAGTTGGCTGCATTAGAGGAGAGATCATGGAAAACTGCTTTGGCCAGATCAGCAGGATTACATCCAGAAAGTAACATATGGGGCGGAATTGGGATGGTGTCATCACCGCCTGTTGTGTGGGCAGAACCACTACCAACTTGCAAGAGAAATGCTCCAAATTCCCTAAGCTCTAATGTTTCTTGTTCATTATTTGCTTGGGCAATTTGCATGTTTGTTGTAAGCCGCAAGGTTTTTACATTTCTCCATGCAGATGCTTTCTTGATACATTGGCTTACAACCTGAGCTCTTGTTGCCTTGGGTATAACAGGAAGGACCTGCCGAAAATCGCCTCCAAAGACAAACAACTTCCCTCCAAATGGAACGTTTTCAAGCAATGGATCGACAGCCTTCATTATATCTTGCATGGATCTGCTTACAGTATTAAAAACATCTTTACTAATCATAGAAGCTTCGTCCCAGATAACCAATTCCGTTCTTCTAATAAGTTGTGCCATTTGCAAGTTTGCGTTGATGGAGCATAAGGAGTTAAGATCAACTTGCACTGGAATCTTAAACCTGGAATGTGCTGTACGCCCACTGTCTAGCAGCAATGCAGCAATTCCACTTGTTGCTACTGCAAGAGCAATTTTTCCTTGTTGGCAAGTTTTTTGAAGCAAGGCATTAAAGACAAATGTCTTTCCCGTCCCACCTGGACCATCGACAAAGTACAATCTTGAGGCTCCCACGTTTTCTTCAATTGCACTTAATACTGTTGTATAGATACGTCTTTGTGAATTATTGAATGTCAATGTATCTGGATCTGGCAAAAGCTGGGCTTGATCACATAAATCTTCTTGTTCTTGTATGATGGCTTGAACATCTTGCCCATTTGGGCTAAAGTGCTGGATGTCAGGCATTGGTGGAAGAACAAATCCAGTGAACAACATGAGAGACATAGAGTTGGCAGATAGATGACTTTTGATATCCCATAAACATCTGTCAAACATATCTTGTGTGGGGGCTAACGCAGGAATTCCACTACTTTCTCTTGCCAAATGAAGATAATCTTCAATCATAGAATCGCGATGAGCAAGCCACAAAGAGAAAGGATCTGATACTGCACAGAAAATCAAAAGAATAGCAAAGAGTCTTCGTAAAGAAAATGGGATCTGATGAGCTGCTGCCTCTTCCATACAGTTACTCCACTCATCATCATTCAAAAGTAATCTCAGAGCACGACATGCAGCTTGGTTTGTTTCATACACACATCCTTCTACTGTACGTATGTCTTCAAAGCTTTTGGCTCCTTTAACATAATGCAGCAGTAATTGTAACAAATATTTTTCAATATCTCTCGGAGACACTGTGTAAACTCTGCCAATCGTTCCTTTATCAAACCTCTTACGTGCTGTCCATTTTCGTTCTTTTGTATTTCATACATAAAGAGAAGGAAAGTCGACGTAAAGAAGTTTTTCAGATGATGGGTGTGTAGCATTATAGTCAAAATATCTCATTAAAGTAGTGTTTTTTCTGGAATTTGCAACATCCTCTGGGTTAGAAGATGGATTATAATATACGGGTTGGGCATTTTCCAGATGGATTGAAAGTCGTTGATGGCTGGGATACTCTTGATGAAGCTTGAAAGAAAATATTCTCCAGCATGCTTCAGAAGCGGAGACATACCGAGCATCAAGAAACTCATTAACTTCGTTTACATGCTCTTGTTGTTGTTGTGGAGCAGAATTGGTGGGTGTAGGCTGCACATGGGCCATTGCACAGTCATGTCCTTTATATACATATTTGTAGAGATATTTTACGGCAGAAACAGAGGTGCTAATCTCAACATTTATATGAGCATTGTATTTTGCACATATGTATCTATTGTGTGGAACAACCCATCCATTATCCATGATCTTTGGCCTTCTTCTAATAACTCTTCCATTTCGACTGCGTTGATAAATAGGATATCCGTTTCCACCATCGCTAGTCTCATTGCAAAGCTTTTTAGGATAATTCTTTGAACAGATCCCATTCTTCATGCATGGTGCTTTTGGATATTTCTTTCCGCATGGGCCATGCATCATGCATTTTTTTACTGTTTCATATGCCAATGGCTCAGTTTCAGGATCTGGGATTTCAGCCGAAACTATTCTGTCAAAATCTTCTATTGTTTTTGGTTTATCTTGTGGTCGCAAAATCAAAAGAATGTGGGCATGAGGAAGTTCGCGCTTTTGGAATTCAATGACATATATAAAGGTCAAAACTTTCCCCAGAATATTTTTTTTGTAAGGTCAATCATGAGCTCTTTGAGCTTTATATTAAAAACCCGAGAACAAAGATCTGGTCTGTCATTAGCTTTTTGCCCAGCCAACAGGGAATTTGTGATTTCTGGCCACTTTGAATTGCAAGTGAAAGTTATGAACAAATCAGGCTTGCCAAAACGACGCACAATACTCATTGAATCTTGATAAAGTTGAGCCATATACTGGGGGCTACCAATAAAAGAAGATGGAAGAATAACTCTCTTTCCAAGATTTGCAAGATTACAATCGTTATGGATAACAGCATCCTGAATTCCACTATAAAGATCTACACAGAGACGATTTTGATTGCTGGTGATGAAGTGCAGCCGATCGTGCTCAACTTTGGCATACATATCAACAATATATTGTTGAAAGAGACGGCCAAAAAGATGGAGGAGGTGCTGTGTGTTGCGTCGATACATCAAACGGTTTGAGTACCATTGCATTACTGTGACATGCTCTCCTGACAATGAGCTGGCATCAATGGTCCAACCATCTTCACCATGTGGAAAGAGTAGCACATAGTGTAAAGCATCATAAGATCGGTGG